ATTCTCTATCAATCAATCTTGTCATATTTTGACTATATTTTCATTATTCTGTGACTGTGCTGGAGCTTATTCTTGTAATACTTTAACTGTCCTGGGACTTTTTTCTGCTAACTTTAAGATATTATTCTTTTAATGTGTGCTATAACTGCTCTCACATAACATGATGACTTTATGTCATGAGTGTGTTCTTGTTATGTCACAACTTTATTCGTCATCATTTGTTTATATTTTCTTCCATCCTGTAAAACTCTGTCCTACCCTGTTTGTTGTTTCGGGGTGGGGGGTTGGGGGGTTGTGTGTGACCTTTGAGGTAGATCCATGTACCAAACTCCCCTGATTCAACAGGATATTCCAGCGTAAATTTAAGTTTGGGTCAAACACACCATAACACAGAGTTAGACACCCCCTCGAAAGATGAGTGTTGCCAACTGCTTGCTTCTCTAGTTATACCAACTTCAGCAACAACCGCACGATAGCAATACACAGAGGTCTACGTCTCCACGTGCAAACCTTAACCAACAAGCCACAAATAGTGCTCAGAACAGTACCTAACGTCATTAACAGTACTTATAGGGTCCCAGCTATAGTACCAGCCATCAAACATGTTTTTAGCTTTGCCTGGTTTCTTTAGCAAAGACGCTAAACACAACCCATCCACTCTCCTCCAGCAGCGGCTTGTTTGTGGGGGAGCCCTGACGAGTCGATCACCGAGTGCAGTGGAGTTTTGCAGCTCAAGGAAGAACATTAATGGTTGTTACTTCATGGGAATGCAATCGAAGCTCTTGTGTATCTTGAATGTGCATTACAAACACGAGAGTTCTTCTGCTGCACTCGGTTGTACTTTTGGTTGCAGTTTGTGTGTGGAGACATAGACCACTGTGTATTGCTATCATGTGGTCGTTACTAAAGTTGGTTTAACTAGAGAAGCAAGCAGTCGACAACATTCATCTCTTGAGGGGGTGTCTAACTCAATGTTATGGTGTGTTTGACCCTGACTTAAACTTACGCCGGAATATCCCTTTAACTCCTCTGTGCAGTCTGAAGCATACTTGAATCCTCAGCATTATTGAAGAGTTAATGTCATAGCACAGCTTGGCCATGAGATGTCACCAAACTCCCTTAAAGTCGACTAATTTTGACAGCGACTGCCCAAGAGAGGTTATAGTCATAATTACCTCCAGAATGAGTCATTTATAATGTTACGGCTCTTCTGTCAGACTTTAGATAATGTTTTTAGCATCAAAATCCAGGATAGAAGTCCACTTTCTCTGTATTTACTCTGTCTGTTAAATTATTATTATTATTTGTGACTGTGAAATCAGTTGGTGTAAATAATTCTGCTCAAAGCGGTGAACTTGAACTCACTCTGTTCTTCCTCTCTCTGTTTTTCTTTGCGCAGGACCCGGGACAGGTCGAGATATCAGCGGCTCTGCCTGTGTTTCTCAATCACCGTGGCTCCTGCTTACCTGCTTCGCCTGCCTTCTCCTCAAGTGTTAATACAACTACCCTCCTCTTCTTCCTGGCCTTCTGTCCCTCCTTCCCTTCCCCGCCCTCCTCTCAAGCTCACCGGCATCCTTACCTTACTACCAACTCTGACCGCCCCACAGACTGTTTGCATCATGAGACGATATCCTGCTGTGCTCTCCGGCACAGTTATTATGAAAAGTGATGGTTTATGGGTAAAATGTGTGAGGAACAACAGAAAAAAACAGTGAAACGAAGGACATAACAAGCAAACAGCGCTCTCTTTTTATTTTTATGCACTCTTTTTTTCTTTATCTTGACTTTGGAGTCAGGATCGAGGTTAGGATTTGATTTATCTTGTCTTCAAGGCGATGAAAGCAGATAATCCTTTCTTCTAGGTGTGCTCAAGACAGATGGTATATTTCTTCCCCCTTCTGTAGATGCATTATGTTAACTTAAAATGTAGATTTAACCGAGTGTTTAACCAGTGCATTAATGAACAACATGCAAAGTATCTGCCAAATATCGTTGACCTATATAGATCTGAAGCTAACATGCAGAATACAAGGTGAAACCCTGCAGGTGTTTCTGAAAGAGATTAAATCTGATATAAGAAGCAACTATGATGTGATCTATTAGACACAGAGATGTGCAGCATTGTACAGATATCTTCTTAATCAGTGACTTTGTTTGCAGGCGCAGCAGTCTTTTGGTTTGCTGCAGAAATTGAGGATGCAGACTCGACCCCCTAATGAGCTAACCCATGCAGAAATCAAGCTCCACATCTTTGCAGCCGCTCGCCTTTATTCCAAAAGAGTTGCTCTCTTTTTTTTTCTCTCTTTCTTTGGCAACAGGAAAAGAAAACACTCAAAGTCATAACGTGCATACTGTACATAGTAAGATTTTGTATTGCTCAGCCAGTCCTGCACCTGCAACAACAGGAAACATGGGAAATTGTTGCAGCTGCATCACAGTTAGCTCCATAAACCGTGCAACATGCGGTGCTTCAGTTTTAGGATCATTCTTCTTACTGCTGGAATTTGGATAAAAAAAAAAAACAACAACAATGTATGACACCAATGAATGACTTACTTTTTCTCTTTCAAAGATGTGTGCGTGTTTTAATATGAAACAATACAGAAAAAGTCATAATATATTGATATTGAGGTTATTTTTTCTGTCTTTACCTCATTCATTTTAGTTGTGTGTGTATATATACTTGAATCCAATGTCCTTATATTATATGAAAAGACAAATTTTATGTGTCCATGTTCCTGAGTAGGGTAGTGAAGACCATGCAGACCCTGCTCTATCATGTGAAATGAAGCCCATTAGACAAATATGTTTGTTTTTCCTTTTGGGGACTAAAAAATTAGCTTAAAAAAAAAGATAGTTTTGTGCAGTTATTATTGTACTTAACCTTGGGATGACACAAGTGCCGGTTTACATGACGTTGAAGTGAATGAGTCTAGCGTTTAGCTTGCTGTTTCATAAAGCAGGAACTCCAGAGAGCAGAAAACAATGAAGACTGAACGCTTATCTATCTTCCTCTTTACAAAAATATGACCATTATAAAACATGTCCTGCATTATATTTTCTCACTGCTCCTCACTAACACGTCTTCTGATTAATTTCTTTCTTACATGGAAACATCATGAGTGAATATTTTATAAAACTCTGATAGTGAAATTTTTCAATCAGTGCAGTTCTTGAGAAAACAGCTCTGCAGTCTCGAAAAGCTGAACCTGGAGCGTTATCAGCTGCCTTTCTGCCGTTTATTTTGACCTTCTCGAAGGTGACTAACAGCGTACAGACTCCAGTGCCCAGACCAGCTTCCTGTTCACGTCTCTGCTCTTCTAACAATCAAGCCGAGATAGTTCAAGTACTGTAAGACACACCTGTAATTACTGTCATCCCTGTCCTGCATTAAAGACATTGTTCCCTGTGTTTTGATTGTAAATGCTTCTGAGGCTGTGGCTGTGTGACTTCATCGTGTTGTGACGCTATCTGAATCAGTCAAGTTTTATGTGGGTTAGAAAGTAGACAGAGAGCTGTGCAAAGACTCAAACTGTATTTATAGCTGAAACTTTTCAAGAACTAAAAAAACAACTATCATTTAGATCGAATAGAAACAGCGGCTAAGACTGGAGTAAAAAGTTTGCTTGTTTTCATACTGTCACCATCTATTGCTGTTTTTTTATTTACTTTTCTATGACTGAAAGACTTACCAACGTAGCGCTTCCACTTACTAAAAGTTTGAGGATTAAAGAATTAAGTCCTGAAGTGGAGAAGAAAAAGTTAGAAATAATCCTTCAAAAGGCTAGAGTAAAGTGACAAAACAATCACTCAGTAATTTGATTTAAATTCACTTCCAGGAGTGAAAGTTACACATTGAGGCGTGTAAAGTTGTAAAGTTGTGTGATCAAAGCCATTTACTTATAAGGGGAAAAGTTGTTAATTTATGAGAATAAAGTTTTGAAGTTACAAGAATAGAGTCGTAAACTTGTGAGTTACAAAGATCAATATTGTTCATTTCAGGATAAAGTGAAAATTTGATGAGAGGAAAATCTCTGTCAGGTCAAAGTTGGAAAAATAAGTTGTAGCATGTAAAATAAGATTCTGGAGGTTATGAAAGGAGCAGTTTGTTTCTGCATAAAGATAAAGAATGTGGATTACAGACTCACGGTTCATTCACAGTCCCGATTCCTACGTCAGTGTATAGCTGATGGTTTTGAGTTTCTGATGAATATTTGAGTCAGATCCTCAAAATGACAAACCTTCTGACTGTAGATTGACATTAAGACTTTATTCTTTAAAAAAAAAAAAGCCTCTTTTATTCTTTAAACCTCTGAATTTTTTTCCCCTTGTTTTTCATGGTCCTAAGAATCAAATAATCATCAGTAAAAAAGCTGCTGATCAAATTGCTTGAGCGTGGCCTGTGCCACATGTTGATTTCAGTGAGTCTGTCTGTGTTGCATTTTAAAACACCTCAGGGCAGAGCCAGACTGGCCTTGGACGGACTCTCAGACTCTCAATAACGTGTTCTGATTTTTGTTTTATTGCTGGAGGAAATATAGACAGACCACCAGAGAAGGGTCCTCAAACTGAACCCAGTGTCTGTTTTAACCTGCCAGGAATACATGATGGAGAAGGACGCTTTATAACCTGGTTTTAGAGGCTGAAACAGCAGATTTACACTGAAAACGAAGTTTATTTTGCGTGTTTTCTCTGAAAAATAAAAGACCTAGGATTAGGTATAGTCACCTGACAGATCAATAAGTTAAATAATCAGTCGCAAAATTCGAGTTATAGCGAGCAACAGTTATAGAGTGCTGAAGCAAAGACTGTTGCGCGAGGTGTATTTATGCAGTAAAACAATGAAGTAAAGTTAGGTATCCTCATTAACATGCACTTAAACCCAACAGAGCTAAGCAGACAGAAAACCAACGGCTGGCAAAACATTGATACAACTCTCGTGCAAAAGTTCAGACTCATCTTGATCTGCCACTGTGACTTGTAAGAAGTTTAAATGAGGTATTTTAAAAGTAAAAGAAAAATCTTTGTGTTGAGTTTTAACTGTGTAGCCATCCCTATTTCAGATTAATATGGACGGCACACCTCCTCCCTTTGTAAAACAGTGCAGCCAAAACTCTGACAAGCTGACGTACTGTACTGGGAGAGATATTTTCGAGCCAGGTAAAGAAGAGGAGGGGGTGATGGGATAGAGTCTGTGAACCAAGGCCCACAGAAAGCATGTTCAGTACTTTCCTCATAATAGAGCAAACAGGAAAGGAGTTCCTGAAGGCTTCAGGTTTTTGAGGTCTGAATTTTGTAACCTAACTTTTTTCTCCAAATCCTGAGATTAAAGCTCCTGTGAGGAGTTTTCTGTCGGTCATAACACGGACTGAGATTAAAACTGATGCTACCTCAGGACCTAAACAAGCAAAAAGACCACCAAGACAAAGAGTGACTTTCTCTGTGCAGTTATCTTTCATGTCAGAAACCACTGGTGGAGGCAGGGGGCGGAGGCAGAGGAATTTTTTTTTTTTTTTTACCTTTCAACCACAAAAAGTTTTGTTGAGTGACACATTTGGCTGAATTAAAAGAGCAGGATGAGACTAATTTTTGAGAAGAACTAATTATTGATCACCTGACTGGAAAAAGCTAGCAGTCACCTTTCATCTGCTTTAAAGCTTTAATTCTCAAATGAATTTTTACGTTAAAAATGTTTACATTTTTCTGAGATTATTTGAATTAAGTAGAAATTCAAGCCAGAATCATGACTTCGGTCAGAATTCAAAGTTTAAGCCAAACTTTTGAGTTTCTAGTCAAATCTTTAAGAGTCCAAATTCAGACTTTGATTAAAAATCTTTTGGATGACTGTTATTCTCATGAGTTCTAAGATGGAATAGAAAAGTTAATCAACACCTCCAGCATTATCAACAGACACGCCCACTTTTGGGTGCGGTACATCCAAAATAAACAACGGTAAATGGGAATTCCAGGTGATCAAAATGTTTTCCAGTCTGCCACCAAACTGAATAAACAACCTTGTCTTAAGTCACGTGACCTTTGTATGAATTATAACTGTTAGCTGAGTCGGGTCGACACTCATTTCTCTTTGTCAGGATACTGACACTGTTTAAGAATGATGAAGTGGTGATACAGCCGGAGCTACAGCTGCCTCACAGAGTCAGTGTAGGTCACTTTTTTTCATAGAGCCTCAGAATGAAAACTCTGAAAATTGATGGGCTGTCAGGTCACATGGCAGTTCGATGGAGGTAGACTAAGAAAACACTTGTGAGAATGTTACGCTGAAGATCGCTGATAATAAAAGTCATCATCTATATGTTTGTCATGCAGGTCATTCTAAATAGCCATTAAATGATATAGTTTTCTTATTTGATGAGCTGTAATTCTGCTAAAGACCCTAAAAATTCACATTTACTAGTGATAGTGACGACTTAAGGGCAAAATATGGCAAATCTTTAAAACTTCATTCCTAATTTTTTTTGTTTTTCTGTAGCTCTTTAACACACTTTGGGGGAGCTTTTGTGCTGTCCATGTTTCTACACAGTCTTTGGTTTAAACTCCAGGCTCTTTCAATGTGGGGAAAGCCTCCCTAAAGAGGAATGTAGTTGCAGGTTAAAAGCATTAAAAACAAAACAAACAAACAAAAAAACAGTGACTGATACTGAGGACCCTTGTGTAAAAGCCATGCAGCGCTGTCTCACCCATGAAAGTAATAAAGGGAAACTGTCGTTCACTGCTCCTACAAACCAACAGCCAGCCTATGAACATTCAGCTGTAGATCCTGTAGACAGACCTGGTATCTACTCAAGACTGTAGATATGCAGCTCAATAGTTTACTCCTGAGCATCGCCTCAAAGCATCACCACTGTGTGTGTGTGTGTGTGTGTGTGTGTGTGTGTGTGTGTGTGTGTGTGTGTGTGTGTGTGTGTGTGTGTGTGTGTGTGTGTGTGTGTGTGTGTGTGTGTGACTCTCTTAGTTTCTATGAACCTCTCTGAGACTTTAACATGAAGCATGAGATCCTTGGTGAGTTTGGTGAGTTTCTGGTTCGAACCCTCCTCTCTGAGTTCACTTCCTTTCCCTCCTCTGTAAATACAGTACAATGTTTCTAATGTAGAATGTTGTAAAGTCACAAAAGTCCATCAGATCATGTTTATACGCTGAAAAATTCCAAGAGCAGATGTAATGGTGAAAATGTTTGTACTTCCCTTCCTCTCTTCAGGAGGAGCTCAGATTCAGTCACAGTTTATGACACAACTATGGCCCCTGTCTTTCTGTTTTCTATTTTGCTTTTCTTTATTATGGCATAAGGTGATTGCAGTCAGTTTCTAAAAAATGATATGTAATAAAGGTATATGAGAAAATGTTCATAACATGAAATAAAGTTGTTTGAAGTCAGCGTTTTGTACTTGAAAGTGACTTGAGAGTGACCTCTATTTGAGAAAGCTTCAAACACTTTACTAGATTATTGAATTTGTCCCCATTTAGCAGGAAAATAACATCAGACACACAGTGTAAGATTAGAGTTATATTTCTAACTTACAGCAGGAGTAAAAACAACATTAAGATAACATCAAAACAAAGTATAACAAGATTTAAGACATCAGATTACAAGGATGAAATCTCAGGGCTCTATTTGCCCGTCAGCAGCGCGGCGGAGGGTGGCACACCCTGCGCAGTGGTATTTTCGTCTAACAGAGACTGGCACACATTTTTTGTAGACTGAGGCACACTGAGATCCGCCAAGCTAGGCATGGTGGCGCGGTAGGAAAAGGTGTCGACAAATTCAGCTGGCGTAGTGACATTTTCGTGTCCGCCTGCAGCGTGGAAAGTGTGCTGAAGCTAGCTAATTCAAACCTGGTCAGCTTTCAGCGCAGGTGAAGTGCAGCTGGTCTAGTGGTATTTTAGTAGACTGGCGGCGTAGTGCGCATACGTCATGCCTCACTGGCAGGTTTCCATAGTAAAAGGCACATTTCAGTGCAATGATTAATCAACAACAGCCAAAATTCAGTGCAAGTATCTGAGTCAGCACATATGCATGTATATCTATATCGATATATTCTGATGTATATCTTATCTGATAAGTGCATTTGGCACAAGGGTGAACACTCCATCGAACTGAATCAACACAACTGAAACCGCATCATATTTAATATCCAGTAAATAGTCACACATGATGGAGTTAAAATGATATTTAATTTATATATATATATATATATATATATATATATATATATATATATATATATATATATATTTAGAGTAAAAAAAATGACGGTTAAAAAACTTTGGCCTGTCCACTCCTCTCCTCTCTTTTCTGTCTCTGTCAGTAACATTAAAATAAAGAAAGTATAAGCACTAGAAAAACTACATATGATGGGAATGATTAGAGCTTCAACTCACCTATGATAAAGTTAGTAACTTCAGACTTCCTTTCCTTTTCACAGAAAAAAAAAAACAGAAGTTTTCTTGTCGTTAAAAAGTTGATGGGCCTGACTCCAGAGCCTCAGCAGGCGCCCTCTTAGGAGGACGGGCTTTAACCACCTCACTGAGAGCCGCAAGGGTCTTGTGGTGTTGCTCCTTCAAGGCCTCATCAGTGGTATTGGAAGGAAACTGTGTGTGTAGCCTTACGGGACTGTGAGGGGGGTTGGCAGGTAGCCTGGCTGGGCCATCCTGTTGCGTGAATCACCTGCTGTTCCTTCAGAAACGGCAAGTGATTCACGCAACAGGATGGCCCAGCCAGGCTGGTTGGCAGGTGCAGAGCTGCTGCTGCTGGAGGTTTGTGTTGGGACCCTTCAGAGGATGAGCCACTGGCTGTTGGGCCAACCTTGAACTGGGATGAGAGCTGAAGCCCAGGTGAAGCGCTGCTTCATCTGCAGGCAAGAGTAAAAACTAACTTTTTTAAACTTCTTCAGGTTCTGAGTTTCTGACTCTTAGTATGTGCCTTTGAAACAGCTAATGCTAAATCTCGAATGATGTAGTTGTATCTTAAGATCAATAATGTGTCAAATTTTTTAAACAATCAATGAAAAAATGTGAGTGAGCGTGCACTGATCAGGTTGCCTTTTACCTTTTATGACCAAGTTAAAAAAATGCAGCCTATCATGTAAGCTTGTTTTAATGACAGCTTCTTTACCATACTTGATTGATCATCCAACATTTCAAGGGGATTTTATTGAAATTATTTTCATAATTTGTTAATTATAGTGAAACAGTTTGGCATATGTTAACAATTTGCTTTTATTTGCTCATTGATTCACATCATTTATACTTTTCTTCACATAATGGGGTCATAAAAAAGTCCAAAATTCTCTCTTTTCCTCCCTGAGGAAGTCCTGTCCTGGGGCCTGGTGTCTGGTCTTTTGTTAGTCCTGTCAATTAAAAGTACTTTAATGGACTTTGTTTTGAAAGAAATTCTCGCTTGAAAATTGTTCAGCTGTAGCCTGGCTGGGTCATCCTGTTACGTGAATCACTTGCCGTTCCTTCCCACAACAGTCTGGACTTCGGCCCATTGGGAGCGTGTATTCCCAGAGCAGTGGATTAAACAGAGTGGCGACAACTTCAGATCTCGCCGCCAGAGCGGTCACGTGGTTCATGTAACCCTCCACAGTTCCAAGCGCAGCCTGCACTGTCCATGCTCTTCAACGGGACAGACTGCAGTGAGCGCGCATTTAACAGGTAAATATTAAAATTAACCGTAGAAAGTCAACATTTGCAACTCTTATTGGATTACTGTGTACACGTCAAAGTCACGTACATATATTTAGTGGCTGGATGACAAATAAAAGTTTGGTAACAGGTGTTACTTTTTAATAAGAGAAAATAATACAATAAAGTGGTAAGTAACAGGTGTTACAAGCTCTTTAAACAATTGTGCAATGTTTTGGTCTTGCAGCATGGCCTGCATAACATTTTTCCATGTTTAATCCACTGCTCTGCTTTGATGTTGATTAAAACCACAGGAAATTACACAATTTTAACCCGGAAACGCCATAATATCTCAACTTTTTAACTGATTAATGCATTCAAAGTTATAACATTTTTTTTTTTACCTACCTTGAGGTATATTTGACAGAAATGTAGAGTTCTTCAACATAGAGGCGTACTGCATTTATTTGAGGATAAAACTGCTCTTGTTTCCTGAATTAACAAGAATTATATCTCAGAATTAACTGAAACATTTTCGGGGGAAAAAAAGTTTTTTTTTTTTATTTAGTTAACAAAAATAATCATGTTAGATTTAAAAGATGAACTTCAATTTGTAAAAGAAAACATTCGTCCCAGTTTTTCTTGATTCAAAGATTGGTGTCTTAGCTTTAAAGGAATATTCAGAATAAAAATAATATCCCTTTTTCTCTAAAATAATGACATAAAGCAGCCTTTTTTGTTTTTATGATCTGGATATAGCACACACCATGTAAAATTTTAGCAAATGGGTGTCTAAATTCAGGTGAAAGCTGCAAACATAGCTAGGGACAAAATAAAATGTAAAAAAAAATCTTCAAAGAAACAAGAGATATTTAGGATTGATACCACTGAAACACACAGGAAAACCAAATGATCATAAAGATTTATTTTGAGTTCTTTAAAAAAAATAATCAAAAATTCATTTCCAATTCACTGTAGTGTGTGATCAGCACAGCTGATTTGTTACACTAGATGAAACTATTTTACGACTGTGTACATTATTCTTTTTATTAAGATACAATATTTCATCACACCTTTTCAATAGCATTTTATTCGTGGTCCAGGTGATACATCCGTCCGTACAGACAGGCGGTCACCAGTCCAGCAGTAATGTCTGAGTGTTTTAAAGTCACTCTTCCATCTGCAGATTTGTCAAAATGCTTTACTTCCTCTATAACCATTTGACTCGCCAAAACTGATGGGTACACATATCTGGTTCCAAACTTCCCCTCCATCACAAAGTCCATTTTGGTCTCAGCTTCTTCTACTTCCTGTCCACAGGAGCTGGGGTCCAACCCTGCACAACGGATGAGTGCACACACCTGCAGAAGGAAGGATACAGGTGAGACATGTTGTAAAGGACAGTGTCTATATCCATAAACCCTTGAGTTCATACCTGCAGGGATAGGTCTCCATCCAAAGTGTGCAGCCCAGCAAACGCACCAAATGCATACAGCTCCTCACTGTCACCCTGTGAAATTCGCTTGTACTGCAGGTGACAGCAAAAGGAGCCATTGCACACCTTCACCCTACCCTCTTTTTCATTTAGGAGGACAAATGTGAACGGGTCACCAATCATGAATGATGTGAATGTGGCTGATGATGAAGGGACTGAAGATGCATCAGAGCAGCTCTCACTGTGACAGAATCCAGAGTCTGTAACAGGGGCTGAAGTGGACTCAGACTCCAATTTCTCCTCTGTGGCCACCCTCTGCCCCGACCACTCTGGGTCTAAGACCGGCACCCTGGCCACCAGCAGCTTGCCCTCAATTATAGTTATAGTTGTAACAATTATAGTTGTAACTTCTACATACACCGTGCTCATGAAGAAAAAGGTTGTAGTTTTAACAACCTCAGCAGCTTACTGGGCCAATTTCAGATTACCTTAAAGCACCTGTGTACAATCACCTGAGTATCCCAGTGGCCTTCGAGCTGGACCAGCTGCTCCGATCAGAAAAACAATTGACTTAACTCTATGTGTTCAAGATAACTCTCTGGTAGACCCAGGAACTTTGAACCATTTCTCCTTTGTTTTTGTCTCTATCTTATGGCTTTTTAGCAGGGGTCTGGGTCTGCTCCAGGTTTTCTGCCTTCTTAGTGAGAAGGTTTCTTCTGTGCCACTCTAACTTTCTAAATGCTGAAAGGTGCTCTGCTTATGGTACATTAAGATAAGACTGAGACTTATGATATAAGATTAGAATGAATCTTATCCTACAGTGATGTTGGCATGACATAGAACTGATTTATAACTCCACTTGCATACAGATATGTGAATAAGGATGTCAGCTGCATAAAAATAACATTTAATTCAGTCAAGTAATATGAAGATTTTACATAAATTTCCCACTGTATTCTTATTTTTCTAAATTATAATTGTGCAGTTACTTAGAAAGTGATTTACTAAACAATTTTGTATCAGCACACCTATTCCAGCTAACAACAAGCCTCCAAAATAGGCAACAAAATGTACAGAGACCGGGCTGTGAACCAATTCCAGTGAAAAACAGCCTGAGGGAAAACCAGGAAAACTCAGCAGGATTTATATTTTTCAGCTCGGATATAAGAATCCATCACTGCTTTTATCAACATTCAGTCAGATCAGCATGAATAAAACCATGAAATCCGGCGGCATCCCTAAAAAGACTTTTTTTCCCCTTCACACAATACTGTTAATAAATCAAACACAATTAAAAGGTCTTTCTTTATTTATTTTTATGTTTTTGCTGAGTGGCAGAAGACACAGGATCAGGATCATTCATGTAACTCAGAAATAGCTCTGATAAAAATCAAATCAAATTTTATTTATATAGCGCCAATTCACAACAGTCGTCATCTCAAGACACTTTTCAAGGAACAAGAGCAGGTCTAGACCACGCTCATTGTTTGATGATCAGGAACCAACCTAAGATGGGTTTTGGCCCATCTCAACTAACATGAGTAGCAGTGGCAAGGAAAAACTTCCTTTTAACAGGCAGAAACCTTGGGCAGGACCAGCCTCATGTTAGACAGCTACCATGCCGCTGCTGGGTTGGGGAAGAATGTGGAGAGAAGAGGGTAGAGGAGAGAGGACAGGGGGAGAGAGAGAGAGAACAAGATAAGGGAAGGCGAGAGAGAATGAGTAAGGAGAGGGAGGGAGAGAGAGTAGAGAACAAGGGTGAGAGAGAGACAGGGGGCAGCAGAAACAACAGCAACAACAACAACAGCTCATGTAATGGTGAAACAAAAAAGAGTTCAGTTTACAGGGTTAGGATATGAGTGATTATGGACAGTGTTAAATTAATTGAGTGTGATTACAGTCAGCAGTCCTAATCGTAGTCAGCTCTAGTTTATGTTATTAATGTCAGTGAGGCTGATGTTCATGTCTGCAGTAACAGTCCCGAGGAATCCAAGAGAAGAAGGAGCAGGGCCTGAGGCGGACAAACGTAGATGATGCAGCTAGAGTCAGGCAGGTCTGCAGCAGGAGCAACCAAGGTTGCAGGGGGTGTCTGCAGCAACGGTCCAGAGGAGCCAAAGAGATGGGGGAGCTCAGGGCCCAGGGTGGACAATCAGGGATAATGCAGCTGGGGTCAGGCAGTTTCGCAGCAGACCGTCTGCAGCATTAGTCCAGTGGCAGCTAAGAGACTCAGAGACACTCAGAGAGACAGAAAACTGGTTAGTGACTTGTATGGGACATAAAGATTTAAAGAAGAGATAGAGACAGACTCTAGCTCAGTGTGCCAGATAACCCCGGCTAAAACCAAAGATTATGAGGGCAAAGTTGCTTAATTTTTTATCTTCCCTTCTTCTTTTCTTTTTTCCCTCTTCTTTTTATCTTTCTTTTAAACATTAATTTCTTCTTTCTTCCTCCCTTAATCCATGTTTGAATTGTTTTTATTATCACAAGTAGTGCCTGATACTTCTGCCAAAGCAGTTTACCAAACAATTAATTACCTGTCTATCACAAAATGTTTAACTAGGATGAAGACATCTAGTTAACAGTATTTGATTGGTAAAATTGATCGTATATTTTTTTCTTTCTGTCCTTCTTTCTTCCAGTTTTTTTCTTTCTTTGGTTATAAAGCATTTTGTAGTTTGGCCAATAAAGGTGTTGAATAATCAGCAGAAGAGACAGGATTCATGCCTTCTGATTACTAACACAAGTCAAAAGTAGCTTGAGTAGAAATGATTATAAGTGTTTAGGCTTTTTTTTACCCCCCTTCCTTCCAGCCATCTGTGCTCCCTTCCTTCTTTTATTCTCTCTTTCTTTCTTTCTTTCCTTCTTTCTTTCTTTAATTTTCTCTTTCTTTCTTTCTTTCTTTCTAACTTTCTTTCTTTCTTTTTTTATTCTCTCTGTCTTTCTTTCTTTCTTTCTTTCTTTCTTTTATTCTTTCTCTGTCTTTCTTTCTTTCTTTCTTTCTTTCTTTCTTTCTTTTAGTTTCTCTCTTTCTTTCTTTCTTTCTTTCTTTCTTTCCTTCCTTTCTTTCTTTCTTTCTTTCTTTTATTCTTTCTTTCTTTCTTTCTTTTATCCTTTCTTTCTTTCTTTTTTTCTTTCTTTCTTTCTTTCTTTCTTTCTTTCTTTCTACCTTTGTTTTTTTTCTGTTATTCTCTTTTGTTCTTTCATTCTTTCTTTTATTCTCTCTCTTTCTTATTTTTTTTTACTCTCTCTCTGTCATTCTTTCTTTCTTTCTTTCTTTTATTGTATCTTTCTTCTGTCTTTCTTTCTTTTATTGTCTCTTTCTTTCTTTTATTCTCTTTCTTTCTTTCTTTTTTCTTTCTGTTATTCTCTTTCTTTTATTCCTTCCTCTTTCTTTCTTTCTTTCTTTCGTTTATTCTCTCTCTTTCTTTCTTTTATTCTCTCTGTCTTTCTTTCTTTCTCTCTTTTATTCTCTCTGTCATTCTTTCTTTTTTCTTTCTTTTATTCCTTCTTTCTTTCTTTCTTTCATTCTTCCTATCTTTCTTTCTTTCATTCTCTCTTTCTTTCTTTCTTTCTTTTATTCTCTCTTTCTTTCTCCTATTCTCCCTTTCTTTCTTTCTTTCTTCCTTCACCACGAAGAGCCATGGGGAGGAGGTTTTATCAGAGCAGGAGGTCTATAGACTCAAAAAGGTTTTACAGAGGGTAAAAGAGCAATTCATCAGTGATGAAGATGAGTTTTAGATGCTTTTACCCTTCACTGACTGTTCTCCTGAGTGTTAGTCTTTATTTTTTATCCATGTGTGATTTTAATATCAGCACCTTAAACCTGAACGGGGCCAGGGCTGATTTTAAACGAGCCACTCTTTTTAAACTGATGGAGACTAAAAGAATAGATATAATTTTTGTCCTAGAAACCCACAGCAGCTTAGATAACGAGAGTGATTGGAAGAGGGCTTTTAACGGGGAGGTACTGACGGCGGCTGACAGAGAGCCAGGAGCTGAGTGATGTGTGGAGGGTTTTTAACAGTCAGCACAGACAGTTCACCTGGAGTCACAGTAGGGAGGGGGTTTTAACTGTAGCCAGACTGGACCGTTTTTACTGTTTTAAACACCATTTAAACATTTTTAAAAGGTGTTTTATGCTGCCAGTTGGTTTTACGGATAATTTTTTAGTCTCCTGTCGTGTTTTTATCAAAAACATTCGTTTAAAGAGCGCCTATTGGCATTTTAACACAGCCCTTTTATCTGACCAGGCTTTTAGAACTGCTTTTAGGGTTTTTGGGGAATCCCACAGAGAGAGCAGGCCTGCCTTCACCAACATACAACAGTGGTGGGATTTTGGGAAAGCCCAGATAAAACAGCTCAGCCAGCAGTTCACTCGCGGTGTCACTACAGACTTAGCTCGGTCCATGAAAGACCTGGAGTCGCAGGTGGTAGAGCTGCAGACTACTGAAGACTCTACAGCAAATCGAGGGCTTTTAGACTCCCTCAAGTCCAAAAAGTCGGCTTTAGCCAACCTGCTAGGCGTCTCAGCACAGGGGGCTCTGGTCAGGTCTCGTTTCATGAACATCACACAGATGGACGCCCCATCTCGCTTCTTCTTTGGGTTGGAGCGTAAAAATGGACAAAGGAAGACCATTCACTGTTTACAAACGGGTAGCAGCTCCGAAGTCTCAGACTCGTCTGAGATCAGGAAGTTTGCTGCCAACTACTACAGAAACCTCTTTAAGAGTGAGTGGTCGCATAATCCAGAAGTGCACAGCAACTTCCTGGCGGGTCTCCCTCAGGTCAGTGAGGCTGAAAATAGCAGACTGGCAGCAGAGGTGACGGTGCAAGAGCTCCATGCAGCCACCATGAGCCTGCAGAGCGGCAGAGCTCCAGGCATAGACAGCCTTCCTGCTGACTTTTACAAGTCCTTCTGGTCCATCATAGGACCAGACCTGCTAGAGGTCATGACATAAAGTGTGAGGACCGGCAGGCTACCTCTGAGCTGCAGGAGGGCCGTCATCACCCTGCTGCCCAAGAAAGGAGACCTGCAGGAGCTGAAAAACTGGAGACCAGTCTCCCTGCTGTGCACGGATTATAAGATCCTTTCCAAGGCTCTGACCCTCAGACTGAGGGAGGTGATGGCGTCCATCATCCACCCTGACCAGACCTACAGTGTTGGAAAAAAGTTTGGAATATTTGTCAATTTAACCCCAGCCTCGTGTTTAACGCGGTCTGCTGCTTTCTGGAGAATTATTCAAAGACTTTTTAATGTTCCCGGGTCTCTGTGATATGTTTTTGAAATTCACATCAAACTATTTTGTTTCTCAAAAAATTGTAGGGCGGACACCTCATGATTCACAAAAAGCCATAGAAATAACGTATAAAATCATGAGTCCGTATTTAATAAATAAACGGCTGTAATTTTAAATTGCCACAAAATACGTGGACCATCTTTGAAAGCAACATCAAACATAACAAGACGATAACAACAATACAGTCAGTACTTTGTGTGACCGCCTCTAGCATTGTAAAATGCGCGTACACGTCTGGGCATGCTGGTCACTAGGTTGGTAAGAGTTTCAACCGGGATTTCTCGCCAGCATTGGATCACAGCCTGAGTCAGTTCAGCCACGTTTGTTGGAGGATCATTCACGTTACACGAAACACTGAAGAAAATATTCCAAACTTTTTTCCAACACTGTACTGTGTGCCTGGCAGGCTCATCAGTGACAACGTCACTTTAATTCGAGACATTTTGGAGCTCTCCAGGTCATTGGGTATAGAGACTGGTCTTATTTCCATAGATCAGGAAAAGGCTTTTGACCGGGTTGAACACCAGTACCTGTGGCAGACTCTGGCTGCCTTTGGGTTCAACCCTGGGTTCATAGCCATGGTCCGGGTTCTCTACAGTGACATTGCGAGTGTTCTGAAAACTAACGGCGGGTTGAGTGCACCATTTGAGATCCAGAGAGGGGTGAGGCAGGGCTGCTCTCTCTCTGGGATGCTATATTCAGTTGCCATCGAGCCTCTGCTTCACAATCTGAGAGACAAACTAAGTGGTGTGAGTTTCCCCAGGTGCCCTGTGTCTTTTAAACTGTCTGTATACGCTGATGATCTTATTGTTTTAGTAAAAACACAAAGAGACATTGTCATTTTAACTGACACTGTTCATGACTTTGGTTTTATCTCCTCAGCTAAGGTGAACTGGGGGAAAAGCGAGGCTCTGATGGCTGGAGGGGAGCTGGGGGGCCGGCTCAGGCTACCCGGGGGCCTACAGTGGAAAAAAGGAGGACTCCGGTACCTTGGGGTCTTCCTAGGAGATGAGACCTACATACAGAAAAACTGGGACAATGTCCTAGAGCAGGTTAAAGGTCGGCTGGAGAAGTGGAAGTGGCTACTCCCAAAAATGTCGTACAGAGGCCGAACCTTAATCGCAAATAATCCGGTCTCATCTTCCCTGTGGCACCGGCTGGCCTGTGTCGATCCTCCAGTTTCTCTCCTTCCCAAGATTCAGTCGTTTTTAGTTGATTTTATTTGGGACAGACTCCACTGGGTCCCACAGAGTGTCCTATTTTTACCAAAAGAGGAGGGGGGCCAGGGCCTGGTCCACCTGGCCAGCAGGGGCGCAACCTTCAGGCCCCAATTCATGCAAAAGCTGCTGATGGGGCCGAAGGACACTCTGTGGAGGCCCCTGTCCCGCTGCATTCTGCAGGGTTTTAACAGCCTGGGTCAGGATTTTAATTTGTTTTTACTGAACACACAGAACATGAGCACATCTTCTCTGCCTGCTTTTTATCAAAGTGTTTTTAAGGTCTGGGGCCTGCTGAGGAAGGAGAGGAGGGGCCAGGTGGACTCTATATACTGGCTCCTGCAGGAACCGGTCCTATGGGGGACCCGTCTGGACCTTCCCAGCTGGGCAGGACAGAGTCCAGAGGAAAAACTGCAGACAGCGGGGATCGTCACTCTGGGGCAGGTGGTGGATCTGACGGGACCCCAAATGGACGACCCCTCTGGACTCGCTGCCCGGCTGGGACTTTTATCGATGAGGGTCACACAAAAACTCATAGAGCACTGGAGACAAAGACTCACAGGACACGACCGCCTGCTTTTAAACTCCCCTTTTACCCAGACCGTGAACGAAGAAAACCCCTTTCCTGCCATCTTCCTGGCACCGGATTTTAAAGACTGTTCCGGTCCGCTGTTGGATTTTAACCACCCCGCCCCTTTGGAGGGCACAACTGGGAAAACCTTTTATAAAATCTTGGTGAAAACAATAAACAGGAAAAAACTGAACCAAAGACCTGACACCGCATGGAGGGACTATCTGAGCCTGGCTCCTGAGGCCAGGCCTGAGTGGAGGGCCTTCTATAAACCTCCACTCTCGAAGAGACACGCAGATGTGCACTGGAGAGTCCTCCATGGGGTCATAGCAGTGAACTCTTTTATATCGCACATTAACCCAGCAGTAGAGGACACATGTCCCTACATGTGTCCTCTACACATGTAGAGGACACATGTCCCTACTGCCCACAGAGAGAGACAATTTTTCACTGTTTTTATGAATGTCTGCGTCTTTTACCCTTGTTTCTGTTTTTACAAACTGTTTTTACCAAGTGTGGAGAGGTTTTTAATAAGCGGGTTTTTATTCTGGGTTTTAAATACACACGCCAACACAAGAACAAGTGCCAGCTTTTAAACTTTGTTTTAGGGCAGGCCAAGATGGCTGTGTATTTTAGCCGCAGGAGGAAGGTGGAGGATGGTTTTATTGTTGATCCGGTCACTGTCTGTAAGAACATGATCAAGTCCAGACTCCTCATCGATTTTAATTTCCACAAGGCAGGAGGAGATCTGGACTCATTCCAGCGGGTTTGGGGTTTTAATCAGGCGTTGTGTTCAATAGCAGGAAATATTTTACAGTTTGAAGATGTGCTCATGTAATTTTTATTTATTTATTTACTTATCTATTTTTTGACTCTGTGTGATTGATTGTATGAATTGACCTCTCTTTTGAAAAAAGAGTGAGAAATAAAGTAGATTCAAAAAGCAAAAATTAAATCTCTTTCTTTCTTTTATTCTCTCTGTCTTTGTTTGTTTCTTTCTTTCTTTTATTCTCTCTTTCTTTCTTTCTTTCTTTCTTTCTTTTATTCTCTCTCTTTCTTTTATTCTCTCTTTCTTTCTTTCTTTGATTCTTTCTGTCTTTCTTTCTTTCTTTCTTTTATTCTCTCTTTCTTTCTTTGATTCTCTCTGTCTTTCTTTCTCTTTTATTCTCTCTTTCTTTCTTTCTTTCTTTCTTTGAGTCTCTCTGTCTTTCTTTCTTTCTTTGATTCTCTGTCTTTCTTTCTTTTATTCTTTCTTTCTTTCTTTTTTCTCTCTTTCTCTCTTTCTTTCTTTCTTTTTTCTCTCTTTCTTTCTTTCTTTCTTTCTCTCTTTCTTTCTTTCTTTGATTCTCTCTTTCTTTCTTTCTTTCTTTCTTTCTTTTATTCTCTCTCTCTTTCTTTTATTCTCTCTTTCTTTCTTTCTTTGATTCTTTCTGTCTTTCTTTCTTTCTTTTATTCTCTCTTTCTTTCTTTGATTCTCTCTGTCTTTCTTTCTCTTTTATTCTCTCTTTCTTTCTTTCTTTCTTTGAGTCTCTCTGTCTTTCTTTCTTTCTTTGATTCTCTGTCTTTCTTTCTTTTATTCTCTCTTTCTTTCTTTTTTCTCTCTTTCTTTCTTTCTTTTATTCTTTCTGTCTTTCATTCTTTTTTCTCTCTCTCTTTCTTTCTTTCTTTCTTTCTTTCTCTCTTTCTTTCTTTCCTTTATTCTTTCTTTCTTTTTTTCTCTCTTTCTTTCCTTCTTTCTTGCTCTCTTTTATTCTCTCTTTCTTTCATTCTTTTATTCGCTCTTTCTTTCTTTCTTATTGTCTTTTATTCTCTCTTTCTTTCTTTCTTTCTTTTATTCTCTCTTTCTTTCTTTTTTCTCTCTTTCTTTCTTTCCTTTATTCTCTCTTTCTTTCTTTTTTTTATTCTTTCGCTTTCTTTCATTCTTTCTTTGATTCCCTCTTTCTTTCTCTTTCTTTCTTTGATTCTTTCTTTCTTTCTTTCTTTGAGTCTCTCTGTCTTTCTTTCTTTCTTTTATTCTCTCTTTCTTTCTTTCCTTTATTCTTTCTTTCTTTCTTTCTTTCTTTTATTCTCTCTTTCTTTCTTTTATTCTCTCTTTTTCTTTCTTTCTTTTATTCTCTCTTCCTTTCTTTCTTTCTTTTATGCTCTCTTTCTTTCTTTCTTTTATTCTTTCTGTCTTTTATTCTTTTTTCTCTCTCTCTCTTTCTTTCTTTCTTTCTTTCTCTCTTTCTTTCTTTCCTTTATTCTTTCTTTCTTTTTTTCTCTCTTTCTTTCCTTCTTTCTTGCTCTCTTTTATTCTCTCTTTCTTTCATTCTTTTATTCGCTCTTTCTTTCTTTCTTTCTGTCTTTTATTCTCTCTTTCTTTCTTTCTTTCTTTTATTCTCTCTTTCTTTCTTTGATTCTCTCTGTCTTTCTTTCTCTTTTATTCTCTCTTTCTTTCTTTCTTTCTTTGAGTCTCTCTGTCTTTCTTTCTTTCTTTGATTCTCTGTCTTTCTTTCTTTTATTCTCTCTTTCTTTCTTTTTTCTCTCTTTCTTTCTTTCCTTTATTCTCTCTTTCTTTCTTTCTTTCATTCTTTCTCTTTCTTTCATTCTTTCTTTGATTCCCTCTTTCTTTCTCTTTCTTTCTTTGATTCTTTCTTTCTTTCTTTCTTTGATTCTCTCTGTCTGTCTTTCTTTCTTTCTTTTATTCTCTCTTTCTTTCTTTCTTTCTTTCTTTCTTTCTTTTATTCTCTCTTTCTTTCTTTTATTCTCTCTTTTTTTCTTTCTTTCTTTTATTCTCTCTTCCTTTCTTTCTTTCTTTTATGCTCTCTTTCTTTCTTTCTTTTATTCTTTCTGTCTTTCATTCTTTTTTCTCTCTCTCTTTCTTTCTTTCTTTCTTTCTTTTTCTTTCCTTTATTCTTTCTTTCTTTTATTCTCTCTTTCTTTCCTTCTTTCTTGCTCTCTTTTATTCTCTCTTTCTTTCTTCTATTCCCTCTTTCTTTCTTTCTTTCTTTTTCTGTCTTTCTTTCATTCTTTTATTCTCTCTGTCTTTCTTTCTTTCTTTTATTCTTTCTATCTTTCTTCCTTTCTTTGATTCTCTCTGTCTTTCATTCTTTTATTCTCTCTTTCTTTCTTTCTTTCTTTCTGTCTTTTATTCTCTCTTTCTTTCTTTCTTTCTTTCTTTTATTCTTTCTGTCTTTCTTTCTTTTATTCTCTCTTTCTTTCTTTCTTTCTTTTATTCTCTCTGTCTTTCTTTCTTTCTTTTATTCTCTTTCTTTCTTTCATTCTTTTATTCTTTCTGTCTTTCTTTCTTTTATTCTCTCTGTCTTTCTTTCCTTTATTCTCTCTTTCTTTCTTTCTTTTATTCTCTCTTTCTTTCATTCTTTTTTCTCCCTTTCTTTCTCTCTTTCTTTCTTTCTTTTATTCTCTCTTTCTTTCTTTCTTTTATTCTCTCTTTCTTTCCTTCTTTCTTGCTCTCTTTAATTCTCTTTCTTTCTTCTATTCCCTCTTTCTTTCTTTCTTTCTTTCTTTCTTTGATTCTCTGTCTTTCTTTCTTTTATTCTCTCTTTCTTTCTTTCTTTTTTTCTGTCTTTCTTTCTTTCTTTTTTCTTTCTTTCTTTCTTTCTTTGATTCTCTCTGTCTTTCTTTCTTTCTTTTATTCTCTCTTTTTCTTTCTTTCTTTTATTCTCTCTTCCTTTCTTTCTTTCTTTTATGCTCTCTTTCTTTCTTTCTTTTATTCTTTCTGTCTTTCATTCTTTTTTCTCTCTCTCTTTCTTTCTTTCTTTCTTTCTCTCTTTCTTTCTTTCCTTTATTCTTTCTTTCTTTTTTTCTCTCTTTCTTTCCTTCTTTCTTGCTCTCTTTTATTCTCTCTTTCTTTCTTCTATTCCCTCTTTCTTTCTTTCTTTCTTTGATTCTCTCCGTCTTTCATTCTTTTATTCTCTCTGTCTTTCTTTCTTTCTTTTATTCTTTCTATCTTTCTTCCTTTCTTTGATTCTCTCTGTCTTTCATTCTTTTATTCTCTCTTTCTTTCTTTCTTTCTTTCTGTCTTTTATTCTCTCTTTCTTTCTTTCTTTCTTTTATTCTTTCTGTCTTTCTTTCTTTTATTCTCTCTTTCTTTCTTTCTTTCTTTTATTCTCTCTGTCTTTCTTTCTTTCTTTTATTCTCTTTCTTTCTTTCATTCTTTTATTCTTTCTGTCTTTCTTTCTTTTATTCTCTCTGTCTTTCTTTCCTTTATTCTCTCTTTCTTTCTTTCTTTTATTCTCTCTTTCTTTCATTCTTTTTTCTCTCTTTCTTTCTCTCTTTCTTTCTTTCTTTGATTCTCTGTCTTTCTTTCTTTCTTTTATTCTCTCTTTCTTTCTTTTATTCTCACTTTCTTTCCTTCTTTCTTGCTCTCTTTAATTCTCTTTCTTTCTTCTATTCCCTCTTTCTTTCTTTCTTTCTTTGATTCTCTGTCTTTCTTTCTTTTATTCTCTCTTTCTTTCTTTCTTTTTTTCTGTCTTTCTTTCTTTCTTTTTTCTTTCTTTCTTTCTTTCTTTGATTCTCTCTGTCTTTCTTTCTTTCTTTTATTCTCTCTTTCTTTCTTTCCTTTATTCTTTCTTTCTTTCTTTCTTTTATTCTCTTTCTTTCTTTTTTCTGTGAAGCATCGGCTGGTCTGAAGACAGAAACAACGCAGACATTTAAATTAAACAAGCTGTAACATTTGACTGTGTGGTCAAGGTCATGAAGGAAGCATCTGTAACATCAGTATCATCAAGAAGAGACAGTCAATACATTTTACTTTGAATTTAGTCTCTAATCAGCAGGTTAATTGTGCAATAGAAATAGATTAACATCAATGCAGCACCCTCCATTAAGAATTTATATTTTTGGTATGTCTATTTCAGTCATTTTATTTTATTGGGAAAAAGACTTTTTCAGGATTAAATAAGAAAATCCTCTGTCTTCAGTTTGATAAAAAACTGACTTCCACAAAAGGACAGTGTTTCGATTACACTTAGTGAATTTTTCCCATAATTGAAATTTTAAATATTGTGGTAAAAAAACACACACACTTGATCCATGAAAACATATTTCAGTGGAACATTATCGAACTCTTCATTTTAAAGGCTGTACATAAGACATTTCTTTTAACTTAATTTCATCTGTTTTTGTAACTTTTTAAATAGGTTCAAATGTAATTCTTAGGATTTTTTTGGTTACCTAGGCCTATTAGAGCACTTATACACTGTGTGCACAATTATTAGACAAGTTGTATTTTTGAGGATAAATTTTATTTTTGAACAACTACAGTGCTCTCGGTCAATCCAAAATGTTAATAAACCTCAAACCTTAATATTTAAGGGAGTAAAAGTGAGATTTTGACTTCCTTAGGCGAATATCTATTTGTGCACAATTATTGGGGGCAGCTATTAGTGTGCAGAATTATTATGCAACTAAATGAAAAATGAAAAATTTTCCATCTCACTTGTTTATTTTCACTTGTTAAAGTGAGAATGATAAACAAACAACTCAATTTACAAATAAAAATTGTTGAAGTTTAAAAAAAAAAAAATCAGTGACCAATATAGCCAACCTTCTTTTCATTAACAGTCATAAGCCTTTCATTCATGGAGTCTTTCAGTTTCTTGATCTGTTGACGATCAACTTTTTGTGTTGCAGTAACCAAAGCCTTCCAGACACTGTTCCAGACACTGTTCAGAGAGGTGTACTGTCTTCCTTCACTGTAAATTTCCCGTTTAAGAGGGGCTCACAAGTTCTCAACAGGGTTTAGGTCAGGTGAAGAAGGAGGCCACGTCATTATTCTTTCGTTTTTAAGGCCTTTACTGGCGAGCCACATAGTGGAGTACTTTGTTGCATGCAATGGAGCATTGTCCTGCATAAAAATCATGGTTTTCTTGAAAGATGCAGACTTTTGCCTGTACCACTGCTTGAAGAAAGTGTCTTCTCAAAACTGGCATTGGATTTGGGAGTTGATTTTAAGTCCATCTTTAACCCAAAAGGTCCAGCTAGCTCATCTTTAATAATACCAGCCCATACCAGTACCCCGCCTCCACCTTGCTGGCGTCTGATTCGAAGTGGAGCTCTGTGCCTATTACTGATCCAGCCACGGGTCCATCCATCTGGTCCGTCAAGAGTCACTCTCATCCCATCAGTCCATAAAACCTTTGAAATATCTCTCTTCAGATATTTCTTTGCCCAGTCTTGACATTTCGACTTGTGTCTTGTTCAGTGGTGGTCAGATTTCAGCCTTCCTTACTTTGGCCATGTCTCTGAGCACTGAACACCTTGTACTTCTGGGCACTCCAGGTAGGTTACAGTTCTGAAATATGACTGCACCGGAGGATAAGTGGTTCCTGGTAGCTTTACGTTTGAGTCTTCTAAAATCTTTGGCAGTTAATTTGCGTCTTTTTTTCTTAACACGTTTCTTGCGACCCTGTTGACTATTTGCATCAAAATGTTTGCTGATTCTGTGATCACGCCCAAATATCTAAGCAATTTCAAGAGTGCTGCAATCCCTCTGAAAGACTTTTTACATTTTTTTGACTTTTCAGAGTCACTTAAATCTCTTTTTTGGCCCATTTTACCTGAGGAAAAGAAGCTGCCTAATAATTATGCACACCTTGATATAGGGTTTTGATCTCCTTAGGCCCCAGCCTCCCTCATTACACTAATACACATTACCTGATATGCTTATATCCAATAAGCATTCAAGTTTATACAGCTTGGAGTTGGAAAATATGCATAAAAATGATTATATGATCAAAATACTCACTTGCCTAATAATTGTGCACACAGTGTAAATAGGTCTAACTATTATGTCTTTTTAGTTTATTTTGTTGAATTTTATGATGACTGTCATTCTTTAAAGTTATGAAGGTGTCCCTTATTTTAACACCACATTTCACTCCTTTAATCTGCCTCTTTCGCTGTAATAAGAGTGAAAATAGCTTGTGTTTGTAGTTTTCACCTGATAGCATTGGTTAGTGTAAAAGAAACTGTCAAATAAGTTTCAGACTGACGGCTTTAAATAGCCCAGAAGACATAAAAAATCTCTTAGAGAGATTTTTCACAATAACACGAGCTTTTCTGCTCTTAAGCACGAAGAGTCTTTGACATGGTGGGCAGGACTTTCATGTGATGTCAATGCATCACTTTTAAGATAAACATTCGAACATCTCGACAGTAACACACACAAAAAACGCCTATGTTCACTTATTTTCGGTTAATTTTGATAATGCCTGTCACATTAAAGTCATAAACACTGTAAATATCCATGTCGATGCATCGCTTATCCATCACGAAAGTCTCGACAGTAACACAAGTTTGTATGATAATATTGTCATGAAATCTTACGGTCTCCATGTCGTAGATGTTGTCCTCTTTGTTCAGGTGTTGGTCGAAGGTGTTTTTTCGGAGTCCTTAGTCGTCTGGTGAGGTTTTATTAACGATGAAGCCGTCAAAAGTTGTAAGTTCGTGAGCCACAAGTTTTTCGTGCTGTTCTCTTCAGATTTGATCTTCAGCTTGGTTTGTAATGATTCAAAGTTTTTACATCGTTACAGGTTACCATGGAGATTTAAAATGCTGTTTACTTTAGAAAAACCCTTACACTGGTAGGTTATATCTAAAAGTTTAATATTATCTTTGATTTACTTTAATCTCAATGGAATATAAATATCTCTTGAAGTAAAGTGGATGTTATTTTTCGTCAACTAGTTTAAGAGTATAAAAAGCATTTTAATTTAAAAACCTTCCTTATTTCGGTACAAAACGACCCCTTTTTGAAAACTATAGCTTAGTAGGCCTATGTCTCATAGGTAACCCAACAAAAACTGAAAACTTTGTCTCTCATTATAATTTCCACTGAAGCCTTTACTTCAATTAAATTCAGTCGATTTTCTTTAGAAGGCTTCTAAAAATAGTCTATATATACTCCTATCATATCAATATTTTAGAGCAGTAACTAGATCTGTAAAGCACTTTGTCCCCCTGTTTAAAAAAAAAAACCCAAAAGTTGATTATTGTTATTTGACAAAGCCCATTATAAGGCATCAAAAAGGCCATAAAGATATCGAATTTTTAACTTTAAAAAGTAAAAATATCACATCAGCCTTGAGCCAAAATACCTTTTCACTTGAGTAAAAAAAAGCCTATTTTCATGTGATGGTACTTTATACTAATTCACACATTTTTGTTTAGTTTTGTTTTGTTTGATTTATTGTTGATAATGAAGGCTGCTTTCATTTACTCTTTCATTCAGGGGTTGGTAGAGGCCAAGAGCTGAGACTACCGTCAGAATAACAACAACTCAGAAACTTCTGCTGTGTTTGATCAGAGCTGGTCTGGCTTCAGAAAAGCACAAAGAGGAAATGAACCAAAGCAAGGCCTGATGATGACACAGATCTTTGCTGGTGTATTCAGAGAAACCTTTTTCTTCTTGCTTTGAAAACTGAATTTTTCCTGGCATTAGAGAAACTGTTAGAGATGTGATACTGAGGAGCTTTCAAGCTCACACTGTCTTTACAGATGTTTTGTCCTACAAGCTTTAAATCAGCTCAATCTTATTACTCCAAGGCTTGCTGCTGCAGTAACAAGATTAGCCACAGGATGTCAGTACAGTTCAAATTTATGTTAGACTGGGCCTCAAAAGGAACAGCATTATGAGCCTCCCATGAAAAGGGGGCAAAGGTTAGGAAAAAAAAAAAAAAACATGCTGCAGACTTTCTACATCTCATTTGTTTCAGGTCATACCTGCTGTGTTTCACTCCAAGTACTTTAAAATCAAACATGAAAATCTTTAAGAACTTTCAACAATCTTTAAAGTGTAAGAAAGATGTTCGACTCAGTGAGGAGCCAGTGATGAAAGAAACTTTTGACTGATATTATCTGATTTCCTGGACTGTTTCAAGAAAGTATGAAGGTCATATATTTCCTGAGAGGCTGTCCTCACTCATTAGGCCACTGAAATGTTTTTAAGAATAATTAATCCCAAGAGTAATAAATAATTAACTTAACAAACCCAACTGCAAGTGTCCAGGGTTTAGGCCTGCACAGTTTTTTATTCGAGAGCAGAGAAATGCAGTAACCTCATACCTCATACTAATTTAATTTCAACAATTGAAAGTTCAGTTTTAACTTAAGATATTGTTTTCTTCAGTCAAGCACAAGTTTAACCTGATGCTACAGGTGCAACAGCCCAACTTTGTATCAACCCACCACTTTTAAGGCATTATTGACATATTTATATAATCTTATAGATGCATTTTAAGATTTTAAAACAATCTTTATTAATTAATATAAATATTCATGAGAACTCATATGAATGTTTATGAAGTGTAATAAGCAAAGATGCACTGACAGGGTTATAAATAAGGACTATATGGATGATTAATTATAATTAGCTTATTACCACTGTTAAAAATGGAGAAAGCTGCCCTGCATTATAAAATGTTATTAAACCCAGAATTGCTATCGTAAATTTGATGTAAAGACTAATAAATGATAAATCATACCTTCATAAGGTGTCATATTCACTGTTCACTTGTGTGCTTAATAAACTGCTACAGGTGGTTGTGCTTACAAAGTATTATGAATGCTTTAATAAGGTTTTAAAAATGGGTTTCTCATGCCTTATATATAGTGTTGCAGAAAACAAGTTTGGTCTTTGAGGAGGATTTTCAAAATAAAAGTCTTAAAAGTGACAGTCATGATCTTTCTCCAGAGGGAAACATGTTTTAATTCAAATGCAAATGCTGATCCCTTAGAGTCCTGGAGTAATTACAAGACAATCCGCCCCCCTAAACAGAAACTCCACAGTTTATGATGGTAATTGGCACATTTGCTTTATTTTGAAAACAGACATTGAAACCATTTTCATTTTTTCATATTTTTTCTCACAAGTTTGAACTCCTTGATAAGGTTGAAACTGGACATTGCACTCACTGGAACATGGGAAAAGTATTTTTTGTTTGCTCATTTGTTTGTTTTTAACCTTTTTTACGATTTTTTGTAACATCAGTGCAAGAATATTTTTTTCCAATTCATATAAACTGTCATAACAACACCAAACACATCAAAAAGAAGCCGCCACACCTCTTAAGTTTTTGTGACTGCGAAAAAGTTCCTCTCTGAGGGAGAGTTCCCATCATGCATCTGGTTCGATGGTTCATGCTACTGTTCTCAGGTTGGGCTGGCAGAGCATCATGAAGGAGCCAGTTATACAATCACTATAGAGGATTTCTATAGTTTATAATATGATCATTAAAATGTCAACAGGTCCATTACTGTAAGGGTGAGTAAACAGAGTTTGAAAAAGGAGTGTAAACCCAGCTTGAACAACTCAAGCAGAAAAGAGAGAGAGAGAGAGAGAGAGAGTAATAGTCTGGTAATATATGTGATAATTGAATTCAAGATAGAGCTGCCCAACTGGAAAGGAAACACATCTAATGATACATTCTATTCTCCATACGACATGTCAGTACATTAACTAGCTGCTGTGTTTTCAATACGCTTGTATGGTGTTGAAAACTAGGGTTGCATTTAAAAACCAGCCTGTTTTTGTGCGTGCAATTGCAGAATAACAGATTTAATTTGCAAAATGGGTTTAAAGAAGCTGCATTATGATGCAAAGAAAGGACACTGCATTCACAATGCATTTTAAATGTGTCCAAATCCAGTTGGGAGCGTGCACTCCAACACTGATCCACTCACAATAGATAGTGAAGATGTAACAAACCAATTCCTCCTGCACATCATCCTCATCCTCATCATCGTCATCCTCAAGGTTACAATCTTTCCATAATCACAACATTATCATCATCATCATCATCATCATCAACATCATCATCATCACTTCCTCATAGCATTAGCTTGAGCCACAAAACTTCACGCTGGAAACTCCCCCAACATGAGAAAATCATTGCCACACAAAAAATGACAAACAAATAGAAACGGACTGCCTTCTCGTGGGGGAAGGCAAAGAGCAACCATTTTAGATTTTTGTTTTTGTGTTATTCTTCATACTCTTTATTTCTGCTTTCGTTAGGTGAGAACTGGACTTAGTCATCCTTGGACTCGGTGGCCTCCGCTGCTGCATCCTCAGGGGCGGCCTCCTCTGCTTTAGACTCTTCTACAGCGTCTGAGAGGAGGGGGAGGAGGAGGGGAAGCAAAAATAAAACAGAGGATGGGTAAAAGACGGAGAGAGGAGAGAGGGAGATAATTAGGGCGGGGTTCCATCAAACACTGGCTGAAGATTTCAGACAACAGCTGCAGAATAAGAAAATGGTCAGATACTGTAACATTAAGAAATCATGAAAAATGTGACGGTATGGGCTGAGGAAAGCACGCACAGACGGAGATATGTAGCTCAGTGAGGTTCACAGGATGTCAGTTCTGCTAAGACTGAGAGGACGTCAGTCAGGAGGTGCAATCTGCAGCCTGAAACCCAGCACTGGCAGTGTGAATAATAAAAGAGGAGAGAGCTCCTAATGGACCCATGAAGCATTTGAACTGACATCACAACGCTAACAGCGCCATAGCGGCTTGTCACATTTGATTCTGTATGACGCCCTCAGTGTGCCGCGCTGTAATAACATCCAGAGTGGAGGGAGATACTGCTGAATAACTATCCATGAAAAAACAGTGTGCTCTGAAAAAAGACACTCAAGTAAATCATTTGCAGGGATGATGAAAAAAAAATGTTTTTTTTCTGGTGGAGCATCTGAGCTCCTGGGATTGTAGATGTTTAATTTCATCATTTCTGACCACACCTTTTATTCGTGTGGGCTCAGAGCAGTGAAGTCATAACAGGATGATCTCATACGCCTTTAATAGAAACAGGAGCCATGAAAGAATGACATCATTGCATTGGAGATTAGGGTGAAGGAGTGCATGTGTAAGGGGGTGAGTGCATGTTTGAGTGTCTGTCAGGGACACAGTGGTGGGTTGAGCTTGCTTGGACTAAATGTGTGTGACTCACGGCAGCAGAGTCCTCCAGGTAAGAGATAACTGGCCCGTTAGCTGCTGTGTCAGACTGGAGGATGTCTGTTTCTGAAGCCACTGAACAGTGTGATGCAAATGCAATTTCACCCAATTTAAAGTGCCAACGCTTTTCATTTCTGGAGCTTTAACATCACCTCAATTACCTCCACTGGTGGTACAACAGCCTGAGTGCTGGTTTCATTTCTTTTACGCATTTTTGTGCATGAGATGAATACAGGAAAATTAAACTCAAAATTTGGGAGGTCATCCTGTATCCAGATTTTGCTAACCCAAGTAATCAACTTGCTATTAATTACCTCCTTATTAGCAGTGTCAAGTTAAGTGGCAATGGGTGGCCTGGGCCCCACATGAAATCTGGCTACCTAAAGCTGCTTAACTATAATTTGTCTTTAAAGAGGTGAGACTCTAATCAGAGCATTTTGCAGCATTTAACTTCCTTTAACAGGCAGAAACCTTGAGCAGAACCAGAGTCATATTAGACAGTCATCGACTCAGACTTTGGGCTACACACAGCTCTCTTGCTCAGGCCCAGGTCCACATAAAGGAAGTGTAGACAAGGTAACCACTTTGTCCACAGGAGGCTCCAAACTTCACTGAAGTGTTAGTAAGTGTAATATATGTCTTGTACTGTATGGTTTTTGCTCTTGGTAATATTCAGGTTTCATTTATACAAGAACTACTCCTGTGGTTCTGTGTAAAGATTCTGTGGAGCTGACAGGGTGAGCCAAGTGATCTGGATCACCTAAAAGAGCCTGAATTCCCTTCATGGGGAACATCTACACCGAATTAGTTTAGCTAAGAAGAAAGAGAAAGAAGAAGAATCCAAACCTGCTCTGACACGGTAAGATGGCTCACCGCCTACTTGAGGTAGATCCATAGACTGTATATACTAATTTGAAGCCCAATTGCTCTCTGTATTTCCGGGATTTTCTCCACTTTCTGGAACCACCACTTGCACAGTAATGTTGTACGCATTCAGCAAGAGAGTCGCTGTGATGTCACTTGGCTTAAACAGCAATCTTCGTTTGCCCATAGGCTGTATCATAGAAAACATGAACCTCTAATAACTTTTTAAAATGGAGTTTCACAGAAAAAATAGGACTTGAGCAAAAACCAGTCTTACAGTAACTACATGTCAACATGGGGGAGAGACATTTATATTCTGTTTAATTAATTTCTAAAGTTTGTCCACAGCTCCATAAAGATTGCTGGAGGAGGCGGGATTTATATATGACCTATACTGCAGGCCGTCACCAGAGGGTGCTGTTCTCGCAGTGGCTTCACCCAGCAAGGAGGCAGATGGAGTCCATTCTATATACAGTCTAAGGGTAGATAATACAGACTTCGGGAATTTGAAGATCCAGAAAAACAAGTGGATCTCGTGGATATATATATTGTGCTTGGATTAAATCTTGGTTGGAGGTGGGACCCTGTCTGCAGCAACATGAAAAGGGTGAATGGGTGTAAGTAAGAAGCAGCAGGTCAGAGTCAAACTCAGGCTGCCTAAGGGTTTAGATAGTCTTTCCAGGAAAAAATATCTGTTGACAAATCAAATGTTGTCAGAGATACATTTTCTATTTCCTAATCATTAAACCAAATAGAGGAACTGCTTTTTATATTATTTATTTTTCTGCTCAGTTTTATATTTTTGCATCTCCTGGGAGGTTCAATAAAAGTGCCTTTGTCAATAGTCTGATTTCAGAGGTCTGGTATCTGAGCCTTAATTTCATGAATGGATATTCATTCTGTTTGTTTAAACGTTATGGTATGTGATCATGCATTATGCAAGTGACTATGTACTGTGCATTATGATGCTATGGCATTTCACGCCTCTGTCAGATGTATCTAAAAGGATTCAGTCACACCCTGTACGCTCGGTGGAGAATCTGGATCAACCCCCGGCTGCCTCATCTATTATTCAGTCCAGTCAGAGTACCTGTCGTCCTTGTCCATGTGACTCCAGTCTGAGTGCCCACAGCCGTTAACCAGGTAACTTTGAGGTACGCATTCACTCTCCCTGTTCCAGTTCAGTTGGTAAAGCACGCTGGGTTCTTAATTAGCGGCTCTTGGTCAGGTAATGTTTGTGTGTTTGTGACAGACGTCCCCGGTGCAGATCGTGACCGGTAAGGATCATTAATCATTCATTGAAATCAGAGCACCTGTTATCTCTGCTCTGCTCTGTGCAGGCCAGCTATCCTATCGAGGTGGTAACTATGACAACAGGGAGACAGCGCTGCCTAGGTGACCTAGTTTCCCTGTAGTTCTCCAGTTGGCGTGTGTGTGCATGTGGTGTGTGTGTGTTCCCCACCTCGCACTCCCGCCTACCTCAGGCTGAACACGCTCCATTAACTTCCTGTCTGACCCAGTCTGAGAGTCCATGGACCAGAAATCCCAGTTCATGTCGACAGTGTGTTACTGGTACGCTCTGTCAGCGTAGTAACGTGCTTCTTGTCAGATCAGCTTTTGCACCGTGATTAGATGTGATGTTTAAAACTCTTTCTGATTCTGCTGTTTCGGGCAGTAAATACTCAAAATATTTGACAAAATTTACAAATATTCTGTTATATTTGGATCTTATAAGTTCACCTGATCTCCACCTGCTATCTCCTTTGACTTTTATTCTTGTTATTTGTCGTTCTTGCATTCAATTTGAATTTTTATGCTTAAATTAAATCATATTTGAGGCGATAATGTTAAAGTGGCTGCACTGGTTCTGCTCTCCATAATCCAAGTAAGTTTTAGAGTCAGAAACTTTCATCAGGTCACATGTAAAAAGACAAAAACATCTTATTTCTACATGCAGGTTCATCAGAGGCTAAAAGGAAAGAGTAAGGCTCAAAGAAAGAAGAATTTTCCACACTTTTAAACAATAGGAGCTGAGCTCACTGAGGAGAGTTGATCACACAAATTTCCAGCTTAAATCTCATATATATCGCTCTCATCTTTAGTATATCCATGTCTGGGAAGTTTTCTGCAATGACAGACACAAATATTCTTTATACAAGGTCTATTTTGGTGAAAATATGCCTTCACAAAAAACAAGCAAGCAGTCTACTCTCTAGACTGTCTCTCCTGCGGTCGAAATGCTCAGACTTGTTGACACGCACAACAAAAATAAAAAAGGAAGCATTTGCTGCATGCTGAGCAGGATTACTCAGCACAGCAGACATCGCTCGTGCATGCTACAAAAACAATCAACAAACAAGTTACCAAGAGGCTAAAGGTTTTTGCACCGAGTCTGCTTTTCTTATCTAAAACTGTCATGAATTATTTTTGCACACTGTTTTAAATTCATGATTGTTTTTTAAGCGCCGGCTCGATTCCCTGCGTTTTTGTGATTAGCTCCACAGAGCACTTTAAACTATGTACACCACTGACTGTGATCTTTTCTGATTATCCACAAATGCTAGAGAAATCCTTATATCCTGTATCCAATCATCAGCAGGGGAAACTCTCCTTACTTTCATATTCTGTCTGATCAGGTGTGAATGGACCCCATGTTCTTCTTTTTTAAATGAGTGAAAATTCAAGAAAAACATCCCAACCGCTTGATGGCTCCATGAACAACTTCACAGCTGTGTATCTTCAACAATAGGTAAACTTACTGACTGTTGTATAGAAATATCCCTGCGTTGGTTTTGGTTACTCCTGACCACCTTTAATCTTCATCTGTCCTGTTTCCCTCTCCTCCTCATCAGTATGGAGTTTCCATCTTGCAGAGGCAGCAATTCTAAGCTGTCTAATCTAATATTGAGCTGTGTCTCTGTGTTAACCAGTGAACAGTGGAGCTTTGCCAAATATCTTTAAATCCCGAGACTCCATGAGCAGTTGTTTCCTGAGGTGCCTGCCAAGCAGATGACTGCAGAGCTTACCTATTCTCTTTGTTTAGACTCTCAGTAATTAGCCCCTGATTGGAGATTGTGTCTGGGATTATTTCCTGAACTTAGTGACCTCTCAAACATTTGCTCCACTGAAGGTCTTGATTCAGGGATTTTGAGATCCTCCTGTGTGGGCGTACTTTGTGGATTTTGACGAGTCCTACTCTGATAAAGGGATATTAAAAGCTTCAGTATAATCTGCATACCTTGTTTATCTTTTGTTTGGTTAGGCTCCTCCTTCTCAGCTGTCGGGCTGACAGCAGCAGGCACATCGGCTTGTCTGGCCTCCTCCTCCTTCTTCTCTTCACTCTCCCCCTCCTCCTTCTTTTCCTCGGCTGTGGCTGTGGTGGGACTCTTGGCTGCCGCTGCAGGGGCCTCCACCTCTTTGGGCTTCTCCTCTGCCTTCTCCTCCGCCTTTGGCTCCTCTTTCTGGGGCTCGGAGGGCGCTGTGGCGGCTGTAGGAGAGGTAGCAGCAGGTGCCGCCGCTACAGGAGACGTGGCTGCAGCTGCAGGGGAGTTAGCTGGCTTTTCTGCCACCGGGCTTTTGGCTTGGCTCGTCTCCTCCTCCTGCTTGGCTTCTTCTCCTGCAGCCTCTTCCTCCTTTGCAGGTGCCTCCTCTCCCTCGGCTTTCTTCTCCTCCTCTCCTCCCTCTGTCGCCTCCTCTGCAGCAGCAGGACTGTCGCCCTCCTTCTCCTCCTCTCCGTCTTTCATCTTTTTCCGGGTTATGTGTCCGCGGAAGCTGGCCTGTATTTTGGTGGCAGCCTTGTGGGCCTTGTCCTCGGGTTTGTTGGTGGTGCCATCCTGCTCAATCTTCTGGTCTGCATCCTCGTTCTTCTCCACCTTGCAGCAAAAAAATTACACAACAAGTTAATATCGCCATCAAGCAGATCCACAGCAAACAGATTAGAGCTGCAACTAAACACTGAAACCTGTCAGATACAGTCTGAGGATGATCCCCAAAAGTGTAATATTGCAAACTTAAACTCAAACTGGAGTCCTACCAAAGATAGAAACAGTCCTTCATGGAGTGAAAGGTCAGAAGATGTAAATATGAATGTTATAAGAGAGAAAGGAGAGTTATCATTGGGGTAAAAGTCAGGGTAGTGGGGTTTGCAGACTGGTTTGGATGTAAAAGTGGGACTGGATGAGGTTCAGGGTTAAGAGTGGGACAGTAGAGGATTAAAAGTGTCTCTGTGGCTTTACCTTCAGGACCTGGATCCATACAGAGGCTGTCCATCAAATAGTGGCGTGTGCAATGAGTCATAAAAATCTAATGAAAAGAAATCAAATCAAATAAAGGAATGAATGATGAGCAAACAAAATGAATCAGTACATTCAAACTGAACAGCAAACAAATCAAGGTAAAACATTATCTCAACCAATCAGACGCTTTAAATGTGCCCCTGAAATGAACGTGAATAAGCAACATGAAGCAAACAGAAACCGTCAGAGAGAGGGCATGCAGTGCAGCATCAGTGAGCAGATGATAAAGAGGTGAAAAGCTGCAGAGAGTCAATGAATCTGAGTGTTTCTGTCTGCAGAGGGTTGAGGTGGGTTTACATGACGACTTCTCTTCAGATTAGAAATAGAATAACCAAATTAACACTTAGAATCTAACTCAAACTTTTGCACAGACTCGTCACTTCTCTCCAATGGCTTTAGATCGTGCAAAAACATGATGAAGTGGGGCTGTCACCCTCTCACATCCTAACCTCACAATCATCTGGGTTATTAGCACTTGAACCTCCTGTGAGGGACTCTTTGGCAGTCACGAAACAGAGTGAGGTCCGACCCTAACCCTGAAAGTTTGAGCAAAACTGAAACTTTCAACATCATAAACAGGAGTTAACAGTTTACCACGGTTAGATTAGCCAGAGTCAGAAATAAAGACCCACCAACTATAGGTTTCAAACTGTTTAATTGATTGATTTCGTTGGTCACTGGTCCACTCGTACTTTTTATGACATACAAAAACAAAAGAGATCATCAGTGATGCAACAGACTTATTCTATACTGTAATTCTCAACAACTAAAACGGTTACAAAGGGGTAGCAGACACCATTTGAGCACACACAAGGCAGGATAAAGACTATTTTGTCCACAGGGGGCACCAAAATCAACACAAAGTTAAATTCCTCACAGGAGCTGAAAACAGACCCTCTTTGAAGAAGGAAGCTTTTCTCTGATTGGCTACTGGAAATGTGAAAGTCATATCTGCGATTATGTTTTGTTTAGTTTGGACTTTGCAGTCTACAAGTTAGTACAAAATTTAGCTAGTGTGAACACTACTCGGTGCAACAGTCCACTGTACTTCACACCGACTGGGAGCTTTGAGTGAATTTTAAGTTGCAACTCATTCTTATGTTAAAATCAACTCAGCTGGAGCAACACCAAAAACAGAAGCTGGTGCACATCTTCAATCAGAAATGACTCTCAAACCAGACTGAGTTTGAACCTCTGCAGAGCGGGTGCAGCCCACTGCTGACTGCATCTTGACTGCATCTTGTTTTTCATTGGGCCAAGATTTAAAATATCTCATTGCCAAGTCCTGTTTTTTGTCCTGGTTTTTGGTCATCAAAATATGGTCCCTCTAATCTACATAACACGGTCATAGATAGATTTTCTCTTATATCTATGCACCTCAATCAGACTCAATCTGGCCTTAGAGTTCTGAGCATGCTCTCCATCCTGTTTGTCAATTGCTTTGGTACATAAACCAGGAGACAGTCCATTAGTGACGAGCTGAAAAGGAACATCGACACCTACTGCAACTATGCATGAAAATACACTGACAATTTGAAAGTGCTGGTGTAAACCCACCTACTGACTGGCCTGATGACAGAATAAATGAGCAGCCTTTTCTGATTTCATGTGCTGTAAAGAGAGGATTTTGCAGCATTGTAGTTCTGGTTCTCTGTTTGGAGGCTGACAGATGTGTGAGGAGGTTGATTGTCTCCACTTAGAGGATTAAATTCAGCAGGATTTTTGGAAACCACAGACAGCTCCAGGCGTGTATTTATGTGGTTGTACAGGCGTGAGGCTGATATTGTCCTCTTGATAATGCTGTTGGAATAGATTTGTTGAATAATTACTGAAATTAAGGATTTCTGAATGGCGTCCTCTGCTGACACATTCAAACAGTAACCAGAGAAATGTGAGCCTTCAGATGGAGTCTGTCTCTCTAAAATAATGAGCCTCTATTCTCTGGGTACAGTATCTTTCTACAGCTCCATCTCGGCTGCTAGGGAACGAGCTGCCTGCTGAAGAACTCCTCAGCATTCACCACCATACCCCTCCCAACCATCAAAGGTTACCTTGACAACCAGAGTGCTAACTCATCACTGTGCTGTCTGCTGGTTGGAGCTATGAAAGACTATATGTCACCCTGATTGGCAGCACACCTGACCCACAGGGGAGTGGGCCAATGGGAAATCGTAAATCAGGCAGAGCAATCAGCGTGGTTAAGGAGGGGCTGCTGCGTGCGATGTAGCGGCTGGGTGCGGCGCCGGGCTGGTGGGGGTTATACATGCGTGGATATGTCAGTGAGCAGGAGGATCTTGTTTAAGGTCAGTGAATGTCTGCAGAAAGGGTTTTCAGAGACACCATATCCACTCGTCTCTTTCCTTCTGTCTTTGATAGTGTCGTCTGATTGGATACGAGGCAGACCTGGACAGCCGCCTTGGAGAGAAATCACATCAGTGTGACGTGATTTAAGAGCCAGAGGCTCTAAAACCAACATGTCTTCTTCAGGGTCAGTGTGTCAGTCCAATATTGGAGCGCAGAGGCCAAGGCTCAGCTGTGTGGGTATATTCACCTCCTCCACCTTCATCACATGCCATCCCCAGGGCTCAGGGTGTAAATCCTGCCTCAGGCTTCATGCATTTCTTAATATAAACCATATTCCTGTGGCACTTTGATGTAGCGTGACATCTAAGAACATATTCTGTAATACAGGTTTCTTTTGAAAATCCGCAGCTTCAGTTTTACATCAATGGTTGGTTTCAAATTGTACGTTGCTAAAGTTATGCATAGACAGATTATGCACATTTTTCACTTTTGCACTTTGGATATTTTTCCTATTGTATCTTCATTTGTCTTTTTCTGAGAACAGCAAGTTTTTTTTGTTATTTGTTTTATTTTATTTTTTTGAGATATTTCAGTTTGATGATGTGTCTTTACTGTAACAGAGCATTTTCTTTCAATGGATTAATGAAGTATCTCTCCTCTCCAACCTTTCCTAAAAAGTCTGAATTAGAACAAACCACAGGTGCGGGTGAAGTAAAACCCCAAAGAGAGCTTCTCTACAAACCTTGCCTTTAAAACCTTTAACCTTTGAATTATGTTTAATTTGTTTCCTTTTCATGCAGTCATTTTACATGACCTCCACTCTGCAGGAATGCAGAGGGAGAAGACAGTATCTGCACTGACCTGAAAAGCATTTCATGATGTGTTATTTAAATTGCATCCCTAAAATGAACCAGAATATATCCATCTTCAGTTCTTTTTTGCATCTTTTCATAACACAAGCAGATCTAGTTTAAACATACAGCATCTCCTTCTCTCTGCTTCTCTTAAAGGGCAGGTACCACTTTTGGGGGGCATTTAGGTGAGAACTGTTCTCAACAAATGTTTTTAACCAATAATTATGAAAGTATGAATGAACCTGCACTTTTTATAAAGCTCACATAAATTTAACTTGACACACTGATATATCCGCAGGAGAAATGTGACTCCAAGAGCTTCCACATGAATGATGCCATGCAGAGCAATTTTGGAGTATCACCAGGAACATTTGGGCTCCTGGGACTAAAAAAGGGTCCAAACCCTAGTCTGATATGGTAAGATCATATCACAGACAACGTGAGGAAGATAATACAGTCTACAGTTCGATTAAATCTGCTATGGAGGGTGGATCATGTGATGTTCAACAGGTTTTTCACTGATAACTTCTGTTGATTTTGATTTTGAGTTGATAGACAAACTGAAGTGAGTATTTTGTTAATACATTCACATGCAGTTATATTTTGGATTTAGAGAAATGCTCAGAAACCAAAGTCTAATTAAAAGTTTGTGATTAAGTAGAGGAATTAGTTTTGCCGGTGTCCTCATCCAACACAGAGACAGACAAAGAAAGCAGCACCGCCACACCCTCTGCTCTTAATAATATGCATTTCCAGGGTGACTTATCAGGCTTTTATTGTTTCTGATCTCATGGGTGCTTACAGCTGCCAAAAATTTGACCCAAGCACTTAACTCTTAATAGAATTACTTACTGGCTGAACACAATGAGTCAGACAGAGCCAGAGAAGAAAGAAAGCCATGGATGAGAGTGTTTGGGAATATGAGGGTATGACATCATTATTGGAAGAGAGGGGATGTCATTTACTTTAGAGAGCTGTGTGTGTGTGTGTGTGTGTGTGTGTGTGTGTGTGTGTGTGTGTGTGTGTGTGTGTGTGTGTGTGTGTGTGTGTGTGTGTGTGTGTGTGTGTGTGTGAGAGTGAGTAATAAAATACCAGCAGAGAGTTGAGTGATCTCATATCAGAGTAAGACGGCAGGAGGACAGATCACCATCTTGTTTGGTTTGACCACAATTGAAGCATGAGGATTTGAATTATTGATATTTGTCTGTGCATCCTCCTGAAAAGTGCTGTGCTGTGATTCCTGACTCTCTGAATGAGCCAAACGTTCACTCTCTGATCCCTCACTTTAAACTTATTTGACTGCGCAAACACAGTGTGGTGATTCTTACAGACTGGGACATTAACTCAGTTCAGATGCGTTATTATTTAAGCAGAACCATTGCTCTAAATCCTGCAGGAATGTCCTCCTAAAGGCTCTGACTGCTCAGTGAACCCTGGTCACGTACCCTCCTGCAGGCACTTTTCCACTCTGTGGCTGTGCAGCACACATTTTCATTCATAAATACGGCGGCACCTCCCCGTGGTAAAAGGTACACCCACTTTAAATCTACACCACTATTTCAGCTCCTGCTTAATTAACTCACAGAGAGACAACATATTTGCACTGTTAGAATAACGAGATTACTTATTACAATAAGCCTGCAGTGTTTCCTCTTGGTGCTCGGTTGCCATGGATGCACCACTTCACAAAAATTGTTTGTTATCCAGCAAAAAGTGGGATGTTTGCAATAGAAAAGTGCTTTTCAGGCATGATTTGAAAGCAGTATTATGCAATCCTTCTACAATTATAAAACCAAAGAGGAGAGAGGCGACGTTAAAATGCCTGTTGCAGGAAGCTCCCTCTGCAAAGGTGAGAGATAATCTGTCATCTTTCTGCTCCAAATCTAAATGTGCCAAAGCTCTCAGGTTGATTTATCTGAACAAAAAAGAAAAACACCTCTTTCTCTTCTGCAGATAAATGACTGATTTCATATCTGAGTGTTGACGGTTCTGTCAGCTGCAGCTTTGCGTCTCACTCTGTCCTTGGGTGGGCAACCGGCCGTCGTGAGAACCACACCCGAGAGTGAATGGCTTCACCAGCCGATCCATAACCACACACACACACACACACACACACACACACACACCATCCCCCAATGGTGACACACTGTTACAATCTACCACCTTGCCTCAAAGCCGGGGCCATTAGGGACATGTTCCAGGAGGAGGAGGGGGGTTTATAGTGGTTGAATTACTACAGAGCTACAGTCAACGTTAATGCACACACCAGGCATGCATGAAAACACACTTTTTCTTGTGTTTTTTTTTTCTTTTCTTTTTTTTTTAAATTAATCTGGTCCATTCAAGCACAAGAGCCGCTCCGCCCTCTTCTAAATTAGAGCAGCAGGAAGGAAATAGCCAAGGTATTATGTGCATTGATGGAGTTTTACCTTGCAGAAACACATTAACAGGTGCACCTGCACAATTGAGCACATATATGCATGTATTCAGTTTTGTAAGAGTAATGCAGCCAGAATGAAATGCAAACTCTCCAGACATTTGTCACCACAGTTTCCAAGCATTCACAGAGATGCTATTAGCCACCCTGCTGGTGACACACATACTTCCTCCCTCCTGAAAATCCCGGCTTTATTCCAGCGTCTGTCTGCAATTCTGCAGAAATCATCCAGACACCAAAGACTGGCTGCTGTCTGCTTCTGCTAAACCTCGCTCTCTTTTCTTCCTCTCTCTCTCTCTGTCTGTCGTCTTTCTCTCTCTCCCCCTCGCTAAGCAAACTGCTACCCACTCATTCTCTCTCTCTCGCACACATACATACACGTACAGGCATAGCGGAGCACCACACCCTTTTAGCTGGCTATCTCCTGCAGAAGAGGAGAGGGGGGCTCAGGTGGTGACTGCCACAGCCCCTGCTTCACCATCCCTCCCTCCTTCTCTTACTCTCTCTCTCCCTCTATCTCTCTCTTCTTTGACAGTGAATTGATGAGCGATGTTAAAAGATGAACTGTGTCTTTTATGACAGCTAGGAAAAAAGAGGCGTTGTGCAGCAAATAATAAGCAGCCGTATGCCGGCGTTATTACATCCTCTGGAGCTGCCTTTAATTTAATTACTCCGACTCTCTGCCTGAACAAAGGCTCTGCTATCGCCACTGATCTCATAAGGGGGACGGGCTGGGATGAGGCAGGGCATGTGGAAGTGTGGAGGAGCAGCAGGACTGTAGCTGCAGGGCTGACCGAGGGTCTGATTGGGATGGTGCTCTGGTTTGAAGGTGGGCTTGAAGTGCCAATTTTTGAGAAAGGGAGTGGACTTTTGGGATCAGACTTGGGTTAAATGTTGGTGTCTAGTCCAGAAGATTGAAGCTAGCTGAGACAACGCAGTAAGGAGAACTTGTAGGCATTCAAAGTCCTGGTTTTGGAGGGAAATAGCATCTTTGGGAAGCTCTGGTTTACAGGAGGAGTTGTGTTAAAGACCTGAACCTCTGCTTCAAACCCTGACATGAAGAAGAGGTGTCTTATTTGGAGTGATTTTCTTTAAAGCTGCATAAAACTAAAGCTAAAGCTGCAGGCAGGCAGGGGCTACTTGAGGAGCTCTTAATGAAGTGCTGGTAGCCACTCCCAAAGTGAAGATGTTGCAACATTTCTGAACACCTCACAATGGCAGGACCACCTGCAGCAGGTTTCCTTTGTTAACAGCAGAGAAAGAAGCTCTGTGTTTGCTGGTGAAGACCTCAGAGTCTGTCTGGATTCATTTCTGCTTCTGTTCAGGAGGGAAACCGCTGAGGCCTGGAGGATTTTCTTTGCTCACACACAACAGCGAGAGTGTTCGGTGGGAGAAGCCGGTGCCTCACCCACATGGCTGCAGTGTGCAGCATGCTGTCTTCCTTTCCTTTGATTCCTCACCTTTACGGTTGCTCAGCCGCTCCTCCCTTCATCTCTGGCTCTCTGTCACCTACTCAGATCCTGCCGGTTGGAGCTGCCATCCAGTTTTGTTCCTCCCTTCTCTTTCTGCTCTGCCTCTCCCTACCTTCCCCCAATCCTTGCAGCCGCTCTCCTGGTTTTTCCTCCTCGCCACATACCTCCTCCTGCATCTTCCCTCATCTACCTCCATGTGCACTTGCTTCACTCCACCCTGCTGCTTGCACCCATCTCTTCAAACTGGCATGCTCATGCTTTCGTTTCCTCCCTCCTGCCTGCCAGAGCTCATATGACTCATGCAAGGCAACATTTTTGAAGCAGACTGATGTCGTCAAAATCTGAAGTGATAGGAATCTGATAAAAATCATAATCAGCTGAAGATAAAAGCAGAAAGTCTCTGATCACACACGAACCACCACCATAGCAGCTGATAGAGGTCCACCCCTCTCACTCCGCCGTCCAGACCCACCCGCTTCCATGCAACACCTTCTCTTTTTTTTTTTTTTTTGGATTTCTCTGCCGCCGACACCACCCTTTCACACCCTTTAAACAAGTGCACACTTCATAGTACCCTCAATTGACAGCATCCACTTATAAAGCTGGAGGGCTATGATAATCCATTTAGGCTCATTTATTCCCATTGTACTCCCCAGAGGCCACTGACATGATGGTGCTGCTCACTCAATCTGTACCCCGCCCTTTTTTTTTCTCCTCTCTGTGGAAATTTACTTTCCTGTGTCACCCAATTCTGCACAAGACAGCAAGAAATCAAGAGAAAGACCCCTCCGTAAAAGGGCAGCTGTGTTTGTCCCGTTATTATAAATCATTACTGAATTATTCTGACTTTAGAGAAGAGGGGGGAGCCCTTTAGCTTCAAAAAACCCGGGAAAACACAGAGTCTTCCAAGTGCCTTCCAATAAACTGTCACTTTTTAAGTGCATGATCAATATGAGGGCATGCACAAGTCCCCCAGATCCAGTTACAGTCTGGTTTCCTCCCAGTACAGTGTGAGGTCTGAGAGGCATTGTGGCAACATCCATTCATGCGGGATAATCACATTAACTAGGCGTGTCTGGGCTCTGAGGATAGACTTGTAGAAAGAAAAGCCAGGCCCAGAGTCAGAGCAAATGACAGCAACATCTCCTCTAATCCCTCCTCAAACAGATTAATCAGCAGGAGGGACAAAGTTCAGAGTTCACAGCATCATTTAGTCACATTAAGAAATGAAGAAGAAGAAGAAGAAGAAGAAGAAGAAGAAGAAGAGAGAAATGAAGCAGCTTGTTACCGGTTTGGTTCTTCTTATGCAGCACAGCATAGTTGTAGTTGTTGTATCCTCCCTTTCTCTTCTCTGCTTCTTTCTTCCCTTTTTCCTCCCTTTCACTTCTTCTCTTCTCTCACCCTCTCTCGCTCTCTCTCGCGCACTCTCTCTCTCGCTCGCTTTCGTGCACACACACTCTCTCTCTCTCTCTCTTTCTCTCTGGCTGTATCAACAGCTAAGTCGCCGGGTGCATTTACTCATCCCAGTTTGCACACACTCGCTCTTCAGTCGCTCTGCCTGGGCACACCTCTCTCTCTCTCTCTCCCTCTCTCTTACACGCAGCCTGACAATGACTGCACGCCTACCCTTTAAACCCCTCCCTTTCCCTCTCTCCTCCTCCTCCTCCTCCTCCTCCTCTTCTTCTTGCTCATAGTGATGAACCCCCCACCTCTTTTAGATCAGCACTCCTCTCTTCTACATCTTCTTGCCCCCCCACCCCCCCACCCAATCTTCCTCCTCCTCCTCCTCTTCTCTTTCAGCCTGCCTCTAGCTAAAGCAGCGGCCCCACCCTGAAAAGACTCTCGCTTAATGACTGGCTGGAAACCTCCATTTTTCCACTCATAATTTATTTTTTGGTGCTTTATTTCATTCCTCTGTTGAATCCCCTCCCCTTCCACACTGAGGGAGGTGTCTTTTCTTTTTTACAGAAAGCATCTCTCTCAAACTGAAGTTGCCTCCTCTAAATGCTTAGTCTCCCTCTCTGAATGTGTGTTCTGCACTCTTCTTCTTCGGGTCTGTGATTAGTGCTGTGAGCCTGAGAGCTCTGCGTCCAAATTGCCACTGCGATGCCAGAAGCATGTTTTCTGGCACAGCCAGGAGCGGCTCCTGCCAGCAGAGACGTGTGAAAGAGAGCACTGATGATTCGCATGCTTGCATTTGTGCATGCACACACACACACACACTCACAGTTTGCTCTCAGGACACGTCACCCACACCACCACAAACCCCCCTACCTCCCCCCATAGCCAGCGCTCTCTGTTCTCATGGAAACACCAGCAGATAGACTAGAAGAGCTGAGGAGGAGGAGTGTGTGTGTGTGTGTGAGAGAGAGAGAGAGAGAGAGAGAGAGAGAGAGGGATGGAGAAAGAAAAGGATGGAGGTAGGAGGAGGAGGAGAGCCGGGTGTGGCAGACATGCAGGCAAAGCAAACTGCCTCTTGTTTCCTCCCTCCCTCCCCCCTTTTTTCCTCCCTCTGTGCCCACATTTGCACACAGTCTGGTTTAATGAGCGGGCACAGCGCATGCATTATCCCCACAAACTCCATCTATAACCATTACAGGACAGAGAGGCTCGCAGGCCCAGGCTCATGCAAACACCCACACTCTGTATTTGTCTCTCAGAACACACATAAACAAACACACGCACACATACACACACACACACACTGTAGTGTCAGAAGAGTCCCCACCCCCGCACTGACACCGGTACACTCCAGCAGATGCTACAGACACAATGAGGATAAAAGAAGGGATGGAGGAAAGGGGGATAGACCGAGAGAGAAGAACAGTCCTGAGGGGTTGTGTTCTGCTCCTCTCCCCACTTGCAGGATAATTCCACATCCACTTCACTAAGGGGAAATCATTAACCTGCACCCCTGAGCCTGAGCCTTGCAAGGTGGTCTCTGTGCCGCCACACAGGACCACGCAGCAGCCTTACCGAGCTGCACTACATCATCACTGTGTGTCATCAGGCTCTATAGCACAGCATATGACACAGATGCAGAAAGAGAGAAGCTTCTGCTGAGTGTGCATCCTCTGTCCCAGTATGGCCTGCTTTACTTTTACACACCTCTGCACATTCATACAGCTGTCAGGGATCAGTCCCTGCTGGGTCACAGACCCAGAAGAACCTGCTGATGAATGTTGTGAGTCAGAAAACTCTGATTCTTTTCTTTGGTTTTATGTAGTTATCACGCACAGAAAAAAAGGAAAAGAAGAAAAACAAAGACAAACATCATCTTCAATTAAGCAACTTCTGTTTCTCAAGTCCTACTTGTTTGAAAGAGTTCAACCTGAAGGAGATAGTTCCTGCCAGATGAGGTCCAGGAAGGATGAACCTGTCAGCTGGTTTCAGGGTCATGGCGGTCAAGGATGAGTGGGGCCTCAGTGGACCAATCAGAGGAGACTCTGAAGCTTAGTCTACTGGGAAAGTTATAACGGGTTAACAGATAAAACAGAATAAAACCATATTCATCCATCCACCCTCATTTCATTCAATTCAATGCAACCACCTTCCATGTTTTATGTCTCATTAATCAATTCATTTATCTGTTTAGCCAGTAATCAACCCTGACAATCATTCATCCATCCCTCCATCTATTAATCCATCTATTTATTCATCTATCACTCCATCAATTCATTCATATGCATCTCATCTCTTGATTCGTCTGACCCCATTCACACATCATCCAAGCATCTGTGCCTCTGTCCATCTCTTCATCCCTTCATCTACTTATCGAACTCCTAGTATAGCAAACATTCACCCATCTATCATTCTATTTCCTTCAACCATCCAGCCATTAATCTATCAGTCCATCCCATAGACTGTATATGCTATGGACAACTTGCCTCCGCCATTTGAAGCTGAATTGCTCTCATTATTTCCGGGATTTTCTCCACTTCCTGGAACCACCACTTGCGCAGTAGCCTTGTACGCAGGACAGTAGAAGAGAGTACAAGAGACTCTCGGCGGGGGAGTCGCTGTGATGACGCTCTGCTATCCCCCAGGTGAGCTACGCAATCTTCAGGCTGTATCAAGTGTCAATCATAGAAAACTTGAACCCCCTGATAACTTTTACAAACTGAGCTGTACAGAAAATAAGATTTGAGCACGAACCAGTCCAAGAGTAACTACATAACAACATTGCAAGCTGGGGGGAGAAAAATTTATATTCTGTATAAAAAATTTCTAAAGTTTGTCCACAGGTCCATGGGGATTGCTGGAGGAGGCACAGCCCATCACCAGAGGGTGCTGTTCTTGCAGTGGCTTCATTCAGCTTGGAGGCAGGCAGCCTCCATTCTATATTCAGTCTATGGTCCATCCATACATCCATCCATGCATCTATGAATCCATCCATCTATCCTTAAGTCCATCCATCCACTCATCCTTACACCCATCATTCTTTACTCCTCTCTCAATCATGAATTCCCCATTCACTTACTCAGCCATCACTCATTCATCCATTCATCTTTCTATCCATCCATGTTGAATTCATTTAATTCCATCTCCTTCCTCACGTGTCTCTTCTTGTTCAGATATAAACACAATAAATGATTCATCCATTAATGATTCCATCATTTGATTATTCATCCATTTTTAATCTATTCAATTATTCATCTTACATTAAATTTGATTGAATCAAGTGAATTGATTTGATTTGTTCATTTGTTCTTTCAATCAGAGTGTACAGTGTTCAGTCAGTGAAGTGTTAACCAAACACCAATATGTCGGGTTAACATATGATGAATAAACTAATCAATTACAAATACAATCGATGATGGGGACTGCAGTAGAGCAAACTAAAATAATTTATATTTTCTCTTAAGCCAGTCATCTGTCTATGACTGTACATGATACTGTTATATGAACTGAGAGATTCTGATCCAAAAGCAGACGATGAACTTCCCCTCAGCTGTGTGTTGCTTTAAAAGCTTACAGCATCATACCAACCCACTTAAAATCAAATCCCTGCTCTGCTACAAACCCTTTAGAGGAGAAATGAAACAGCAACACACTGGCTGACAAACGGTCTGGGTTGTCTAAATGAAAAATAAAAGTCTAAACGCTGAAATCCCCCTGAGCCGAATCAAACCGAGGCCGGGTGAGAAACAGAGCTAAAGAAACAGAGAGTGTGCGAGCGTGTCTCTGAAAATGATCCATCCTCTGGCAGCGGGTTGGCCAGCAGAGGACTGTTAAGTGACCCAGCCTAACATCTTGGTATGCTAATGTAGTCCACTTACGAGATTTTCCTGTTAAGCAGCTGAATGTGAATATCTGAAACCACAGAGATCAATACTGTCACACCGTCCTGCCTGTGCCCAGACATGTTAGCACTCTGTCACAGCCTGCAGCTGTTTACTGTGATTACAAAGTCGGCTTTGCTGGTTAAAGTGTGCTCTGTTATTAAAGATGAGGTCTCTAAAGTGGGGCTCTCGGTTTATTATGTTTTATCACTTCAATACTACCTGGAAGAATTTATCACATACTCAGCTTCCCCTTTGGTGCAATGTTAGCTGTCTCACTTTTGGTAAATAGAAAATAAAGCACATCAGGTGTTGCACCAGAAGTAATTTGGTCCTCAAACAGGTGGTGAAATATAAACTGTGGAGGACTGAGGATGAAGCAGCTAGCTAGCTTATAAAACCACTGAAGTCACAATGCTGCAAGTTTGAACACTTAGAAGCATTTTAGCAACAAAACAGCAGAATTTATCAGCCACACTGTGATCCCCCATGTAGGGTTAAGTGATAATTTATGCCTCTCAATAGATAATTACATGCAAGTTATGCTGAAAATCCATTTTTAAAGGCTGGTTTTAACACTGACTGCATCTTCTCAGGCTGCCAGTAAGACTGCAAACAAAGGCGATGTAAAGATTTGGCCGTAAATCCATTATTGCTAATTGCCTGCTGCACTGAGAGCTCTGCAGAGTAAGCCATAAAAAGGAAACAAGGAAGTAAACCGTGGTTTACAGAGGCTGTATCATAGTCAAACAGAGTAACAATGAAATCTGTCTTCCCTCATTAATTCATGTAAATTTTTATGTGTAACCCTGATAAGAATATAAACCATTTGGTCTCATCTACTCAATCTAAAACGATTTTAGTCTTGATTTCTATCTTTTTTTGTCTTGAAATTAAAAGCTGAATGATGGACAGGAGATGGAAACAAGCTGCAATCTCTTCATGCAAAACATGAGTCACAACCATAGACTGCATATACCATGGACAACTTCGCCCCGCCTTCCCTCATTATACGAATTTGAAGCTGAATCGCTCTCAATATTTCCAGGATTTTCCCCACTTCCTGGAACCACCACTTTCGCAGTAGCATTGTATGCATTCAGCAGGAGAGTTGCAGAGAGTTGCTGTGATGATGCTCAGCTCAAAAAGCGTATCCCCCTGTAAGCTACGCAATCTTCATATGCCCATAGGCTGTATCAAGTGACAATCATATAAAAATTTATATTCTGTATAATTGATTATAAAAGTTTGTCCACAGCGCCATAGGGATTGCTGGAGGAGGTGAAATGTATGACCTATACTGCAGCCCGTCAACTGAGGGTGCTGTTCTCACAGCGGCCTCATCGAGAGATGAGGCAGACAGCGTCCCATCGAATCAAACCACATTGATGAATAAACAAATAAAAGACTGTGCAATTTACTGTGCTGCCACATTTATAGCAGTACATTTTACAATGTTGAAACTTGGTAAATTAATTCAATTATTCAATTTATACCATAAAAAAAAAAATTAAGCAGAGCTGTGATTACAAAAAAAAAAAAAAAAAATCACTGAGGCTCCTGGGAAAGCGAAAGATCGTCTGTACACAAACTACCATGTAGTGTGTTGTTATCTCTGCTAGCAATGCTGACAACATACAGAGCTGACTATTCAACTTGTAACAGGAATGCAGTCAAACAGGACCGCCATTACCAGCTCTGACATTCAACGCCTGAGGTGAAAAGTACATCATAACTTTGAGGTCAAAGCTGTGTAGAAAGTAGTACCCCCAAGCTGTGACTGACTTTTTATCAGGATGAAAAGCAGCAAACTGCAGCGTTACACTATCCCAAAAATACAGAAAACTGTCTGTCCGTTCAGAAGAAATTTTATGTATTTACAGTATATAAATAAAATCTGATCATCAATCTTATTCTAACCTTTACTCTTTGCTTCCTCAGAACCAAAAATGTAATTTTATATTCTAAAAAGAGCATTCAGTCTGCTAATGTTTGATTTTTTAAAAGACATTTCTATATTTTACCTCAAACCTCTGTGGTCTCAGGATCAATAGTTGTTTTTTTTTCTGATAGGTGTGTTGATGGAACACTCTGGAAAAGCCTGACGGGCAGTGTGAGCAGGTATTTGACTTGTCCTGTCAACAATGTTTTCAATGGACTTCAACATAATTCAAGCCTGAGGCTGATCACTAATGACTGCTCAGATTATTGAATCATAGAGAGGCAGATTGATTGTGTGAGTGCACACTCATCAGGAGTGTTTACTCTACAACTTAACAACAGGAAGTGATAAATAACCTTAAAGTGTTCTAATTTTGCTATTAGTTGTCTTCAGATAACTTTAGAGTATCTGTGAACCTTCAGTTTTCAACATCCAGTTTATTTACTGCGACTTTTGCAGCACTCGATGGCTCTCTTGCTTTCTGTCCCCTCAGAGTGAACTGACGTTTCAAAGGACTGCGACCTGTAGGAAAATGAAAGGGTTTCAACAGACTAAAAGTGGTCCAGGTGTCCTCTCAACGCTGCATGACCCCAGACACAGCTGCACCCACTCTGCAGGACACAGATGTTCCATCACTAAGAGAAAATTCACAGAGTATTTCCAGGACATATCCAAACTTTCTTTTTAACACATCTTATAGATTAGCATTGAGGCACATACTGACATTAAGAGTGACAGGAACATTTCAAGACGGAAGCCGAGGTCAGACCACACCATCTTTCTGTCTGTGAAAGATTAGCCGATCACAGATTTAGCCTGCAAATGGAGTCAGTGTGTGTGATACTTGCTGTATTGTGTTCAGAAAAGCCTAAACAGGACCAAAAGAAAACCGGCTGAGTTTCTTATTTTGTCTGCAGGTAGTGGACCAACAAATTCCTTTTACTCAAAACTATTAAACATGATTAAATCTGCTAAAAATTAAACTTAATAGTCATGTTGCATTTCCTCAGCAGTTGCAGGGCAGTAGCCAAATAAGCAGAAAAACATCCACAGAAAGGCAAAATACCTTTTCTCACTGTTTCCTGTACTTTAAGTCCAGCTACTCCAGACTGCTCTCCACTGGGCGATGCTTCAAACATGCTCCCAGTAGGCCACAGACATGCTGTCAGACAGGGCAAAACTGTGGCATAAATTTAGCTCGCCTGCTGGCCTCCGCAAGGTGACGGTGACACATCATAGAAGCAGGGGTTTTGTTTCCAGAGCTCAACAAACACTTCCTCTGCCTCATAGTTTTACTCTGTGGCTTTACATTTTTTACTTTGCCGTTTGTTTGTTTACATGCAGAACACATCAGAAAGCAGAAAGAAAAACCAAACATGCTGAACTTTCTGTCAAGAGCAACTGCAGAAGCATAAATGATTGCAGTTCATTCAGTGTCCACTAGAGGCTGGCTGCAGAAGCAACGGAAACCACACACACACACTTGTGCTAAAAAGCCAATTTTCACAACAGAAATACACGTTTTACAGCTCAAACAGGTATTCAAGTCTAAATGCCTAAACTCTCTCTCTGCACACAATATAAGAGGAGTTAATGTTTAAATGCATTTGTTTTTTAAATTACAAGTTTTGCAGTTTCAGAGGCACAGCTGTTCTAAATGACAGGTGTGTACACAGTTAGCGAGGAGGCTAAAGGCCCCGCCTCAACTCCACCTCTTTGCCTCATGGTAGGTTAACAGAAAGTTAGGCCGAGTCAGCATCTTCACCACGGCAATTGCTACCAAGAGACTTTACCTGAGAAAATGGGTGACGTCAAAGAGTACATTCATCTTTTATATTGTCTGTGGTCTGGAGGTCAGAAAGCTGTGAGGTCATTTGTCATTCAGTACACACTAGATGATTGTAGACCAAATTAAACAGACTTATAAATAGTTTATAACATGTTAAACATTTCTGTTCTGCTAAAAACTGTGCAATACACCTTTTAACTGGGATGTTCAGCTCATCAGATATTCTTAAATAGTAGTTTTACCATGCAGCATCAAGAAAAATAACTGCTAGCATGCACCTGTAGTATATAATCTGCTAATGACAACATGTTACTGGAATAACATAATGTAAATCTATCATTGTCCAGACCAGTCCCAGCTGTCAGCTGCATATTTCCCTTCAACAACCAATTTCTTCTTTTTCGGTGTAAGGTCATGAGGAAGCTGTTGCCATGGCAGTTCAGATGAAGCAGGAATGATAATTGTTTGACTACAGCGGTGTGTGAATTATTAAAGCCTGGAGGACATGAATGAGCTGAGTGAAAAACAAAAGAAATAAGACAGAATGAGGACTTATCATTCGCCGGGTTTCATTGGCCCCTTTTCATTAAGTCGTTTGATGACTCTCCAGTCTCACGACTGCGTAGATGAAACAGATGCTGCCACAGTTTATGAGAGAAGCCCACAGACTCCAGCATGTCCTTGCAGATTTAAAGGAATATTCAAAAAACATTTATGAACGATCAAACCAAGAGTCAGCAGTGCGGAGATGATGGCCGTATGCTTCCATCCTCACTAACATACTGTCTCAGTTTAATAGAGGCCTACAAAGCTGATCTGTATTTAGAAATATAGACTCACAAAGCTGGAAGCCCAAAAACCTCTGCAGTGTTTAAGACCTGTAAAACTTTAGTTTGTGTCCCAGGCCTTATTTTTATTTGGGCCAGGCCTTCATTCACTTCCTCATGAAGTCTTCTCCAGGCAAACTGGAGAACATGATCTTGTGATCTTATTCTTCATTAGGAGCTTGGAGTCTTTCAGGCTGGGTATCTTCTAACAGAAAAGTGGTCATGGAGGAGAAATCTATCAGTCCAGCTAGCTCTTGTGGTGAAATCGTCTCTGTCCCCGTGGCGTAGATTTATTTTACCTTTAGTCTGATGTTCTTGAATGCTGCTTACTGTAAACCTACTCACATATTTTCAGCCCCAGCTCATCTCTAGGTTTCTGGCCTTTTCGTCATCATGCTCGGAAAGATGCCGAAAATCAGATTGATGTTTTTGTCATTCTTTGACTCCTATTGGGTCAGCAGAATAACAGTAAGAAGACACTCAGACGATGGCATCATTCCCAGATGTGTTTTCCACCTTCTCTGAAAAGCTTGTATCCAGGATTTTGCAGGACTTGGCCTGAGCCCAACATCATGCTTGGCCCCCCCCACCCCACCCCCCGGACGCTGGAAGGAGCATTTTTCTTTCTATCCTTCCCTCCTCTCTGCTCTTTGTTGGTTCAGTCTGTCTCTGAACTTTTCTTTTGGTTAAAACAAAGGCTTATACAAAACAGCTGGAAGTTTGGATGTTTTCAGGACACCAGCAGCCACAGTGTAGCTTTATTTGCCCGCTTCTTCACTGTAACTCCTTTGTAAACAAAGGCTGGTATGAGTTGGATTAGAATCTCAGCTGATTATCAATAAAAACCTTTAAGAGGACTCAACACCTGAGCTAAAAGGATAATTAGATAGTGGGCCTAAGTGGGCACTGATGACTAACCTCAGACATTTTTTGTTAAGGCACAACTTTTGGGGTCCTTTTTATGACTACAGAGCTGTGTAAAAAGTAACACCCCCAAGCTATGACTAACTTTCTATCAGCAAAGTAGACATGTGTAGCGCAGAACCTGAATAGAGATGAAATTAGGGTTTTTAGAGACACCAGTATGAGGTAATTACGGAGCGTTTTAGAGCTGCTAATCATGCTAAGCTACTTGGCATAAAAAAGTCATTTTGTCATTGCTGGAAGCATCTGTTTAAAAAGTCCTGTTCATCCCCCATAGAGCAGAAAAATCTCTTCTTGAACTATTTATTCAGGCAGACATGTACAAACAGAGCAAAGCTGTGCATCCAAAACAAAGAACCTCATAAAAAAGCAAAATAACCTCATCCATGGAAGACTGTTTCAAAAGTCAGATTTTCCCCGAAACATACCGAGTGATTTTATGACATGTTTACAGCTGAAATAATGACACAGTACAGGGCTGTACAGGCTCTGAAAATATCAAACATAATATTTTGCATAAATAGTTCCAAGTTGTCACATTTGATGTCCAAAATCAAACTAATAGTTTTCTGTCCAAAGATAAAGAAATATTCCAACAAAGACATCAACAACATTCAGACAGCCACTGTGACAAAGGCAATAAATTAGACAACACGTTATTATCTCCTTCACAATAAAGAAAGTGACACATGTAAATTATCAGGACATAAATATAAACATAGTGCTCCTCTGTGGGTTTGCATGGGCATGCAGAGAGTCAGACTAACCTGCTTACCTGTGCAGACAGAATAAGCTAATAAGGTCGAAAAAAGAATTTCAGAATAAGAGCCTATGTGTCCGTACATCTGGCTGGTCTAAGAAGCAGGGGGCAGGTCTTTAAGAAAGACTGGGAAACTTAAAGGCATGTAAGAAAAAAGTAAACCTGACAACGGACATATTTTATTATAAATACAAAAGTTTGAGTTGCATGTTTCAGACTGTTTCAAGACAATCATACGTTACTCCGCAGAGCCTCTTTCACTTGGTTGACTGTATTAGGAAGACGTGAATCCAGAATCAGTTCACATTCAGCACCTCCTATATTCAGAGCACCAGGAGGTTGAGATGATGCAGTTACACCTCCCAACCAGCAGGGGTTCTCTAGCACTGAGACTCAGCATAGCCTTCATCCAAAGGGGGCCTCTTTTTTAGGTTATAGTAACCCTCTTCATCCTCCGAGTCCTGGACAGACCAGAAAAACCAGACAGTTAGATGATGCTACACTCAGAGAGACACAGACACGCACACACAAACACACTCAGTGAGATCCAGACACTAAACAACTTCATTGGAAAAATCAATATTTTATAAACCTTGAGGTCCTGTCAGCAGCCATAGAGGCCATGTAAAATTAAAGGTGAAGTGGATTTAGCAGACGTGACTCATTGAGTTATTTATGGGTCTGGAGACAGTGAGGTATGAAGAAGCGTTCAGTACTGTACCATGAGATATAGGTCACAGCAGGAGGCTTTCTTTGCTTTATCCCCCGATGGATGCATGCTGTACTCCTCTCTGGTGGAAACAGAGCAGATCATGAAAAGTTAGTTATGACTGCAATAGAACAGCTGCCCCAAAAACCCCTCCACAAGCTCTTTTTTACCCAGTTAATTACGAACGGCACCCAAGCAGGACACAAAGTATTAGTGCAGAGAAATAACACAGATGTAATGATACTAGAATAGAACTAAACACGATAAATCCAGTCAAAACAGCTCTATCTATCGTATATTTGTGCCACGAACAAGCTAGAGCATCTGATTGCTCAACAGATCTAAACAAAGATGGTGGCCTCTACCTAGAAATGTCACTCTTTCACTCAAATTCATCCATAAATCATCTTAGATTTATTTTCTTTTTTTTTGTTGGAGGGACTGGATCTGGACAGTCTCTGTAAATACACTGATCTTCTTTGTGGGATAGAAAATATCCTGGATGTTGCAGAAACACACTCAGCCGGTCTCACAAAAGGAGTGGATTTTACAGTGAATTGGTACATACATAAGTTCTAATTTTAGGACTGATATTGTAAACACAACAGTGTCAACTCAACCTCATTTACAACTAAACCTGAATGTGAGACAATCCCACTTTTTCCAGTTGCATTTCAAGGAAACTAACGACTTATATTGGAGTCAGTGAAGTGGTTTTAGGAGGTCTGAGTACAGAGAGAAGAACAGAGACGGGGGTCATGCTGCAGATTAAACAGAAAACATTAATACACTAAATTAATAACCCTGACAAATAAATATTGTAGCTCCAAACAAACAGTGACTGATGTTCTGCTCGGATAATCAAAAAATCTCATTAATTGGCCTGACACAAACTGAGCTGCTGCTTTTTGTTTAAACTCCCCAGACCATGTACTCCATAAAGGCTGTTGTGTTTTACAGTGAGGCTCTGGTTTGTTTCTCATTTATATTCCTGTTTCACATCAGTCACAGCACAAATACCAGCTCCACTGTGAGTCAGACCGCAGGGAGGAGACTGCAGAGTCCTGAGCAGTCTAGAGAGCTGATCACTAAGGGTTCAGCTCTTTAGGCAACAAGCTCAAACTCTGCTTTAACCTTTCTCATATTAGTCCCTGGGATGAACATTAACAACCATCAGAGCCTGCCATGAACATTATTGCCCCCTGGAGACCCCGAGGAGTCACTGGTTGAATAAATCCACTCACCCCTCTGTGACCTCAATAGGCGACCTGTAGGACCTTGATTGGTCGCGCCGCTTCTTTGGACAGAGCATCCGCCCAATCAGGATGAGGGTGATGATGGCTGAGGGGAGGAGGATGAAGGCCAGGAGGACCGCGACATCTGAGAAGCGAACGCTGGGCGCTGGGAAAGGAGGATATAAGGTTATTAGAAAATCATTGATGGGCTGTTTATGACCACACTTACCATAGACTGAGGAAGACTCCGCATTCAGACATGATATTAAGCTGCTGACTAAATGATTGAATAAAAAAGCCTGGTCACTACTAATTTGTCTCCAACAGCTGATCAGGAATATGTTGTACGAGATGGATAAACAGATTGGGACTTTTAACATGTGGTTTGATTCTGTGGGTCGAAAATTTACTGTAAAACCTGTGAAGTCAGAGCTGACACAGAATCAGACTTTATGGACTTTTCTACTTCCTCTAATTCATCCAAAAGAAAAAAAGTTCTGCCAGTTCCCTGAAATCAATATCAATGAGCAACCTCTGAGTCACGTTTTCCAGTTAACTGTTAGGATATTTAAAGAAAAGAGGCAGCCGCCGCCCAGTAATAAGTGAGTGTTTTTCTCTTCAGCGGCAACAGAGCCAAACTCTGACATCAGCCACACAGAGCCCGAGGACAGTCATCCTTTCATTTTCTGCTGCTGCCTCAACCTCCCAAAATCAAATAAGACATTCAAGTGGAAATGTTCAACTTTCTGTTTCCATTTATCTCACATTTCATAATCATAAATATCAGTCATAAAATCAAGGTCACTTATAGTTTGTGTGATCTGCTTTTAACAAATGGGCTCACAACAGAGCTGCGGCAGAGGCTGACAGAGATTTTAGCTTTGATACTGGTGCCAGGAGTAGTCTTACTATTTTGGAAAATGAAACAATGCTGGATCAATACCTGGTAGATCAGGAGCCAGATGTCTTACGAAACATAACTGTACCAACAGGCGTGTTTTACTCTAAATGTTCAAAAGTAACCCAATCACATTTTACCAGATTAACCCGGGAGCGTTATGATTACTATGGGTATGATGTTCTAAGACAAAGGTGCAGTGTTAACTGGCTGCACTCTACGATACTAGACGAATTGGCAAGCAAGGTGAGCCAGCATTTAGCTGTTTAGCCTGCTGTTGTCACAGGTAGTGGACATGTTGAGGCAGAGGCATTGCTTTTCACTCATGCAGAATAAACGTCTTTATATGACAGACGGCTCCCCAGAGTTCTGGCAGCCTGACAGACCTTCCTTACAAATACTTCCACCTTGTGGTGGCGCATGTAATTATATTTCATCCTCTCAGTGCAGGAAATACTGCCCTCTCAGTCACTAGCTGACAAGAACAGCAAAAAGATGTTCAGACTGGGCTGCTGCAGGAAAAATCAAGATGCAAGGAGAGGGATTTTTGACTTGTTCATATCAGCAAAACTGAAAGTGAATTCATAAAGTTGAATGAGCACATGTATATCTCTGACACCATCTTACCTCTTGGCGTGACACTGAGTACTGTGTGTGAATTCGGGGACCCGTGGACATCAGGAGGGTTCCTGACCGAGCACGTGTATGTCCCATTATCTTTCAATGTGGCGTTAATCAGAGAAATGGAGGCTTCCCCACGTGCTGGACTCCCCTGCCAGCGGATACGACCCATAAACTGACCGTCAAGCGGAGGGAAGGCCCGTGAGGAGAAGTGGAAAAACTGGAGGGAAAGAATAACAATCACGTTTATTTCTTAGAAGCAGACTGTGTGAGTGAGTGAATGTATTTCTTATCATTAAGCACACTTAGACTTAAGTTTTTAACAAGCAAACAAAACCTACAACTCTAACTCAATGACAAGAGAGCAAATCATGTGAATAATCGCTCTGTAATGTGTGTGTCTGAGGAAAAGTGATTGAAACAACAGGTGGTGGGACAGATGGCGGTGGGACATTTCCTTTTGGCAATATTGTCGGAGGCACAGTGAACAGTGCTGTCAGTGTTCAAACCCAGAAATATAGATATAAATCTCAACAAGCGCCAGTCAAAAAAACCAGTGTGCTCATGAGAAAATATGATCCTCCAGCGTCTCAAAAACTTTTTTTTTCACTCCTCAGTTTCAGGTTTACAGCATAAGTTTGTTTGTAGGGACCACATCATTACTCCCACGCCAACAGGACCCAAAACCCTCCAAAACATCCAGAGGTCAAGTCTGGTGTAGGCGGAGTAAGAGTGATAAAAATGTGAAAATTGAAGGTTTATGTTGTCACTGAGTCAGCAAGGAGCCTAGAGTTTTAGTTTAGTAAAGTTAAATGATGCTCTGATTAGTCATCTGGAGAAATGCCCGAAAACTAAGGGTTATAGTACAAATAAACAAATGTGAAAATTTGACTTTGAGTATAACCTACGTGTTTTAAACAAGTGTGAAATGTTGATTGGTTTGGTTTATAAATTATTTAAACAAAATTCAGGGTTAAATATTTTGAAAATATGTGGATTTCATTATCTACAGTATATAACATCACTAAATGATTCAGAGAATCTGGAGAAATCTCACAGTACAGAAGACCTAAACAGGATGGCCCTCAGGCAGCACTGCATTAGAAACAGACAAACAGACTCTGTAGTGGAAATCCCACAACAAGTTCAAAATCACTTCCAAAAGCTGTTATCTGTGAACGCAGATTCAGGTTTAAAATTGAATCATGCAAAGAGGAGACAAACATCAGACTTCTCTGGACCTGAATCCGTTTAAGACAGACTGAGGGGTAGAGGTAAACTGTCCAATGGTCTGATGACTTAAAATTTGACATTAATTTTGGAAACCATGTAGCCGCACTATAAAGAGTAGAGGGACCACCCCGTTTGGTATGGGGATCATCAAAGTCCATGTCATGGGTATCTTCCACATCTGTGAAGGCTCCATTAATACTGAACAAGATCTACAGGTTTAGGGGCAACATATGCTGACATCCAGACGATGACTTTCTCTGGGAAGACTTTCATATTTCAGCAAGACAGTGACAAACCACATTCTGACAACAGGGTTTACAACAGCATGGCTCTGTAGTAAAAGAGTCCTGCTGAGAAACTGGACTGACTGAAGTCCTGATTCACTCCTGAATTCAGTCCGTAACTGTCGAGCACCAGAAATCCTCCATTAGGCAAGACTGGGACAACCTTTTACTTTCCAAACTTGATTTTTTTCATCAAACTGAAACATTTTGCAGCTTCAGTATTTGATCTGTCATCTCTGGACTACTCTCAATTAAATATCAGCTCTCAGTGATTGGCTAATGTGCATTGTCATTCATTTTTATATATTATTCATTTTTCACTTTACATGATGATTGAACTGGCTACTAGATAACTAAATGTAATACTGAGATAAATAAGATGAAGCCATGTAACAGGAACGCCCTGCCATTACTCTTCTGAACTGCATCTTGTGCTGGGCTTTTTGAGTTGTATCAGGGACATTAAGACATCAAGAGGCTTTTAGATGAGTTGCAGGATAAGGTCAGAACTGCTTGTTCCTTATCTGAACCCTCACAGCAGTGCAGGAGGAGTTATTGATTTCTTCTAAAAACAACATGGATGGTTTTGATTCAGGCCGATGCACGCAGCTCATTTTATACTGGGTCTAGGTGAGCAAAATCCAGTGAAGGATGGTGGCAACAGCTCTGCCAGTGAAGCGCCACATTTTCTGGAAGTGAAATGGAATAAAAATACTGTTGATGCTGAACATCGATATCATATTCTATTGGTAATACACTGCATGGCAGCTCTTTGTCCACCTATGGCAGTTTGTAGCACTTACTCATGTTGTTTCCTCCTGTCTACTAGGGGTGGGAATCACTAGTGGCCCCTTGATACGATAATATCACAGTACCTGCGCAGCGATACGATATTATTGCGATTCTTAACATTTTGCAATACAGTGAGTATTGCGAAACTAGACTGCGATTGATATATTTTTAACTGTTTGGCTAATTAAGCATTTGTCTTTCTTTTATGTTTGTTTTATTCACACAGTATTTATTTTCATGTAGCACATCTTGTAAACCTCATGTGTCAGGTCCATCATTTGCATTCCTAATGTCTTTCACCAGGTGTTGCTATATTTGTTGTACTAACTTTCTCCTGCTCTATGATGTCACCTCTGCCAACCTCACTGGACAAACAGTTGATCTTATTTTTCCATTATCATAGATTTGACTTCGTATTAGCAATTCATTTGAAAAAAAATCGATACTTGGTCAGTGAGATGATACAATATATCACCAGACAAAATATCACTATACTATGCTGTATTGATTTTTTCTCCCACCCCTACTGTCTACATCTTTGCTTGTGTTGTGCTTTCTCTTAAATCAACTTTGCTTTGCACAAAGTGTCTCCTACAAGATATTCTAATATGATAGCATCAACAAGCAATAAGTAGACCTGTGAGTATCGCTAAGATTATGAATTTGAATTTAAGTCACATTGTGCAAAAGCTGTTCAAACTGTGAGGCAGAGATGATGGAGTGTGTTTCTGAATGTGCCTGAAAAGCCAAGGGATGAGGGAGGCAGACAAATGCCGGGCTAAAAAGTAAGGCATTTTTCCAGATCATGGTCATATACATGCCCCTACAGACAGGTTCGATCTGCAGCCTGTGATAAAATGTAAACTGTAAAAGAGCTTTAATCCTTCAAGTTTTGATCACAGTGTAAAAATACTTAACTCAAAGTGTAAAGAAAGAGATTATGTAATAAGTGTATGTTCAGAAAGTTCACACTGATTCCACACAGGGATGAATTTATGGCTCTGTAATAAACTCTGAGCACACATAAGCAAACAAGATCACATGCAGGATCCCAGACACTGATTCAGTTTGAGTGTTTTACAGCAGCGAGTATATAAGCTGGATGTTTATGACAGACTGATTGTGGGCCTGGCGGAGATAAACCTGCTTATCTCTGCACTGTGATTCATCCAACCACTGATTATTTGTACACTGGACAGCAGCATGAAGTCAGTGACTACACAAGAGTCTGCTCAGCCTGGAGTTAAACACTACAGCCAAACAACCCCTTCAAACTCATGATAAAAGCAGCAAAACAACAGGGAGGGATTGTTTTGAACCGACGCCATGCTCTCTATAAATCGAAAGCCCCCACTGACTCACAGTAAAAAAAAAAAATTTAAAAAGCGCCTAGATCAACATTGTAGATTTATTTTTAGCATTATTCAGCAAATTCAATGGCCAAATCCTCCAATTACCATTGGCTCCCACTGATATTTGATTGAGCATTCAGCCGCTTGTCTCCAATCTTCAAAATTAATTCTCATCAGGACCGAGGTAATTATGCAAGCCACTGAAGCACTGCGGCAATTCAGACCGACACTAAAGCTTTGGCTGCAAAATTATATTTTCTGATGGAGCTTTTCACATGCTTATTCATGGTCCTTCCCGGTGTGATATACGGCTGGGGACACACGGGCCAATAAAGCAGCCAAAACGTTAATGAAATTGGATTGAAAGTAAATGAAAGCTGAGAAATAAGAATTAGGAATTCAGGATTTAGTCCCATCTACAGGCCAGATCAGGAGGCTGCTACGCTTTGTTAACCCGGCGTTAAACAGCTGAGCTGGGCTGGGCACTGCTGTGACTTTTTTTCTCAGGTAGCATTTGACACACCTTCTGACAATCACCTGCCAAACTCTGTGAGGTAATACCAAGCTTTGTGCTGACTGAAACACATGTGCAAACACACTCCAACACACTCTCAATGTAATGACTAAACCAACAGCACTCCATATCAGCGGAGCCACAAAACATTAGCCTCCACTTAACTCTGAGTGCTCCTATAGGAAATGATGGCATATAGGGTTGCAGCTACCACACTATGGATTCCCAAGGTCCAAATGCAATTACATAAGACCACATTGGAAGACTATCTTCAAACAAATGGTACAAATGGACCTGCTTAAATCATGTGGTGGTGTTTTAGTGGGCTGGTCACTGAAACTCAACCCTGATATGTGCGGGGTTAGAGGACTGAGTGCAGTTATGGGCTGTAATAGACATCTGGATGCATTTCAGACAAGACCACCAAATCCACAAAATAGGAAGGGGTATTGTCATAACTGACCAGGGTCTCTGGGACAGGTTTGTGAAAGGCTCAAGAGATGGGCTGAAATGTGAGTGGAGAAAACCTCAGGAGTGATATTAATAAATCAAAGTTGGAGAGCCTGTATCAGAACTGAGACACACTGATTCAGAGATCATGAAAAGAGGAGCTCAAATGCAAATAAACCACCTGAGTATTCAAATGAGCTGTGTGTGCAAAGTGAGGGATGCATTAAAGGTTAGTCTCACATGCAACTCAAACAACCCCTATATCCTCTTATATGGTTCAAAACAGGCTGTGAATCCTATTTCACAGAAAATCTTTTTTGCAAGAGTAGGACAAAAATCATTATTGTTCAACAATGTGCCTACGCAGTCTCTCACAGAGCTCCCATTTCTGCTTCTGAGACTTCCGAGGCTTAATGATATTCTGTGTCTGAGTGTGAAATGACTGTAGAATGTAAACATGCAAACACCTGAAAAAAACAATACTATAAAATCACGTTGCTTTTTCACATACAGTAGAGGCTCAACAATCAGTGAATTATATCCCAATTAGCAGGAAATAGACCACAGAAAGGCAAAACAACCTGTTGTGAGCATGTTGTCTCTTCTATACTGAGCCCTGCTGACCGGGGCTGCACTATCCTGTATGTGATACCAAGGGCTGCTCTACAGAGCAAATATGGAAAGCGCTAAATACGGATCCTGTATGGTTTTGGCTTAACAAGTGATTTATCGTGACAAAAGAACAAATTAACTAAACACAAAGATTCCACAACACAAATGAGAGGCAGCAGGGCAGCAGTTCCCCACCAAATGCCTCTCCCGACTGCAGACAGCTCTGGGCTAGGCCTGGACGATATAGAAAAAAAGCATATCGATAAAAAATAAATCATATTGATCGATATCGATAATTATCGATATAATTATTATAATTATTTAACATATATTTTAATTGCAGCCCTGGATGTTTTATGCTATTGCTTAATGACCTACTTTTAATAAAGAACACACAAGCACTGAATTCAAATTCAAATCTTTATTCAACCACCTTTTTTATTTTACCACAACTGAAAGTTTTTTAAAAAAGAACTAAAAAAAAAAAGAAATCAACTTAAGTGGCCTGAGTGACTGACAAACATAAAGACTAAAGTGACCAGAAAATCTGATAAAATAAATATTTAAATAGTCTTTTGATGAAAATAAACAAAACAAACAAATATATAAATAAACAGAATAGCTTTAGGTGGGAATAGCATACTACCAGTTTTAACTGTGTGGGAAACTGCCCACAGCCTGGTGTCTGAACACTGAAATATTTCTCCCGGGGTCGGGAGATTTTTTTTTTTTTAATTATCATGTGATTAACTTCATACACAAACTAAGCACGAGAAGCAGGACTTATCCACGCCGGTGTTGTGTCGTAGAATGCACCCCTGCCGAATGCACCCCCTGCTAGTAGCCATGATCCAAATACTCGCGTCTTTGTAAAATATGAGCTCATTTTCTTCCACTTTAAGAAGCTAATGAGTGGACGGGATGCAGGTGTGCATTCTACGGAACAACACCGGAACGTATTTCCTCCGCACCCTTCTCACCTTTTCAACCCCTGACCCATTTTCATGCCTGAAGCGCTGTGTTTGAGAAATACTTGCGGCCGGGCACTTCATATCGCGGGTCGAGAGTGGCTAGAAGCTGGTCGAAGCCAGGCTTTTCAACGGTAGTTATTGGCAGTATGTCCCTCGCTATGGAGCATGTTACTGCATGGGTGATGTCCTTATGCCGCTCGGACGCTTTGTCGTATTTTGGCAAGAAACGAAGTCCAGTTTGGTCTGCTTCACATGCTTTGTGCTGGTGCTGGCTCCGACGATGACGTGGAGCCGCGGCGCGGCCGACACAGCTCGTACTCCTGCGGGTGCGATCGGTTTAGATGGTAAAACAAGTTGGTTGTGTTACCAGACTTGGTTTTTACTAATTCTCTGCAAATTTTGCAAACGACCGCTGTTCGCTTTTTGTCAGACTTCTAAAAACCAAAACATTGCCATGCTGGTGAACTACTGAAACCTTTTTTCGGGACAATGTCCTCCGCTTCTCCTTGCTGTATCATTTTTTCTAATACACGTGCTGTCTGTTGTGGTTTGATAGGGGCTGGGCTTGGTGCCGTAGCGTACCTGGGTCTGCGTTTGTAATTGGTTGGGAGGAAGTAATGACTGTAGTAAAAGCTACATGATAGGCTATGATGAAAAAGAAAGGGAAACTGTGTTTTTCTATCGAACTTTTTATCGACCCGTTTTTTTTCTATCGCACCACACGTCTATCGATCGATATATATTGTTATCGAATTATCGTCCAGCACTACTCTGGGCCTTTAAATTCTAAGCACCAGGTGAGTATTACTGTCACTTAGTGATTTCACCTGGGCAGCTAGGGGAGACAAAAGGAGGAAAAACACACACACAAACACGCAGCCATAACACTAAATTTATAAAATATTTCACGTGTTGTTTTGCTCGTCAGCATGTTCATGAACGCTGTTGGTACACTGCTAAGCTAACGGGACCACTGAGTGTTTACCCTAATTTACGCTCTCTTTATTAATTCACAGGATCTCTTAGATGATTATAACTCCAGTTATTCAAATAAATATACTCACAGTTTGGGGCGGCCCCCCACTCTGGGGCCTGTAAGACCAGTCAACTGTCATCTTACTGGTCGGCCTACTGGATGAAGTGAAAGTGCAGGACAGTGTGACAGTGTCTCCTTTGGATGCATGGAGCTCCGCTGGGGTCCTCACTGTGATGGAGGAGACGAGGGAAGGAGCTGGAGAGAGGGAGTAAAATAAAGATGACGAATGAGTGACACAGAGGACGGCGGTAAACAAGGACAAAGAAGAATGAGACGTAAACAGAGCGACGTGTTTACGGGAGGAATCAGAACAGAGAATAGAAGGAGACAGGTTCTGAGTGGCATTTCTCTCTCTTACTGCGGGAGAAATCCCGAACAAGAAAACCTGATAGGGGTTATAAATGTGCCCACATTGAGCTGGCATGAAAGTGCCAGAACAGCAAATTCCTCCAGGTATAAAGTGAAGTGAGAGACGTCCTTTTTCAAGTTTCTCACCAGCCCCTCTTGTTGTTTCTGACAGGTCTGCCACACATCTGTCTGTCAGGGGCCTTTCTCTGCATGTAAATCTGTGTCCCTGTGTCTGTTGACGCTCTTTCACAGTCATCACTTCATTCAGAGTACCATCAGAGGCCTGCCAGAAACCCAGGAGCCTCCAACACTGTAGCCACAGACATGAGCTGAATACTAACACACGTTTTTAAAGAAACCCTTCAAATATTCAGTGACAATGAGTCATTGTGGAGACATTTTTATGAATAAATAAGAAGGTTAGGTGACTTTCATCATGACTCCGGAGGCACATTATGGTCGAGTACAACATCCCCAACTAACAAAGCAATCTGTGTACTTGGACACCTGCAAATGACTGATGACTTTTGATTAATTTGGGTATTATTCTGGTTTTTCTTTACAGTCTGTTTGGAGTGTCCGACTGTGTTTGAACAGAGAGAATGGGCTTCAGTAACATTCAGGGAAACAGTCCATGTAGGGACAGAAAGAGGCAGAATGGACCAGAAAAATGATCCAAACCTGCACCCACCCACCCACAATTTGGAGCCTGAATATCTACATGAGGGCACATAGCAGACAGACGGAGATGCCTGAATACCTGATTTGGGTCTCCGTTTTCTGTAAGATTTGACTCTAAGCAACAAGAAATATTGATATTGTGCTAAACATAAACATAGTATTTCAGTGTAATCAAGAAGTTCTTAGTAGAGGGGTAAAATGCAATTGTTGGAGACTATCATCATTTGACCTTTGAGAATTTTCATTAGATATTTTTACCTTCATTTCTCTGGTTCATCTTTATTTCTTTTTTCAGGGACAAGAGCAGCACAGTTAAGCTGAAGGGGCTCTTAAAATAGCTACTGCACAAAGTTGTAGACCTGCCACACTCACATGAATATTAAGATTTCTTTTCCTGCCATAAAAAAGTGTGATTGTCTTAAATTTAAGGATTCTAACACCTTCATGGTCAACTTTGATATTTGACATTAGTTTTTCACCATATCAGCACCAAACACATAACAGTACAACATACTGACTTTCTGTAAAATCCACTCGCTTTGTGAGACTGACCGCTGTTCAATGATAAAAACTCAGAGTTATCATGGCATCCAGGAGCTTTCCTGTCCCACAGAGTAGAACAGAGTATTTTCAGATATAATCCAGATCCAATCTCTCATAAACAAAGAAATTCTCTTTGCTCTTTCCCTTCAAATTCATCTCAAAAAGAGGGGTCGTCTTGTATTTGGGTCAACACATATTTTCTATCACAGTAAAAAAAAAAAAAAAAACATACAAAGAAACAAATCCCCAGTGTCATCTTTTCAATATATTGTCTGATTTTCAGTCACGATAAGCTCATAAGGCCCAAAAGGTGTTTTTTGGCTTTAGGAGCCACTTGCAGGTCCTCTAGTGGAAACTGCAGTTTTTTGTACCTTTTTACATTGGGTCTCTTTTTTCTACACTTGTGTCAGCTTTAAAACCAGCACCATGAGAGAAGGATCTACAGAGTCACTAAGAGTCACCAGCTGATCTGAATCAATACTGATAAATAATCCAATCATTTTTTTTACCAATCAAATACCAGCAGCAGATTTGACAGTATTAGTAGATGTATGGAATAGCTCTTCAGACATAATTAATGCCATGCACTTGAGCCTCCAATATAAAACCACTCACTCATTATCTGACTGATAGCAGCTCAGAAGTGAATTAAAAACACAGTATTTAAGGGGCATAAATGAAAAACAGGAATATTTGTCTAGCAGGGGACAAAGCTGGGGCAAAATTGCCCCCTGGGTACATCGGATCTCAAACAGACACCATTTGTTGCATCTGAAATCCCCAAAAATCATGATAAGAACAAAGTTTATCTTACACAAGAGAGCGAGAAGATATCCGGGAATCAGCCCAACTTATCGGCAAAGACCCTAGGGTGAGCGAGTTGACAAGCGAACAAAGCTATCGCTCCATGAAAGAGGAAAACAAACACAGGGCCATGGAAACTGAGCCGTCCTTGAACTTTAAGATGTGATAATATCAATACAGTGATGGGATGGGATAGGAAAGTAATCAGTTCATCAGTGATTTTCTTTTCACTCATTTTCAGCGAGATGTGTGGACAAATTAGAAACTAAACCGAAGCCAAACAAAAACATGTCACACTGGGAGAGGTTTGTGGTGTCCTCTCGTAACCCTGGTGGAAAAGTGTCTATATTTGAACACTGCTCCTTGACTTTAAATAGCATGAGGGAAACCATAATGATACTAATCTGCTCCAACATTTCCATGCAGTCTGTTTTCAAACTAAACCTACAGCACACTAACCATCTCTGTATGCATGTGTCATTTCCGCTGCCTGAATAACAGATCAAACACTGTCAGGGAAAAGCAAACATCTGCCCACAGAGCAGAGTCCTGTTTGTAATGTACTGCTCTTCAATGACATTTTACTCTTATAGCCTGCTTTGGGAAGAGGACATGTAACGACACCAATATCATATCAATATTAATATCAACCAATCAAAAACATCCAGACAGTCCAGCGTGTCCCACACATGGACATAGAGGATATTAGTTTGTTGTAGATAACCCCCATGTTTGCAGGATGTTCACAGGTATACATGGTGGCAGGCCGTCCATCCGCCACCCAGTTATAATGGCTGACCAGTTCATATGTTTCCCTTCATTAATTCTTTTATCTGTTTAACAAACTTCAATCTCATAACATCATACTTTTTAATAGTCACATAGGAGCTTTATTCTCAGTAAATTAATTAAACTATTAAGTTTAACTGTATTTGACATGATGATTTTTTTCTCATAACATCACAACGTGATACTCCTACAATAATTTCTTTATTTCTATGACATAGTGTATCTATTCTCAAACAATATATAACGTAAATCTTATAAGAGAGCGACTGTTAGGTAAATAGTCTGGGGAAAAGGGTCAGCTATATCTAATGTGTCTATGGCTGCTTTGTGCTTCCTTACATTAGCATTTCCTAGTTTGAATTCTCCTGTTAACTTAACCCATAAACAGGATTATAAACGCCTCTAAGCGGCCGTATTTCTGTCCTTGGTAATGTTAGTCTCTCCATGGCTAATGTTTGCAGAGCTGCTGCTATATCCTCTTCCACTAGTGGAAAGTAAGAAATGGATTTCTCAAACTCAGTCAACTTTACAAAAAGTTTCACACTGTCTGTCCGAAGTTTAATCGAAGAAAAACCGGCCTCTGTCGCTAACAGGACAGCGTAAGCCTCAGCAGACTTGTGTTGTAAATTGTGTTGAAAGAGTAGCATGAAAGCGCAGCTCCAGGCCTGTTTACTCACCGAAGAAAACCACCAAATACAGCAGCAAGACCACATTTAGAGCGGGACTCCTCCGGCTCCGTCCACTCATGTTCAGATATAAAACCGGGTTCCCACGGATAATGATCAAAAAAGGAGACCAAAGTGCGTCAAATCTCCGGTAAAATTCCGTCCATAGTCTAGTTTGTCATGACTCAGTCTCTCCGCGGTGTCTGCACACTGTGGGCAGATATCCTACCTGACAAACAGGTGTATCAGGAAGTGGAGCTGGTGGATCACAGGGAGGAAAACAACACACCATTGCGACGGTAATCCCTGTGAACGAAAGAAGGAAGGGAAGTTTCCAAGGAGAGATCAAAAAAGTTATGATAAAGAGTCGAGGTATGCCTGGCACTGAAGGTATGCCAGGTTTACTGCTGTTACCAAATCTGCAATACCAGCCTGTTCACTCCAGGTCCATATGTAGTTTACAGAGTCTGTGCCCGCATACTCTTAAATCAGTATGAAGGTTTAAAGGAGGTAACATCTGAGGTGGATTAACCTATTTCTCAGCTAAAATAAGTGACTGAATTTAAAAATTACATAAATTTCTCTTTTTGAAACTCATTTCTTTGAGTTTTATTTGTTTGTTGATGTTACTGTATTTGGTCTCAGTTTTGTATGTTTGTGTGTAAAATAATTGCACCACCGTCCACAATTCTGGGTATAAATGGCTGATGCTAAAATTTACAAATGTTTCAAAGTAACTGTAAATTTTGATATACTGCCAAAAATACGATCAAAATTGTATGAATGACTTGTCTTCTCTGAATTATTTCTGTGTCAATAATAAACCATAATGTAAGTAGGCCCAACCTGAGATTCAGATTTAAAGTTCCAGTGAGGGGTTTTCTAACAGTGTTGAATTATGTCAAAATTCATATTTATGCTTTGATTTGATATACAAACGCAAACAAGACCCTTCATGACTTTTATTTTGTAGGTTTTACCAACTAAAACTGGTGTTAGGGTAAAGTGTCAGCCAAGCAGCTAAAGAAACAAACCTGTTTTCACAATTTCCATAAAAAAGATTCACAATAAATGTTAAATAAATTATTTATCTCAGAATAAACAAATCAGTAAACACTAATTGAACATTTGTGCAAAGCTCTGTATTTGACCGAATAATCCCTTTCAAGCCATCTTCTTCCTCGAAGTCCTGTTTTCAGACCACACTAATGTAGCGGTGCAGCATATATTTAGGTTGTAAATCTAAAAGTCAAGATCATAAAGTATGGTTCCTTACATCAGCACACAGCTAACACTGCTTTACCTCATTAATATGGACTCAAAACTTAAATTGTTTAGAGTATAATAACCATATATTTTCTCTTCACATGTAACCATCCCACATTGTGACCTCTCCATGTAGAGGCTTGCGGCCCGGCCCTCCCCTTATCTCCCCAGCCAGCCCCTGTGTAAAAGCAGAGATCCTCTTCTGGGACTCTCCTGCTATTTGTGGGCATATTCCTCCACTATCCCTGTCCCCGATCTCCCGTCTCGACTGTTGTAATTGTCTCTAATGGGAGCAGGTGTTTGTTTTTCTAGCCCCACTCTGGTGTAATGTGTTATCTCTCCTCTTCATGTTGATACTGAGGCCTTTTGAAGTGTATTTATGTCTTTATTGGGTCTGGATTGTCAGCTCCATCCTGACATCCATCTGCTCTGCCAGGAGCGTTTCCTCCACTGTGACAACAGACAAGCTGGAGTCCTGTTGCATAACCTCCTTTTATTTCATGGCACATCAGAAGATGTCGAGTGAGAGCAGTATCTTCCATTACTCTGGTCCTGTCTCTATCAGATAGACTGAGTGTCCTTTAGCAGCGCACCACATGCGTAATCTGCGTTTGACAGAACTACCTGTGCAGCTGCATTTATTTTACACTTTCCTATAGCGTGGCCTTGAGCAATAACATCACTTCTGTGCTATTAAAGACACTAATAACTGTACCATAAAGCGGTATAATAGAGTTATTAAGCCTGAGGAAAATACACATATCAATTTACCTCATAACATCAATAGAAATGACCAGACTTCTCTGAGGCTCTTTTCAGAGGCATCATTGAAAAGATGGGTTGTTATGCCATGAATAGCCACTTATAGCTTTTCATTTAATACAACCCACTTATAGAAACTTTGAGATCAACCTTTTGCAACTGTTGAAACATCCTCCATTCCTCCAAAAGGCCCAAAATCAACAGTCCACAAAAAATTGACAGACTTACCTGTTACATGAACTCTTAGCACTTTAATGTATGTTGTAAGTTTATTTAACTTACTTACCCGTTAACATCATAAACACACTTGGTTACTTTCATGCCTGTAAATTTAATAATGTGCTTGCTTACACATTCTGACTCCTACCAACCTTCAAACTGACTTGTATGATTTTTCACTCATGTATACACATTACTTATTAATTAAACTCCCAACTTTCTTGTATACTTCCTTCCTTGCATTCAAAGTGTTGGTGCATTCACTAAATTACTGATGTACTAACATATTTAATTCTCTTCTACGCTTTCTTCTCACAACACTCACCTTGCGCATTTACCACCAACCTTCCTTCATACCTATTTGTTGGCTTATTTTCTTGTGTGCTTAATTGCATACTTACCTGCTCTATTTTTACACACTTGCATATTTAATAGCCAAAGTATTTCATAGTCAACAATTTGTATGTTCACCAAATCATGGATACTCTGCACCTGTACAGAATTCTGTCTTGCAAATGGACTTTCTTGTGTACCTTCATGTTTGCTTTTTCCTGCATACTTTCTGGCTTTTTCACTTGCTTGCATATAATTTGATCATTTTAAATTGCAAACCTTCTTGTTAATGTACTTAACTTGCATACTTACTTTCCACTTGTACACTTATTTACTGGCACACATTAGCATTTTTATCTTCTAATTTAAATACCATATTGCATACTGTCATGTGCACTAAGATTTTGTATTGTATACTTACCTGCTTTCTTTTTTATAACTTGCAAATTTCGTAACCTAATAACTTAATTGCACTGCATTGCTAAATTTTGCAATAAACTGCAAAACTTTCACACTTACAAACTTTTAAACTGTCTTGCACACCATCCTGTCATCCTGTCATATTTACATTGTCATTCTCAATCAATCAATTCAATTCAATCCATTTTTTATTTATTTGTATAGCCCCAAATCACAACAGTTTTTAGCCCAAGATATTCCCTCAATGACTTGATTAGGTACTATCTAGTAAGCATACCTTAATGCATATACTAACTCTCACTCATGTACTTACCTCTTGCATATACTTACATCTTTATATTCTGATTTACATGCTTACTGCCAACTTTTTGCATACCTGTTTGTACAGTTGTTTTTGCATACTTTTTTACCACTTTCTTATTCACTTGCATACTTATTTATTTACTTGTGCACTAACTCTATACTTTAGCACATATTTCTCACTTAAACATTGATTGTATTTAAATTAACTGAATTGCTGCTTCACTCATTATCCCACCTGGTATCTTGCTTGAACTGAGCATTAATCCATCAGTTTTTGTTCCCTTCAAAGTCGACAGTCACTATAATCTTTCTCGTGCTCATGCCTGTTTGTAAATATCTGTGGCTTCTTGTTAAATTGCAGTTATTAAAATTCTCTGTGGATGCCATTCTTTATGAGATAAACCCTCAGAGGTTCTTGTTGGTGCTCCTCCACCCCAAAGTCCACAGTTTGCACTGTCTGTGTTGACAATATAATGTAACGTTTCCCACACTGGAGGGGGGAATCTGCTTTGTTTTTGTGAATAGATGCTGAGTTGCATGGATTACATTAAAGCATTTACAACTGTACCGCTCCATGGTGTTGCATTGTGTTGACTATATTACATAACCTGCTGCAGCCTGATAGAGACCCCCCTGTTTTCTGTTGGGAGATAAAGTCTTGTGCCCCCTGCCTGGGCGCCCTCTCACAGTTAAACACATTAATACATTGTGCGATGCATTGTGTGTGTTAGTACAGGGGCTCTCTGTGTAGTTACAGTAGTGTGGTCTCAGTTTCAGCTCCCCCGTTACAATGAAGTCTCTCCTCTTTTACTGGCGACTCTGGTCAACAAGAGAGCCGTTCTTCTCCTGTCAGCACCTGAGGGGTCTGATAGAGGTGATTTAAATTGTTGTAATCATTATCCACCAGCCGAAAACATGAGAGTCTACAGGTCTTTTCATCCTTTTAAAGGCGCTCCAAGCCCTGAATGCTTGATGAAAAGCTGTTTCTGATATACTGCCATCAACTCTCAGTGTGTTTTAAAGGTTTCACATACAGGCTAACTTCTCTCCAGAGCTATGACAAATAAATATGACAGCATTAAGAATTAGAGGCCTGGGTCCACACTAAACACTGCGTCAAACAGAGCTGACTCTCCACTTTCAGGATTGAGTAGCTGTTGCGCTGAGTGGATTTACAATTGTGTGTCGGGACAAGTGTAGAACTTCAGTCATCGCCGTAAGTCACAGTGCGACACTCACTCATATAGCTACATACCTTTAGGTGATTTGTTTCTCTGTCACGCCAAGCCCATGTTTGTGTTTGTGTGTGTTGAACCTAAGTGAGCATGTGAAGGAATTTCATGTGTCTCTATGTATTTGTGCCAGGTCCTGAGGTGAGGAATGCAAACTGGAAACAGAAACCAAGTTGCAGAGCGAGTGAGACAGACAGACCTGATTTATGCGTCAGTGCAAGCTGCATACAACCTTTAGTATTTCTTCTTTTCTCATGCAAAAGCCACATTAATCTATTCTTCATGGAAATGATCCAATAATAAGAATATTGTGTAACAGACTGACTTGTGCAGTGAGTCATGTCTAAGGAATGGGTAAGAAACCTCTCCCATAAGTTTTGTTCTCACTCCACCACCCAGTGCATGTGACAGGTTTCAAATCAGTCTGAAAATGTGCATAAAACTCTTAAACTGATGTTATTATTGTGATAAGAGCGTGTTTATTTGCCAACCTTCATCTGCAGGATGTATCAGGAAGGTAATAAATGCTTCATGTGCTTGTTGGTTGCTCAGTAGCAATAAATCTTTGATTTACGTCCTTTTTTCCTCCAGCATATTTTCCTAAATTTGCCTCTTGGCTCACACCTGAAAACAGGAGATAACTTGCTGCATGCAGATGTGGTCCTGTTTGTCTGGGTGGAGAAATAAATGCCAGTGATGATCACATGGTAACAGTCAGAAAAATAGGCATGTCCTTCACTCAAAATAGAAAGTCTGCTGTGTGTTGCAGCGTGATCTGGTCTGTATGGAGAAGCTGTCTCTGGAAAAAAATGTTGTTTGTTGTTTCTGCTGTTTTTCTCAATAAATAGAAGACGATGCAGGTGCACGGTAACTACCACTTTATCTGTAATCATTTACATGAACCATTAGAGATGTTATTTGTGTCTATTTATATATATGAAGTAATCCCACCAAACGGGGATGTCCTTGAAGTACCCAAGCTTTCTGTATCACAGCTGTAACATCCTCTTAAAGTTCAAAGCCTTGAAAACTTCAAATATGTGAAATTGTGTGTATGAGGTATGAAGTCTTACATGGGGTGACACCACCTCCACTGAATGGTTACATCAAACAGAAGTAACTGGAACATCTGGATCAGGTAATTTGCAGCTTCCAAGGGTCATCTCAAAGGATCACTCGGCACAAACCAGACGTGTGAAGTCTCACTATCCAGCCATACAAAAACATCCATGTTTGTATGTTAACTGTGTGCAATAGTCCAGTCATAAACATGTCTGATCATGCAGATTTTGTGCAATCACTATAGCACTTAAACTGAACAGGCCTGGGCAAATGTGCACTTAACACCATCACCTTACACCAACAGCTAAGCACTTTAACACCACCTCAATACATTTAACACTTGCTGCGCTCGAACCCTGACTCCTTCTTTCCACTTAGTTATGAGCATGGTGTTTGTAGATCCATCAATAATCTATGATACCTCTAGTGGTAGTGCATTTTTTATATAGATGGATAAACCTGAGGACCCACCTGAAGCTATGCAAGATAAGCTTTGTCTGATAGCTAATAAATCTAAGTGCATTGAACACCAAACTGATCAAGGTTATGTTAAACTATATTTTAGCAGAATAACATGGCTCAGTAAATTAGCCTCTGGCTTCAATCTGGCACTCATGTTCTCTCATATGTAAAAGACATTTGTCCAGAGTCAGGATCTTAAGTTCTTGGTAGAATTCCTGCCAACTGTCAGTCAAAAGTACTCTTATCAGCAGCATTTCTGCATGGAAACATTAAGTGTGTTTGCATGCACTTAAAAGAATTATTTGATGGTCTTAGTCCGACGGAAACTGGACTTTAAAAATCCATGAAAACACATTAGTCCAAAGGAAATCGCTCTGAAATCAAACTTCTCCTAACCCGACTAACGTACTGAGATACATACTCATACGACTCAGTGGAGGTAAAACTAGCTGAAACTAGCTGAAGCATTCAGCGCATACTACAGTGTTCGCGTAGTAGGCTCTGAGCTAGTGGTTGAACTGCATAGATAAGATAAGACAAGGTAAGAAGAACTTCATTAATCCCCAAAGGAAAATTAAAAGATGTGTTAAGTGAGTGTTTGGCCCTCAAATGTGTTGCTTGAAGGCCAGGTAGTAAACACACCTCGACAGACAAAGAAAGGACATAAGAAAGAACTTTTTTTTTATAACAAACAGCACAGAGCTGTAGAAGTAACATCTCTTTAGCCTCTCGCCAATGCATTAGCAGACGCAGACATCCTTCTGTCAATTATTCAATTCTTGCCCCAGTGCATGAAAACTGGGATAAGGACAGCGGTCTAGTTAAATTGCCTAATGGAGCTTTGGCTGTAGCTCAACTTAACTGTGCTTGTAAAACAATTGAGTGTTAATAATTGTATTTAAAGTTCCAATTTGTTGTGTCGTTTTTAGTGCCCCCTTTGGGCCAAAAGCCAATGTCGTTTTACAAAAACACATATTTTTGGTCCACTTGTAGATACAAATTTAAAGGAGACGTGGTCTTTACTCTTAACAAAAGCTTTAAGGACATAAAAAGAAATAACAGCAGCCTTTCTCCTAAACTAAACTGAAGTACTGAGCTTGGACAAACAGAAACCTGCCTCCCACTCTTCCTCTTCTTATTTAATGCTAGTCTCCCCTGCTCTAAACCATCTTCACACACACACACACACACACACACACACACACACACACACACACACACACACTTTGGTCTGTCAGTCAGTAACTACAGTCTCAGGGGAACTTTGATCAATGCACACAAACAGGCACACGCAGTCATGCACACACTGATGTAACAAAGTAACATATTCACAGGCATGAACTACCACATCCTAAAGCCACACTTAAGTCACAAGGCAGCATTAGCATATCAGACCTGCAACCATTTAACAATCCACTGCAGCCATGCTAAAAGGTAAACAAGAGAGGAGCTCGGCACACACACACACACACACACACACACACACACACACACACAGTAAACACACAACTGACGGGAGTGCATTAAAGATAATGATGCATAATAAATGACAGATAAGATTCATCTTTTACATAATAGATAAGCTTTATCCAATAATGCAAATACTGTGTAATTATTTGTTTCATGGGTCAACAAGTGTCAGCTGAGATCTATGGTGTGTAGTCAAATGTGTGCAATACCACAAAATAAAGATTTAAAGGCATTTTTATTAGAAAATCTTTTTCTTTATAAAAGCTCTATGAAAAACATACAGTGACATTTTTAAAAATACAATCAAATACTTCTATATCATGATCTCAAAAAAATGAAAATCTATTTTTATATCACTCAGTATTACATCACAAATACACAATCCTGTCACAAAGGATGAAAAGTCAGGCATTAAAATCATTTGTTAGTGTATGTGGTGCATTTGAAGACATGGAGAGAGGGAAAAAAGGACTCTCAAGGACATTTTGCAATCAAAGGGTTTTCAGATCTGACTGCACGCTCCCACACAGCGCTCAGGACAGGTGCATGCATGTGTTTGCCTGCTGACTGAGTGTTTGGCCTTCAGACTGAATGGCAACAACATCACATTTTTTTCTATTTAATCTCAGTAATCTGACGTGACATGAGCCCTTCTGCCACCCGAGCATCAAACAAGAGCTCTGACACTTGCGAGTATTAAAACAGTGTGCATAACAAACTGAAATGAAAGACCTTTATAATCCCTTTTGTATGTGAAAATGCAACCCAATATTCAGAGGAAGGTGGGACGCTGTGTTGATACAAACATAATTCGATGGTTTTCACGTCATTGCAGGCCATGTTTAAGAGAAAATAGGGCAAAGACAACATATTAAATGTTAAAACGGAGCAATGTTATTGGATTTGATCATCTACAGAAGATAATAACATTAAAAGATTCAAATAATCTGGGGAAATCTCTGTACTAAAGGGACAATGACTAAAACCAAGACTGGATGGTCCTGATCTTCAGGCCCTCAGGCATTAAAACAGACAGGACTGTGGAGTGTAAATCACTGCATGGACATTGCATCCTCCACCCTAATCAATAAAAAGACCAAAAAGCTTGTTCTCAGCTTTCAGTTTAAAGCCAACATCCCTGATGGTATAGGGATTACCAGAGTCCATGTAATGGGTATCTTCCATATCAGTGAAGGCTCCATAAATGCTGAACAATATCTACAGGTTCAGGAGCAACGTCTGCTGACATCCAGACAAAGACTTTTTTGGGAAAACCTTCATAATTCAGCAAGACACTGACAAACCACATTCTGACTACAGGGATTACAACGGCATGGCTCTGTAGTAGAAGAGTCCTGCTGAGAAACTGGGTTGTCAACATTTCAACAAGTTGTCTTTGCTCAAGTTTCAATTAAACTGAATTAAAATTATTTGCAAACAACAAAATTTTATTTTACCAACAACAGCGTCCCAATTCTGGTGGGATTGGAGTTGGAATCAATAGCAGATAGTCTGAAAGTAAAGATTTTTGCATGGCTCAACATGGCAGACAACACCGTCCTCTTTTACTTACAGCATTTTGCAGCTGATTGTATTGATTTTCCACGCCTAACAAGGTCCATGTTAAAATCAACACTCTTTTCTTTGGGGAGAGTAGCCCAGCCTGCTACAATGGTTTAATCTGTGAAGCCATGCAGAGTTAACTCAGCGTTTCTTTCATCAGAAGAACATTTCTTAACTTACTTTAAAGTAAAGTTTCTACCCTTTTGATCCCATTTCAAAGCCTTCATCAACAGCCTCGCCCTGGTCTTTGTTCTTGCTTGGAATCTCCCAAACAGAACTTTCTCTCCATTTTCTTCTTGTGCTTGAACAATGTGCTTGTTCTCGACTCAGCAGCATGGCTGTCTTCATCTCGTCTCTACTTGGAATAACCATGGCATCCATGTCTGCCACCTAGGCATCAACCCAGCAAGCTTCCTGGCTGGCATCTTATCAGTGTTTCTGCCTCTCTGTCTGTTCCCACCTCCTCAGTCGGAGTCATCATCGTCGTCATCGTCATCTGAGCTCGGGCCCTCGCTCTCAGAGGAGCTGGAGCTCGGGGTGCTGGGATCTGAGATCATGCCGTCTGAACTGTCAATCTCTATGGACGTCTCTGACATGTAAAGATGTACGGCTCTTGACGGGTGGCTGAGAAGCAAACAAACACACAAACACACACAAACACACACATTGAAGGACCAAGGAGACATTCACAGGGGAAGGTAAGGGCAACAAAGCACACACAAACACACACGCACACACCAGGAAATGCATTCATGCATGACACATCCATGAATTATTTATGGACATGCATGTGCATAAGTCATGGACAATGGGGACAGGACAAAGACGAGCAGACACCACAAACACAGCAGCAGGGACAAAAGGTTAGCCTTACAAAGGGTTAAATGGTCCAAGATTGAAAGGGGATGTTTGATCGATATCTCTGTTTACATATTTGCATGTGATTGGGGTTCAGAAATTAGCTCCCTTTGTCTGCCTTTACAGTGAATCTGTGTGAATATGATCAATATGGACTGGTGCGGTTTTATAAGCTTTGTCCAACAGAGTTCAGCTTTTAAGTTTGCTGCTTATGTCAACACTACTATTTGGAAGGTCACCAGCACCTGCTGCAGAGAGATCTGAAAACCCAAGAGAGAAACAAAGATGTCCCACATGCCCAGAAAAAGAGTTTGATACATAAAAACTCAGCTTATTGTTCAAAACAGACAATCAGCCTCAAAAAGGCGACGGTTCTTTGAGATTCTCCAGAACTGCTGCTGAAGATAACCAAGTGCTGGTACATTTTTTTAACCATATGAATGTCTGCTTCCAACAAACGCTCTCCATTAGGTTTGGTTGATTGATAGCACCACAATAATTTTCAATATCAGGCTGTAACACCAAGAAAATAAACAATACAGCAATAAACCTTCAGTAGTGAAACAACAAGAAATGTACACCAGAGTCTTCCACATTCAGAGAAACCACATTAAAGCTGAGGTCAGACTACACAGGACAAACACGGTCCAGCAGATGTTGGGGTTCAAAAGTAATCGTTGTGTTCCCTTTCATGTGCTTCAGGGTGTTCTCCAAGACAGAATGGCAAAGTGTAACTGGGTAAGATTTTTAAAAATTAGTCTTAAAACATACTTATAGGAAGGTTAATAATCTGTAGCTAGTGAGTAAAATAATTACGCAGCAATAAAACTGTAGATCAAACATATTCTAAAGTTATCAGATGAGACAGAAGTGACTTGCAAGATGCGAGTAGCATTGTGGCAAATCCTCACTACGATGATTGTGAGAGAGTTTTGAACCTGAGGAAAAAGTCTGAGGCTTGCCGCAGGAGAAGCTTTTAACAAAAACAGTGAGAAAAACTCAGTGAAGTCATTGCTGCAGTTTGAGAAGAGATCGCTGCAGGAGAAGCTGAGAGTTAAAGAGCTTGGACCTGAACATGAATACTGGTTAAATTGAACTCTTGCTTGCTTCTCCTGCTTTCCCTTAATAACATCATCTATGGAGCTGCTAAACTGTAGACCTTGGTGACCATCATGACAGAGAGAGGATTGTGTAGTCTGACTTCAGTGTTAAGGTGGAGGGACGGCTTTATCTGCACCACTAATAAAATCAGGGATGTCAGAACCTTTGTGTTGGGTTTCATAATGTTTCCCGTCATGTGGTTATCAAACAAAATTTCAATAGAAGCTGGAAAGCTGCTCATTTATTGTTCCACAGCATCTATTGTCTGCTGAATAATACATCCAACATGTGGTCTGTAGTGCAGTGGCGTGTCGGGGTTTGAAATGTATTAGTAGGGAAGTACAGTATTGTTCTGGCTCTGCATCATCAAAACATTTCATCTAAACAGGAAATGTGTTTGGAGCCCATTTAGCTGAACAGGAAGAGATGAACTGATAGAACAGTAGTTTCTTTCCAGAAATAAAAGGCACTTGGTGGAATACGAGATACATAGCAGTCTGTCTGCAGCTCTACATCTACAGCTCTCTACTCAAAGGCACATTTATCCATCTCTGCTTAGTGACAGCTGCCAATAAAAAAGTCCAGATTTGGGGTCCAAAGACTGCAGTTCAAGAGGAAGGTGGAAGTGAAGCATCCCATCAGGAGAAAGCCCCGGCCCCCCAAAAAAGGACCACCACCAACCGGACCCCCAGAGTCAGAAGGAAAGTGAGAGAGGGAGTGTGTGACTGTCCTCTTCCTCTCTCTATCCCCATCTTCCTCTCCCTCTGTCTTTCTCTTGGTCTTACCACGCTGTCGGGTCTTTTCTCTCTTTTCGTGGAGCCTCCTCGTTTCCTTCCACATGTCTCAGTCTCTTCTTCTTGCACCGTCTGCAGGACACAACGATGATGAGGAAAATGACCACAAGGGCAATACCACCCCCGATGGCCAGAGCCAGGAGGAGGAGCTCAGAGAAAGATGCTGTAGGTGAGAAGGATACACAGAAATGCAGAATTTTTAGTCATTTTCAGGGGTGACTCTTGAAGACTCTTTGATATGTTTATCAATTATGACGGATTATAATCTACAAATGCAGAGTAGCTTTGGCACACTCTATCTGTTACAATTCTGTGCTCATACACTGCAAAGACAGTAAACACAGAGACAGAGTTGAATAATGATAAATGATCATAACCACTTTTATGATCAACACTGAGCTGAACGAATGTAAGTATCAGGTTGAGAACTTCAAATTTGAAACTATCTTCAAATATATTGCTATTATTGCTATGGCTTGGGAAAGCTAATCAGCCTTTTAAGCAGACTGAGCGGTTTGCACAGACTACAAGGGCTGGATCCAGACTGCTGAGGGTTTTTTTTTTTTTTCTTTGACCTGTATCTTAACAGATGAGACCCCTCAAGGATCAAACATCTACAGAATAGAGTACGCGGCTCCTTTTCCTGTGGATCTTGACAACACAAAAACAATACATTGAGTGCTGTATTCATGTCTCAAGCATCTGTCGAAGTAAATGCCTGATCGATGTGTCTGGACAGGTATTTGGTAACAGAAGTGGCTTGCATGAATCATGCTAGCTGCAGGTAAGTAACATTAATTAATAAATAAAATCACACCTCTTCACCTTGTCAAGTAAAATATCAGTCCTGGAGACTTTTACAAGGTGGGGACATTTTTATAGTGGGAGGCTTTTTGTTTTAATTTTATTTATGATGACATAGAGTTTTTTTTCCTATATGACATGCTTAAGTTGTTTAGATATTGTGAAGATATTTTGTAAAAAATCTGCATCACCTTCAGGTCTCTTTTATTTCATGAGAGATTTAAAACATAATACCAATAATTTATCGAGTCCTGCTGCCAACAAGTGAACAAGAGGAGTACCAGTAGGTCTGTTTTTCTGTGCATATACATGAATGCTTATAACTGGCTGCATGGTTCAGCTTTGGCTTAGTTTCTGCATAAAATCAATGCACAGGTAAACACCAGGGTTATGTGCTGCCTCACACAGCCTGCAGCATATTCAAACTCTTCTTGTCCACATCTTCATTCAGACATAATTTATATTTTTTACACTAATAATCAGAGTGTGATTGCTATCCTGGATAAAATGAAGCTCCCTCATGTAACGTGGAGAAAACAGCTTTGTATCTGCTGACCTGTGGTGACCACTCGAAGCTTTATCTCTCCGACCGCCCCGTGGACATCAGGAGGATTCTTCACCTGGCAGATGTAGGTGCCGTTGTACGTAAACTTGACCTGCTGGAGGATGATGGAGGCATCCCGCCCCATGATGTCACCGCCCCAAAGAACCCGCTTCCTAAAAATGCCGTCCAGAGGAGGGTACGGCCGCTGCTGGTAGTGAAACACCTGAGATTGAAGACAGGCGGGTTTAGTCATCGCTGTAACAGGTTTGTTTGTCAGACTGTCTCAAGTAAAAATGACAAACTGTGATGAGTTAGGGGAGAAAACTCAGACAGAGAAATGAATAGGAGACAGAAACCTGCTGCTTCTTTTCTCTATTATTCTCTCTCTCTCTCTCTCTCTCTCTCTCTCTCTCTCTCTCTCTCTCTCTCTCTCTCTCTCTCTCTCTCTCACACACACACACACACACACACACACACACACACACACACACACACACACACACACACACACACACACACACACAGGCTGTCTCAGGCACTCTATAGGGAGCCTGATGACTCACTGACTCCTCTCTTACTTGGCTGTGGGGGTGGATGCTCCCTGACACAATGAGAGAAGTTGGAGGTTTGATCTCACTTTCTTTCAGACACAGACACACGCGCGCACACACACACACACACACACACACACACACACACACACACACACACACACACTAACCGACTCCTCTCGGCCTGGCTTGAGGGGTCTAAAGGTCCAGGAGATGACGATTAAGTTGGGGTTGATTGGGGCAGAACTGTGGAACGTGCACTTCAGACGAGCATCCGTCCCGTTGACCGCCTCCATCTCCCCAGATGTGTAGATGCGCATCCCGCTGACCTGCAGCACGCCTGCATAAAGCAAACACATGGAAGCAAAGTTGACTACTGAGATGAATGCAGGAGTGTTGCACTGAAAAATCAATACATAAATAAATGGTTTGTAAATGAGAGACGAGTGTATACAAAAGAACAATACAACAGCCTGATATAAATTCACCCTCATCAGGAAACTCCTGCAGGCTGTGCACTCAGTGACCCTTCCTCTGCCTACGCAGAGCTGCTGCCAGGAAAACCTCTAATTCAAAGTTGTCACTTGTACTATCGGAGATACTGCGTATGAAAAAGTAAAATGAAATCCCACAAATTGGACCGAAACAGAAGAAAAAAACTGCTGTCAGAGAGCGGCTCTGTTTGACAAAGATCTCACTGATTTCAGATCAGTGACACTTGATGAATATCCCCACTTTAGCTGCAGACAGAGGGCTGGTAGTGACAGTCGGCGGTGTGCTACACGGTTATGGACTGTATCAATCTTTACCGTGCGTGGTGGACCTATTAAATGGAAATTGCACTGACTGGAAGAGCGAAGAGGGATATTGGCAGCAGTTTGGCTCCTCAGCACAATGATGGATGTAGCTCTAAGAATGAATTTAACTTTGACACATCAAAGAGACACTACAACGACATGAGACAGCCCAGAGGGACGACTGCAAACATTTCATGAACACCAGAAACATCTGTTATGGAAAATCATTTGATGAAACCTGACATTTTTTTTTACAAAACAAAAATATTTCATAAAATGTAAAAATGTTGTAATGAAACTTTTAAACAATTGAAAACAAAAACATTTCATGTAACAGAAAAAAAAATGTAAAATGAAAAAAAAAAGTAAAATGTAAAAGTAGCTTTTCATAAAATCCACAAAATTGTATTTGTGTTGTGAAAAAGTTGAACAAAATATTTTTACGTCTTACTGCATTCACGATTCTTTTGAAGCTTTTTTTTTCTTTGTGTGTTTCACGACACTTTCATGTTTTCATGTGGGTTCGCATCAAATGTATTTTCAGTTTGCTAAGTGTTTTTGTTATTCATGAAATGTTTTCATTTTGTCCAAATCATGTTTCAAAAAAACTTGATGAAACATGTTTTTGTGTTTTTGAACTTTATTTAGTGTTCAGTGAAACTTGTTCTATGTTCATGAAAGGTTTGTGCAGATTACCCATGCTGGATGCTGAGTCTCTGTCTGTCTGGCAGCCAGTCAGCGTCATGTCGGTTACCGGCCAATTACATCTCCCACTCTCAAAGACTGCTGCAGGAAAGTGTCTATCAAAGCAGATCCGACCCTACTTAAAATGGCTCTGTGAATTTGTGTGGGTCTGAGTCTCCCTGGACGCCCATGTGCAGGCTGTCTAGTTCAAATAACTGTCCTATTAATAGAGTGTGATCTACCTGGACAATATAAAGAACTGCGTCTTGTCTTATTAAAGTCCATGCCCAGGCGTAAAGCAGACTGCCTGTCTACAGAGCGAGCAGCCACAGTGAGCCAAGGGACAAAGAGCTGTTTGCTGCAAACTTCCACATTTGCACACTTCATATTAGGTTCATGCAAGAACTCCTACTTTATGACAGCTAGCTCAGATTCATGTACAGCTGTTTTTTTGTAAACCTGTAAATCTCATAGAAATCTAAGATATAGGAGCTGTAGTCATTGCTTATTTTAAGAAACAGTGCACAGAGCTCTGTACAACAGTTCAAATGAATGTTACAGGATCTGAGATGGATGTTTTTTATGTGTTTGAAAGCAATTTAAGGGCTCCAAGAATAGAAGTGAGAAAGTCCAGGAAGGCAAAGATGGCCATGACATTAGCCCTGCATTATGAATACAGCAAGTATTAAAGCAGGAGCTAGCTGGAAACTAGTCAGCAGGGGTTTGGCTCTTCAGACGTTCTGTGTTCTGTTCCTTATCAGGCTGCAGAGGGTTTCCTGTGGGCCGGGACGTGAGAGCGGGGCGACCAAATGGCCCTGCACAGCATTAAACAGACAGGCGTCTCTCTCATCGCCGGGCCCTTACTGAGCTCTCTCAGCCTAATGTGTTTTAAATGAGCGCGATGAAACCCGGGAGGAGCGAGGATTACAGGGAGAGTCCACACTGCAAGAAGGGTCAGGCGTTTTAACAGTGGGGTCCTTCAATTATGACTGTTTTTTTCTTGAATAAAATAACACCTATTTGCAGAGAAATTATAGTATAAACTTCTACATTATAGTCTGCTTAAATATTGTTAAGGTCCTAATATCCTTGAGTCATGAAAAAAATTAAAACTAATGAGTGCCTATTTGAATAAAAAGTTAAGATATTTAATCAAGACTAGTTTCCTTTTGGAAACAGGCGGCAAATGTGTTTAATTTCGCTGTAAAAAGTGGCATTTTAATATTGGTGTGAATGGGGTTTCTGCAGCCTCTGGGAAAGCCTCTAGTGGACACTCAAGGAACTGCAGTTTTTGCATCGGGTTCACTTCTAAGCATTGGAATTTGTGTTTTTCCAGTGAAAATAACACTACAACAAAGTGTGTTTTTAGGAGCTGCTATCTCAGCAACGTGGCGACAAAGACAGCTCAGCCAGTCTAAGTCAGGTTTAAGGAACCAGAGCTCTGAATCCAAGCCCTGAGAGGGGGGTTGACAAACCGAAGAGTAGCCAAGTCACACTTTCTCACAGTTTGAATGTATTTGAACTCAGTGGCAGATTTGTTACGAAACTGCAAGATTGGAGGAACTTCAGAGGTAACAAGCCTCCCTGCGACCTTTCTCCTGCTCCCTCGCCTACCTGCTGGTGGAAACTCTAAAGCTAGTGGATTAAACCGCCTGTGTGGGGGGATATTCATTAAGCAGATAACATCAGCACTGGCTCTATCTGTCCAGCCCTTAATGACTGCCTCCCTGGCTCTCCTGTTAGTGTGTGTGTGTGTGTGTGTGTGTGTAACCATGAGCGAGAAAACTCTGCAGAGGAGTCCGAGCCGGCGCTGAAAGGTCACCTATTCCATATTCTGTGTGAAGTTTGACAAAGAGGAAGAGGAGAAACAGAGAAGGGGGGAGGGAGCCAAGTCTGCTGCAGAAATGACTAAAACTCCTATTAGTGAGAGTGAGTTTAATGCTGAGGACAGGGGCTTTCATCAATGTGAGCTTCATGGCCTAGGATGGCAGTGGGGTGATCAGTCTACACTTTCATTCAGACCAGAGCAGCTGTCTGCTGTGTTGCAGTACATTTTTTTAGGGACAATCATGATCCCTGGAGGATCAAACCTGCAGACTTTAGAGAGATCTGATGTTTTATCTGTCTTCAATACAGCTGCAGTTTCTAATCACACAGATTTAACTCCAATGTATGATCGTAATTTACTGTCTGATGAAGTATTTGCTAAATGAAACAAATCACAAGATCACACACTCAGCCTGTCATGAAGCATAGAATAAGAAGATAATTTATGAATAAACTGGGGCTGTCAGCATTAATATGCTAACTTTGATATCATCAAGAAATTCTTCAACCTGCTATTTTGTCCCTTTCAGTACACCATAGTTTGAAAAAAAAAACATAAAACCATGACTATATTGAACAAGAAAGGTAGAATAAGATTGATTTGTAGTTTGACAGCTTTCAAACATATTCATATCCAACCTCATCAGACTCACAAGACTCAGAATTACAAGATTTTTTAATTTAACACATATTCATTCAGGAATTTCCCATAAAACAAACTAAAAAATGAGTTCTCTTTAGCCAGGCGGTGTTACCAGGTTTACACCAACCCCTCTTGAACAGTCCAGATATGAGGTGTATTTGCTCTGACTGGACCACTACTTACTCTCTTCAGTGCAACATATGTTTCATGCGTTCATATTCCTGTAGAAAATTCTCACTTTGCATCTACCAACAAGCTTAACTAAGCAAGAGAGTATTACTCCTGCAAACTAGGTGTATTTTATAGTGCGCCCAGTGAGATACTTCAGTTCAGCCTGTTAAAGCGATATAGTGTCATATGGAAAAATCTCTGCGACATTAGTTGTACATCATATCCACAGTCAGAGCTGTCAGTTTCTGCATCAAGCGCAGCCTGAAGATTAGCTGAGGAATAAACAGCAGTGCTGTGCATATCCTCCTCCACTACAGTGTTAAAAAGCTCTCGCTAAAATGATTCATCACGCTTCATATATCAGGGGAGAGAGCAGGTCCTCCAGGACAAAACACCTCATTTAAAATTTCTCCCCTTAACCAATCTATTTACTGTACATGAATTTAAATAAGCATCGCTAATCTCCTTATAATAACAAAAAATCAAGACGCTTTCAAGTACGGCGTCCTTTGACTCACGCTGTGCTGATTAAGGATGGAGGTTAATCACCCCTTTTTGAGGGAAATGAGTATTAGCAGACTGACAGAGCATTCAGGGTGATGTACAGTGCTGCAATTACTGTACTAATTTGTCCCTGCAGCTGAAAGTAAGTGATCACTATTTAAACGCTCATTAACATGCGCTAATTCCCGAGGATGATGCGTGCCATTACATGGAAAAGACATTAGCAGCGTAGAATTTAACTCATTTAGAGGAAGAGAGATAAACAAGCAGAAATGAGTCCAAATGATGAAGAGGAGCAGGATGATTGATAGATGGAGGATTAAGTGCTGTATGAATGCTGGAAAATGTATTTTTCCTCATAATTGCAGACTGTAAGGAGGAGATAAGATAATGCTGTTTGTTTGCTGGTCTGTAGATGTTTTTTTCTCCTGTCCTGTAGAAGGCTTTGACTTGTTTATGTCTGGACTTCCTGCAGTCTTAAGTGACCACACCCAGCATGCTAAGATGAAGAGAAAGAGCTTTCACGGCTTATTAGGACAGAGTTATGCTCACTGCAGATAAGGGCAGAGATGGGAGTCAGACATGAATTTACTCTAATTAAGTTTCAAAATTCTCTAAAACTGTGAATCTGTAGTTTTCTCACAGTTTACAAATAAAGGACTTATATAAGGTTGCATCACTGCTGGGGTCAGTCTAAGCTGTGCAGAAAAAAAGCACAGGGTCTGATTAAGAGGAAGAGAAATTTAAACCCTCTCTAAACCCAGCTCAGTCTCAGCAGATGACTGTCGGTTCTGCTCAAGGTTTCTGCCTGTTAAAGGAAGTTCTTCCTCTCCTCTGCAACTTACTCAACACTGCAGAGTGTTTCATTCATGTGCTTGAAGATAGGATGGGAGTGGGTCTGATCTGTAAAGGTTGGAGCTCAGTCTTATCCAGTCTTTACATTGAGTCTTTGTAAACGGAGTCTAGAGTAGAGCAGCTTTTTGTTTGGTGTCATATTGTGAATCGGTAATGTATAAATTTAGTTTAAAAGTACAGTTTGATCTCCAGTCTGCCCCTGATTGGTTGACAGACCAAAACTGAGAAGGCAAGTTTCAATAATTATAGTCAGCTAACAGAAGTGACATTATTTTACCAAAACTTACACATAAATCATTACAGATTGCCTCCTTTTTGAACCCACAAAATCCAGAGTTTTTGACCTGAAAACTGCAGCCAGTCTCACGAAATGAGTGGATTTTACAGTAAGATTAATCCTGCGTTGTACGGTTCTGATGTAAATGTGTTTCACTTTCCTAACGTTAGATTTGTACTTTTTCACTGAACTCACACAACTTAATGAGTGTTTTGTTTTAATTTACAGGTTGTTTTCATTTAATCAGACCAGTGTGAAGCCTAGCTTGATAAACAAGAACCTGATGAGCCAAAAGGCCAAATTAATTAAAAGCAAAATTAATCCCCGTCTTATATTCAGCCCATATGTTATGTGTGAGAGAGCCAATAAGTTGCAGTTTAACCATAATTTTGTTTTTGATTCACTCATGTCAGAGATATTTGAAATGTGGTTTCTGGAGTGTGCTGACACCCTGCTGCCTGTTTACTTTAGCTGTTAATGTACATCGTCACAGTAAAGACTTTCCTGCATGTGTTTTGGCTCAGGTCAGCTTCTTATCTTACAAAAACATCTGTCCGGCTCTGTGTCAACTCAAATCCCAGATGTTTTTGTGTATGAAGAGATACAGGAGCAGCATGAATGGGCTGTAAAATGTTACTTTACATTGTTTTGCACGTGTGCTGCATGTCGTGTCTGGTATTTCTCAGGGGGCTCACTGCTGCTATAAACACACTAACACACACACAGTCTCTATCACATGTTGCCAGTGTTGGAATAAGTTCATGATATCCAGCAATATGTCCAATATATCACTTTAAAATGAACCTGCTGAACCTTTAATGCACTACAGTACATTTCATCTGTCAACGCAGCCTGTTACAAACTCCTCTGGTCTGCAAGCTCCTGCAGCCAGAGAGGAAAATGCTTCATCCTCTGTAAAATAATCAAACCAAGCCCACTCCAGTGTGATTAGGTCTGCTTGATTTGGCAGACATCCCCAGATTGTATAGAGGCCTTCCAGAGCGGTTGGAATAATATCAAGTAGTGCTTGACCCGCCTATATTATGTTCCCCTCCAAGTCATAGAGGTTTAAAAGAGCCTAACCTTTACCACACTTCAAAGTCTAAAGACTCTCAGGGCCAGACAGGGTTTATCTAAGGATGTGCCCTGTCAAAAGGCGGGTAGGAGTCATTTTATTGTACTACATCTGAAAAAAAAAATTGGCTTTATACTCAATCGAGCTGGTTCTACATTCAGGACTCAGGCCCAGATCTAGGAAACCATCAACCCTACATTGGGCTCTATTTTCATGTCCGCTGGTGAGGCGGTGGAGGGTGGCTGACCCCGTGCAGTGGTGTTTTCGTCTGGCTGAGCCCAGCGTACAGCCAGTTTGGTATTTTCGTGGACTGAGGCGCACCGAGGTCCACCAAGCTGGGCGTGGTGGCGTGGCAGAGGGAGGTGTAGACAGAATCAGCTGGCGCAGTGACATTTTCGTGCTCGCCGGTGGTGTAAAAAGTGCGCTGAAAGCTCGGTGATTCAAACCTGGTCAGCTCTCAGCGCAGGCGGAGCGCAGCTGGTCTAATGGTATTTTGGTAGACCGGCGGCGTATCGGCATATGTCACCAATGCCTCACCGGCAGGTTTCCACAGTGTCAGGAACATTTCAGTGCAATAAGTAATCATTAACAACTAATAATCTGAGTCAGCACATTCATTTAGATCTAAATCGATATATTCTGATCTATATCTGATCTGATGAGCGCGTTTGGCATGCGTTTTGACACACAACCTGACCGAATCAACACAGCTGAAACCGCATTAAATTAAATTAAATATCTAGTAAATAAACACATATGATGAAGTTAAAAAGATATGTAATGTGTCTCCCTACTTTTCTTTCTTCCTCTTCCTCTTATTTCTCGTGCAGCTCGACCTGGACACGTCTCTGTGTCCTCTCTCCGTCCTGCTGCAGCAGCGGCTGAACAGATGATTTGTTTCAGTGATCAGATGAGTTATTTACTTTAAGTCGCTGGGAGGAGCTGAGTTAGGGAGGGGGGATACTTACACCGGGCTGCCCCTCTCACCAAAATACCAAATTGTGCTTGGGAACGCCTTGTTGGCGCGGCGGACCTGACTTACACTGCGCCTGGGCCACGTCTCCGGCGAAGCACGAAAATTGAGCCTAATGACTTGATCAGAGCGAGTAAGCTCTGAGGAGGTGATCGTAGACACTGTCTGCAAGAGAAAATTCACCTACAATCACATTATCCAGGTGTGTGAGTGCGACTGTGACAATGTTCCACCAGCACTGGTTCTGTCTGAATTTCAGGGTGTGTTTCACACTGCACTGAGGCATGTCTGGTATATTGAACTTTTACCTTCACTGCTGAGTAAACATCCTTTGGTATTTTAAATATTTCTTTCAAACATCTTAAAAAAATTTCACAAAATGATGAAACCATGTCTGCTTTCAGGACTCAGTCCAATCCTCTGTTCTGGTATTCAGCATGAGGTTGAGCTCATAATATAACAAATATGCACGATAATCAAAGACATACTTGTAGAAATGGGAAAGTACCAGAAACCTGGTCCATAATGCTGCACATGATTGTGTAAAAGTCACATTATGTCAATACGTGGAGTTTCTTCTGCTGTTCTAATCACTGTGTAAGAGTTCTTCCCTCCAGAGTATGCATGCTAAACCTGGATTTTCCACCATCCTGGGGGGTCTGAAGTCTTCTTGGACTTAACAACGGGGGAGGAAACTCAGCAGGAGAAATCAAGCAGTTGGCACGCCACTCTGAATCAGGAAATTGGTTTCATTACATTATTTCCCAGACAGTGTGTGTTTGGGCCTTTCCTCTCTTCATTATGCTGCAGAAACAAAGAGACCACCGGAGGAAACCTGACTCTCTCTGTTGCTCCGGTTTTGGAGGAAACACTTAGGAAAGGACCAAACACACAAAGAGCTCGGCGGATCACAAAGAGCCTCTTCTCTCTCTCTCTCTTTTTTTGTGGGAGCTTTCACAAGCCCAGGTTAGTTTTCTCTCTTTTTTTAACAAGGTCTGTCTTTCATGCAGGGCCAGGCTGATGGCTGGGAAGAGCAGGTTCAGGTAACAGTGTGTTCACTGGGAAGGAGGCTAGAACTGAGGGAGGGTGAGTGTTGAGAGGTGTAATTGGAGGGAAACCCTGAGAGTGGAAACAACTTAGAGTGACTCATTTCTTCTCTGCACGTGTTTCCGTCCTTCCACCCAGTTGTGGCCAGAATAAGCAAATAAAATGTACAGCTCCAGGAATGTGTTTACATACTGGGGTGTACTTAAATTCTCGGGCTGTTTTCATAGTGAGGTCCATTTACTAGTTACAGTGAAAAATTACATTGGAGCACAGAGTGCATGGAGCAACTGTTTTGGAAGGTGATTTCCTGTGACAACATGACACTGCCTGAGAGCGTAAAGCCTGAACCATGAGGACAGAGCAATCCAGCTGTTCAGACCTGTCCGTTTTATAAGACTGCATCTAATAAAGACATCCTAATTTTTGCTGCTAGATTACATGGCAGCTTTTTTGTGTTAGAAGCACAGTAGATGCTGTGCTGTCCTGTTTCATCGTCTGTGTGGAAAAGGTCAGCGCAACTGGAGTAACGTTAAATGATGGTCAGAAAACGCCATAGTCTGACCGCACAGCTAACCTACTGCGTATGTGGTCTCTGGTGTTCCTGCAGACAGCCACACTTAGGGAACTGCAGTTTTTAGCACTTCGGAGTATGCTGCTTGGTATGAAAATGCTGTTTTTGCATGCAGTGCTCTCCTATGGTGTTTGACGGGACTAACTGACCACTTTCTGGTCTTTCATGGTTACCCCAAATTTCCACCACATACAAACTGCGTAACAGCCGCGATTCTTGCCATCCACCAATTCCCACCAGATGCGTTTAAAAGGCAAATTTCCTGACAGATTTCGGACAGCCAGAATCACTGGAACTCGTAAGAACCTATGAACTCACATGCAATCACGTGGTAACAAGTTGTCTCTATAATGTCCGCCACATAACCCCATATAAGCAGTAAATTGTGTCCTTCCAGAGGAAGAAATCCAATTCATGACTTCTAGAATCAGCATCTCCTCATCCATGGTGTCAACAGGATGAAATGAAGTCTGAAAATCTTTGATTTGTTTGTCCCTGCCCACGTTTGCATGGTGTGAAATAAATATCATTTAAAAAGAAGCCAGATGTTTTATTTTGTGTCTGTGCCCGACTTCCTTTCCAGGCGATAGGCTACGAAGCCCACTTAACTGCAGGGGACCGGAAAGGAACTGGTGGAAATCGACAAATTAACTTGAATGGAAAAAATCAGCGGCGATCAGCACCAATGGCAGGGGAATTGGGGATTATATGAGCGTTTGTAACCTTTTTCACATTGTCACGTTGACAGAGGAATATTCAAAAACACCTCCAGTGTGGACAGAAACTTTTTCAAGCATGTTTTTCTCTTAAATATCTGTTTACATGTAGACATCGCCCAAGACTGGCTTGATCCTACCAACCAGACCTTCACAACCAATTGAAACTGGCCCCAGCTGACCTCACCTATGATCTTGTTTTTGAAGTCAAGTTTACCTCTCTGAGTGAAGGATCTTAAAGAAGCAGATTTATGGACATGTTTTTCTTGAAATGACGTGTAGTTATTACACACTGGTGTAATATTTTGATAAGCACAAACCTATAGCTTTGTAAAGAAAGTTAAGAGTAAACAGGTGCACATACCAGAGGAGCACCTCTCACCTTCGATCGTCTCTTTACGACTGCTGCCTTCATATTTCTCATCCTGTGCTTCCTCTAACACATCCCTGCTAAATTTAAACAAAGAGGACCTGTCCATGGCTGATTCTGGCTCTCTACAGGTGGCTCTGTTTTCTGTCATACCTGCCCATTCCTATGACTCCAAATAAAGCTGAAGTGTAAAATATCAGTCTTCTGCAGAGATGTACCAGACACCCGCTTCTTGGAAGAGCTAAACCTTCATTAACTTGATAAATGGGGATTGGTGTTGTTATTTTAAATAGAAAAACTGACATTTCTTTGCATCATTCCACAGATTTATGAACTTTAAGGTTTAAGGAAACTCTAAAGTTTACTCCAAACACTTGCTTAAGCATCAATCTCTGTTTCTTTCTCTTTCTTCTTCCCTCCTGCTTCCTCCAGGCCGCTTGTAATTCATCAGGCAGCAGAGTCCAGGGGGAAACGTGCGGTGGGTGAGTGAGGATAAGAGTTTAATCCATCAAACCTCTTCCACTCCCACCTCGCAGCTGACTCAACAGCTTCACTGCGGGATTACAAACTCCTGAGAGAGGGGGTGTGGGGGTCCATACGATGTTTCTGTTCAACACCCCCATAGGCCTCTGTTTGCAAGACGCTCCAAACCCGCAAAGACAACCTTATTCAGATATTTACTACGGGGATCGACTCACTCTAGCAGCAGTATGAGTCACAGTGAATTCAGTCCCGCTGCCTAGCAAGATGAATTAGTTAGTGACCAACCGACCACATATCGGCGGCACAGATCAGGAGCCATGCAGAGGAGGAGGTATTGACAACTACTGCTTGCTGTCTTTGTTAAAATGCAGCACACCACCTCTCTAAGTTAGAGATATCGGTTAAATACTGCTCAACCGTCAGATTACTCCACTTTTAGAGGAAGAAACATCAAATTTAATCAGCATCCAAACACAGACAAGTTCAGTCTTTGGTTCAACTTCATGTCTGCAGCTGTGTTTTCACTCTGAGTGGTTGAAATGCAGGGATTGTGGAGCCCATGAAAAAAATATCACATCAGGCTGTTGGTCAGGGGCCCTTAGAGGCTGTTACATGGAAACATAGTCAATAGTGATAAAAACTAACACCTATTGCATTTCCTTTACATGTAAGCCTTTAGGCAGCTAAAACTTTTGAGAAGTGACGAATTTTGAAAATGCCACCTCCTTTCCTTTTTAACTAACAATAGGACGCCTTTGAAAAAACACTTCAATATTGTTATCATGCTACACTTTGACTTAACTGTAATGGTCTTTTACCTCAGTGCCCTCACGGAGGTCTCTTTGGAGGAACAGCTCCAGCTTTCAGGAACAGCTAGGACTCAAATGGTAGCATTATTTGTTTGTATGAAAGTACAGATCAGCTGAAGAGGCAGTGTCTTATTTCTGCTTTATTCAAAGATTAAATAACAAATATTAGGGTTGTTGAACAGACTTCATTTACTTAATTAAATAACTATGATAACAAAAAATAAGATGATTCAAATGCCGTTGCAGTAATCCTCTCTACAGCTTCATCTCTTTGAACTTTGTCCAAGTCCTGTTTGGTGCTCACTTGGTAAAAGCACAGTCACATGGACTTCAATGAGAGTTAATGGGGTGGAGGAGTCTTTGAGCACATTTAGTGACTGAAACCTGCCTCACCTTCTTGCTCCACCCCTTTTCTCTTTTATACTGAGAGAGCAAAACCAGATAAGTGGCTGCCTCTTTTATAAATCAGAGTTTTGAATAACAATAGATGGGGTACTTAGGATACATACTGAAGAAGGAAACTAAAAAATAGTGAAAGCTTTGACCGCTCTAACAGGATACCAAATGTCTGACTCACATAAACTTAGATTACCCCTCAGCTTTCTGCAGATGTGAGACTCAAAAGCTGCAGATTCTCCATGGAAACAGCTGATTTATTCCACATGCTGTAAACCTAGAAGAGATGAGCTTCAACTGCAGAGTGCACTTGTTTGCTGTGACTCTAAACAGAAAGAATGTGACTACACAAACAGAAAACCCTGCTGTAAAATCTGCTGCATTTACAGACACGCAGATTCAGAGGGACCCTGACTGTGTGTGTGTGTGCACAAACACTCAATCCCCAGCTGAAACACAAACACTTTCAATTCAACCAGGAGTGTATCTGAAATCTGTGTTTACAGTAGGAGCGGATATTTAAACACAGCAGAGGGAGTGCCATGGTCTGCAGTCAAACACTTGGCAGATGCACCCAGAGCCTGCAGTGCTTTTACACCAGTGCGTTTATGCATATTAGAGCGTCACTGTCGCTGACTCCTCACACCTCCGGGCTAGCCCATAAAGACGACACAAAGGCCAGAAATCCCTAAAGGCGTGTCAACACAACGCAGCGCGCTGAAAACCGCAGCAGTGCTTTGTTAACTGAGCCATTATTGTGGTGAGATTGAAAAAGCGGTGTGGCACATGGTAATTGCTACATGCTAGGGAAAAAACCAAGTCACTGTTCATCTTCGGTAAACCCAACGGAGTTAAAGCAAAGCCTGAACAACCAGTGGAAGCTGCCGAGCCGTGCGTGTGTGCTAAACCTGTAAGTCAGGACAGGTTGGCACACGTCAGTCTGGGAACATTTCAGGTTTCTGACAGTGGAGAAAAAGTGTTAAAGGAAGATGAACGGAAGTGAAGCCAGACTCGAAAAAAACAAAGCAGACCTGTTACAAACTCAAGGGGATCTAAAACATTACAAGCAAAGACTGTGAGCTGGTGTAAACTCTGTAAAACTGAACTAGACTTTGTTTTCAGTCATTTGTCTGTCACAGTGTGTAACTATTTCACAATCTTTCACAGCAGAAATAGAAAAAAAAGTGTTTTAACAGAAAGAGATCAACATGGAGGCTCCTCACTGACCTCTTTCATTTCTTAGATCTTTTTTATTGGACAAACTTCACAAATCAGTTCCTTTTACAAGCTCTTTGAGTTTGATCTGAACTTGTTGATCAACCTCTGACTTCTTAAACGAGTCACAGCAACTCCTCAGCATGATAAATCTACTTTTACCTTAAGGACATTTTAGAAATTTGATTTTGAGCCAACAAACCTGTGTTTGTAGTTGTTTTGGATCAGTGCTCCTTTTATTTTATCACCTTAATCAACGGTCCTGTTAATCATTTTAGTATATTTCATATTCAGTTACATAAAGCTGGTTTTACTTTTTATAGTTGTGTACAAATTTCTTCAATATGATGATTATTTCAGGGCCTTGAATTAATCTCCTTTTCTTCATGACTGTTGATTACGTCATCAGTTCAAAACAAGAAGACAATGAGAGGTTTGAAGAAGTCCGGACAAAAGTCAAAACCACATGTAGGCACCAGTAAGAGCTGTTTTTAATTTCCTTCTTCTACAATAAGCGATGATTGAGTTTTTCTTTTTTAGGCAGAGAAAACATATACACATATGAACATATTTTAAAAAAGCACTTGTGAGTCCAAAACTTTAAAAGTAAAGATTACCAGCAGCTAAGAGACACAAACTCAACCCAGCCTGAGGCAACCTCAGCTTTTGGAAATATTTTTGTAAAAGTTATTGTAAAATTTGTTTGCCATAGCTTCAAGCCCATTTTGAGGGGATGTGGAAAACTGTCCTGTGACCTGATGGATCAAAATTTGACATTCTTTTTGGAGGTCATGGACGCCACGTCACATGAAGGAAAGGGACCACTTGCAGGTAAAAACTAAACAAAGCAAAGAGGAAACCAAATAGAAACAGACAATCTTTTTGCAAATCTTGGACACCAGAACATAAAGAGTAGAAGGACGACTAAGCTTGTTTTCAGCTTACAGTTCGAAGCCAGCATCTCTGATGGTGTGGGGATCATAAGTACCCACATCATGGTTGCTAACACATAACATCTTTGGGTTAATCTTTGCCTTCAGTATGCAGGACAGCTGATGAGAGACAGAAAACATCGGGAGTCGAGAGCAGGTAAGACATGTAGCAATAGACCAGTGACCACTGCATTAAGGACTACAGTTTCTGCATGTGCAACACACACTGAAACCACCAGGTCAACAGCAGTATGACTGATTTTAGAAAGACCATAAGTGTAGAGTTTGATCTTTAAAATACTTCCTTATGATCCTGCATGGAGGGCAGGAGTCAGATCAACAGCACTCTGCTGAAACAGTTTTTAAGGTGGGGGGACCATACATCCTCTTTTACCTGGACATGTCCTGTTTTGGGGGGCTGTCTGGATTGTCCAGGGGGAGTTTATAAAATCCTTCAAATGTCCGGGGTTTTGTATTGAAGTTCTGAGTTTGTGTAGCATGGACTAACTGAGTTAGTAGCGTGTAAAAAACACTTGACCTGACCTGAAAAACCCTCAAAATTTTGCATGCGACTGCCCAATGTAGTAGTGTCCTCTTTTTAGGGATTCAGAATGGTCACCCTATTTTAGATAAAGCATAGAGTGTGTAGAGTCAGCGATCAGAACAGACTGGAATATTAAATTTGTTGGTAAATTTAAATGAAGAAAGTCTTTTTGTTGAGTTTAAGTCAGAATGAGCGTTTTGCACCTACAAAAACAGGTCCTCTTCCACTGAGGCCACCATCTTGTTTCTGTGGTAGCTCAGAATGGACAAACTAATATGTGTGTTGTATTTGACAAGAGGTTGTTGTTGTTGTTGTTGTTGTTGTTGTTTTGCCAAAGAAATTGATTAGGTGGCGAAAACTTGATGAAGAGTGGATCATACTTATCATGCATCATGGGAGCTTTTTGTCCTTAAAGGCCATTATCACTCTGTTGACAGGAGGGACGAGCAAAGGGGGCATTTAAATGTAGTATTTGACTGATAGATATATGCAAGATTTTTAATGTACAAAAAAATCAATGATGAGTTTTAGGTCAACGAAAGTATTTGTGCAGGGTTAATATCAGTGTGAACTTCTCTTGACAGTCACACAGAGGTGAGATCATGCGCACACAGAGCACCAACCTCAGCTCATGCTGTGGTCATTATTCACTGCAATTCTAAAAGATTTAACTTCTACTAAATACTCTGCAAAAAGCGTTTCATGCAACTATTTGATCATCCTGCCTGCTTTCAGCTCAGCTGCTCCAATGGTTAACCATGCTGTCCCTCCTCCTCCACGAGTTTAAAAACACCAGAGCTTTCTGGTTACCCTTGCAGATTGGAGAGCATAGAAATAAAAAAGAGAAAGTTGGAGTCTGGTTGTGATCAAAACTGTTCAAGTAAGCAATTCCATTCTTGTGATGTAAAAATCCAAAACATTGCTCCCAGAAGCATCTCTACACAAATTAGGATTTATCATGTGTTTATAAAAACTCCTGCCGAACATATTTTTATAAAACATAGCGAGGAGCGGAGGGTTTATCTTTTGGGGGCGATGAAAGCTTTTGATGCATCTTTGCTGCGATTATGTTTGAAGCAGCAGGAACACAGAGGGAGATTATTCTGTTTGGTTTATAACATATCTCTTTAAAGACGGAGCGCTGTCTTTGATCAGTGTAATGCATGTCAGAGGAGACAGGCCGATGGGTAAATGTGTTGGCTGTTTCAATGCCACAGCGGATCTGTTTACCCAAAAGAAGGAGGGGTGAGTAAGGGAGGACTTATTTTGTTCCACATGGAGTCTGAAAATGTCTCATGAAAGTGATACGAGTCCTCTGGCTTGTCACATCTCAGTCTGTCATTTTCAAGCCAAAAACAGCCGAAGGCGATGGAAGTGATTAGAGCCATAATCAGTTCCAGCATGCCTGTCCTCATCCTCATGCTGTTATTTGATTATCTGTATGCACATGGTATATTCCTGCTCTGTTTGTCTATGTGATGTGTTATTAGTGACCTGCAGGCTCAGGCTCCTGTAGACACACGCAGTTTGCTGCTATAGTGAATCCCTACATGGTGCTTTGGCAGAGGATGGACATCAATCAATATAATCCACTTAACTGGGATGGACACAAGTTGCTTCAAGGTTAGACAACCTGAATGAATTGCCTCTAATATGTCAATTTGTGATATTAAAACATGCTCTATTAGCTGTGCGACTGCAGCCTTTTTAATGTGGGCAGTTATGAAAATTGAGATGATTTATGACTGTTTACTTCTATTAGTGTACCTGACATGTTGTTATTATCTCACTGACATATCCTGGATAGCTTCCCTACGGGAAGCAGGTGGACTTATCTGCGTCCAGCGGGCCACTACGCAGTCTCCATGAACGTCAGCAGGACACTCATAAGAGTGCAGGAAATGACTCTAGTTGCATGAAATCAAAACACAATGCAGCCAGGGTCTGATGCCAGTAAACAGAGCCTGCTTTAAAGTTATCATGCTGCCAGAAAAAGACCGTTTAATAGCCTTCACAGGAATTCTTCAGCAACCCCCCCGTGCCACTGTTCCAGCTTCTCCACATCCAGTGACGCACGCCAGGCTCCAAGGGATGGAGGTTAGAGGTCCCTGCAGAGCTTTTACTAATAGACAGACAGGCAGGGTTTTCTCCTTTACTGTGGAACTGATTGTTGTCATTGGCTCTACACAGTCCTCCTGTTATATCTGAAGACCATTCTTGGAAATGTGGGTATGTGTATGCATGTGTTGTATCAAAAGTGCCCTCTGTTTAATGACACATAAAATAAAGTGCCCCTGACTGCCCTTCCATCAAACGAAACGTAGAAAACCATGTTGATGGCTGCAACTGTATAAAATGTTTTTAAAAAGCTCCCTCATGTGCCTTTCAAGTGAGCAAAATTATTTTTAAAAATGTCCCTGCTGAATTCAAATTCAGTGAACAAAAACAAACTAAAGCCAGTGCCTTCCAGTGAGTCTGGCTGTAAGGAAAATAGTTCCCTCTGGATGTCCTACTTGTGAGAGAATTGCCAAAAAGTTCCCTTTACAGTAATAATATTTAAAATATTGTACCTCAGACTGCACTTCCAAAACAGACAAAACATTTAAAAAAGCACCATCCTTATGTCTTTTAGTGTATAAAATGTTCTTAAAAGTTCCCATCTGATGCCCTACCGGTGAGTAAAACAGATTTTAAAAAGTCCCTGTTGAGTTTCTGCACAGTTGGAAAAAAATAAACTGAAAAGACAGTGCCTTCCAGTAAGTAGGGCCATAATAAAAATCGTACCCACTGGATGCCCTTCAAGATTTGCATGTTTGAAAGTGCCCTCTGGCTGCTCTTCCAGTGAGTGACACATAGTGACCTCTGGATGTCCTCTCAGTGACAATCATCTAGAATAAAAGTGCCCCCTGTGTGCTCTTTTAGTAAACAAAACATAAAATCAGTGCCCTCTGGTTGCCCTTTCACTCAATAACACTTACAATCAGAGCTCTCTGCATGCCCTACCAGTGAATAAATCATTTAAAATTAGTGTCCTCCAGATGCCCTTCTAGTGCATTAGACATTAAAAATAACTTCCTCCCCATGCTCCTCCAGCAAACACATGAAAATGGTGTCTTCTTGATGCCCTTTCCGTGTAGTGAATGTAATACATTACCCACAAAGCTCCCCTTTGTGGCTAGAATATAAAGTGCTCGTTCAGAAGCCTCTCCACTGGATTGAAAGTACTGAAAAGAAAAAATTCAATCTTATAAAGCTTCAATCAGGAAGCTCCTCTTCTGCGAATTCTGTTTTATAACTGTTAGTTTATCTTTTACACAGTGAAAATGTACCCCTTTAAACAGCTGTGTAAATATCCACCGGCAGACAGGGAATTAAGAGCCTCCTCTTATTGCATTTGCCTCATCATATTTTAAACTTGCAGGTATAAGGGGTCTGTACCCTCCTCTTTAATAGGTGGTCAGGCTAATAATAAGTCCCTGTGTTCTGGTGTCACATGGCATTCAGCAGGTGCCCTTTCTTGATTCTGCCCCTGTCCCTCAGACAGCCAGAGTTCGCCACTGACTCTTGTTAAGCAGAAAAACATTTAGGACAGCCCCGGTGCTACAGAAAGGAAGCATACAATCTTTTTTTAAGTTGAATGTAATTTTAAAGAGGCGTTTCAAGTGTTTGATTATTTAAAGATGTATTGATCTGATGGCCTCTGCGTCCAGGGATGAGGCTACAGCAGGCAAAATAGTGCGTTTGGTTAGGTCTGAAACACAAAATCTTCAAACAAACGCTGGGAGAAATCACGCCAAACTGTCTGGTTCTCAATAAAAAAAAACTGTGAATAATACCTCACCAAAATTCTGCCTGAAAATGCTCACAAACCTCCTTTTAATCACTCAAACCGAGTCGGGGTCTCACCTGAAGCTGCGAGTCCACACAGGACAGCGAGGAAACAGAGCCCCTTTACGCACATTGGATGGACGACAGACTGTCCGGTAAACCTTGAGACTCGGGAGCCGGAATCAAACCCACTGAGATTCCTCCGCCGACTCACAGTCACTGGAAACTCCGCTGAAAGTCTGTGGATCCCCTTCCGAGAGTGTGAGAAACGCTAAAATTACGCGGAGCCCTCTCCTCCACCTTATCTCTCCAAAGACGCGTCCCAACTCGCCGATGCCCTCACATAATTTACTTCAGCTCCCTCCCACCACATTTTCGGGCGGAGTAACAAAGTCTCTGACTTTCCTCACTGCCTCCTTATCTCTCTCCTACACGGTGAGTCCAGGGCCGGCAAATATTTGATGGTCACCCAACCTGTTCGGCTGCCGCGTAAAACACATTTACATCTGTGGTGCGATGCCAAAGCTGTTGCGCAATCTCACAAGTGGAATGATTCATGCAGGCACAGAGTGAAGACAGCATTTATAATCTCGTTATGAGCTCATATGATGTCATGACACACTTTTTCCAGCTGTTATTGCGTCACCTTATGGCTTTAAATGAGCGTTTTATTCAATAATAATGGAAAAAACGTGTTTTGGAGAAGCCAGATATCTCATTACTGTGGAACCAGATGGATCAAAATATTCAAAAAAGCTCTGACTTCAATTACAAGTCAAGTCAGATTCGTTTGATGGAGTTCAGTACGTTTTCCAGAAAAGCTGGATAGTCAAAGATATTTTGAATAAGGCAGATAGTGAGAATAGCTAAAGAGCTTACTAGTTTAGAAGCACAAGGCTTGCACTAACTCCACTTTACCGTATGATGACCAGAGACCAGCAGAGAGCCACAGTTTACTGTCCAAGTAGCTGGTTACTGCTTTGAACCACTTGGGGGCAGAGCTGCACTTTGATGTAACAGTGGTATGAAGTCTGTCAGAAAGATTTAAGACACTGACAGTCAGTTTGAGCTTTTAAAAGGTTACAGCATGTGAATCTCGAAATATAGGAAAACAGATAAAATGGGAGAGGACAGCAACAGTGCAATAAAATTTACATTATAGTCTTAATTCTAAAAAAAAGTACAAAACTTAATTTAAAGCTTGTGAAACAGCACAATAAATGTTGAAACACAATGATTTCTTATGAACAGTATATCCTCACTTTCAATTTGATATCAGCAAAACATTTTTAAAAAGAAGTTCCTGGTTGTGTCTCATCAGCTCTTCTTTTAGCGAGACTCTGTAAAAGTTAGTGAACCCAGGAGACCAGTTTCTGAAGTTTTTAAAAGTTAAATGTTGTTCCATTCTTGCCTGATAGAAGATTTAAGCTGCTCAACAGTTCAGGGTCTCCTGTGTTTTCAGTTGTTGTCAAGTCAGGACTTCAGGGAGGCCAGTTTATCAGCAGGACTCTACTCCTACAGAGCCATGCTGTTGTAATCCCTGTTGTCTGAATGTGGTTTGTCATTGTCTTGCTGAAATATGAAGGTCCTTCCTGAAAAAGTCATTGTCTTGATGTCAGCAGATGTTGTTCCTAAAACTGTAGATCTTGTTCAGCATTAATGGAGCCTTCACAGATGTGGAACATGGACTCAGATGATCCTCATACCATCAGGGATGCTGGCATTGAACTGGGAGCTGATTAAGCCAAGTGGTCTATCTACCCTTGAGAATTGAGGGTTCAAAAGTAATGTCAAATTGTAAGTCATCAGACCACAGTAGAGTTTCCTCTTCACCTCAGTCCATCTTAAACGGATACAGGTCCAGCAAAGTCTCTGGTGTTTCTGGATCATGTCTTTATCTGGTTTCCTCTTTGCATGGTTCAGTTTGAACCTCATTTGTGGATGCAGTGATGAACTGTGTTCACAGACAGTGGTTTTTGAAGTGATTTTGGATCATCCAGTCTTTGTCATGTTACTAACCTGTTGGAAATTCACCTCATTAGTTGGAGATGTTCCTCCAGCTGTGTTTTTATTTTTATTTTTTTAGGATTACATATTTTTTTTATTGTCTCTCAACAGGAAAAAAATTATGACATTTTTCTATGAATTATACTTGTTGGGGTTGGCTGTTTGAGGGTGTGAATGTGAGCTCATTTAAAAAAAAAAAAAAACAGCTTCCTGTGGGGTGCGGAGTGTGTGTGTGAGTGTGTATTTGTATGTGTGTGTTTGAGGAAGAGAACAACAGAGTCAGTCAGTCAGTGTCTCCTTTGAGACCATTTTTGTCTTTTTCAACAAGTAGCTTTTCACAAATTTAATTTTTTATCCTTTGTTAAATCTTAATCATCTGTTGCTTTTATAAATTCAGAAATTAAGTTTAAACTTAAAAACAAAAGAGTAGAAAAGTAAACTGAGGTTGCTTTTTTAAAAAACAACATGGGTGTCAGGACTGCACTTGCCGTTTTTCTTCTTTTCATCGCTTTTGTGGATGCTGCTCGGAAAGGTAAATTTTCACTAACTGTTCAAGTTTTGACAGTTTTCACTGTTCATGATTTTAGACAAAAGTTATTTCATCAAAAAAATTATCTCATGTAGACACAGTGTTAAAAAGTCACCATTTCCTGTAGTTCGTGTATGCTGCTTGACTTTTCTTACTGCTGTGTTTTTACCTTCTGAATCTCTTAGTTTGATCATCTCATGTTTGCATTTCCCTTTTTTGTTGCTGCCGTTTATGAATCCAAGTGCCGTGAGAGGAAAATATACGTCTGATTTTGATCGCTTACTTCATTTCTGTTTCTCATTCTTAGCTGCCTTTATTCATTGTCGGGGCTAAAAATCTGAGCAGGACTAAAAATTGTGTTTGATAAACTGGAGTTCAGCTTCCAGTTAACAACAGTCAAGTTTTAAAAGTGTATTCACAGACAGACTGCATATAATATAGACACCATTAAATATCTGTGTGTCATTAAGCCAAAAGAATTACAGCTCCCCCTGCTGACTGGCTGCAGTGCAGGTCATGTACTTTACTGCAGACCCAAGAAACGCAAGACATTAATTCAAAACAGGGACAGCAAAAACAGAGATTAAGCATCTTAAGTGCTTAAATCAGCTCCAACGCTCCAAATCAGCTAAATCTGGCATTCCACAAGGAGCAGTACTTGGCCCCATGCTGTTTAATTTGATATATTTCCACCTAAGACAATAATGAAAAACACTACATGTCATTCCATTCATATGCTGATGATATCCACTTGTAAATCTCCCTTGCATCCAGTAATCCCACCCCTGTCAACAAGCTGATAGACTGCATTCACACCATTAACTGTAGCATGTCATAAAACTTACTCAAGCAAAACTTTAAGAGTCAGAGAGACAAAACCCTCTAACACCTGAAATCAATGTCTCTTTAAGTTGGTGAGTAAGTCAGAGATCTTGGTGTAACGTTGGGTTCGGATCTAACCTTTGGACATCATTTCACAGACATAACGAGAACATCATTCTTCCATTAAAAAAGCTCTCAAAGATAAAACCTTTCATACTCCTAACTGATGCAGAATAATTAATCCATACATTTCAGACAGATCTGATTAGTGCAATTCCCTCTATGTAGGACTATCCAAACAGTCTGCAGGACAGCTGCAATTAAACTGGCGCACAGCAGCAAGAGTCCTGACACACATAAGAAAACTTGGACTCATCCCTCCAGCTCTCAGGTCACTTTATTGGCTCCCTATTCACCTTCAAAACTCCTTTAATTGTCCATAAAGTGATCAATAATTCAACTTCTCAAATCTGCTCACAGAATACAACCTGATCCGACCCCTCAGGGTACCAGGTGAGAGAGTTGCTGTGTGGATGAAGGGGCTTTTATCTACTGTGGTTCCTCTTTCTGGAGCAAGCTACCAGCAGACCTGAGGTCCATTATTAATTAATTAATGTTATTATTATTACCAATGGTAAAGGTGGGAAATATTTCCGACATGTTTCAATGCATCATCCCTGTAGATTTGTGCGTTCAGGACAGCTGGTGCAGCCCAAAGTCCTGATATGAGAGAAAACTGCAAACTCTCCTCAGCTCCTTTATTGTCCTCTTTTCTAACAGCAAACTAATGGAGTAAAAAAAATTATATATAAAATGAAGTAAGCTCACCAATGTAAATGTATATCTGTGCTTGTGTTTTCAGGAGGCGTAGAATTCTGGAGGGAAAACTTCACCATGTCATGTCCAGGCAAAGGGAGTTGGTTTGATGATGGAAAAGACATCACTAACGCCATTGAAAATGAGACATATACAGTCAAATATGAAAACAGCAAAACAAGCCAGTTTTACTGTGTCCCGAAATTAGGTTCGGGAAACATAAAATATCACTTCTATGTTCGCGGAAAGGGTGCGTGTACGGATCTGATTTCTCGTGATTTACCGTATTTTTCTGTACTGAGCTGTCACTAAACTTGCCGCTCATCTTTGTCCTGCAGGGTGCGAGAAATGCTTTGAGCTGGATGCTATGGTGATAGGCTTAGCTATCATTGCAGATGTTGTCATTACGGTGGTTGTGATGATGATCATCTACGGATGTACCAAGAAGAACAGCTCTGAAGGATCATCTAAGGCTTCAAGTGGTAAAAATAAAAATGAAAATAATCCACTAATAATCAGAAAGGTTTTAAAAAGCATGCAACTGCAGCTCAGAAAAGGACAGTATGTGTCTTCATCGCATTAGTAAATGGTCACTCATATCCTGTTACTATGTTGTAGCACACCCTCGTCCTGGAGGCCGAGGTCCACCAGTACCATCACCTGACTATGAGGTGCGTATAAAACAAAGCTACTTTGCAGAGTGAGAGCACTCAACATATTTTGACATGTTTTCTATTTTAATTCAAAGCTTAGCAGCTCTCAGCAGCAGCTAAAATAAATATGACCCCTCTCTTTGTACTTTTTCTACCTAAAAGATGTGAATATCCAGAAGGTCTTTTTTAAAATTTCATAAAAATATGATCCAAACTTATTAAAAAAACTATGAGGAAACGCACTGGAGGAGATTCGTGACATTAGTAACATGACTGGGTATAAAAAGGATGTTCAGAGAGGCTGAGTCTCTCTGACTGAAAGATGGAAGAGGTTCACCACTCTGTAAGAGACTGTGTGAGCTAATAGTTGAACAGTTTCAGAATAATGTTCCTGAGTGTCAAACGTGAAAGAATGAGTGGATTTTATCAACTGCAGAACATCATATCATTAAAAGATTCAGAAAATCTGGAGACAAGGACCAAAACCAAGACTGGATGGTCCTGATCTTCAGACCCTCAGGCAACACTGCATCAAATACAGGACTCTGGAGTGGAAGTAACTGCATGTGCTCAAAATCACTTCCAAAAACCACTGTCTGTGAACACAGTTCATCACTGTGTCCACAAATGTAGGTTAAAACTGAACAATGCAAGAATTAAACCAGATACAAACATGATATAGAAAGACTGGGGACTTCTCCAGACCATAGCCCATTAAGGATAGACCAAGAGGAAGAGGAAAACTGTCCTGTGGTCCGATTTTTTAAATGTCTTGCTGGTATTAAATTTAAAACTAGCAGATATTTCTTGCAAAATAATCGAGGTTTTTATCCTTTGTCATGTTGTGTTCAGACTTTTCAATTGAATGTTGGTTTTAAATTATTTGGGAACCATCAACATCTGTGTCTGTAAGTGTTTTATATATGTTTAGGTATTGGGGTTGTAGCTCGAGCTGAGATGAGGGTCATTTCCTCTCAAATCTTAATGTTAATAAACATTAAAGCCTCATAGAGTAACATGACTGTCATGACACTAACCCTGTCTCTGTTGTGATTTTACAGCACCTGAACCCTCGCACCCGTAGCCAGGATCCATACTCTATGTTGCACTAGATAGGACTAGGACGAGTCCCAAGACCACGTGGGGTAGTGCTGAACTACGGCTGTACAACATACAACTTAAATGAACATCAACCGTGCTCCCAGGACTATGCACATGGCTTTTGCAGTTAAATTGCACTTCATAGAATTGCAAAATAAACGTCAAATTTGTTTCTTGGTAATTCAGGATTCATTTGTTCAGGTATGTGCATGAAAGGAATTATTCACGTTAATCATTATGATGTCTGAATTCCCAGTAATCCCCAAACCTACAGTTATTTCTACAGGTACTAGGGGTGAGTGGAAGTAAATAGAGGAGCTTAGTTAATTTAAAACAACATTTATTAAGTTTTTTATATTTGATCGTAAAGTGATATGTTTATGTTCAAACAGGGAAAACAGAGGATTACAAAGTGCTATGAAGGTTATCTGTAATGTTTCTTTTGTTAGTCATCCAAAACCTTAAGCAATGTCCACAGTCTGCAGGTGTACCACAGAAATAAGTAATTTGTTAACCGACAGTACTAAATAACTAATTTATTTGCAAAAAATTTTTAAACAAGTTTGATTCAACAGCGAAAAAAAGAATAGGGAAATTTAGGACATGCCTATCAATAAGGTAAAAAGGGCCTGTGTCCACTCGCAGCATTTTTGTGCTGGCAGCTCCTTTGTTCTGAACATGCGTTGGTACATTTTTGCAGAAATGGTTTAACTTTTTTTTTTTTTTAACATTTTTTTTAAACCAGCTCAATGCTCAAAAATGGTATTATGGTGGAATACAAACCTTTAAAATTTAGTTGCAGAGTGGAATCTGGAAAGTGCCACCATTTCTGTCGCCACTGTAAAAAGTATGATGTTTAAACCTTGAATTTGGAACGATGCATCAAATCAGTCCAACTGAGTGTGTTTTGTATATACTCTGTACATTTCCGCTTTAATTTACAACAGTGTTAAATGGATTATTATTTTTATTGTTATTAATGACAGTAATAGTTCAACTTGTTTTACCTGTGCTCAAATCTTATCATCTTGTAAAGAACAGCGTTTAACATACTGTTAAAAAGTGCTCATTGGCTTGATTTCCGCTTTGTCTTACTGCTGCTTTATTAACGTCCTCTTACTGTAAAGGGTGAGACATGTGTTACTAATAAACCGCAGCCATCACTGCTCTGGTCTCTGTCTTTACCTCTGGTCGGAAACAGTCCTCAGAAGCTTCTGCGGATCTAAGTCTATGTGATGTACAAAGCAGCTGCAAAGCCGCAGCTCATATCCACAGCGCCCACCTGCACATCATCAATATGTCTCTCTCTGTAGGCTCTACTTAATCAGTGGCACACTGTGGAAACATCTGACACCTCTCATTACTTAAATATGAGTGTACTTCCAAAATATGGTGGGGTTTTTTCTCTTTACTTGTCTAACTTTGACTTTCTACGCTCAAAATTAGACACTGAAAATGAAAACAATATATTACAGGTGCACAAGCTGTATAGAACGATATCAGTTAAATTATAATGATGATTAACGACAAGTACGTTTTAAAAGTTATTGAAGGGAGTCAAAAACAAAACAGGACCCAGGATTGATCTTTGTGGGACACCAAGAGAGTATGTAGAGTAAAAATCTGGAATTAATCCTTCAATAAGGTCAATGTCAATGTCTGCTTTATTTATAGCACATTTAAAACAGCCGGTAGCCTACCAAAGTGCTTTACAGTAAAATGGCCAGAAACAATAAAAACAATAAAAGCATAAAACATAAAACAACAATATAGATAAACATAGCAAATAAGAGAATAGCCCAATAAAAGTAACTATATTACCCCAAAGGCTAAATAATAATAATAAGAAGAAGAAGAAGAACTTTGTTAATCCCCAAAGGGAAATTCAATTGTCTGTTGTCTCACATAATATATCTCTACTATGTACAGTTATGTGCTATTTACAGTTATCTACTATTTACACAAGAGTTGTAAAGTGAAGAGGTGTGTTTCTAGAGGTGTTTTTTACAAGTGGAGAGGCCATTCGCAATATGCACTGTCAGGGGTAAAGCATTTCCACAAAGTGGGAGCTGACAGAAAATGTTCAATCTCCCCTAGATTTTAAAAAGGATAGAGGAATGTCTAAATCCACCTGGTTAGCTGACTTCAGGGCTCTGGAGGGCTGACACAATTTAACAAGGTCAGATAGATGTTCCGGGGCCAGCCGGAATACTTTTAAAAACAAAAAAAAAAGAATCTTAAAATTGATCCTTCACCTGACCAATGCTAACATACAAGGAATTGCAATAATCTAAATAAGATGTAATGAAAGCATGCCACCACAGGGAGAAGTGCATCATCATTTTGCCTTTATTTACAAAAGTCATCATCATGAAAATTTAACATTGCAATAGTAACAATTTTACAGAACAATTTAATGTAATGTAAGTATTTGATTTAAAAATAGAATTGGATATGGATCAAAATGGATCCTTGTGGAACACCACCTTGTTTAAAAGTAAAACTAAAAGTAAATTTTAGTATAAATCCTTAAGAGACACCCCACCTCCAAAGTGTCTATCATGCAATACACCTGCAGAAGTACACAATTTTTGGCTCGTTAGCACAAAGACTCAGCCTTTATAAACAATGGTTTATCCTGGCAGTATGGAAATCAGCTTGGAGGTTGTAACTGCACTTGATGAGAAAAATGACAGCGTATTTATATATTAGGTCATCGGCATACAACTGAAACTTTGCACCGCTGGCATAAATGATTGATATTTTTATTAAATGACGTTGGACCTGAAATGAATTCTTGTGGGACACCACTTAGTATCAAAATTAACAATCTTAGAAATGATCATTTGTTTTACAAAGGTTCAACTGGAAAACACTTAGAGGAATCTGTAGGCTGTTCATTGCACTCACTGGTTAAAACAAAGTAGTTTGTTATTATCATGTTGTCAAGAAAAAAAAATAACTTTGCATTGGTAACCTTTTAATAAAATTGATGCAAATTGTAAACAAAAAAGGACTTTGTAGGAGACTGCTTTGTATCTAAAGTTAAAATGTTTAAATCATAATTGATTTGTGTTTTACCCATAAAGAAGTACATATTTTAGTTTTGTTAGCACTTAAAATAGAGTTTCTATAAATAAAATTTCAACTTTATAAAACTAAGAGTGAGTTGTGGGTTATGTCTGCATTAAATGGGTAAGAAATAGAAGTACAATCCTATTGTCAGCATAAAAATGAAACTGCATGGAAACATTTTTTAGAATAGATTATCAATGTAAATTATGAAAAAGAGGGTTTGTATAGATTCCTGTGGGACATCTTTTTTGTATTAAAAGTGAAAAACGGCTTTAACAATGAAAAGTGATTTTTCATTTTTGCAATAGACCTGGTAAATTTAATCATTTTAATGAATAGAGCAGCATTCTGCTCCAAGAGGTTCATCTGAACACTGTTAAAAGCAGATAGTACATTGAAATTGCACTCAGTTGGGACGACAATGAAGTATAAATAACTGTGGCATCAGTATAAGAATATGATTATGACCTGCATATCTTATTAAAGTGATTTTCAAATAAAATAGGACCTGTAAGGATCCCTGTGGGACACCACTTGACATCTGTATAAGTGCCTTTCCAAACCTTAGATAACCTCATATATTTAAGACATGAGCCTGTAGTTGTTTGGGTTGGACAGATCTCCACCTGCCTATTTATAGAAACACCTTAATGATTCAGAAAATGGAAAAATTATATGCGTGTTTTCCCAGCATTGTTTACAAGTCATCTAATGGAAATAAAGAAACTATACTATGACATGTGTTATTCTCAATTGCGCAGACTAATAATAGTGGAGAAGTCTATGTGGCACACTATGTAACTCAGAGGTGTTATGTTTAGTGGAAACTTGCCTACACGAATCACTCAGTTATCATCTGCATCTGCTCTTGAGTTTGTGCGAGAGAAAACCAAAGAGTAACATGGGGGAGGGGCTGAATATGGTGTGCTTCTCTATCTGACTGTCATACTGTCATACTGTTAAAACTAACTGTTCCAAATCACAGACCTACATCTGCTCGAGAGTGTGAAGCCATGCACGAAAACACACATTAATGTGGCGTGCACAACAATATGTGAGTCAGGAGTTGGTTAGTGTGTGTTGGGGTGTGTGTGTCTTTGTGGGTCGATGAGGGTTGTGTTTCTGAAGCTTCCTCGTTTGATCTCTGTAGTCTTCCTCGGGTTGAAAACTCCAGTTCGTACTTTTGTCACAGTGACTGTGAGATCTGCTCAAAGAATTAAAGCTGTTAGATTATCTGACATCCGGAGGCTCCCTCCTCTCCTCCTCTTCCTCCTCCTCCTCATTCTTTGTAACTATTTTAACTTTCCACTCACTTTCCTCCCTCTCTGTGTTGCTTATTGTGTAATTCTTACTCTCCAAGCTCTGTCTCCACTATATTCTTAAACTTTTATTTCAGCTCAATAGACAAAAAATAGCAGCCCAAAAAACTGGTGCCTTTACAATACAGAAGTGAAATACCGTAGCATGAAGAAGTGATGGTAGAACTTAGCTTAAAGCTATTTCTGCAGAGCGAATTGTAATGCCTGTGTCAGAGGATGCAGTTACCAGAAATGCATCCGCACTGCCTTTATTTACATTCTCTATCGGCAAAGTCCCAAATGAGTGACTGATGTGAAGTTCCTGTGAAGAACTTTTGGTTTGTATTAATTAGGGATGTCCAAATCAGCTTTTTTGTCCCTGAAATGAATCAGACCTTTTAATAAGTCCTAATCTAATACATAGCTAAAGTAAATAAACGAGCTGCTTCTGCTCATTTCATCTAACTTAGTTCAGCTGGCGTTGTTGTAAAACTCATGACTTACAAAAACTCACAAAACTCACAAACTCATATGTCTTTTGTGCTCTGCTGTAAAAATGCTGTGCATGTTACGTGGCACAGGCCAAAGCGGCGCTACCTTTACCACAATCTGCAAAGTCAAATGGGGACTGGGAAGCATTGTAAATGCAAGTGAAGCTTTGTAAACATAAAATTAAGTAAATAATCACTCAGTTATTAAACATTTTGTATTTTTTTTATTTACAAAACTTTTTTGCATTTACAAAACCTATTTTCTTTAACATTTTTTTTTGTTTTTACAAAACATTCTGGCCTCCCTTTGACATGGGAGTATGATTAGATGATTGGCATGTCGAGAGAGAAAATTTAAACAAAATCATAGTAGTCAAGAAATTTTACCAAACTCTATGCAGTTTTACAAAGGTGGCAGACCAGAGCAGTGGTGCTCTGAGGCTGAATGCTTCAAGTGCAGGATCTCAGGTATGTACAGTAAATAAGTCAGCCTAGAATGTAGGCTTTATCATATGTCAAAACACCATAATGCACCCTAGTTGGCTATATTGGCAACATTGTCCTCTGGACACGCTTCCTTTTGACTCCATATGTAACTTTGTGAGAATTATAACAGTGAATTTAACTCTACTTTCCTACTTTATTTCTCCCCTTGAATTAACACTTTTGAAACCACGATGTAGAGGGAGGAGACAGCTTTATTTATTAACTCAGAGGACAATGCTGTCACACATATAAGAGATATATATATGAGTCAGAAAGGTCCAAACAGTGTCAATATGACAGATTATTTCTGGCATCCAGGGATCCCTGGTTAATGCTATGGCACTTGCACTTTTCAGGAGTTCCAGTTTGGTTGCTCTCTCTGTTTATTTGATGTAGTTTTATCCATCAGTTTTTTGGGATAAGTCAAATGAATCAAGTTATTATGAGCAGTAAGTATGAACGCCCTTACAGAACTCGGAGAAAGTCAGTTTTGTTCAATGAAATTTAAACTTTATTTTAAATTCAGCATCTACAGTGACTTTTGCAGGAGAAAAAAAGGAAAGGAGAAAACAGACTACTGGGGATACCACATGGGTCAATTCAAGACCTTTCGAAATTAAAACAACAGCAACAGTCACAAAACGGTGACTGTGTGACAAATTACGGCTACACCAGTGATAAGAGATGGAAAGCCTAAACAGTGTAATACTAAAAACAGAGAAATAAGCCTGCCAGAAATAAAGCCAGTCTTTCTACGCATGCATGGCCGGAGGCTGAAAGCTGACTTCCATCTATCTCTTGTTCAGCACGTCGTAGGTGTCTTTCTGACCACCTTTGTGTTTCAGAGGCTGAGGGAGTGAATAAAGAGAAAAGTCAGCGTCAAATCTTTTCATGTGACAAATGCAAACATAAAAGTCCTGCTCATTTTTTCTGACCTGGTAATGGTCGTTAGGGGCTCTAGTGTTCCTCTCAGGTGGGATGAGATGCTGTCTGTCAGAGCCTGAAGGGACAAGAGACATATTACAATAGTAGTATGGAGCCTAAAAGGGAGACATTTTATCTTGTTTACACAGTATGATAATTGTAGGCATGTGATGATACCATGCATGATAGTTATCTTGTGCGTAACTTTGAGAGATTCAGGGGCTGTGTGCATATTCACCATCACCCACTGAGGTAAATGCATGTCTATGGAGAATGCTCAGATTTGTTGTTATGTGTTAATCTTGCTTTTCTTCATTGGTGCAGATCACTTTTTGCAGGATGCTGATGGATAGGGGATGTGTTAAATTATTAGCTGTACAGTAACAACTACTACATTTGGTAAACTCTGACCCATGCAATCCGTGAGACCTCAGAGGTTGGGAAATGTGTTTTAAACTTTTGTCTCTACTTTTCTTTTATTCTTTTAACTATTTATACTTCAATTTGTAAAGTTGAAGTAAAGCTTGATTGATTTTATTAGCTGACAGCAGCAACATGCAATGGCCGAATGACTCGGAAGTGACATTATTATCTGCTGATACCTGAAGGAAACAGGACGGTCCGTTTTGACTGTTAGTGAGGTTACAAATGGTGATCAGGCGTCCTGGTTTAATAATAATTCAGGTAAATATGCATGTGTTTGAAATTGAAATGATAAGCTGTACCTGGAGAAAGTGGGCTAGTGTGAAAAAATACAAACTGAATAAAAGCTTTCTTCTTATTCTAGACGGACGGACGGACAGACAGACAGACAGACAGACAGACAGACAGACAGACAGACAGACAGATTTACTCTTCTTGTCCAATTTGTCTGCACCGGTCCGAGTCTGAGCACAAGCAATGAGGTAGACGGCAACTCCTATCACGGTCGTGGCCACCACCTCTCCAACAACTATCCCCGCAACTGAGCCCTCATCGAGCTCTATGCAGTTGTCACAGGCTGGAACACACACACACACACACACACACACACACACACACACACACACACGTGTATGAGTGAAAACTTCTGTGCAAATTGGTCTTTGAAGCAAAATAACAATTATTAACAATTACCCCCCCCACACACACACACACACACACACACTCACACAAAGTGTGCCAAACTCGTTTCTTTTCTGCAGAACTTACTCCTAAACTTCACAAACATTTTTTCTCCTTCAGGCTCTCCGTTGTCCTTGGATACACACGTGTATTCTCCGGAGTTCTCATCTTTGTATTCCAGTTGCAGAGAATCTTGTGCTATTCCATTGTCTATGGCCATTATTTTCCTGTCCGTGCACGTTAACTTGATGCCACCAGATACAGTTGTCACCTTAGGTTGAATGGACTCGGTTGATGATGGATCTGTTAGCACCCCTTTGATGGAAAAAATAAATAAAATTCAGATTTAAGACAATCATCCAGTAGAATAATCCAGTCAACATGCTGCCATGAACAGGGATTTCTTAGGGGTTATATTTGTCTGAAATATGTCATTTATGCACCACCTGTGTCCACAGAGCATGTGTTAAATTTTCTATGCATGTCTGTCTTTTTTCTGGTAGGACTGCTGAACCAAGACAGGAAACAATCGAACCAGCGACCAGGCGCTCCAACTTCACAGCCATCAGCGCTTTGACTTTTGATGCATATTAAAGCTCCTGTGAGGAGTTTTTACGTGTTGAGAAAAAAGGCTAAAATTCATGTTGATGCCTTTTTTATTATATCTAAAAGTGAAACCATCAAAGACAAGACTGAAGATCTTAAATCCAAATTTTGGGGGGCTGTAAATCTTTTCGATTTTTTTTCTTTTCATATATTCAACAACCAGAAGAGCAATCTTTTCCCAGTTCATGTCAGCATTTCTGAATAATGAGATGCATTTTTACAGCTACCTACAAGATTTGTCTATAAGGATAAAGTCAGCATGGCAGCTCAAAATTATGGGACACTGTAACAACACAACAGAACAATATCAGGACATCATGGAGTTACAATAGGTTTGTCACAGCTGACAGTGAAAGAGACGTAGATTAATTTTCTGCACAGTTTTACATGATTTTGACACAAATCTAACCCCATTATTTAGAAATTTTACTGTTAAACACTAACAAACATGTTTTATTTCAGAAGCCAAACTAAGGTTTGACATTTTTATGACATTTCTGTCTAATTTCTTAAAAAAGAATAGTTTACCTGTCAGACTCCACAGCAGCAGCAAACAGGCCGGGAAAAGTCTCTGCTGTTTCATCCTGCAATCGCTGAACTCTGCTGATCACAGAAAGAAATATTTCAGATCTCTTTGAGGAAGAGTGAGCGTCAACAGAAACCAGGAAGGACGCCATTTTCTGCTGTCAGTCAACCATTTTATTCAACTTCACTTAACAGCTGATGGACGACAGTGAATTTAAACTTTTTCTGGAAAATCCTGTCATCTTAAAAACAGTAAAAAAAATAATAAAAAATAAAAAAACGTGCCTGTGGGTTAACTCAGTAATTGAAATCCAAATTTACTTCGTCAAAGGTTTTATATGAAAATATTTGCAAAGAATAACGAACTCTAAGAGTGAGTGAAAATGTTACAACCTATTAAAATCATGAATTAAGTCAAATTACTGACCAGAATGAAGAGCTGATGTATCTTTGGTAAAAATCCTCAAGCCTTCGTCTCTTACAGTGTCTTTGTCTGCATCTGTGTGAGTGTGAGTGTGTGTGAGTGTGTGTGAGTGTGAGTGTGAGTGTGTGTGAGTGCGTGTGAAGGAAGTCAGCCTGATTGGCTTGTTTTCTGTCTCATCAAGCTTTGTTGTTGTTGTTTCTGCACCTGGAAGACTGTGTCTCTGAAACTTCTAGCATCTAGTGGAATATTACTCTGAGCATGTCCCCGAGTTCTGCTGTCTTACTATGGTGGGTTTTCTTTAATCTGGCTCTGCAAGAATGTAGAGGAAAATGCGTGCGTCTGTAACAGCTCATTCGAGTTCATATCAATGTGGAGAAGTGTTGGGCCATGAAGCCTATAACTCAAACTGTACACAACATATAACATATATTACAACACCATACTTCAATAGAATGTTAATCATCGTCACTCTTATTGCACAGTTAGTTCATATACAGTACAGGCCAAAAGTTTGGACACACCTTCTCATTCAATGTCTTTTCTTTATTTTTTTATATGAATATTTACATTGTAGATTATCACTGAAGGCATCAAAACTATGAATGAACACGTGGAATTTTGTACTTATAAAAAAAGTGTGAAATAACTGAAAACATGTTTTATATTCTGGTTTCTTTAAAATAGCCATCCTTTGGTCTTGATGACAGAAGTACCTTGTCAGGGTTACTTCAGGCACTCCTGTGAAGTAAAAACCATTTCAGGTGACTACCTCATGAAGCTCATTGAGAGAACAGTTAAAGTTTGTAGCGCTATCAAAAAAGTAAAGAGTGGCTACTTTGAGAAATCTAAAATATAAAACATGTTTTCAGTTATTTCACACTTTTTTCTCAAGCACATGATTCCACATGTGTTCATTCATAGTTTTGAGAATCTACAATTTAAATAGTAATGAAAACAAAGAAAATGCATTGAATGAGAAGGTGTGTCCAAACTTTTGGCCTGTACTGTACATAAAACCATTCATCAAGCAACAGGAGGCCATGCTGGCAAAGCTGCCAGCAGTGTCTGCAGCTTGATCAAATGTAATCAAAGCAAACTTTATTTATATAGCACTTTTTAGGCAAAAAGAAATGCAGCACAAAGTGCTTTACAATTTAAAACAATGAGCACCCCCATATCCAGCCCGCCATCCCACCCCCCAGCCCTCACTGAGAGCCCATCCCAACAGTAAGGGGCCCTCAGCAGCAAGCACTGCTGCAGAACACCACCTGGCCGAGCTGAGTGCACACCACGAGGCAGAGAAACCCTAGACCTAGAACTAGTCACAGCCTCCAGTGCAGGTGGCCTCCCTACTGACGAAACACTGGAGAAATACAATAAGAACATAAACTAAATCAGCTAAAAACATCAAACTAGATAAAATTATAAAATACTGATAAATAGCTAAAATACCATCTAAAAATAAGTGAATGAATAGAATAAACAAAACATGTAAATGAGGACTAAAATATATAAATGAAATAAAACAAGATAAAAATAGTATAAAAATATGGATTAAAAATAAGACATTAGTTAAAAGCCAAATTAAATAGGTGAGTCTTGAGCCTGCTTTTAAAAATATGAACATTCTTTGTGGCCCTCAGATCCTCCGGCAGGCTATTCCAAAGACGGGGGCCATAGTGCTGAAAAGATGCCTCACGGTAAGTTTGTGTTCTCACTTTGGGGACTATTGAAAGGCCAGTGCCAGAGGATCTCAGGGTCTGCAAGGGTTCATATTGTAAAAGCAATTCTGAAAGATAAGAAGGTCCAAGACCCCTAAGACATTTAAAAACCATTAAAAGGACCTTAAAATCAATCCTAAAGCACACAGGGAGCCAATGCAGTGATTTTAAAAACGGTGTAATGTATGCCCGCCTTCTGATCTTCATCAGCACACATGCTGCTGAGTTTTGCAACAGTTGTAAACTTGCAATGTTTCTTTTTGGAAGACCAGAATGCAGGGCATTACAATAGTCAAGTCGGCTCGAGATAAAAACATGCATTAGCGTCTCTGTGTTAGCCCGGGAGAGAAAGGGGCGGACTCTGGCTATATTCTTTAAATGATAAAACCCTGTTTTTGTTATATTTTTAATATATGCGATAAAAGTCAGCTCAGAGTCAAAGATGACACCCAGATTTCTTTACCTGATTTAATGGAATTAAAGACAGGGTTTTCAGTTTTGATAAAAGTTTCTCTCCCTGAGCCTTGGGATCAATAATTAAAACCTCAGTTTTGTCCTGGTTGAGCTGTAGGAAGTTTTCTGCCATCCAGGATTTAATGTCTAGGACACAGCTAAAAAGGGCATCAATTGGCCCTGTGTCATCAGGAGACATGGATATGTAGAGCTGTGTGTCATCAGCATAGCTGTGAAAAGTGATACCACACCTCCTGATGACATCTCCCAGTGGGAGCATATATAAATTAAAAAGTATGGGGCCTAAAATTGAGCCTCTGGGCACATTACATTTAATGCCATGAATCTTTGAAGAGCATGTGTCCAAACTTACAAGAAACTTTCGATCTGTGAGATAGAAGTTAAACCATTGAAAGGCAGTACCAGAGAGGCCTACAAGGTGCCTTATTCTATTTAAAAGATTTGTGTGATCTACTGTATCAAAAGCAGCGCTTAGATCCAGTAGCACAAGGACTGTAAGCTTGTGTGAGTCCAAGTTGCACCTCAGATCATTAACAATTTTCAGTAGTGCAGTCTCTGTACTGTGGTTCGTCCTAAATCCAGATTGAAATTTCTCCAGGATGGAATGGTTATTTAAAAAAGTCATTCAACTGAATAAAAACAAGTTTTTCTTAAAAAACAATTTGCTTAAAAATGGTAAGTTGGACACTGGTCTGTAGTTATTAAGAACATTAGGATCCAAATTGTTCTTCTTCAGAAGGGGTCTCACTACTGCCGTTTTTAGGGCAGTAGGGAAAGAGCCCATTGGAAGAGAACAATTCACTATATTTAAAAGCTCACCTTCAAAGAATCCATAAAACATTTTAAAAAGTGATATGGGAATTGGGTCTATAAGGCAGGTTGTTGGTTTTACTTGGGAGAAAACTCTACCAAGCATCTCAGCATCAACCAGGACAAAACTGTCCAGTGTTTCCTCATCACACTCATATCCCAGTATTACCTCAGCAGTCTTGAGAAATGGTGCTGATGTAAAGGTGTAAAAACCTGTAGTTCCCTTGGTGTCCACCAGCAACAGTCTGAAGAAGCACTAGAAAACACATAAAAGCTCATTTAAAACAGTGGCTTTTTTTTTGCCTGATTCAAAAAATTGTTTCTTCTAAATAAATGGGCAAAAATTGACATAGTCTTAGTAACATCACCGTTTTGTTTCAGAAACAGAGTTTTGAGGCCTCATTTTTCAAGCATGGAAGTTTTTGCTAAAGGATGTATTTGATTTATTTTCTGTTTACAGCTACTAATCAGAGTTTTATTAACAAGTCTAAAAACTTAAAATTAAAACTGCAGAAATGTTACCTTTCCTCTTTATGATCTCATAGCTCTGACATTCATTTACTGGAGATCAGCTTTCTCCAGATTTCAGCTTATTAACTGAAATGATTGCTCCCTGTGCTGTCACTGTTTTGGGGGATGTGCGAAGCGGCTCTATCGCGTGAAACAAACGTGCATGAACACGGCTGTGTGTGAGTTCACATGAATATTTAAACTCCCTGTGTGTTGTGGATGTTCCTCCTGCTGTGTGTGACAAATTAATATTCCCCGTTCTGCACAGACGCAGCAGCAGAAGCAGGGAGAAAGAGTGCAAAGAGATGCTCCCACAACCCAACTCTGCTTCCTGTTTGAGAGAAAGCCACAACAACCTGTGACCTACAGCTCACACCTGGCAAAAACACACACAGCCATTTTTTTTTGCCTCCTTTACTTTAGAAACACACACACAGTCATCCATAAAGACATGCATTATTTGTCTCCTGCACCTGCTTTTGCAACAAAAAGACAGCAGAGAATCAAACACTGTTTTACTGCATGCAACTTCGACCACGAGGCACACACACACACACACACACACACACACACACACACACACACACACACACAATGAGTCACCGTAAACTCATCACCACCATGAATAACAAATCTGCTCCACTCCCTTGTTGAAGAGCTCATAAAGCACCTTCAAGCGCCCCCTGGTGTGTAATAACAAAACTGCAGCAACTCCTGCAATAACTTCATACAATGTCAATATGCTCTTTATTATGAGTTGTCCTCTTTTATACACATATACATATGCATACAAATATACAGTACATGACATGTTACACCTTCATATACAAATATCGATCATCATATACTTTCTTATTTGGATATAAGGGGTCCATTTATGGTTAAATCTCACATACAGAACATTATTTTGCACATTCTGGTGTAAGCAGAGAACATTTTGATGCATTCCAGTAATGCTCAGGGAGGAGGGCGTAATGAGAGTGTGCATACAGGAGGAAATCACATCCAAAGATCGAGAGGAAGAGCGTTTTATGCAGAGTTTACACTTTGGATATTTTAGACAACACATCAGCAGTGTATCTACCAGAGCACCTGTTCAAGAGTGACACAAACATTGAAACGTTTAAGTCCAAGACGAGTGTTTGACTCAGGATGATGTTGTTTTTGCTTCCTCGTCTTCCTGGTGACCAGTGATTGGCTGATTGGCAGTTGTTCTGGGTTCCTCTTGGACAGCAGCACAGTTTGAAGCATTTTGCATGCATGTACAGTATATGTGTATGTTTAACTGTCACTTTGAGGTCAGTCAGAGCCAGATCTCCTCACTGCTTGTGCTGTTCACCTTGTAGATGTAGCCCACCATGGGGTACCTGGCAAAACCTGCAAGTCACCATACAGAACCATTCAGACCGGATACAACATTCATATATGAAGTATAAATAATGGAAAATGGAGCAGCATCAGGGTGTTTTCCTGACCTCTGGCGGCGTAGGCTAAAGACAGATCTTCCTCCTCCTCTTCTTCTTTCTTCTCTCCCACACTGTTTTGCTGGGCGGCCTCTCGGGCTACAGAGAGGGATGGAGGGATGGAGGGAGGACACGATAAAATGCAAAACAGATCAAACAGTATCAAAGGGCTAGTTCCAGCATCTTAGTATGTACGTGTATTTCTCAGGCATCTGAAAGCGTTGTGTGAGACGACTCTTACCTTTTCTCAAGGTGCTGAGGTCGTTGAGCTGCATGTTTGAAGGCAGAGACATGTTCTCTCGGGGGATGGAGGTCTTATCTGCTTTCTCCACCTTCAGGATCGTGGAGTCGCTGTACAGACAAAAAGAGGGAAGGAGGCAATCAAACTTGGATCAGATGAGTTATTGTTCTGCAGGAAGGGCATAAAGTATTCATGAGGAAACAAAAATGCTTCCATCACTATTTCTTTCCAGTCAGCTGGTGGTGCTGAGATGGAAAGGACCTCGGCGAGCTGTGTCAGAGTTTCATCTGTAATCTGTCGGTTTCTTAAGTGAGAAACTGCAGGGAGAACCAGCTATCAGAGATCTTCACTTACCTTTTCTTGGTCATCAGGATTTCCACCGGCTCATCTGAAACACGACAGAACAATAGGCATCACTCTCCTGAACAGGTGCTCTAATCATACTGCAGCCATGCTCAATCCTCACCTATAGACTTGCCCTTGTTTTTTTGCATGAGGCAGAGAACAATGAGGCTGAGGATGAGGAGGGCCATGAAGGCCATGGCCCCACCGGTCACTATTCCCAGCATGGGCACCTCCACACGGGACTGCAAGAACTCTGGAGCGAGAGAAAAAGAACTACGAGCTAGAGGAATAGTTCAACACTTTTTAAACTGAATCCTAGTCTTTGTTTCTAAAACCAGGGTGGAATCCAAAATACCGTAATGACCCAAATATTAAACTTGAAATACACCTGAAAAAAGCAGGGTCATTTTATTTTGGTGTGTTTACAAGATCAGCCGTTAATTTGAAAGGCTCAATATAAATTTGGCCCTCAAAGTCTTCTTCTTCTAATCAGGGTCAACTTATATAAAGGTCAATAGGGCAATTCGTTCATCCGTACACAGCCACCACTACTGACCTGCCAGGGTGAGGTTGCTCTGCGATGTTCCCACGCTGTTACTGGCGTTTAGCGAGATGTTTCCAGACAGGCTGCTGAGCATGACCCTCAGCGAGTGATTGGTCAGCCAGGGGTAGCTCCGCGAGTCCAGGATGAGGAGGTCTGAGGTGTTGGTGACCATCTGGCCTGACTGGTCCACAAAGGTGAGGGTGGCAGGCGGGTTGGACTGAACCAAGGCAAAGAGGACCAGGGAAAGGCCAGGGTCTGAGGTCTCACTGTAGTGGGCATTCAACTTGAGGATCTCTGGCTGAACTAGAACACAGGATAGAAAGATGATTTAGGTACTCGTCAAAAACCACCTTCACTATCTCTCCATCCAGACATTTCCTCTCAGACTCACACTGAACGTTGAGCTTGACCGTGGCGTTGTAGCTCTCTCCGGTCCTCGGGTTTGATGCCACACACACCAGCTCTCGGTCCCACTTCCTGGCCCGCAGGGAGAAGGTGCTGTTGCGTTTATTCCCCTGTCTTCTGACCTCAAAGTTGTCCTTTGGTGTCATCACCAGGCGCCCGCGGCTGGGTGATGGCGCTCTCTGCTGCTCCCCATTCAGGTACCAGGTAAGCAGGGCGGGAGCATGTGGATCCCAGCCATCTGACTGGCAGTTGAACCGGTGTGTCATGTTCTCCTGCAGGGTCAAAGCTGCACGGTTCCATCCGTCAATTTTGGGGGCGGGCTCAATAGCACCTGTTTATGCAAGATTGGAGGGACGGTGCAGAATTGAGAATGTGACATCTGGTGGTCAGATTCTAGATTGAAATGCCCCTTTGCTCACCCCAGGAAATCCTCTCATCTAGTTTAAACTTCTGCTCTCTAAAATTTTGGATGTTTTTTTTCCTGAAACTAAGTGAAATAAGGCCACAGTTGTGTTTATGACCCACTTATTCTGTCTCTAGTAAAACAGGTGCAGTAAAACAACCTGAAGTACAAATAGTCTGGTTTTATTACAGTAATTTAAAGGTGGGGTAGGCAGGAATCCGTAAAAGGAAGCATCTTTTTTGTGGTGTATATACAAAAAAGCTTTTAATATTAGTCAATAGCTAATCGTTATTGATTACATTTGGCAATATCACGATATCACTGTGTTCTCTTATGTCTGTTTAGTCAACATTTTAAAATTTGAGCAGCCTGCGCTTTCTAAACGTAAACAAAGCCATTCTCCACCTCCTTGACCTGACTGGTTGTTGTAGTGGAATCCCTAAGCCCAAAAAATAAGCTGTTAACTTCAAGTCATGCTACAAATGTCCCCTTTGGTATGGAAGTACCTTAGGGTCATAGGAAACATTTTATCCAAACAGACAAGTTAGATCACCCTTCAATTTTTAAAAATATTTTTCATTTTAAAAATGGCCGCCGACAATAAACCACTAATACACCAGACCCCATATCTTTTCTTCTGTTGGAGCTATAATCATAATATTGGTGTCAAAGTGCACATTTTTTCGGGGTCTAGGAAATAGGTTTCAATGCAAAAGACCCAATGCATCATTAATTACCATGACAGTGGGAGGTAAAATATGCTAATTTCATGAAAAAATGTACGTTTTGACAGGGTAACACACCCCTCCCCCTAAACTGAGATTTACTGTTCCTTTGGCATGGAAGTACCTTAGGGTCATAGGAAACATTTTATCCAAAGAGACAACTTAGATTACCCTTCATTTATTTTATAGACATTTTAAAAAATGACCACCGACAATACACCACTATTACACCAGACCCCATATTTTTGCTTCTGTGAGAGCTATAATATTAATATTAGTGTTTTTTGGGTTTTTTTGCATTGAAACCTATTTAATTGAATTCCTAGACCCCAAAAATGTGCACTTTGACACCAATATTATGATTATAGCTCTAACAGAAGCAAAGATACGGGGTCTGGTGTATAAGTGGTTTATTGTCGGCAGCCATTTTTAAAATGGCTATTAAAAGAAATTGAAGGGTGATCTAACTTGTCTCTTTGGATAAAATGTTTTCTATGACCCTAAGGTACTTCCATACCAAAGGGGACATTTGTATCATGACTTGAAGTAAAATGTGTCTTAGGGTCCCACTATTAGGCGGATACTTCTCACTCATGTTGTGAGGCATGCTCCACATCCTCAAATAATGTGCATGATCCCAAACGAAGTTCGCGTGCAACAATATCGGACAGTAAACACCAACCAGAAAGTACAGAAAATTGTCTGAATCCTCCTTTGGCCACGACTGCCAACACAAGCAAGAAAGCGAAGGAAATATCAGAGACTCTGGCGGGATAACAGGCGCTTAAAAGGCGGTAGACCGGACAAGAGCTAAAAAGCCAGGTCAACATCAATGAAGCATAAATTATGGGGGATGCTTTGGGATCTCAATGCCTTTTACGTTCACGTTGATTGGGCCCCATTTGTAATTATCTGAAGTATTTATCTGCATTATATCTGAATTTAATTGGAACGATTAAACGTTTGTGGGCGGGGCTTGCTGGAGCAGAGGGGAAGGGGAGAGGAGGAGCTGAGGGGAAAATTGAATGGAAGGGTAGTGTTTACATTCAAGATTTCTCCAAAAACTGGCACTTCCTCAGTTCCTGCCTACCCCACCTTTAAGGAGGACAGGTCATGCTTTCAGGTGACAGGTGATGAGTGTCCCACCTGTCCAGGATAAGGCCAGAGTGTGAAGGAACATGACAGCAGAGCCTGACGCCCACCTTCTCAGTCTCCCACGCTCCATACTGGCCTGACAGAGCTCCACAGGTACACACACATCTACCTGCTGGGAAAAAATATGTACAAAATAGGTTGAAATGAGTGCAAACAATCTACTGTTATCAACATTTTAGAATTGAGGTTGCACATCAGGATATTCTGTATGTTAAATGTGTTTATTTTGCTTGTAAAGATTTCAATAAAGGAGGCAAAGCTTCTTCATAAAGATGCGGCCTGTCCACCACAACAGTGACATTTCCTCTCACTCTGTTAATGACTCACTATCTGTCCAGCTTTGATTTGTACACTGAGCCCACCACTACAACGCAGAACAGTCACAGACCTGCTTGAATTGTTTGTGCTCAGCCAAACACTGTAAGTGCAGAGAATGAGTAATGGGCTCGCTTTGCTAGCTGGGTCATGTGATCTGCGCGGACCGAAAGCAGGAACTGAGCCATGAAGGAAACACTTGCAATCCTACATATGCCAAACAACCTAGGAACATCTTTTTTACATATGCACACATGATACAGCGTGTTCCAGCTCTTCACCTCTCTGGCTGAGCATGCTGGAATTGCACTGACATGCAGAGAAATGTGATGCTGAGGCAGTTAGGGGTTAAATATTACACTGAAGGTCTACTCAGAGGCTGCATGCAGGCGTTTGAGTGCAGATGTGTGCATTTCAAAACATAAAGAAAGCCCTCAACACCACACACAGTGTTACCTCAGCCCTTTCTGCAGACGCTGCTGTGATTCAGCCTGCTGGAGCTCCATGGCAGCAGAGGAGGAGAGGAGGGAGAGTGAAGGATGGTGATAACAGCGAAGAGATGAGAGGCAGCCCTCCCTGACTCAGTTGCTTTCCCATCTGCGTACACTCATACCACCACACACACACACACACAGAGACACACACACGCATTCACACACTCAGGGCTCTCTGCAGGGTACGACAGCTCCAGTAGCAGCACTCACTGGCTGGCAGGGCTGGCTGACGCAGGCAGTCACGCTGCCGCCACTCCAGAGAGGAAAGAGTGGGAAGGGAGGAGGGGAGAACGAGGGAGGGAGGGAGGAAAGGAGCAGAGAGGAGGAGAGAATAAAAGCAGGGAGAAAGGGAAAGGAGCAGAGGATGCAGAGGGAGGGAAAGCAGTGGGCGCAGAGTCGTGACAGAAGCAAAAAGAGCCAAATGGGAGAGAGGAGGAGGATTCACAGGCTCAAAGACAACACAAAGAGCTGTGTGCACATCAATCTGTAACCACTCAGCATGGAGCTGTGGTGAATATGGAGCGTTAACTGTCTATTCAGAGGGATAAACAGAAGACTTTTCGCTCCTGTCCTCTCAGGCATGTGTAAATCCTCCCTGATAGTGTCTGCATGGCACAAACAGTCTGAGCTCTGTTACTTCAGGCTGGAGAGCCTCTGCAGTGCAGCTGTGCAGACCTGAGCAGCAGCATGCAGAGCGGTGAAGCTCAAACTAAGTAGACAAACATCTAAAAAAAAAATTAAGAATCTGGGTGTAGTTCATGCTTTAATGCCAATAATCCAGTCAAAACCACCCACCGGGGAATGTAATAATTCTGATTTTGATGCTGTTCCCTTGCGATGAAAACTCCTGGAATTGTTTGGAAGACAAAGCCCGGTAGGAAACTGTCCTTAAGTTCTTCTTTGACTGGAAAACAGGATTCATGTTGAAGGTCAAAGACTGACCCACCTCACAGGTACACGCACAGTAAATCCTTCAGCTTCAGTCATCTACAGAACAATGTCACCATGAGGGCAGGAAGTGTCAGTGCTTTGAAAGGTGAGGACACAGATTTACAACACTTCAACCTCTGGAGGCTTTCATCACATGGAAACAGATAAAAGTAACATCACACCACACAGACAAGACTGTCTGTGTATGCTTTTATGCTTTCCCCCCACTCTGTGTGAAAAGTTTAGGCAACTGTCTCTCATCTGTTGGTTTAAAAAAATGGAGATTCCCTTCACCTTTAAGAGTTGTTTGGAGTGGTGGAGCCACTTTGAACAGGTTTGATGCTGAGGTCACTGCTTTAGCCACACAGCTCACCTGCAAACTGCCAGAAAAGTGAGAGAACCCAGACTTTAAGAGGCTGAAGGCACAAACTTATTCTCCAAACTCTAGAAAATCCATTTGAAGTCAAGGTTGCGGTTATCTCTCAAACATGGAGCCATAGTGAGCAGGACTTGCGTAGCTCCTGCACGCAGCGCCAAACGGTTTGCTGACCACAATATTACCAAGCTTGAAAGGCCTGTGCTGAACCCTGTGGGACATCTGAGGGTTATAATATTTGACATGAGGATGTTGAGAAACAGCTGATCCAACTTCACAGACCAGCTAAAGGACCTTTAAAGCGAGCTGGTCTTCACTGACCCCTCAGCAGAGCTAAAAGCCAAGAACTGAGGGTAGAAATAGGTGGACTTCACACAAGTTTCATTTCTGTAATTGAAATCCTTTAAAGGGATCCTTTAAATCCTTAAAATTTTCTGATCATATGAGAGGTTGGATTTCATGAGCTTTGAGCTGAATTTGTAGCTGTTAGGCATAATTATCCAAATTGAAGTTCAAAGGACTTTGTCTGCTGGTTCAAGCATACAGCCTGCATACAGAGGTGACAGCTTTCTTTACAGTTGTCATAGGATCAGTTTCCCATCCTGTTTCCTGTCTCTTTCTAAGCTGTCCTATAAGAATATGAGTTAACAGATAACAACATCTTTATTTTCTTAGTTAAAAGGTCCACATTATTCTAGTTTTTCAGAGCTACATCTATATATGGTGTGAAAAAGTATTTGCCCCCTTCCTGATTTCACATTTTTTTTGCATGTTTGTTACACTTAAATGTTTCAGATCAAACATATTTAAATATTAGTTAAAGACACCACATGTGAACAAAAAAACAAAAAAACAAAAAACATACATTTGGCTCTCTCTCTCTCTCACACACACACACACACACACACACACACACACACACACACACACACACACACACACGTTTAAATTTACACAGGCGAGAGATTCAGGAGTTATCTTATACAAATAAAATAGGTTAGTAAAATAAAAGTAAAATAAATCAAGTGCACATTACCGTGTATAATAGGTTCATATATTCAAAGAAAGGTTCATAAAAGCAAGAACATTAATTAAATAAGATGTCATTTTTTAAGGCAGCATGTTCAAAGCTATAAAAGTAACCCCCTTGTAAGATTAGTGGAGATATTTAACATATGACAGAAAGGGTTCCCATGTTTTACAAAACACGTCATCTTTGCTGTGTAGTTTACATGTCAGGTAGTCCAATGCGACATACTCAAGAGTCACCCTTTGCCACTGAGCCTTGGATAGGACTATATCCAAAATCCAATTTCAAAGAATTCACTTCCTAGCGCAGAACGCAAATGTTTGGTGAAGTTTCCTTTTAAATTTATCAGTGATGGAAAGATCAAATATGTCAAGTAGCAGACATAAAGGGTTATTATTTGTATTAGTAGAATGAATCTTATTCATTTCTTGTCCAATGACTTGCCAGAACTGTTGTATTTTCCAACAATGCCACAAACAATGTGTGAGGCTACCAGTTTCTATTTTACACTTGGGGCACAGTGGAGATAAATTAGGGTTAAATTTATGACGCCGGGAAGGAGAAATATGAGCCCTGTGTAAGAGCTTCAGTTGCATGGCCCTCACGCAGTTACAATCACTCAATCACAATCATTTTTTGTGCTCTTCCATGCATTACTCCAGCTATCATCTGTTATACTAACATTAAGTTCTTTTTCCTATAATCCTTTCAGAAAACAGGTGTTTGTGACCCTTAAGAATATTATCGAAAAATCTAACAGACCTGCCAGACTTCTGCAGGAACAGCTGTCTCTCTACATGTGAAATATTTTGACACTGAAAGATTGAAGTATTCTTGGTGACAAAGTTCCTAACTTGCAAATATTGAAAGAAATCCTTAAGGTTTTTATTATTAAAAGGGGGGAAAAAAATTATCCAAACCTACATGGCCCTGTGTTAAAAAGTGACTGACCCCCTCAACCTAAAAACTGGTTGGGCCACCTTTAGCAGCAACAGCTGCAATCAAGCATTTGTGATAACTTCCAATAAGTCTCTTACAGCATTGTGGAGGAATTTTGGCCCACTCATCTTTGCAGAATTGTTGTAGTTCAGCCACATTGGAGGGTTTTCGAGCCTTTTTGTGATCTCTTGGATGAGTCTGAGCTGCACTCTTGGAGTAATTTTGGTTAGCCAGCTACTTTTGGGAAGGTTCACCACTGTTCCATGTTTTGGCCATTTGTGGATAACAGCTCTCACTGTGGTTCGCTGCAGTCCAAAAGTTTTAGAAATGGCTTTATAACCTTTTCCAGACTGATAGATCACAATTACTTCCGTTCTCATTTATTCTTGAATATCTTTAGATCTCCACATGATGTCTAGCCTTTAATGATCTTCTGGCAGGTCCTTTTTAAGTGATCTCTTGATTGAGAACAGGTGTGGCAGTAATCAGGCCTGGGTGTGACTTGAGAAATTGAACTCAGGTGTGATAAACCAGTTACGTTTTAACAGGGGGGAAATCTCTTTTTAGCATGGCACAGTCTGAGCTCTTGGAGAGGTAGAAAATGAAGAAAATCTAAAACAGGGTTGTGTAGTGGCCAAGAAAAACCATCAGACATGATGAGCTTTTAAATTATTTCTTTATTTATATATATTTATTTATTCATCTCAGTTTGGTTGATATTCTTTTTAATCATTGTTGTTGCACTTTAGTATTTTTGTACTCAACAGAAATGAACATAAAAACAAAACAGGAAAAAAAGACAAAATGAACTGATAAAAAAAAAGAAAATGAACTGAAGAAACAGGAGCAGAGCAGAGAGCTGGCTTGCTGAGCAGGGAGGCTGGGGCTGGGAGCAAATAAAAGAGGGAAGGAGGAGAGGAGGAGTTAAGACAGAAAAGGGAGGAAGGAGGAGGAGGAGATAGGGATCGGTCTGAGGGAGCTGAGGATGTGTGCGGCTGCGCTTTCCTCCGAGTCACTTTTAAACACGTTCAAGGCTTTCAAATGGAGCCGTTACTTCCTGTCAAAGCTCAGAGGCAGACCTGACAACACCTTCAGACAGAGAGGAGCCTCCAGCCTTTAAGGTAGAGTTCATATCCTGCGCACAATGTCGCCAATCACAGCTGCTTCCTCACTGCTCCCAGACTAACACTGCGACTTCTCTCCTTCTGATCTCAGCTTTGGCTTGGGTTCAACGAGGAGAGATTCCCGTTCCTGTTTTTGGACGTTACACTAAAGCTGCCCCCCCCGTAGAGGAGGGGTGGATGTCGGTAAACAACAGGGAGTAACATGGGAAGCAGCGCAACACCATCTTCAGCTCTCAGACAGATGTAACAGACAAAAAAATAATCATTCATGCAGCCAGCGAGTTTGGAAACCCAGGCCTGCATGCACACACACACAAGTGGAGCTTTATTTTTCGCCACAGTCTCTTGCTGGTCCAGTAAAGACTCAGTATCCAGGGGGGTTGGTAAAAGAGGTTCAACTAAATTAAATAAACATTAAGGGAGGGTTTAACCTTCTGCTGTGGTCCCCGCTGTGCTGCAGCCTGACACAGAGATGTTACAGGTGGGTAAACCCGCCCCGCTTTGACCACAACCTCCTTTTTCCCTCTGCTTCGGAGGTCCAATCCAACAGTTAGTTTCTGAAATAGTTCCCTTTTTGGCGTGGAGATAATTCCAGGTGATACCCAACCACAAAAAGATGCAGCCGTCAGTCCTCCTAAATTGTCCCTTCCAAGCCCAGGAGAAGAGCAAAGCCAGGTTAGAATAAAACTGTTGAAACAGGTGAGGGGGCGGGGCTATAAGGTAGTCGTGGGTGAGCTTGGGAAGAGGAGGGGCGGAGTCCATAAGGCGTCTGATCACTAGCCGACGTCGTGAAGATGTTGGGAGGATCACAGCAGATAGGTAGCGCAGCAAGAGAGAGAAAGAGAAGTGGGATTGTCCTTTTCCACACTTGTAATGTTTGGGATGATATGTCAGCTATTTTACAGGTTATTCCCTCCTTTGTTGTCTTTTTATAATAGAGTGACAAGTCTCTTTAGCACCCGAACTAACCCAGACAAAGCCCAAAGCCTGACCCTGTATAGCCTGCCACATCTACCCCCAGTAACAGAAAAACAGGCTTCAACGAGAATGACAGTCACAACAACATCGATTGAAATGATACTTTCAAAAGCAACACAAAATAATAATTAACCTCCTCTTATTCAAGTGTCTCGATAGAATAATATTAAAACAAATAAGAACAATCTTTTTACGACACAGAAAGAGCGCTGTCTCTCTTCTCTCTGTCCTCTTTTGGCTAGAAATCTCAAGAGTCATAAAACAAACAATTAAAACAAAAAAACAAAAGAGTTTGAAGACATCCAAAAATACAAATGATAAACAATACCAATATAAAAAAAAGCCTCCCCAACAACATAGAAAGTAACAAAAAGAAAATATTCATACAGAAATTGCAATAGCGTTCTATACATGGCATCACTGTACAAGGAAAGGAGCAAATGTCTGAAAAAACTACTCACAATGCAATACACGGTCACCGACATGGGAGGGGAGGATGGAGGAAAGGGCGTAACACTAGGGAGGGGGAGTTCAGGCCGAGGGAGGGTTGGGGAAGCAAGGTAACAGCATGATGGAGAAGGGGGAGGGGTCTGCAACGGGCTGTGAGGAGGGCGGTACACAGACCAAGAGGATAGCTAGAACCGAAAGTGCAGAATTACTTAATTAATCAAAGAACAATGTCGTCCTTCTTAAACACACAACTGTTTTCCTTTAATAATAATAATAATAATAATAATATTCATTATAATAAAACCTCCTTTTACAGAAAACAGTAATGACAAGAAGAGGAACAATAGTAACCATAATGCCTACATGGACAGAAGCGGTAAAAATCAAAGTCAACATGTTTAAAAGAAAGGAAATGAATGCCGAAAAAACATGATAAAGAAAAACTATGAGAGAGGAGAGCTGGTTTGTCCTGTGCGATGTCACTGAGCTCCATCTTTGGAGAGAGAGCGTTTTGGTTGCCCAGTTGGAAACCCTGACCTAAACACCCGCCACCTGCCTGAAGAAAAGAGAGGCCGCCGCCGCCGCCGCCAACGCCGCTGAGGTTCCAGCCTGCTCCGGAATGATCTGCTGCAGGACAGCAGGGTGGGGGGGTGACGCAGAGGAGCAGACTGAACCACACACACACACACACATCTCCCCTCAACCTCTTCTGGTCAGCCATGCACTCACACACACATACTTAAGTACGCACACAAACACACACACACTACTATTGTGAATACTTTGGGTTTGTGGCAGCAGTGTGTTTGCTCGTTGTGTTTCTGAAAGTATGACGGTATCAATGCGTTGGCCGATGAGGCACATTATGAAGTATGCCAACAGTTACAGGAGGATGGAGGGTGATGGAGGAGAAAGATCAGGAAGGGGCAGCAGGTGGACGTGATGTGTGGTGGGGACAGGGTCGCGCCTAAAGAGGGAGGAGTGAGACCCTGATCTATGCATGATGGAGGTGAAAACAGGAGACAACCTGCAGCTCTGATCGCTGGACGACTTTGCAGAAAATGCTGGCACTTTACACGCAAGGGCCCCGCCTGTCACCCCCCCAACCCTTTTCAAGGTCTACACCCACACTCCCCCTCTCCAGCGCAGACTGCCCTCCCAGGGGACAGATGGAGACAGACAGATGGATGTAGAGCGCCCCCACTCAGGCAGACGACGGTGATTTGGCGTGATGCTGCTCAACTCAAGTCAACACAACTCAGGATGGCTGATATGGACCGCTGTACACAGGCTGCACCCCGTCCTGCAGGAAGTAGAAGAAGAGATGAACTGATCTGGAGACACTGAAGACATCTATCACAGAGGTAAGAGGACACCTCACACACCAGAGGGTTCACGTTTGAAGGATATGAGGTCAAAAACTAAACAGGACCTGAAAGCTGTCAGTATTTAGATGTTCTTTTAACAGTCCTTCCTCTATGTGTGTGTGTGTACCTGTGCTAGACCCCAGCCTGCTCCATGCTGTATTGCAGGTCTGGGGGCTTGTAGCTGAGGAGCATGTCACTGGTGCAGGAGGAGGGGTAGCAGGCTGCAGCGTGGAGCTCCCCTTCAACATCACATACTGTATGAAAAACAAACACATTTAAAAGGTAAAGACGAGGGAAACCTACAACCAATCAAAGGTGTGTTTTTTAAGACACACAGCCTTCCTCCTTCTTACCTGTCTCTTCCCGCTGGTGCAGCTGCTGGCTTCCAGTCAGTGACGTTTGGCTAAGAATATCGGACATGCGAGCTGAGCTTAGTGCCTTACCGGCCAGCAGGCTCATCCCAGACATGGGATCTGCCTGATCCTGTGAAGACAGTAAAGAGCAGTTTCAGACACACTTGTTGGTGCTACTACAGCTATGAGGAGCTGAAATCAGCTCCAGTGGTTCGTTTGAATGACTCAGCATAAAGGTATAGTGTGTTAAAACACCTGAGAACAGACAGATCTGACTAGATGTCAGACAGACCGACTTAGAAATCTCAGAGAAAAATCATAATATTTCCCACGGCTACTCAGGAGTGCTATGGCTGTGATCAAACACAGACTAGATTCAGTAAACATACTTCTTGTTTCGTGGTGAAACCTATCCCATGGAGATTAAAAGAAAACCTCTATGAGGGCCCTTTTCTAAACAATCTAGGGGGGAACCATGGAGCCATTTTCGCATAGCCATCCATGAAAGACTAAATTTCTAATTTTCACACCTGATGTGTGTGGATGTGTGTTTCAGCCGTTAGGTGCTCTTAGAAGTCACAAAAGCTAAATCCAGGTTGAACTGAATGATCCTCACACCTATTTTATAATATACACATTGGACATTTCCTTGTTTGACTTCAGGCTCTTCATAAAAGGTCAACTGTTACTCACGTAGGCATCATCACAGGTCTGGATGGTGTGGTGGCGCTGGAGTTGTCCACGGGACCTATAGGCGTCACCCTGGGGACCTCGCGAATACCCCACACCATTGTGATCAGGCACCTCCATGGCCTGCCCTGGGGGCCTGCACTCCGCATGCTCAGGTTCTAGCAGGAGGAATAATTGAAAACTTTATGAACAGTGGGACAATTGTGAAGGAAGAGTCAGAAATCACCTGCTCTGATGATATTTTCAGATTTCAGAGATCAGTGAATTAAAGCCATTCAAACAGAAAGAAACACTCCCATCAGTCCGGACACACTTAGACCTCCGCAGAACTCTAAACAGGTCTCACCTCCAGTTGTTGGGGCATTCCTAATAAAGCCGCCATGCCTGTGTGTAGGCGAGTTGTAAGGTGGGGTCCCACCCCGAGGAGGCCCCAGGAGCTCATGAGCCTCCCCCGCCTTGGCCAGCAGCCCCTCGTGTGGGTGGTGGAAAGCAGTTGGTACCTCATCCTCCTCCATGCTCTCCGAGTGCGGTAGGCTGGGGCAGGGCGCCTGGGCTGGATGCTGCTGTGGCTGCACGTCTGGTGGTCGAATCTGGAGGAGGTGGTGGTAGTGCTGACCCCCGGGGGCACCCTGTGGTGCTGGGGGATCAAAGCTCTCACCCTGGCTCAGCTGGCGAAGGAGCAGCATCTCTCCGTACTCTTGGGGTGCACCACTGGGCGGTGTCTGGGGCGTTGGGCATGGCCGGGGGCTCTGCCTTTTTAGCAGAGCAGCCAGGTCTTGAGGGGGGAGTCTGGGGTCGGCGTGGCCTGTTAAAGAGTGGCGGGGGGACAGGAGGCCCTGTAGGGTGGGGGTGACGTGCTGCTGAGGGGGGCGGTAGTCCAAAGGAGTTGGGGAAAGCAGGGCCTGCTGTAGTGTAGACGGGGTGCCATAGCCACCAGTTCCAACAACCCCGCTCTGGTAACCCTCCAGGCCTGGGACTTTGAGAGAGGCTCCCTGCAAGTAGGGGCTGTAGGTGCCGACCACACCGGGGGCGCCACGTGAGGCGTCAGAGAAGAGATGAGGACTGAACTGGGTCTGGTCGTAGCCGGATGTGAAGCGGCCAAGGCTGCGACTGCATAGGAGGAGAAAACACAGACTAAAGTTACCTACTGGGTAAACATCATCAACACACTCGTGCAACAATTCTGCAAAGACACCATCTACCTTCAGACAGAGGTCCTCATTACAGCACTACACACAGTACGCCTAACAAACAGAGCAGCTGAGCTCAGGTTCAAGGATTCACAGAGAGGAGTGCAGACATTAGACGGTATAAAGAGTGTTTGAGAAGATGATGACACTCTCTCTCAGTGAAGGCCCGGGTGCAGGGATCTGTTTCTTTAAGTGGTGATCTCAGGGGTCACAGGTCGACTCTTCTCCTACGCTAAAACACCGCTTTAAAAAAACATGTAACCACTCACCCAGCTACAAAGAGGTGGAGGATTTGTTGAGGAAGTCATCCCAGCAAAAGTAGACGAGGTATTTACATTACATTTCAAATCATCTGCCCTCCTAAATAAAAGCTGTGCTCTGACCTTCAGTCTCAAAATGAAATGTGAGGAACATCAGCAGACATGGCAGAAATGTGAAGCACAAAATAGACAGTGAGATAGTCACAAAACACAACAAACAACATGAAGGTGTGTGTTTGGAGAGGCGAGGTTGTGGCGTTAAAGAAGACGCAGGAATAGTCCATTGTTATATGGTCGCCATCGAGGGACATGCTGACAGGATGGGAGGGGTCACCTGTGCGACTCAGCATTGTCTGCGCTCAGCTGCTTCCCCAGGACTTTGTGTCCACCTGGCGTTGCCAAAAAGGTGCCCGGTCTCTGCGCCCCACCTCCAAGCTCGATATCCTGAACCTGAATGGTCACCTGTGTAAAGAGTCAGAGTAACACTGACAATGAACCCCTTTCCTCTGATAAAACAGTACAGGCTGCACATGGAAGAAGACCGCAGACACAGACACAGAAAGACACAAACTGCACAAGATCTTTGAAATCACCTGCTGCTGTTGTGGGACACCAGGAGCCAGTGGGACAGCGGGGCGGGTGGATGCCGCTTGTGGATTGGTCGGTAGAGAGACTCGGGGCATGCCTGTGGGAGGCGGGCTGCCGCTCTGGCCCTGATACAGCGCGGGAGTACCATGCTGGTACTGCACTGGTGACGGTCCTACTAGAGAAAACGAGGAGTCACATAAGCAAGATCTGAGGACTGGAAGCCAGGGACACAACATAATTTATTTTTTAGACTGAATTCTAGATGAGCAGGAAACTATAAATTTAGATGCATCAGCTCTTCTTTTAGCAAGACACTGTAAACGTTTAGGAACTAAAGAGACCAGACGTGATGATCCCCATACCATCAGGGGTGCTGGCTTTGAACTCCAAGCTGGACACAAGCCCGGTGGTTCCTCTACTCCTTAGAATGGCGGATGCTACATCCATGATGTTCAAAATGAATCTCATATTTTAAACTCCCTAGTCTGTCTCAAATGGGCTCAGGTCCAGAGAAGGTTCTCCCTTATGCTCCTTTACGCTCAGGAACATTATTCTGAAAGTGCTGAACTATGAGATGTTCCTCCAACGTAACTTTGACCTGTTTGGTTGTTTCTGTAACAACTTTTTGAAATGCGTTTTGAACATCTGATTTATTGTTTTTGCACTATTTGCAGATGTGTTTAATTGCCGGATGATGACTCTTCTCTCACTTATACAAGGCATTTTAATTTCTTTCAAACTAGCTGAGACTTCTTGTCGTTCAATTCAGAAAATCCTGACTAAGTATTTCTACTAGATTCCTAAAGTTCAGTAAGCCGCTGCATCTACATTTGTAACAGTATGGTGATAATCTGAGTACTGTAGCAGTAGTTTTACTAACCATGCCCTTGCATCATGCCTGCAGAGCCAGGCGGAGGGCTCTGGTTGGACTGTCTGAAGAGGTGGTTGCTGGGATGTGTTGGCGGAGGGCTGGAGGGCTGGATTCGCAATCTGAGGGAGGACAGCCCGGAGTAGGAGAGGAGAAGAGAGAGATATGACAATGATGTAACACTTCAGTCGATAGCACTGCAGCACGGTATCAAGTTCATTGTTCAATAGATGATGAGTAATGCTTGTTTCTTTATGTGTGTGTGTGTGTGTGTGTGTGTGTGTGTGTGTGTGTGTGTGTGTGTGTGTGTGTGTGTACCTCTGGAGCTGGTGGGTTAGGTGACTGGGCTGGCTCTCTCCATGGCCTAGAGACAGACCCTGCAGGCAAAAAGTATTTATTTGACTTAAAGCTTCTGTAAAGCAGGATTTTCTTGTGGATTTGTGGTTATTTAAGTTGTTGCACGTGCAAAAAATAAATAAATAAAGATTGAAAAATCGACAGATAAATGATTGGTTTCCACTGATTGATGAGGTCAGCTGATACAGCTCAACCCATCCTGCAGGAAAAGCCACAAACCCTCCCATCCACCCTTGTCTTTTAATGACCTCCCTTTGACCCCCGATGGCTGCAGGTACCTGGATTTGCTGGTGGAGGATTTGTTGCTCTTGCTGGTAGAGGACATGCTGTTGCTGGGTGTGCTCCAGGAGTCGCTCATCCTGCTGGGCGGCGTACATTTTCTGGAGCTGCTCACACTCCTGTTGGAAACACAGACATGCAGAACTGTCAGACCTGCACCATGTTTTAACAATCCATTCACTAAGTTACGTTAACAGTATATGGCTGTGTGTTCATGTTAACTGTTAAGTTGTATTTCAGCAAGACATTGACAAAACACTTTCTGCAGTGATTACAACAGCATGGCTCTGTAGTAGAGAAGCCCTGCTGAGAAACTGGCCTGACTGACTGCAGTCCTGACTTATCCCCCATTAGAAACAGAGGAGATCCTGACCTGTTGAGCAGCTGAAATTCTTTATCAGGCAACAACGGGACAACATGTCAATTTTAAAAACTTCAGAAACTGGTCTGCTGGGTTCACAGGTTTACAGGTTAAAATAAGAGCCGATGACATCCAATTGTGACTATTTGATGAACACGTGTTGCTGGAGTCAAGCTTATTTCCAAGTCAATTAAAGTCAGCAAGTCATCAGAAAGTAGAGATTAAAATGAATGAAAATATAAAGGCTGTCGGACCGCTTAAAGACACACTTAAAGTCTTACTCTGAGGTCATACACTCCTACCTTATACTGTTTACTCTATACAATCCTTCCTCTGCACCTCTTTAAGTGAAGGTCATGTTTGTGTACGTGTGTGTGCGTGCGCGTGTGTTTTAACCTTTCCTCCACACATATTAACCTGCTTAGCACTTGAGTGTAATGATAATCCCAGCACGCCGGTACATGTTTCAGATAAAGCACCCACGGTGAACATGATGATTATCCCTCTCCCTGCCTGCGCTTCCAACTGGGGGAGTTAATCTGGTTGGAGCATCAGAGCGAATGATGTGATGTCTTTCTAAGCAGCCTGAGTGAGGTTGTTTCAGGGAACGGCTTTGTTTAAACTCACCTGTTGAACGTCATCTCTTACATTCTGAATGGTCTCTGTTCCTGACACTGATCCACTTTGTTGCTAGCTCAGCAGTATATTGAGGTTACCATAATCCCTGTCCTCACGATCTGGCTGCATATTTACTTTTGCCCATCACTAATTTGAATGAATTTAAGGTCTAAATTTGAAGGGTTATCATGTTCAAATTCAGTGGGTAGTTTTCTCCTGTAATCCTCCAGATGGAGCAGGAACAGCACATTTCACCGAAAAGGCGGCTCAGTTTACACATCAACATTTATCTGCAATCTGTGTCAGTGAAGTTAAGACGTCACAGGTGAAGCTAATGACAGCCTGTGACAGCCAGACAGGAGCTCTTGAGAAGTGCAAATAGTGCTGCATTAAACAGGAATCCCAGATGTCAGAGTGTAACCATATTACCACTGACATTGATACTAATAAGACATTTTAGACATGCACTCCTGAATATTATCGACAAATACACTTTCTCCTCCCTCTCAGTCTTGGTTTCAGACCACACTAGTGTAGCAGAGTAGCATTTCTATGAATGATGAATCTAAAAGTAAAGATCAGAAAGTACATTTCACTGCAGTGATTTGATCCCTAAGCCAAGACACAGCAGAATTGGGGTACTTGATGATGGGCTGTTGTTTGCTGTTGTTTGGGTTTCTTTTCTCTTAAAATAAGATGTTGTTCTGAGTTCTTTGTAGTCTTTTTTATAAGGTGCGGTACAAACACAGTTTTTATTATTATCCGATATTTTGCCTTCAGTCATTATCTCTAAATTTAATTGTTTATCACCCTGTTGGATCATATCACGCCAATGCTGTCTTTTTTTTCAAGCCAATTATCCAATATTTACTGCTGCTTGTTTACATTTGATTATTTCTTTCTGTTCATGTTAACAACAATATCATTAGTTTGGATGTGATTTAGTTTAAGCACTTAAGGATTATTTCTACGTTTAACCTGCTGATAAAAGGAGATGATTTTTTGAAGCTGTTGTGTTTCAAATGAGAACTCATCCAGAATCTGTATTTGATTTTATACAGTTTTATCATGGGATGAAAGTTTGATCAAATAGCTTTTTCTACTTACTTTTGCCCGTTCACCCTAAAATAAGCTCTTTTATCTCTGGATGTCCAAGTTTTCTACTCAAGTCTGGTGACCCAGCAGGAAACGCTCGGTTGCACTCAGAGAGAGTTCGTTTGTCTGCTGTGCTGTAGTGACCCTAAATTCACCTCTCACTTTGTAACCCAGCCTGTAGCCTTGGTGCACAATCAGCAGGCCATGGATAAAAGCTTATCCCTGATGCAGTTACATCAGAAGCTCCTGAAGGCTTAGGCTGAACTTTAGGGGCCAAACTCTGCAACCAGAAATCAGCTGAATGAAAAATAAGAGGGGAAGGATCACCAGTCCCACCTGATCATTCTTTGCTGTTCAAGAGTTAAATGTCAGCCAAAGTCAGAGGAGACAACATGAGGAGGCAGGACGGTATTAAGACCCTATGGGAGGTGTTTACCCAGTAAGTGACTTTAGCCTGAGCTCATGATGCTGATCTCCTGTGGTCTGTGTTATCAGGGTCAAAATGACACCACACTAGCTGGGCTTTATCTCAATTTCAGCACTTTTCCCCTGAGGAAACACGAGTATCCACTCAGTCTCATCAGAGCTTCTTCATTTATCAGAAAAATCAGGGGCCAACCCAGTGGGAGTGAGAGTCTAAGCAGATGATAAGACAGTTGTTTTTTTTTACTGGTTTTGTCCTCCACAAAAATGTACCCAAAATGAAAATCAATCAGCACCTCCAGATAGTGGCTTTCGTACCTGTTTGAGCTGCTTGATAAGGCTGCTGTTCTCCAGGTGAGCCTTGAAGGCCTGGATGGTGGCAGCGCCGTCCGAGAACCGCCTGACAGGTGAGAAGCGCTCCATGGGGAGGTGAAGGGTGTTACAGTCTTTATAGCTGGATCTGAAGAGGGGGGGACCAAACACGGGTGTACACAAACACACACACACAAGAAGACGCAATAAACACAACGTGACACATAACATTGACACACACACACACATTTAGTCATTCACAAACACAGACAGAAAAATGAGAAGTTCTTTAAACCTGCATAGTTTTCACAACTTTGGTTTTCTTTCACTAACAAACAAGAGTCCAAAGATCATGCAGCTGATTGGTCAAAAACATCACGTTCTTTTGGGTTATTCTGCCAATTATTTCAAAGAGTAGTCTATATGAGAAACTGGGTGCTTTTTGGCAACAGAAATACAGCAGAGTACAGCAGTTTATCAAGGTGACTTACCACCAAAGATTCTGATATTTACCCAAATAAACTAACTCTGACAAATGATAAACAACCATCAGATCCCTGTGACTTCAGTGAGTGAACAGAAGAACGTCAGCATGAGGACAGATATCCAGTGAAGGAGCGCTTCTGATAGAGGACTCAAATGTAAGAGTCACTCACTGCTGATTATCTGTGATCATGTACAAATCATGTGAAGTCTGCTGCTTTAGTGTTTGTAGACCTTTTCATTCAATCTTTCTATGGTATTATGACAAGCACTTCAGAAGTGTCACAGGCTTTTATTGACATTTATATTGAGTTTATGCCACAAGTCAATATTGGCAGTGTTGACCCTTCTTTTTTCAAAACCTCTGCAATTCACCCTGACATGCTGTCAATCAACTTCTGGGCCAAATCCTGACTGATGGACGTCCATTCCTGATAATCCATGTTTGGAGTTTGTCAGTTTGTAGGTTTTTGTTTGTCCATACGCCTCTTGAGGATTGACCAAAAGTTCTCTAAGGGATTAAGGTCTAGGGAGTTTCCTGGCCAAGGACCCAAAGTTTGTATGCTCTGTTCCCCAAGCCACTTATTTATGACTTTTGCATCTTTCGTCACCAAACTGTTCTTGGATGGTTGGAAGACGTTGGTCTAATGATGCTTTACTGTTGGCACGACACAGGACTGATGGCAGCCCTCACCTTTTCTGAAAGAGGATTTATCAGAGAGAAAGACTCAACCCCAGTCCTTAGCAGTCAAACCCCTGTAATTTTGCAGAATACCTTTTTGTCCGATATTCTGGCTTCTTTGCTGCCCTTCTTGACACCAGGCTTTCCTCCAAGAGTCCTCACCTCACTGTGTGTGCAGATGCACTCAAACCTGCTTGCTGCCATTCCTGAGCAAGCTCTGCACTGGTGATGCCAGGATCCCACAGCTGAATCAACTTTAGGAGATGGTCCTGATGCTTGCTGGACTTTCTCAGCCGTCCTGAAGCCTTCTTCACAACAAGTCAACCTCTCTCCTTTTAAGTTCTTGATGATTTGATAAATGGTTGATTTAGGTGCAAGCTTACTAGCATCCATATCCGTCCCTGTGACGCCCTTTTTGTGCAAAGCAAAGATGACTGCAGGTGTTTCCTCGCAGGTAACCGTGGGAAACAGAGGAAGAATGATGATTTCAAGCACCACCTTCCTATATTGTAACTCAATCAGTTGGACAGATTGATCTCCAGCCTTGTCTTCATCAACACTCTCACCTGTGTTAGTGAGAGAATAACTGAAATTATGTCAGCTGATTCTTTTGTGGCAGGGCTGAAATGCAGTGGAAATGTTTTTTTTTTAATTTTCATGGCAAAGAGGGACATCTGATCACTCCTCATAAAGTGCGATCATTCTGAAGTTTATGCAAAAATTGCTGTCATAAAAACTGAAGCAGCAGACTTTGTGAAAGTTTATATTTAAGTAATACTCGAGGCAGGATGGATTTGAGACCTTTGATGCTTTGAACAGTTTGATACTCTGGGTTTTAACTTCAGTAACTCACCTCAATGCACGGACTGAAACGCTGCCTTTGTCGCCAAAATGCACATGCATACTTTTTACAATGCTGGCTGCTTAACAGTCTATTGAATCTCATTTTTCATCTCATAAACCACTGTAATTCATTAACAGCTTTAGTCAGTAAGAGTTATGTATGTCACAGTTGATTATTTGTTAAAGGAACATTCAGCTACATTTGTTTTACTATATAATGTAATTGTTGATGAGCACAGTAGTCATGCAAATACTGAACATGAGTATTTTTCTCTGCACACTGCACAGGACTAAACAACGCATCTGAGGTTTGACTAAATAAGACATGTTCAGACTACAGCATCTGTTTTCAAGGGAATATTCCAGGAACGACAAAAAAGCTTCAAGCTTTACACATCTGTTAAAGCTTGGCAGAGCACTGTGTCTTTAAAAACAGGCACACATGTATCTGCGTCACTCACACCACACTTCAGAGGACATGTTCTGCCTCAAATTGCGTCCCAAACTTCTGAAGACAAAAGTGCACCAAATCGCTCTTCAGGCTTTTTAAAAAAAGGGGTCTGCAGACTTGACTGAAGGCTGGAGCAACAGTTACTGAATGGATGACACACAAACACAAGGAAACTGCTGCTACTGGAGTCCAAACAGAACTACTCCAACAACGACATCCCTCTACGACTTGAACCTGTCACATACCTGCTCTTTCCAGGTGATTCAGAGGACAAACAAACGGTTATTCTGAAACTGAGCTCTACTGGGGGTGTGGAGATCAGGTTAGTCATGTGCTGCACCTTCTACCTCTAACTAAGGACAAACCAAAATGACCTTTCTGCTTAGAAGGTGTAAAAGCTTCACCTGGCCCCTGTGCATTACAATCAAGGTGAGTGTGTGAGTGTGTACTTGTGTTTGAGACAGAGAGATCAGCTGAGTGTGCAGGTGAGGGTGAATGTGTGTAAGAGAGTTATCAAGAGACAGGCCAGTGAATGGGAGTCTGATGTTTGTGTATGTTTGTGTGTGAGTGTGTGTGTGTTTACAACTCGGAGCGGGTGTGTCCCCTCACCGGGTGTGTATGTCGGGGACCCAGCAGCCCCTCTGGCGGGGGCCCTGTGGCCGCTGTGACTCTGCAGAGGGCTCGCCATGCGATGTGCTCATGAGCGCGTGCGTCGTATGCCGCTTGGAGCGGTTCGCCAGGTACCTGGGCCGCAGGGAGGGGGGAGGACGGGGGGTGAGGGTGGGAGACAGGAAGCAGCGCTGGTCAGCTCACTGTCCTCATTGGCTAATGGGGGCGGGGAATAGCCCCGCCCCTTCCCACCTCTGCCAATGGGTGCTATCATTCATATCATCTTAGCCAATCAGAAAACAGAAGAATAATCACAGCATCGATGGAGGTTAAAGCTTGTGGGTATATCCCACCACCCCCAGCTTCTAGTTTATGGATTGGACTGGAAGCCGGTTTTGCAAGCTTTACAGTTAGCCAAGCTGTGTGAGGTAGGGTGTTGAAATGAGAAAGACAAAGAAGTTTTTCGGCCAAAGAGTTTGAGAGGAAAGAGCGCTCGCTTTGGGAGGCAGATTCAGTCTGAAGACACCAGCGCGGTGGAGAGAGGAGGAGGAGAGGTGGGTAAGCACCACAGCAGAGTGGCCACCTCACCCCCTTAGGAAAAGCAGAGTAGCCTGAAGGCACGCAGTCCCAGCAACTCAGGACACCAGTGAGCTCAACAGGGGGTGCTGTCTGAAGAAGGCCAACTGGGGGACTGGAACCAGGACCAAGGACTCCACAAACTGTACCTCTATGCTAACTCTAGCTCCTTCTCTCTGGAAGCTGAACTGCTAACCCTTACAAAAACATGTCTACAAAACTCCACTTGTTTCATTGTAAGCCAAATGATTCAACAAAATGGAGTGAACACACTTTTGGTCAAAGACAGAAACAGACCGTGAAAAAGTTTGTTTTTGTGAATTTGGGCTCTAAAAGGTAGAAATATAGATCTAAGTACCTAGAATATCTTTCCTGCTAGTTTGTGTACCCTGTGGTCATGGGTTAAAGGCCTCCAAAGGATCCAGTTCAGACAGCACACCTGTTTATCTATCCCACCACCAAAAACCGCCATCATAGATTACCTCTGTACTGCTTCTTGGTCTGGCTCTCCGTCTGATCCCTCCTCATCCACAGGAGCGACTGCAGGGATAGGGTGCTGAGAGAAGCAAAGAGTCGGTCAGTAAACACCCCAACAGTTACCGTACCAGGACAGAATGAAAAAAATATGAGGTGAACAGAAATTCAGATAGTCACCGGGCTGGCAACAAGCGGCGAGGGCCCCCGAGGCCTCTTGAGGAGCTGAGCGTGTAGTTGAATGTTGGCCCCGCCGTCAGAAGCTCTCCGACCGAGAGGCCCCATGCCGTTAAGCAGCTGCAGGGTGGGGGGCTGCAGCAAAGATTGCTCCTGAAAGAAACAGCCCAAACATCAGCCATCGGACTGATTTCAAGACCCTCAATACGCAATATCTCTGAACACCTATCGATGAGTACCTTGTACTCCAGCTGCTGTGTGGGCTGCAGGCTCTGTGTGGGCATGAGCGTGTGCATTTGGCCCATGGTGGGGGCCAGCTGGGGGAAAGGGACCTGGGGCACAGCACTTCGAGGGAAGCCTGGTGGTAGTTTCTGGAGGTCTTCCTGCATCTCTGTCCTGTTTAGGAGGAGGGACACGACAGAAGAGAGGTGCTGAAAATGTAGCATGCCCACCTATAAATACCTCTTATTTAGTCTATTAACCCTGAGAACAGCTGCACCTTAAATGTTAGACCACTTATTAAGGGGTCATCTTAAACCAGCTTTGTCAGACCATGGTGGAAAACACATACTAATATTTTTTACAACTTTATCTACAGTGGACAAACTCTAAAGTGTTTGTCCCAGATGTTTCTCTTGAATGAATATGGATCTTTTTTGAAACACTACTGATCCTTACAACAACTTTTTTGCAGGATGCAGGACCACAAAACACATCAAGCTCACTGGTTGACAATGGCAGAGACTTAACGCAGAAGCATGAACCAGGCTGAGTGACACTCAACTGAGAAAAACCTGCTTCACGGCGCTCTATCAGGTGTGTCTGATTTACCTTTGGTCTGGAACCCCCACTGTGTGCCGCCTCATTGAAAGGTAGCGAGCCATGGCTTCTGGAGACGGCTCTTCCCCTTCATCACTATCCAAAGCCATACTGCCATCAGGCTACACCGGAACAATACAAACATACAGTGATTAGTGCTGCCCTTTGTGTTGTCTGCTTGTGTCAATACACACAGTTCACCTCATTTGAAATAGAATAAACATGCTTTAAAGTTCATGTCCTGTATTCACATCCTCGCTGCATTGCAGTCATCTGATGCGTTCTGGTGTTGTACAGCATTTGTGAGTCAGCTTTGAGGCTGTGTGAGTTATATTTGGATGTGTGTGCATGCTTGATTGTGTGTGTCCAATCATGGACCATTCCCAGCCTTACTGATAGTAGCAGCAGAGAGCTGCTAATAATGGAGTGACAGAAATGTAAATCATTAAGATACGAGTCTGGGATCTGCCATGTTGAGTGATTTGTTCTACAACAAAGAGTAGCAGCGACTAGAAGCTGATAGCGAGTGAGGTTAAGGGTCATATTTTCGTCTGGTCCTAAGCGTGCTTACATCAGCCTCACTACCCAACCTCTTAGTGCCACATTGACGCAACCAGGTCAACTCACCTCAACAATCTGGTTCTCTGGGTTGATGAGCTGGACGTGGGGGACAGTTATGCTAACGGGATTACCCTGCGAATCCGTCTGCTGGGCACGCACACACGCACACAACACGACACACACAAACAGACATGTAAAGGTCAGGTGAAGGCTGTTCCACTTTTCTAACAATCTCCTTAGTGCAGAGTAAATGGCAGACGCGGATTATGCATATCAACTCCATTAAGTGGGCTGATGACAATAATACTGAAACATATCAGCATGTGAACAGTTCGCTGAACTAGATCACGCCTCCCTGCGTTCTGCAACCACATTTATGATCCTGAAAAAAACTCTTAATTTAAAGCAATACTCCTACAAATCATCTGCTTTCATCTTCAGTTAGAATATCATGGAAAAGGTCAGTTTTTTAATCAGAGGATTGTCGAAAAAAGCAGATTCAGGGACTTTGGAGACCCTCACAAAGACTGGACGCTAGAGTCAGAGCACCATCATTTTTCCACTTTGATTCTGAATTCAGTTGCCTGGTACAATACAGTCTTGAACTATTAAACTGTGTTGAAAATGCTCTAATGGAGTCAGAAAAAACCTGCATCATGACATGGCAACATGCATTACCCGTACAGGATAGCTAATGGAGCGCGGTGGGGGTGCTGCGACACGCAGGGTCTTGTGTTTCTTGAGGCGGTCAGCCAGCAGACTATAGATGGCACTGTAGTGATCGTATGCATCTGTTTGTAGGGACTAGACAGAAAAAGAGAGAAAAGTACTAATTAACTTGTTTTCTTAAAAATGATGGCCACACGTGTCAGCTGCAAACATTTCCTACCTGAAGTGTCCGCTCTCTGTCCAGGCCCATGTCAGACATCGCAATCAACACCTGCTCATTGATGAGCTCTGTCTCCCTTTCTGTCTTTACCTGCTCACACTCCACTATCAACTGAAAGAAAGAGACAGAGAGGAATTAAGAAATTGAGAATAAATGGTCAGACAGGCAGCGTCATGTGACAATCTTGTGAGTCAAATATTCAACAGTCAGGGCAGCTCCTTACTCCTGAGTCTGAGGATGAATTGAACATAAACAAATTTGCTTTATTGTGGTGAGATAGAGGTGATAAACTCTCTCTGTGCTGTGAGCTTTTGCCAGGCGACCAGCACTATTTCCACACTTCGACTATGTTTTCACCTAAAAAACACACTTTTTTTTTTTTCTAGTTTTCACCTAGTTTCTGCACTACTAAGGCCTTAAACTGAGATTCATCTTTTATTATAGTAACCTAATGGAGAACTTTTAAAAGGCCCATACACCATGTGAGAAAACCCCCCCTCTGTGTCCCCTTAAACTGGCCCTAAAGGTTCTTCTTGCTTGGTACTTTTTGGGAAGACTCACCCGGTCGAAGTCTGGATCTGGGTCTCCTTGTCTCATCCACTTGTTCTTACAGATCTGCTCCATGGTCAACCTCTTGCTGGGCTCCAGCACTAACATGTGTCTGATCAAGTACTCACAGTCTGCAATGGCACACAAACATGCAGGTGCACTCATATTAGAAACATACGGTACGTGGAGTCTGGTAGCATAGTTTTAACCTGCTGAAACTGCTGCTTTGTTCTCAGAGAAAGAACTGTTTTCCACTGTGTTATGTGAACTGTTAAAAGTTCAATCACTTGGTCCAAAACTGAAGCAAAGCGTACCAGCTTCAAATTTATTTTTGAACTTTAAAAAAGTCGCCATCAATGGTTCTGTGTGTAATTTTTTTTAACTCAACAAGAACTATGATGAAATCTTTTTAGCAGCCTGTCACGGTTTGCTCCATGGAACCTCACAAACAACGGAGAAACAATTCTTCTAGGACAAACCTGACATTCATGAAAGGCTAATCCCGAGAAAAACAATCAGTAACACCAACAAACTCACTAATGATGTAATGCTCGAAAGCTTATGTAATGTCAACTGCTTCCAAAAAAACAGGGTAATAAAATGTGCACAAAAAGATATATGACTTGCAAATGTTGCTAGAGAAAAATGATTACTGAAGCTGGCAGAGTCACTTGGTTTGAAAACCCCACAGGACACCTCTGATAGCATCCTTTCAGCCGAGAGTGGAAAATGTGTTATTTACAGAAAACAAAGCATCCCTTCAGATTTCGCATGGCCGCCGGGCAGGAAAAAACATCATGAGACATCTGACTGATTCAGGTTTAGACAGAACGAGGAAGCTGAGAGACAGAGGACAGGGTAAGAGAGGACAGGAGTCCTACCTGTGGACATAAAGAAGGGGATGCGGAACTTGCCACTGAGGACACGTGCCCGCAAATTCTGTAGAGTGCTGCCGTCGAAGGGTAGAGCGCCGCACACCAACACGTATAACACCACACCTAAGCTCTGTACCAAGAAGAGAAATGCAAGATTTAAACTGAGCACAGACTCAAACAAGCTTCAAGAAGTCAACATCTTAATCATCAATCTGCTAAATATCTTATAAAACCTTTAACACAAGGTCTGATTGTTTCAAAGATTATCTTGTGACATTTTCTCATGATGTCAGTGGGTTGAGGGTGGTTTTACTTCCCTCTATCTACATGGAAGTCGTTTGGGGCGGCTTTGATTTGAAATAATCATTAAATAAGTTTGTCCTTTTCAATCAGAAATCCTGCTGTGTGGAGGAACCCCTGAGGAAAACTGCGATGAAAAGACGGCCAATCTATAGGATTTACAACTCTGGGATTATCAACAGACAAAGTTTAAAATCACAGCAGCTGACTTCTGCACTGGACAAAGGACTGTGACGCCCTGGTTTGAACTGCCTTTGGTTTTGCATCTACCCAGATTGATCTGCATCTGCCGAAACAAACGTACCAAAAAGTCCCCTAATAGCTCAATATGAAGACATTTACTGCCATCCCCCTAGTCTTGAACTTTCAATCCACTTTAAGTGAGAGCAGCAGCCCCACTGGGCTGCACACACACCTGAAAATCTACTCACCCATATATCTACTTTAGGTCCGTCGTACTCTTTGCCCTCAAAGAGTTCTGGTGCAGCATAAGGGGGACTGCCACACCATGTCTTCAACAGCTGGCCTCGAGAAAACAGGTTACTGAAGCCAAAGTCTGACAAGAAGGGAGGAGACATTTATTTAATCTCATCACTTTCCTCGGAGAGACAAATTCAATCAGCCTGGCAAAGAGCTCCCAGAGCGCATGTTGGCACATGCCTTCGCCCACTCACCGAGACAGCCCAAAACCACTACATTAAGTTTCCCACCCTGACACATTCTTCAGAACAAACACACACATAATCACACACCTGCGATTTTGATGTTGAGGTTGTGGTCCAGCAGCAGATTCTCGGCTTTCAGGTCTCTATGGACGATGCTGCGGCAGTGACAAAAATGGACCGCAGCAACTATCTGCTTGAACTTCTTTCTGGCATCCTTTTCTGCCATACGCCCATGAGCCACAAGGTGGTCTGCACATAGATACAACATACAAGCCAGACATTTGAAATAGGTCTTTTTTTCTATCTTTGATACATATAAACTTAAGTTCTTATTTCATGTCCTCATTTAGCCCAACACATCACAATATTATTCATTCATGATGAAATGCAGACTGGAATTTTTAATCTACTGGAAAATGGATATACAGAACATAAGAGACGGGATATGACTCAGAATTTCACTCATGACTCAAGCAAACAAATATGTGACACAAAATGAAACAAGAATGAACAAGTAGAGCAAACAAACCAATCACAAAAAAACGCAAACATTAATTTAACTGAACATTTTTTTATATGTTTAAGTGGAGAACTGCTGATAATGACAAACAGTTTCTGGAGTTTTTAAAAGTGAAAGTTGTCCTGTTTTTGACTGATAGAGGATTTCAGTTGCTCAACAGGTCAGGGTCTCCTTTGTTTCTAAAGGGGGACAAGTCAGAGCTTTAGTCATTCCAGTTTATCAGCAGGACTCTTCTACTATAGAGCTATGCTGTTGTAATCCCTGTTGTCAGAATGTGGTTTGTCATTGTCTTGCTGAAATATGAAGGTTTTTCCTGATAAAGTCTTTGTCTGGATGTCAGCAGATGTTGCCCCTAAACCTGTAGACATTGTTCACAAGATATTGTAGATATTGATAACAAGCTAAGTGGTTCCCTCCACTCTTTAGAGAGGAGGATGCAGCATCAATGATTTCCAAAAAGAATGTCAAATGCTGATTCATCAGACCACAGGCCAGGTTTCCTCTTCCCCTTTAATCCATCTTAAATGAGATCAGGTCAAGAGAGTTCTCTGGTGATTCTGGATCCTGTCTCTATCTGTTTTTCTCTTTGCATGGTTCAGTTTTAACCTCATCTGTGGATGCAGTGATTTTACTATGTTCTGACAATGTTTTATGAAGTGATTTAGAATCCATGCAGTAATTTCCACTCCAGAGTTCTGTCTGTTTTTGATGCATTGCTGCCTGAGGGTCTGAAGATCAGGACCATCCAGTCTTGGTTTTGGTCCTTCTCCCTTTAGTACAGAAATTTCTCCAGATTCTCTGAATTTTTTAACTATATTATGTTCTGTAGATGATGAAATCCACACATTCTTTCACATTTGACACAGGAACATTATTCTGAAACTGTTGAACTATTAGCTCACACAGTCTCTCACAGAGTGGTGAACCTCTCCCATTTTTCCTTCTGAGATACTCAGCCTCTCTGAATGTCCTTTTTATACCTGCTCATGTTACTAACCTGTTGGAAATCAGCCTCATTAGTTGGCAGATGTTCATGGCACATTTTTTTTCTGGCATAAAATCTGAGTTTGGTGTAGATTTTCATCTAACATTACACCTTTCAGTTTTATTACTTTAACTGTCATCGTTACATGATTTTATCCTGGTTAAATCCAAAACAAATTCTGTTTTCATCAACATTTTTCACAGTGTCCCAATATTTTTGGACTTGAGATCGTAAATATATTAAAAACACAATGGAGTTTGCACCAGACAAAAATCACCCACAAAGCCGACCAAAAAGGTGTTCAGTCGAAATACAGCTTTTTTGAAATCTTGTTAGGCCACAATCCAGAGAAGGGAAAACACAACAACCAACAACAACTGTAAAGCAGAGAGAGAGGAAATAGAGAAGACCATCAGGGTTATGTTCTACTTCTTACCGAATATCTCTCCACCGCTGGCATACTCTGTTACCAGGTAGATCATCCTCTCTGTCTCCATCACCTGCAAACAAAAACAGATCATGAGAACCTTTAACAGGCCAACATTTAGGGGCTTACATGACCAGGGTTTTTCCTGCGTTCAAAATTCAAAATCGAAACATCGCGGCCGCCTCCACCTAATTTTGTGCCGCCCCCGGCCAGAGCGATTGATTTCGCTCAACACAGCGTAAAGCTCCAGCTGTGTTGATTGAGCGTATGATGTCCCTCTGCAGCAGCAACGTATTTCAACTGCAGTTGCAGCGTTGCGCCACTATAGAGGCGCTATATCAACAGCAGTGCACCGGAAAGACCTGAAGCCTCTACCGAAGAAGAAACGGATCGAATCATGTTTTTTCGAGATTTTTTCCCGCTAGTTGGTGCTATCGGCGTCCTGATTTCCCTGGCGGATGGTACAAACAGGTAAATACTGCTTGTCTTTTTTGCATCCAAGCATGACGTGTTTATTTATAAAAAAAAAAAGTTTCCTCCGTTTTTTAGCATTGCAGATATGACAGGCAAAATCAGCCAGTACTTTAAAAAGCGACCTCGCGAGGAGGAAAGTCAAGAATCCAGGTGAAACACAGCAGAGAAAAAAAAAAGGAACAGGCAGTTAAAATGCTATAATTCATGGTGGTGAGTCTGGTGACAATGTGGAAATTTGTGTCATGTCTGAAAGTACTTCACAAGGGACTGGTGATCGCGAGGGTCAGAATGCAGGACAGGACGAGTCGGCGAGGCGAGGGTAATTAATTAATAAGTTTCCAATTAGGAGCATAACAACGCAAAGCCAACGTGTACCTGGTTTTTATTCCTCTTTCCAGATCTTCTCAAAAACACAGAGCCAGTGGCTTTGACAAGCAGTGGCTCAATCAATTTACCTGGCTCAGGCATACTGAGGAAGGCATGCACTGCTGTTTATGCCAAAAGCACTGTGCCCCAACACAGCAGGCAGTTGCTGCCTCCTTAGTGAGACAGCCATCAACCAACTACAGGCTGGACACATTAAAAAGACATGAGGTGACAGCCGTTCACAAAGCAGCCGAAGAGAAGGAGAAGTATATTAAAGATGGTAGTACCTAAAAACACTCAACTAATAAAGTTAAGAAAAACTAAAATAACATAGTTTAGATAGTTTAAGAAATAATTGGTTGTCGTTTTTTTTTAGAGAGGACACTGCAGCGTATACATACAATATATGATTGAAAACACTATCACTCTTCATGTCTGTATCAGAATAAAAACAAAAATACTTAATGCATGATGAATTGTTTTGTTTAAGGTGAAGACACCTCTGTGGAACAGACTGAAGGAGAGGCACTTGGATGTCTGTTGTAAGGTGGCCGTTCATGGACCAGACCAGGAGGCCTTGGACTACAAGGAGTGCATGAGGAGGTTCTACAGAATGAAAAAGAGGAGGCTGAAATGTTCTGTCTGGTTGCGAGATGTGTGGATGAAGTGTACTTTCAATTTAAAGTTGCCAGCTGATTTGTGTATGTATATAGCTTTAATAAATTAATGCTTTAACATGATAATGGTCACACTCTTTTTTGAACTCTTAACTTAAAGTATGTTGCCTGTAAAAGAAAGTGAGACAGTTGAATTTACAAATACATGCACGTCATGGCGCATGGTCAGGATGGTGCCACCTCTGCCTCAATTTGAGCCAGGAAAAACCCTGATGACTGAAAGAGCAAGGCAGTGATTTGTTCATGAGCAGGAACATTCTGAAAGTTTGCTTGTTTCTGGTTTGTTTGGTGTTCCTGTTTCTTTGCAGCTGTTTAATCACGGAGGAGGAAATCAGGTTGGAAACTGTTATTTTAAAACTTCTACCAATGAAATCCTCGCTATCTTTTCAGTCTCAGTACAGCTCCCTAAAAACATGGTGTACTGCCAAACCAAAACACTCCTTTTGGTCATGGGGCTCAGGTGCAGGGAGCCTGCATGTCATGTTGTGAGCTCTGCGGGTAAGTGCGAGTGCATACCTGGAAGAGGCGGATGATGTGGGGGTGCTTCAGCAACTTCATGATTTGCACTTCTCTGAAGATCTTTTTCAGGTTCTCATCGTCCAGCTGAGTCTTATCCACTATTTTTATAGCCACCTGGAGACAGGGAGAGAAAAAGGCATGGAGGGAGAGATGAGGATGAATGAGACAGGAGAAAGATCAAGGAAGGAGGAGAGGAATGAGTGTAGATGACAGAAAAAGAGAGAAAATGACAGAGAGAAGAAAATTGAAGCCTTCAGCCCAACATAAACATATTTACCTGCTCTTTGTTGTTTAAACACAGGCATTATATTCACATCGATGTTACTGAGCTGACAAATCAAATTACACACAACAGTTCCAGGGCAAATCACAGCGCTCCTCAGACATTTCTGTGATGACAGAGTCTTTGTTGAGTTTGTTGTTGCAACGAACGGGGACAGAGTCTCATCATGTAAACACAAAGGTTTGTCATGCTGCTGCAGGAACACTCCATGTCAGCTTAGGTACCAAGAACTGATCCCATATTGGAACCAAATTTTAGTGATTTGTAGGGCTGGGGCGATACATCAACGTAATAAACATATTCGACTACAAAAATTTGTCAGCCCAAAAACATGCATCGACACATTGCGTAATGACGTAGACAATGGCTACTTCAGGTAACGGTGGAAGCATGGATGGCAAACGAGCTCCACATAATGGGGTCAATTTAAAACCTACTTTAGCATGATCTTTGAGCAGCTCCTCTCAATCAATGCATGTGTTCGTCCTGGCTTCCTCGTTCACATTTCTAAGATTGTGCTGCTTTCATTTAAGGAGACATGCAGTGACCTGTCAATCATACAACACACCGCTGGTGCAGCAAACGCCACAGTGGACGCTGCATCATACGCCCCGCATCCCATATCTAATTCATTCACTTAAAGCAGTTAGCTCGGAGCTGAAGCATCAGTTTTGTGCTTTTATTTGTCCAATAACTTGCGAATAAATCAGCTGTGTGATCGCCGACGAAAGCTCGCTAATGCTAAAACTTGGCACACGTGAGCCTCGCCGCACATATGTTTACTCACACACGAGTCTGAGATAGAGCCACGTGAGAAAAAAAACTCATTTTTAAAGTGTGGTGGCTTTTATTTAACCGTGGCGGTGCGTTACAATCTGCATGAAGGGGAAACTCCATTATCTAGCGCCGTATCTTACTCAGCAAATGTAAACAAACACTAATGCCAGCATTATGCTGACCGCAGCCCACAATGCATTGCGACATAGTGTGTCTTTTCAAGCCCTATTATTTTTATTATTTTCATTATTATCATTTTTATCTTTGTTACATAACACATTGTACAACAAAGCATATTGGCTGTCATACAACATATCCAGGGTTTCTTGAAAATTAAAGGGAAAACTAATAAATAATAAATATATAAAATGATGAAGGAAATAATTTCAGGCCCTATAATTCCCAGCCATGCTTTTCAATTATGCAATATTGTAATAGATTTTATGTTACAAATTATTTGCTTTGCAAATATTTTGTCTCACAAGTGTTGTGTGGCACTGACTTTCTCTCTATTAAATGAAAGACGGTATGAATGTTACTTATTGTTACTTGACAGTCATTGTAACTATGAGTAAGGTGAGCATGCACCTGTTAAGGGAGGCTGCTAAGCAACAATAACCTATCAGGCTGGTGCACTCACAGGCTAATTATCCGAAAATCGTATACTGCAGTTCACAGTATGGGTTCTGGTTGAGTGTTGACTTACAGTTGACTTTAGATAAGCTAAAAAGCAATGTTAAATGCTTTGTGAATGTAAAAAAAGCATTGATAACAATGCACTGTTTTTGGTTTTGTTTGATTCGAAGAGAATCTTGAATGAGTCATTGAATTAAATACTAATAGTAGCCCGGCTGGGCCATCCTGTTGCGTGAATCACTTGCCGTTCCTTCCCACAACAGTCTGGACTTTAGCCCATTGAGAGCGTGTATTAGCGATCAGAAAATAACCGGGCCAATCAGTGACTGTGTTTCCACTGTTCCCCACACAACAGGGAAAGGCAGCCCCTGATTGGTCCATGTATAGATGGTGACATCTAACACATGTGGCGGGACTTTTCAAAGCGCCATTCATTCAGGACGCCATTAATTCTGCAGCTGACTTTGCACGACGTTGTGGATATAAACGATGTCTGCCGACTTTGCAAAGTCAACTGCAGAATTAACAGATGGCTAATACACGCTCCCAATGGGCCAAAGTCCAGACTGTTGTGGGAAGGAACGGCAAGTGATTCACGCAACAGGATGGCCCAGCCAGGCTATACTAATAGGGCAAGCTTTTAATTTTTGTTTTGGTTAAATTCATTGTTATAATAATCGGTTATTAAAAAATTAACATTAGAATAATCGATAAATTAGGCGATAGATTAGTCGACTATGCAGTCGATTTCTGTTTTTTGATTTCTAACAGCAGCAGAAATCTTTCAGGATTGACCTCAGTCATCAAGAGTTTTGCAGTCATTAAGTTTTCACTCATCTGCCAGGATCTGCTTTGTTGTAAAAACCTGGTAACACATGGACCAATATCAGTTTTTCAGGGCTGATACAGACACTGATCAGTAGAAGTTCATGAGACTGATAATCAGTACTTGGAAGTGATATGCATCTACTAAAGTAAATAAGAAATTCTGTCATCTTTACGGAGCGTTACAAACTTCCTCAGTTCATCTCATTAAGGAAGTGTCAAACTGCTGTGCACTTATTGATACAGGTGGATTGTGGGTTTGTTTTGCCCTTACAGATCATGTATTATTATCTGGATGCTGTGCAGGTGTTGTACCTGTTAGCTCTGTCCTCTGTCTATAATAAAGGTGTGTAATCTGTAGGCCCAACATGGTGCAAAACCTAGTACACACTCAAAGTGCATATCAGTTCGTGTGTGTCTGGCTGAGTTGAAATAAAAAACACAATATGACGTGCGGATGCTGGCACTTCTTCCTGTGATCCGAATCCAAACTGTGTGTTGTCAAACTCTGTGTTTCCTCTGGATTCCAGCATGTCAGGAAAACTGACCCAAACCCTGACCTTCTACTGCCAGCACTGCTCTTATGTAACTGCTGGCTCCTCCACAATGGCTCCGGCCGTGTGGACGGTGATGATGTGTGACAGCAGCTTTGCTTTGCCACTTAGGAACGGGTCGACCACTTTAATGACTTAATCAAGCACAGCTAATGGGGCTGCCCCAAAACACTGCATCTCCCAAAAATAGATGAGGGAGTTAAAGCTGGGTGTGAAAAAATGTAGAGCGTGTGTCCTGCATTCACACACACACACACACACACACACACACACACACACACACACACACACACACACACACACACACACACAGCACCTGATCTGTAAAACCTAACTAAGTGCTGAGTGCCACCCTGAGCTCGCTTTTCCCTGGTGACAGAAACAAGGAAGGTGAGACCATCTGAAGCCCAACTTCCTGTTGCAGACAGGAAGGGGAAGTGAGGGAGAGTGAAGAGGAGAACAGGGAACCACATCTTACAGCGGCATTAGTCCAGATCACTGTAGGCCTGTATGCAGCTTCCTTTACAGGGACAAGTGGGAAATTTGCATGGTTGAGTTTTTCTATTAATGGCCGCATTTGAAAAAAAAAAAAAAAAACAGATGTCAGTTTATGCGACTGGTCATCTGATTACCAAAGCTGGCGTTCTGAATATTTATGTATGTATGAATGAAAGTTTAGTGTTTGATGCCTCTGTGGAGGATCTGTGGAGAAGCAAATAGATGTAGGTACTCATCTAAAACCTCCTAACAGATGCATGTTGAGAATCTGGGCATCAGCATGTCCCTTAATTCCTCATAATGAAGCATCAAATTCTTGCCATGATGTGAGTATGTATGGGTCTGTTTGGAAAACTGAGACTATGAGGTATTTTAAGCTCCAGAAATCTATTCCTGGCATTGGCAGTTTTCCCGTTTTGTTGATGTAATCACTCCCCACCGCATCTTCTGGAGGGTAACAACAGGACATCTGAACACAAACATACACAAACACATACATACTCCCAAATTTAAGCCTGTGCTGACACACACAACACACACAACCTACTCATTATATGGGCGCTGTGTCCTGGAAATGGGGTAAGTGCACTATAATTATGACGGTTTGTGCCTTAATGTGACATCAATTGATTGTTCAATTGCGTCAAGATGTAAAACACACAGGAGACAACCTGAAACTGTTCATCAATACCTACAAAATAGAAAGCTTTGATCCCTGAGTCCTGATTCATGAGCCCTCATTTTCACAGTCAGTGCATCTCTACCCGGAGTGTTCATGTTTCCAGTATCTAGTTAAGAACATACACAATAAATAAAGACAGTCTCCTGCTGTTCAGCATACATGTTTTTAAGGGTGGGTGGATCTAAAGTATAACAGGACCCGGCACTGCAGCAGCATGAGGAGATAAATGAGTTTGTTTCAAGCTAATGAATCGTCTCGTTTTGAGGTGTGATTAACCATGTGCACGATGATGGAGTTCACGTAAAGCAGTCTGTTTGACATCTTTATGCACACTTCGACACTGAGGTTGGACCTTTTGACTGAACTACAGGAGAACTCCAACTCCTGTTATTTTACCCACAATTGTCTGACACATCATTCCTTAAGGGCTGGTGCCGACATTGCTTCAGACTTCTCTCAAAGGTGCACCGATTGATCAGCTGGTGACCATAATCAGCTGATTTTCAGCCCTGTAACCGCTGATCAGCCGGTCCTCTCGAATACATTAAATTCTGCGCTGATTTCAGACAAAAACAGACTGCAAGTTTCATGCCATGTGCACAGCGTTTCAGACATTAACCTCAGAGCTACACACACAAACTAGCATATCAGGAATGTGGACGTGAGGTGAGGAGCATCTGGGGTGAGGAAGCATCAACTGGAGGCTAAATAACAGCCGTTTCCTGTCAGCATGAAAATATGAATTAATGCACAGACCCACCAGAACACTCTGAGCCTGTGGACGACTCACTCAGATCAGACAGCTGTCATTCGGAGTGTGTGTGTGTCTGTGTCCCTGTGAACACAGACTCTACACTACAGTGACTGACTTCACAGGGTGATAAAGAGACTTTAAAATCACATCATCAGTTTTTGTTCTGCAAATTGTATCCCGATTCTCTGTATTTTCTTTGATAATGGTGAAGGATGTTAGACTGATTAAAAATCTGAGCAGCTATGAGTCTAATCTCTTTGCAGGAAAAATGTCATAGATTAATGCATATTCATAAAAACAGAGACAGACAGGCCAAATGAAAAAGCCATGAACTTCACTTATTTGTTGGTTAGTTTGTCAACTCTAATAACAGTGAAATACATGCAGGTATAATTAGAATAAAGGGCTAGTCACAAGTTTGATTCAGCGTATGACGAAAAAAAGTTGTAATACAAACTATCTGGGGGGATTTCTGTAAACGATGGTTCTCTAAAAATTTGAATAAGCCAAAATAAGAATAAGCAGGTTGAGCTTTGAAAAACTGGAACTTGTATATGCAGCTGGTGCATTTCTGCTTTGCATCCGTTGTAAGAACAGGCAGCCTTGTCATTCAATCAAGCAGAGCCCCGGCTACAGAAGGGAGGATTCTGGTTGGTAAGCTGGACTGCAGAGGTTGGGTTTCCAGCTTTAGCTCCAGCCAAGGTACAGTAAATGTTTTGTGACTGAGAGTGTGTACCTTAGCAGCCTCAGGGTGTTCAGTCTACTTTGCACTAGCTACCATGACTCTGGAATTTTCCATCCAAAGATCTGGGTTCACACACACACACACACGCACACACACACACACACACACAGCTGAGAGGCCGGCTGCAATGAGATAAAGTATCACATAGCCCCTCCGATCACAAGACAGTGACCTCAACGCAGCACCATGCAGGAGCAGCTGCTGTCCAGTAGAGCAGCCTTTACAGTACATGTCACTACACGGACACAGACCGGAGCCAAAGCTTCATCCATTCATGAGCCATCTTTCCCCCAGACCACATGCTGCCAACGAGCAAAGTTTACACTCTGATTCTGATACCAACAAGCTCTTACACCAAATCCCTACCAGCATCTGAGAAAGAAACACACATCAGTAAACTCAACAGAATAGGATCAGATTGGTGACAGGGTGAGTGGCCCCACTCAGGGGCCTCAAGTGTCATTCCCAGATGACCTTTGCTATCTGGTTGAAACACCAAGTGTGTAATAAACATCATTTCATTATGACTATTTTGAGTGGTATATAGGAGGCAGTTGGTTGCCAAAGTCAAAGTATGTGAATCAGCAGTTGGAGGGAAAATGTTGTCCACTATCTCTTCTGTGCAGTCTGAACAATCAAAACACTGACAGGAATTTCTCTCAGAATGTATCATGGTCAGATTTCAGGAGAGTTTATTATGTATCACTGTACTTCCTGATTACATAATACTTGAAGTGGTATAACCCCAATTCTAAAAGAATTAGGACACTGTGTAAAATCCCTGAAAAAATGAACCTGATAGTGTGAAAACCAACGAAACTGTGTATTTGACTCAACAGTGTCAGGTCAGGTCAGAGTTTCATCTAAAAAAAAAATTGTTGTTTTGAGGAAATCCAAGTTTCTTTTCAGAAACATATTTCAGATTGTTGAGTCTCCTAATTAATGAAGGGGCACGACTGGGTATGAGAAGGGCATTCACAACGAGGAAAGACAGGAAGAGGTTCACCGCTCTGTGAGAGACTGTGTGAGCCAATAGATTGAACAATTTCAGCAAAGAGGAAATCAACTCTATGAAGGCTCCATTAATGCTGAACAATATCTACAGGTTTAGGGGCAACATCTGCTGACATCCAGATAAAGACTTTTTCAGGGAAGACCTTCATATTTCAGAAAGACAATGACAAACATCAACATGCCAGACCTGACTTCTTTAAAATGTTAATGCATTTTAATGTTGTTTTTGCATTATTTTACATAAAAAATAAGGCTTGATGCAATTGCAAACCATTCAAATCAGTTTTTTAATGAACATTTAACATAACAGCCAAATTCTAGGATGGGGGTTGTCCATGTAAAAAGAGCTACAACCACAGTTTTTACTTTTATGGAGCCTCAAATTCAAACATAGTTTAAAAGCTATGAGGTAGTCTGATATAACAGAGATGATCTTATAATGATCACTCTGCTGGGCAGACTTAAGATAGTCACTCTGAAAACACCCAACCATGACTAAACCATAATGAGGCTAATCCTAAATAGAGAACTGGGTCTATGGTGTAATGTCTAGAGTGGGAAGTTTGAGCATGTTCACACATGCACCAAGTCGTATAAGTGCACCAACACAGGTACAGAGTGAAGTCATGATATTACGTACGAGGTAAACCTTCATCAACAGGTGACACAGATTATGACACTCAGTGGGGGCGGGAGAGAGGGAGGGGGGGATAATGCCCAGATTAACCCATATCAGCATGTAAGAGAGGCAACTTGCACCAGTGTGCACCAACACATGGAATCATGACTATCTGCAACCCTGGTCTTCATAACAGCTAACAGGGGCTGCTTGGTATGAGGCATCCATCGTGGCTTTAGTGTTAGTGTTTGTATGAAGTCATAAGGACATCTCACAGCGTCATACACGTCAGATAATGTCACAGCAGGTCAACAGTGTGGCTGTTTTATGCGCGTGCACAAACACAGATGAAAGCGAAAAGGCAGGATGAGTCAGCGCGTCTTTCAGAGATGTTCCACTCGTGTGTTGTGCACCGGTTTGATGTGTGGAAATGACTGTTTAGTGTGGTGGGCCCGAAGCACAAGACTAGGGACATGTTACGGTGTGGAAACTGGGTATCACACATGCATCTGCTGTTGACAGTTTTTCCCGCAATCATACTGAAGATTAAAGGACAAATACAACCAATATTTGGAAACTTATTTTGACTAGTGTGCTCATGCCAACAGGATGATTCTACTAGTAGATAACAGAAAAACAAATTCATCTTGGAACCACAACAAATGTAAATAAAATGTTTGCTGAACAGAATATTTGTCAGAGACAACAACAGAGCAGGAATCAAAAATCCAAATTCCTGAAGTGCAGTCCCAAATGACACACTAACAACCCCCTCCAGGATGACTCCTGCACCATCCACATTCCTATCATACTGGTCATTTCTGATTGGTGCTAACTAACAGGGAACCAGTGCGTACAGTGTGGCACTGCTCTCACTAAAGGATAAAGAAAGTCTCTGCGGGGCTGAAAGTGAAAACCTGCTTATCACTAAACACTGAGGACTCATAGGAAAATTTATGACATATAGCATATATATGACATAGATCGCCTGTTCAGTGTCTAAGTGCAGTGGATTCACTTGAGTTAGATTTGTGAGTTGACTGGATCAGTTAGTTGACTAAACACACACAGTCCCACCCTTTATCTGATTTTGCCCCGCTCATGTGAAAGTGGTGCTATCTGATGAAGAACTGTATCAGGAGACTTGTCAATAGTAAGTCTTAGATGAGCTCAGCCCCTTTGGTGGGAAACCGTCCACAGACAATGAGCTAAATTACATGACAGAGCTGACCCTGTATTGTTGTGGTTCTTCAGACAGTTGTCCAAACGGTTTCTCAACAGAGGGGGGATACTGAGTGGGATCCTCTGTGGGGTAACACAGTTATCATTGACAAGTGCCTCATATACACTACAGCTTTAACATATACCACTGACCCTCAGTCTGAGGGTTCAGACAATCAAAATTATTTCAATGTTAGAATGAAATGTCAAATATTTGCTGTTGATGACAGCTGTAGCGCTCGAGCTTTTTGGAAATGAGTTCTATCAAAAGGTGGATTTGAGGAAGTTCGACACGATCCACCCTCATCAAGGAGGCCATTCAACAGCAAGCAGGAGGCAAACACTCAGCCTGAGGTGGGAGATCTAAGAGTACTTGAGAAATTCAGCTGGACTGGGTCTACAGCTCTGGTAAACAACATATAGTAATGCATCTACAGCCGATGGAAAGTAAGCTCCATTCAGAAATGGTAGTCAGAGGCTGTAACCACCATCATCGCTATGGAAACCAGCAGGACTTTAATGGAGTGACCATTCTCTGACCAGCCCTGGCAACACAAAGTCGCCACTGACAACAAGCAGCGCAGCGGGTGATGATGGCAGTGTTGTGATTTTTTTTTTTCCTGCAACTGTGCATCCTGCAAAGCAATGTGTGTGTGTGTGTGTGTGTGTGTGTGTGTGTGTGAGAGAGTGTACAAACACACACAACACAAAGTGCTGATATTTGAAAGAGACACAATCACACTGATGAAGCAGGCTGTCGTGTCTTACAACAAACACACACACGTAGACATCGTCTAGACTCTGTTACTGTCCTTCCAAAGCAGACTCGCTGCAGAGTCACACAACTAACAACACAAGAGGAGACGACCAGAGGGCTGCGACACAACTCAAGCAGAAACACAACCTTTGTCATATTATTCACCCAGATGACGTCACATTTGAGAGTGTGTGTGCGTGCCTGTGTGTGTGTAAGTGTGAGAGGAGCGAGGGGGTGCTGTATGTTAGAGAGATTTGCGAGACTGTGTGTGTGCGATTGAGGGAGTGAGTGAAATTGTTACACAGTACATTAGGCCTGTTACCTAACGCCTGCCATCCTGCCTGCCCTCTTCCTCCTGCTCATCCTTTTCTTTCCGAAAAAATAACACTCAACAGGACAGAGGAGAAAACAGGAAAAAGAGGAAAAAGAGGAGGGGGGGGGGGGTGCTTCTGTACATAAACAGTTAGTACGTGCCGTCGAGTGTCATCCATCTGGCTCACCTTACTGCTGGCACAACAAAGGTGCCTTCACTTGATCTTTAACTGGGTCTTACAAAGGCGCTGCTGGGCGGACTCTCTCTACCAAACTATCACATGAGCACTCGCACAGAGAACGTCATGCACATTATCTGCATTGAAGAAGGTTTCTAAATGTCACAAACACTGACGAGGGAATCAAAATGATGACGAAGCAAGGAAAGCAACTGTTCCTCTATAAACAAACCCTAGAGGGCTGTTTTGGCGGTTGGTGTTGTTAATTAGAATTATTTCAGTGGCGATACATGACCACTGAAAACCTGAACAAAGTCAGCTTCACATGGCAGCATGTTAATTCAGTATTTCTTTATGGGCCTAGGCACATTTTCTGCATGGCAATATTTCTAAATAAAAACAGCATTTTCATGGATACTCAAAAACCCAGGACACATTAAAAACTATTCATGCTAAACAATGCATTCACTAGATGAAAAAACAGACATATTTTGTGTCTTTAATATCAAATGAGTATTTTTGTTTTGGTGTGCTGAAACATGAAAATAAACTGAAAATGTGGCACTGTCCTGCAGGTGGACATAAACCATATTTTCTTTGTTTTTTAGGATTTAAAGAAAAAAATCATTTCTGTATTTCTGTGAGTTTATCCAAGCTACAACCTAAAGTATGAACATCATCATTAACAAACTGTGCACCAATCAGAACCAGAGCTACACCGGCTTCTGTGAGTTCATAATGTCACACAGACTTATGAGAAAATGGACGTTCCTTATTGAAAGGTCATCATCAGCTATAAAGTTTATGTAGAGACTGAAAACTGAACTTAACATTCATCATGACAGCAGCTAAATGTCACCAACTGCCTCCAGCAGAGTGTCTGCCTGAAAGTACCAAAACTCCTACTTTGACTTTCACCAGCCAGTGCTCGTCATCAAGAGGTGAACTTTCACTATTACAACTTCCAGGTGCAGCACAGACACTCTCAATAGATAAGCCACTAAAGACCCTCAAATACACAGCTACAAACAAGGGTTGTGATGGAGTTGTATTTTTTAGTTTGACAACACAACAGCACAAATGAAGTAAAGATATCTATACAATGAAGCTCTGTAATCCAAATAAGCAGGTCCTCTTCTGGGGGACTACACTGAAGGGTATTATCCATCTCCATGGACCTGCTCAGGGAGCTGCTGGACTGTCTTTGACGTGGTAGTAGCATTTGTCATTGGATAGTTAGAAAACCTGTGCCATAAAACATCTGATGATCATTTCCATATTCATGATCTCCACTAAGATGGAAAAAAGCAGAGTCCTTTTCTTCTGATATTCACGAGTGAATGAAGATCCCCAAACCGTGAGTCGACCGCTCTGTGACCACCGTCAACAAACATGCCCTGTCTTTCAGTCTGTCTGTCTGTCTGTCTGTCACTGTACGGCAGCAACAATCACATGTAGAGGAGCTTAAAAAGCTCACAGGAACACCGCTTAAAGATCGCATCATCAATCTATCACCACTACTGTCTGTCCAGCAATGAGTAAGTTACACACATGACACTGTCACACAAGTAGCCTGTAAATGAGATCATTTCCAACAGTAGAGGTACATCTACACGCCACTTGCAGGCCTACGTTTGTTATGGTTTCATGAACAGAAATTGAAGCACCAAATGACTCGTGTCTGCCAGTTTGTGTGTATGTCAACACAAGCATAGAGGTACAGGTACATGCTCAGCAGCCCTAACACACCTTCATGACATTAAGAACTAAAAAGAAATACACGTGTGGTGCAGAACTTGTCTGTAAGTTTAGGCTTCAGTGGTTCAAACTGATCGTTATCTATCACCTCATGTGCCTCTGTGCAGAAGCTCCAGAGTTTCTTGGCAGAAATCTTTTGGATTCAGGACTCAGAAGTGAAACAATTTTGGTCAAATATGCTCAAATTTAACTTGGACAACCTCAAAATAGATTTGGGTGCAATTATGTGACTGCAAATAGTTGTTGTGGCGCAACATGTTTCTAATTTCTCTGTGTGCTAATTCAGTGAAAAGATTTCTGCTGCGAGTGTCTTGCATATGTATGCACCCCTACATACAGTTGTAAGGAGGGGTCCTTCATGTGAGGCAGCTCTCTGTCACTGTTCAGACCCCACAGTTACACAGAACAAGACCAGACTCCATGATCAAACGTCCTGTTGTCATGTCACATCTCTGTCCATATTCACACACACTATGTCCCTCCATCCGTCCTGTTCTCTCTTTCTCCTGCCTCAAAGTAAAATGTGGTTTGTTAGATCGTTAATTTGATCAATATCTAGTGCCCTCACATCTTGGTTACAGCCTGTCAGTGAGCAATTAAAAAAAAAACACATATTATTGAAGAAATCAAAACAATAATAAAAGGATTTGTCCTGCACATGCCCCAAAGTTCACACAATGGCTTTTGACAGTGTCTTCATCGTTTACCTTAACTCCTGTTAGCCTCCTGCTAAAACATATTGCCGACCGTTTTGATAGGTAATGCATCAACATGGAGACGACCTGATAGTAACAAGCCAATCGTAGTTGAGGCAGCTTCGGTCAATAATTCCATTTTTGCCCAGTGCATGTAAACTGGGTCAAGGACAGTAGTCCAGTTAAATCACCTATATAAGCTTTAACTGTAGCTCGTCTTAACTGTGCATGAAAACGTACTAACAAAAGGTAAGAGCTTATGCTAACAGGCTACAGCATCATTAGCACCATCATTTTTGAGCATCATTACTTGAGAGCGTCATCTGCTCAGGCTGCACCGTTAAATGAATTTCTATCACAACAAAGATTTCGGCCTTACCAGAATCAAATTAACATGACTGATGACAAATATTGACATTTCTAATCTGCAATTCACTCCGGGAAAATTTGGGCCTGAAAGCAGGACCAGGAGAGACGGGGTGAGCACAAAGACGAAATCATAAATAAAATGTAAAATATTTGAAAATTATTTGGCTGTTAAGTCTAAGCCTTATATTCTGCGGTATTATAGTATATGATATTATACTATATTAATGTTGAAGTATGATGTGCTTTATTTTGTGTCACATGAACTTTCTTATTTTTCCATGTTATAGCTGAAGTCACTGAAAATCATGAGGTGTAAACAAGATTTATTTTGCAAATTAAGCCCAAACTATCATCAAAGTTCCCTTTTCTCTTCACTGCTTTGTCTCTGTGTATTTACATTATTGTGATTATGAGGAAACACCTTCAAGCACTAAAGCCACATTAACTTGAATTATTTTTCAGTCCTAAAATAACTGTCCTCACAAAAGAGTGAAATAAATCTAGAAACATGCACTGCAATGCAATGACAGAGGAATCTTCATGGCAATATGATCTAAATATAGAGGGAAATATCTAGTTAAATTACGATCAGACAAAGTCTCACCATGACAAAATATCTTTGAAAGTGTTCTGTGTGAAATATAATCAAGTGATTTGTTTATTTAAATCCAGAAGGTTATAATGACTCAGTGCCAACACCAGTCTTTCTATGTCACCATCGCCAGTTTTCTGCAAGTACCAACTTTTAAACCACGGTGGGAATAGGAAGAGTACGCAAGGTCTCCCAAATTATGCAAAAACACATCTTCCCAAACTGACTGTGATTAAACCAACAGCATGAATATGTGATTTTGACTCTGCACCTATCCACGGTAATGTTTGAGAATACTTTTGCAGCATCTAATGTCAGATTTGCACATTTGTACTACTACATGTTTTTTTGGGGTTTGATAACTTCAGACATACAGGCCTACAGACCTGATGAGCTGTCTATCTTTGCCAACATGAAGCTCTAGTTTGCAGAACATCAAGCACTGACTCTCATTCATTAGAAATGAAATGGGAAGTGATAGCTTCAGGGGGGATTGTTATTCTGGTGGTCTGACATCACACATCAGCACCACTTTCTCTGCTTCATTTGTATGCATGTGTACAGTTGCTTTAGAGTGACAACTCCTGTCACGTATCTTTGTGTTGGAATGACTTTGTTTAGTTCCAGTGTGTGGACCAACTTCGTGAAGCCAATCATCTCAACAACACTGTACAGACTCATGTCCTCATAGGTGAAGATCCCATCACAGAATAGAATCTCTTCATCTTCTGTGCATGCTCAAGCTCGACTGCAGACAAACGAGTTGTGAAGCTAGATTCGTTTGATGTTAATGGGTTATGCTTCAGCCACAGACTGTAAAACCTCAGCGTTGTGTCGACTAAAACAACTGCAGAGGTTTGTAAGATTGTTGCAGCATTTCGATACAGACTAATAAAGCTTACATGACATGACTTCTCTGGTCTTTTTCTGTTCCAATTATACATCTACGCTGACAAGCCAAAACATAATGGACACCAGGGCAATTAAAAGCAACTCAATACAACAGCTCTAACATGATATCCACTACCTGGAAGCTTCCAAATGTTCCAATTTAAATGTCATGATTCTACCCGTGATTATTACATATTTATTTATTATTGACGTAGAGATGCTCCCTGATTTGTTTACATCATAAATAAACATGAGGCAGGTGGAATATTAGAAACACCTCTCAATATAATTCACTCAACTACACCAACAACAACTACTACAACCCCAGCAGTAAATTTAAAACACAATTATCATCGGATTTACAAAAACCAAACAAGAGGTTCCATAAAAAAATAGTTATGGACTGCTATCACAACAGGTGATTGTTTACACTTGGATCACCTGATCAGAAAATGGGTTCTGTCATTCACGGTAACTATTTGCCTTAACATAGATGGGAGGTGTGTTACAATAAACTATTTCTATTCACTGTCCTGTGTGCTGATTTATTTGGCAACTGTGTTGCTGCTGTGTTGTTGTACTTTTCAGATTATGGGAATATTTAATATTGTGTATTTCAAGGTGGAGTAGCCCTGATTTTTTTTAATGGAGTAAAGCCATATTTTACAACCAAACAAAGTTTATTTGGTTGCTTTTTTATGATATTATAAAAGACTTAACTTGGACTTGCCCATCTGTTGTATGAACTGACTTTAGTTTACCGTATTATTTTGACTTAACCATTTTAACTCAAGCAGGGTCTCCGTACAATGACAATCATCGTAAACAAGGGAGATGATCGGTAACAGGATTGTCTGAATTTAACTAAATTGACATCGTTCGTAAATCAATGCAGCATTGAATCAATTGTTTTATCCAGCCAAAGATAATACGGTTGATGACCAACAAAACCGGTACATCGGATACAGAGAAAAATCTCTACAAAAAGCTGTTTGACTACACTAACACATTATCAGTTTCTCTCCATTCCTGTTTTTCTATGAGGTGTATAAACGCTGAATTTGACAGAGTATCGACCCCCCAGAAACACAGACTTGTACACTCTTGAAGTAAATTTCCTAATTTTAAGTTGCTTTCTTTTCAATATCCCTGTTTGTTGGTTCCTGTCTGAGAGATGTCTACATTTAGCCACACAGCTAATTGGCTAGTAAGCTAAGCTAGCTCCCAGTCTCCTCTTTTTCATCTCCGTCAGTACCCTTCTCTCCGTCCTCTGCGCTCTGCCACACATTAACCTCGGGCCTTTCTACCGTCTCTAAACAAACTGATAACAAATGTTACCCCAATTTTCGTTGTTTTTGGGTAACTTTCTCTCCAACCAAAGGTAGGAGGTGATGCCCGGTGCCGAGCGGAGCCCAGCAGCGGTGTCACCACAGAGGGCTGGCCGTTAGACTCTCCAGAGCCTGAAGGCCCCAGCGTCATCCTGGAAGCTTCTCTAAAGGTTTCATATAAAACAATGACAGTTTATTATAATTCACCTATAAAGCCCTGACATGACTTGTCTTACCTTTGCTTTGGTAATGATGTGTGTGGCCAGTTTAACAACCGCGAAATTCCCCTTGCCGATGGTCCGCTCGATCTCGTAGTGGCCCACTCGGGCTGGGGGGGGCCTGGTGGCCGAAGAGTGGCCGGGATTGGTGATGCACCCAGCGGCCGTGCTGGTACGAGCCGATTGGCAGATGCCGGCGGGTGGCTGGGCTCGGTTCTGGGAGCCCATGCCTGCGTGGGTCGGTCGGGCAGTGTGCGTAATCCCGGCCGCAGCGGACCCAGCAGCACCTCCGCTTGACACGGCCGCCATCTTCTCGCCTCTCTGCGGGAACAACAAGCAGCCTAGCGCAGCGCGCAGCTCGGGCACGCCCCCGCCCTGCGTCATTTTACGTGAACGCTCCTCCGCAGCGCCCTCTCCAGGTTGTAACCATGGTAACGATCAGCGTAACATGACTTCATCCACAGAAACGTATTGTGGTTGCCGTGGTGACAAAGAAGTGCGCATTATCACTCTGGTTCCCATGATTCAGTGATTCCTTGCAAACTGCTGCACTCTAGATGATCAGATGGTTTTATCAGGCTTTAAAGACATACAACGGTACAACATTTCCATGACACATTCAAACTGGGCATATGAGGCAAAGGAAACCCTCTCATGGTGAAATTTTGATCCATTACAGTCTTTGCACTTGTATAAATCCGTCACACTCGTTTGTACGGAGGCATAAGAGGTGCATAATAGCTCCAGATGAATAATGGTTAACTTGCTGTTCATGGAATACCTACCAGATAACACCCTACCATAGGCCTTACGCTAGACTACAGATGTAGTCCTGCTACAAGATGTAATTTAAATGGAGAACCATTTACACCCATTGTGCATCATGCAGATTTAAAATTTTCCTGTGTTCTTTTATACTGAGTGCTGTCTGTTACTGGACACTTCATATCTTCATAAAGCCCCCTTACTGTGTGCTAGGCCTTATATTAAGTACACTTTTAAAATATATTTTAAGACAACATTTGCAGATTATTGTAGAATATATATGTCAAAAGTTGCATGCATAGAGCCTGATTCCATCTGAAATATTATTAAATCCCACTGATAATTTTCTCTTTCTTTTCATAATTTTAACACCAATTCAAGTGTCAAACAATGAGATGTAGGCTGTGTGATAGATGGGCAAAGATTTGCTAGTTGCTTCCTTGTGTTGGTTTAACTACTTTACATCGAGGACAGTGTGGCTGCAGATGGTTTGTATAACTTATACCCCTCACACTACACTGTGAACTTATCTTCTGTCTTTTTCTAACCTTCTGTTTTATATGATTTCTATTTACAAATATTAAGGTCAGAGTTTGAAATTAGCTTTTTAGCTCACAGGCCAACATAAATAAAATTTGAGCCTGTGCAAATATTTACCCAAGCTAACATTAAATCAAATCTCCATTTCTAGAATTAACATTCGGTGAAGTGTGCAAAAACCATAAAGAGTAATTGGCAAAGTCCTACATAAAGTATCAAAATAAATACTTCCAGGGGGTGCCATAACTGACACAAACCAAAACCTTTTCACAGGAGTTTAAAGTGTTTTCAGGAAATTATTTTACATCACAAAATTTTACAGAGTAGCAGTTACTGTATTAAAGAAAAATCATTCAAAGAAACCAAAACAACAAGCGTTCCATTATCTTCAGAAAAGCTGGCTGGTTTGGAAGATATCTATACTGCAAAATTCTCAAATTGTTCCAAGTATATTTGTTTCTTTTTTAGTCAAAATATCTTATCACACTTACTTTAAGTGAAAATTACCTGTCCTAACAGGTCCAAATATTAATTTTGTTTCAAATATTTAAATAATTTTTTTAAAAGGCTGTGAAACAAGTGTTACATTTTATTTTTAAAAACTATACAACTGCACTGTAAAAAATGCTCTGCTTTTCAATAATGTGCAAACATCAAGGAGTTTTCTGTTATATAATACTAATACCTCGTCAATACAGGAAAAAAATGCACTAAAAACAAAAACATTTTATCACATTATTCTAATAATATTTTAAAAAGAAAAGGCTTTTTCTCTGATTGGACTGTTCTGTGGTAGTAAAGTCTTGTCATTGTCATTTACAATATTTTCTCTTTTCTTTCCCTCAACCTGCTCACTAAACTGTGGACAGCACCACTCCATGGTTGAGACGAGCTCCTGCATCCTGCTCCTTCAGACTGGATTATGACTGAACAAAGCTGTCCTGAACTTCAGGGTCAAAAGAACCAGGTTCTCCTTTAAGGGTGACTTTGATTGAGAGAGTCAATGGTTTTAACTTTAGTTTTGGCATGTTTACTATTAAATCAGCAGGGATTACAAGCACTGAATCATTACAGCTCTGTGTAACCTCTCAAGAATACCTTTTTCTTTGAAACAGTGACTGTAAAATCCTTAAAAATAAATCCGAATGATGATGAATACTGAAACAGTTGAAAAATAGTTTCAGATTAGAGATTATCTTTATGAAAAATTGCCATGACAAACATGGACTTTTGGCATTTTGTCACATATTTGGTGGGTTTACTTGTGGTAGCACGTCTTTTATGATTATATCCAGGTTTTTCCAGGGTGTATGACCAGTAGATCTGTAGATTTGTAAATTTTTTAAGAGACAAATATATACAGAAATTTAAATACTGTGGCAGGCCTCTGTGTCTCAGGAGGTTAGAGACCTCCTGAGATGACCAAAACCACTGAAGACAAAAGTCCTGGACCAACTTTCCTGAGCGTTCAGATCTCAGTGTGCAATAGGTGCATTCACACCTGTATTCCAGGTTTTCTACTTGTGTTTCAATCCCTAAACTGTTATGTTGATATACACAGATCATTATAATAGCCTATTTGGCCCTAAAGTCTGCTGCAAATACACAACTAAATGCAATTTGTCAGTATAAGAGATTTTATATATAAGAGTGTTTTTGTAGTTTTTTAAATTGTAGGTGTTCTTTCATAAAATATACGTATTTTTAATTTTTGATCAAATAATAATTTACTTTTCCCTGAATGTTAGTGAGAAAATGATCTCATTAATTTAGAAAATCAGAGTGAACTTTCTTCTCAAACATGAATGTGAATGCAATTTAATCGTTCAGAAAAAAATGCTCATATTGATATTAAAAAGCAGGGCAGAATTATTTTTATTCAAGAAAAGTGATCAGGGATAGTTTTACAATTATATCCAAAAAAAGAGCTTTTTGTTTTACTAATGTGATTGCATGCAGATGCGCAATAGACTTCGAGTGCAATTTAATTTAATTTAATTTAATTTAATTTGATTTAATTTTATTTTATTTTATTTAAAAAAATCTAACCGTCCGTTGTTTGGGTTCCGGAAGGCAGCGTAATGACGTCATGACGCCTCTCTCGGGTTGTTTACTGTGTGAGCGTGGAGGGGCGCTAATGACACAGATTTTTCACACTGTAAACACTCTGGACCTCTTCAGTCTTCGCAGGTGACTTACTCGCATAATGTTGCGGCGATTGCGAAAAAGGCCACGGCAACCTGCAATATTTATCGGTCTTTAAGAAATCACTCTGTGAGGGTTTATTTCCGGGATCTTTCCACGTCGCTGGGACTGAAATAAGATATCAAAACATGGAGCTGAGGCTGTAACCAACAATGCTAATGTTAGCTCAGCTAGCTATCAGCCTGTCAGGCTCTCTGGTTCTGGGTGAACAGGAGTTTCACCGTTATCTTGTCTTTAAAACCTGTATCATTGGTTCATAGCAGCTAGATTTTGGCTACGTCTGTATGTCAGTTGGTCAAGAATCGAGTCTTGGGCTAAATTAAAGCTCCAGGTGTTTGTTTTATCGGGTTTTCTTATTGATGCTATCTGCTGGAGAGATCCAGGTCTAGCTGCGCTCTTTCTCTCCGTGGACCAGCAGCTGGATGAGGAGGAGTTTCACCAGTGTAACGTCAAGTTTTAGTTTGGTTTTCGGACCTCTCTGTCAAGTAAAATGGTGTTCAGGAGCTGCTGGAAATCTCGACATAAAAACGGGTGCGGACCCTCTCCTTGGTGGATCCGACCAGGACTGGCAGCCCTGTTCTGGTTCTGTGTGACCCATATTGCCTGCGGAATTGGGGCGGTTGGGGAGACGAAAAATGTGGTCCAGAAAGACGCAGAGTTTGATGTCACCTACAATGACACGGTTACGAGTGAAAACCAGACCATCTACGCTTTCAATCACACAATCTCCAGGAACAAGGTGAGTTTGAGGAAATTTAATTTTATTTCCCTTCTGACTAGAATCAAGTCTCAAATTTAACCTGTTTCCTCCCTTTGGTCACAGACGGAGGGAGTGCGGGTCACTGTGGATGTGTTGTCACGGGGTTTGGAGAGTCCGATCCTGTTTGTGGTACGCCAGAAACAAGCTGTGCTGTCTTTTCAAGTCCCCCTCATACTAAGAGGACTGTGAGTATCCCCACTTTCCATCAGGATACAAGTGAAAATAGCTGATATTAGTACAACCTCAATTCCATAAGTGTTGATAGAACAGCTTTTGATGATTTTCAGATCCTTTAAAGTCCATGCTTGATGATGAAATTAAAATTCATCTGCTCCTCTTTTAACATCTATCAGTGAACATTTGGGGACTGAACAGACATGACTCTGGAGTTTGGAGGGTGAAATGTCTCAGATTAACAGCAGGGCTCCTCTTCGACAGAGCCATGCTGTTTTAATACCTGCAGAATGTGGTTTGGCGTTCCCTTGCCTGATAAAGTCATCTTTTGGTTTGAAATTGTCTCCGTATTCTTGACGGATTTTCCATTCTTGAGGATTTTGTGTCATCATTTATGCCTGTCTGATGATTCTAATTATACTACGAACTTACTGTCTCACAAAGACTACTTAACCTTATGTTCAGTATAATGTAACATTGAAGACAAAGATCCCTCTGTGCACAGTTACGTTCAGAAACACTACTGTAACCTTTGTCGACAGGGAAGTTAATGTTACTCTAGAGAAGGACAGAGTTTGATAGTTTTTTAAGTTTGATGAATTTGAGAATTAAGATTCTTTTTTGTTTGTTTTTATTGTCCCATTTTTGATGACTTGAGGGATGTGCTTTTCAGTGAAATGCCCTCAATTGATGCTGATTTCGTCAGGTTGGATGATTACGAAAAACCTGAATTACAAACAGTGACAGTGTCAAAATATTGTCGCCATTACATCAGCATAATCATAAAGCAGTGTTTTTAGTCACGCTAACCCTAACCTGGAAAATGCTGGCTCTAATAAAATCTCTCATTAGTGTCGAGTGGCAGATTAAGAGTTATTGTGTGTATCACAAAATAACATAAAAATGCTCCAATTTGTCAAAAACCTTATCGCCTTTCCAGGTGTAGAAATCGTGCTTCACCTTTCATAAGTATTATCAAATACTCATTCACAAATTATGTCTTTGTTCCTGGATTTCTAAGCATATAAGCTGGCTGTTGATCTGCTTTACAGTGAAAGAACTGTGAAATGTAAACTGCTCTGGATTTGACCTCAGCAGTTATACAGCATTTGGTTTTTCAACCTGACTTCATCAGGTCAGGTTTATGACAAACCAGGAGCTCATCTGTGTGTTCCCACTGGCCAACGAACCATCTGTGGTGTGATCTGTGTCTCCCACACTCGAGGTGTACTCTGTTATTGTGCAACAGCAGAATGGCCTTCTCACGGTATTACTTGTTCAGTCTCGTGGTCTGGCGCGTTACAGCTGATTATTTATGAACCTTGGACTCTCACTTCCTCTTCTGAGATCCACCAGAGTAGATCTGAGGGGCTGTAAACTCTGTCACCAGAGCAAAGTGACTTCTGTTTTATAGAAATGCAGTTTCATGCACTTTTAGAAAACTCCTCCAGTCCATCTTGTGAGCTTTGGTATGTGAATTTAGCAGCATGTTCCGTTTTGTTCTGTTCAGAGATTAGCAACACTGAAGGATCTGGAGAGATTGTCTGATTTGATAGAGGAGTATTGTGGAAGTCATTTGTCTTTTTGGAGATTAAAAAAGGATTATAATTTATAAACATGACATAAAGAAAAACCCAAACTAAACCCACTCATCAACCGACAGATTAGTCGTCAGGAAAATGCGTAAGCAAAATCCACACGATCTATAATTCCACCTACAGTGTAGTGAGTGAATCTGAGCCTGAAGGTTAAATGAACTTCCAAACAAACAAAAAGTTGTTTTTCAGCATGAAAATAAATTGTGCTGAAAATTGTGCTGAAATAACCACAAACTAAGATCTAACCAGCATGCACCTGCCGGGAATCATGTCAAATCACTGAGATCTTGATGTTTTCATCTTAAAAACACAAAAACTAAAAGCTTTTACTCTGAATCACAAACAGACAAGTGAAACATTTTCTACATTTTTATCATTAAACAAACAAACTCTTACAGACTGAAACAACAGGAGCAGTTCTCATTGCTCTTTGGACTTTTTTTTCTCACTCCAATAACCTCAAAACTGTGAAAAACAGATTCAAAAAAAGCTGAAAAAATTCAGCAGATTTTAACAACAGCTCTTCAGGTTATTAATTAAACCTTTTAAATGCTGTTCAAAGTGTATGAAATGCTGTCTAATCCAAACTAAAGTGGCTCTCCAAAAAGTGCAAAGGTGAGATAACTCGCCACGTCAAGCTCTGTGACGACATTAAATCCCTAAGTCCAGAACATGACCATAAATCTCTTCAACATTAATATAATGTCATAATATAGAGGCTGTTTTGAGAGGGAGATGCACTTTCAGCTGTAACTGTCTCTCCTTCATCTCCAGCTACCAGAGGAAGTACCCCTACAATCATGTGGGACGGACGCTGTGCCAGCCCCCGACCCGGGCCCTCTCTGAGACCCAGTACTTCTTTGTGGACGTGTCCACGCTCTCCAGCCAGGGTACAAACTACCAGCTCAGGGTCAGCCGTGTGGAGAGCTTCACCCTGCAGTGAGTGAAATATTTGATAAAGCCTCAAAATTCAGCTTCATACGTTTAACGCCAGGCTCTATTTTACTGACATGCTGTTTCCTACTTTTTGTACAGGACAGACAAGAAATTCAGCTTCACGGCGTCACCTTCCCAGCCTCAGGTACACCGTGTGACACAGTTACTTTATTTGTTCATGAATAACAGAAGAGGCATCTTTGTTTAAGGGAAGTTAAGTTACAGAGAAGTCACAACAAACAGAAAGAGGGGGTGGAGTAAGTAAGGAAATTACAGACGAAGAGGAAAGAGGAAGGCGAGAGCAGAAGGATTTTCTGATGTTGTGTAATCATTCTGATAGTTTTGGTTTTTCTTTCTGGCCTTTCCAAACACTTCATAGGTTATTTTTGTCATTTCTAAAGTCAGTCACAAATCATTGAGTAATCAATTTGTCTTCCTTTTGTATTTTCTCTCAGTACTTCAAGTACGTCTTCCCGGACGGGTTGGACACTGTGATCGTCAAGGTCAACTCAGATGTGACCTTTCCTTGCTCTGTTATGTCTGTTCAGGACATCCAGGTACATCTACCATTCCTCCTCCCCCTCTTAAATCAGGCTCTTTTGCTCACCCATTACATAGTGATCAGCCTGTTGTTTATCCCAAATATGATTCATTGAAGATCTCTCACTTCTTTCGTCCGTGGTCCCCTCTTTGTAAGCCTGTGCATTTGTCTCACGTTCCCCCGCTTCATGTGAATTATGTGAATTGTCTTTTCTCTTTATTTCTCAGTGCCCTGTCTATGACCTCGACAACAATGTGGCCTTCACTGGGATGTATCAGACTATGACCAAAAAAGGCGCCATCACTGTGCAGGTAGTGTTTGACGCAGAGTCAGATCACAGTGCGTTGCTCTGTTTCCACCTAAAGACAAGATTCACGTTTACTCGTCTGCTTTTCTGCTTCTCAGAGGAAAGATTTCCCCAGCAACAGCTTCTATGTAGTGATTGTAGTGAAAACAGAGGACGAGGCATGTGGCGGTCCTCTGCGATTCTACCCTCTACGTCCAGATGAGCTGATCGATGCTGGAAACAGGAGCAAGGCTATTGATGTGATGGTCTCGCCTGCTATCAACTGTAAGCCATACACAAACAGAGATGAGCTGTTATTGTTCTTGTTACCTGTTTTTAATTTGTAAAAGGTATATGCAGTATACAGTATGTGCATGAGCTAAGGTTAACAGGGAATATACCTGTCTTTACACTCTGCAGCAGAGGTGTATGTGATGGGCATGCTCTTCTGTCTGGGGATCTTCCTCTCCTTCTACCTGCTCACCTTGTTAGTCGCCTGTGTGGAAAACAAGCGGTAAGATACAATGCCTTTTTTTTTAGACCAGTTAGTTACTGATTTAACTCATGTGGACAAACTTGAACGCTTTCCTTTTAAAGTCTGCAGCTCAACAGGACCCGCAGACAAAACCCTTACAGCCAAAAACCTCAGAGACTTTTTGATGAAAACAAACAGAGTTATTCAGAGTTAAAGAAGTAGTTATGCATTCACAAATATGTGTTTTTTTCTTTGTATTTTGGGATAAACCTGTGTGATATAGAGGGACAAATCTGCAGTATGAGGTGGAGCATGTTTTCTGTATATGAATGATTTGCATCTCCATGTTTCCTCTTCATGTCTGCAGAATGAAGAAGAGGGAGGTGTTTCAGATTCCTGCTGACATGTCTCCAGCTGAGACAGGTAACCCACAACCCACTTTAATGGACCAACCTATGACAGGCTTGTAGGAGGGGTCATGGCAGATACCCTTTTCCTATACCTGTTCTTGGGAGTAGATGCTGCGATAATGTTTGATTTCAAACCACAGTGAACAAATTGGAAAGTTACTAACTCCAGCTTTTGAATGTAGAGCCTAAAATGTGTGTTTGTGTACTTAAATGTTTCTTTCACTCTCTCCCCCATGCTAATACGTGGCTCAGCCTCCCTGCTTGGGAAGAACGGAGATGGTATAACGTCGCTGTTACTCCTGTTTTGTGCTTGCACCACTTTCACACCGTGTTGTTCATCTGTATATCTGCATCCTGCATATGCTGACACAGCTCTTTTGCAACACACAGCATTCCTTAATATTGATGACTAAGTGATATGAGTGATAACAGCGCCCTTTGAGCTATGTTATAACATCCACAGGGTGCTATGCTAACAGCTTTTATGGCATGCGTCATAGAGATAGGAAGTGCATGACTCACCTGCTTAAATATGGCAGAAAAAGCAGCAATGTTTCAGTTCCAGCCTGTTTTTGCATGTTATCTGCGCAGCAATGTCCAACCTCTTCTCCACACAGCTTTGCAGTTTGTTATCTAGAGGAACACTTAAAGTTTCCGTGAAATCAAAGGAGATTTTTCAGCCAGCTGTTTCTCCAACTCAAAGAGATATTCCGGCATAAAATTAAGTTAGGGTCAAACACACTGTAACATTGAGTTAGACACCCCCTCGAGAGATGAATGCTGAGGACTGCTTGCTTCTCTAGTTATACCAACTTAAGTAATGACCGCACGATATCAATACACAGCGGTCTGAGAAGCCATACACAAACCTCAACCAAAAAGCCATTCTGTAGCCACAAATAATGCTCAGAACAGCACCTAATTTCATCAACAGTACATATAGGGTCCTAGCCATAGTACTAGCCACCAAACATCTTTTTAGCTTTGCCTGGTTTCTTTAGCCAAGACGCTAAACAGAACTCACCCACTCTCCTCCAGCAGCCGCTTGTATTTAGGGAGCCCTGATGAGTTGATCACCGAGTGCAGTGGTTACTAAAGTTGGTATAACTAGAGAAGCAAGTGGTTGGCAACATTCATCTCTCGAGGAGGTGTCTAACTCGGTATTATGGTGTGTTTGACCCTAACTTAATTTTACGCTGGAATATCCCTTTTAGACTACATCCCAAATGTTTATCCGGTCAGTGCAGGATCTGCTGATATGGTTTGAATTCAAACCACAGATGGATTAAAGTGTTTAAACAGATCACTGTCACTGCAGGAGTCAACACTCCGCACAACCACCAAGTCTGCTTCTGCATCACTCTGTACCTACATCATTTACAGGCGTTCACTGCAGCTGTTATTTTTCAAACATGCTTTGCCTTATGCAGTCATGGGTGTGCAAAAGTCAGGAAAAATCTTATATCCAAAATAAATAAATAAATAAAAGGTTACATATCAAATGTTTAAAATGGATGAAAAGTGTATAATTTAAAAAAAATAAATGCTCATTTTAGATTTAATGCTGCAACTTATTTTAGAAAAGTTTTTTCAGGAACATGCATAATGTTAACAAGGGTTTTTGAGGCGATTCTGAGCCCATGCAGTGATTTCCACTCCAGAGTCCTGTCTGTTTTTAATGCAGTGCTGCCTGAGGGCCTGAAGATAAGACCATCCCATCTTGGTTTTGGTCCTTGTCCTTTTAGTACAGAGATTTCTCCAGATTTTCTGAATCTTTTAATGATATGATGTTCTGTAGATGATTAAATCCACTCATTCTTTGCACATTTGACACTCAAGAACATTATTCTGAAACTGGTGAACTGTTAGCTCACACAGTCTCTCACAGAGTAGTGAACCCATCAGACTCAGCCTCTCTGAATGTCCTTTTTATACCCACTCATGTTACTCACCTGTTGGAAATTCACTTCGTTAGTTGGTGGATGATGCTCCAGATGTTACATAACTTTTTACCTGCTCCATTGTTCCTCTAATAACTTTTTAGAAACACGTTGGTGGCGTTAAATTTAAAATCTTGAAGTCAGTCATCTCAGCACTCCTGTGACTCCATAAGTTTTATGGCATTGTGAAAAAACTCATGCACACATTGTCTAACTGGATCCCTGCATGAATTTGCCTCCCTCAGATGTCTGTGTTTGTGAACTAACGGTTTAGTCACTGTGTGTTCGGCCAAGGAGGTTCTTGTCAGTGCCTGTTCAGTGACTTTAATAGAAATATTTAATGTGTTTACTTTTATTTACAGGAAAGATTCCAGCTGCACAGTATGAATACGGCTCATTTGGTGAGTTTTGGACTTTTCTTTGTTCATTGGACCTTTGGACCTATCAAGACTCTAACAAGACTGTTCTTCTCCAGCTGACAATGGCAGCACACTCAGCTCAGAGGCCATCACAGACAGCGCCACCTCCACTGACAACAACTACGGATACATGGGTATGGGAAAACACGGTCAAAGCCTTTCTTTAGCGGTCCTTCCGTAACACTTGGCAGTCTGTCTTTACAGCCTGGCTTGCAGTAGGATCCCTGTGAGCAGCTCTGGTCCTTCTCTGATTCTCTCTGTGTCTTTGTTCATCAGGACATGAGCCTTTCAAACGTCGCCCAATCCTCAGTCACCTTCACCACATAGCCATCCGCATCGGTGACACACTGCCTCCTGATTGGCTGATTCAGTTTAAAAATTCACGCCAAAACAATCAGCACTTTATCAATCAAAGGCCTTGACTGTATAAAAAGATGGACAACATGAAACATTTAAAGCTTCCTTCTGACTGGCTGCAGTATGAGTCTTAAGCCCCGCCCCCTCCATCTTAACTAATGGGACATAGACACATTTCAGTCATGTTTTCTGTCAGTACAGTTATATACTTATTATTATATAAAGAGGTGTAACACCATGACTGACAGCTCTGCAGACAAATGCAGCTCTGCTGTGTAGACTTTGATCTTTAATGCATGAATATCAGTGCCTGCATGTGCAGAGTGTTTGGCTTCATGTTATGACTGTAAGAGGAGTTGAAGACATGTTGTCATCTTTATATACAGCCAACAAACCAAATCAGTGAGATTTAAATGTCAATGCAAGGATGATATTGGAATGAACATCTAAATCAGAGTACCCACAATAATGTAATTTTGTAATGGTCTTTGAATGTATTAAAAATTATGCCTGGGTCTAAAATCTCTACAAGGTGTGACATGCCTGAACACCTTTGCATCCCCCTGAAAATCTAAAATCCAAATAAAAGTCGGCCTCATCATTTATGGTCATTTATCGCAAATATTTCCGGGAGGGGATTTAAAAGTCCTCTGCTCAATCTGACTCGTCTTTTATTTACTTCTATCAGAGCGATCTCTGGAAAGTGTCGGACGGAGCAGACAGGAGTCTCTGAGCTCCGTGGAGGAGGATGACTATGACACGCTGGAAGACATTGACTCAGACAAAAACATTGTTCGCACCAAGGTAAGCCTCCTCTCTCCATCTTTATACAAATGGAGGGGAGGAGAGTATCTACCGGCACTGGCTGATGGAGCTCACTCCTGTCTTCTCACTCTGCATATTTCGCCTATATCCAAAAAAAATGTCCATCTTAGTAACTGAGCTCTGTCTGTGGAGCACTAACAATCATGTTTCTCTGTCACTGCAGAAATTTCTCTGTGTGTCTGACCTGGCCCGCAAAGATAAGAGGGTGCTCAGCAAGAAATACCAAATCTACTTCTGGTAAGGATGCCACTCAGATCATGACATTATAAGGCACCGTGTCCTTCCAGCAAACAAGTCTAATAGTCATCTCCTTACAGGAACATTGCCACCATTGCCGTGTTTTACGCCCTACCGGTCATCCAGTTGGTCATCACCTATCAGACGGTATGCTAAAGGCACACACAAACACTGATTCATAAGAGAACAGAGGTGTCAGGATGGAAGAAGTCCATCTTAGATTTAAATCAAAACCAGGGTTCTTCCAACTGTTTCTTACCCTCCCCCAGTTATTTGTGCACATTCAAAGGGAAAAGCACTTCAGGACTGCAGAGAACTTTCTAGAAAGTTGTAGCTGCAGAAGAAGTCCTGTTTTTTCAGTCACATTAAATGACCCATGTAATGTGAACTCTAAAGGCAAAGTAAACTCTGGGTGAGGACAGTAGGAGCCAAAATGTGAGTTTTATTTGAACTGTGTATGAAACACAGACTAAGTTTGGATATCAATGTAATGCTGACTTTGAACACTAGATGGAGCCTAGGTATTGAGCATGCTTAAAGGCCAGGGCTCCAGGTAACCGCACTCTGGTGTGTTGGAATAGTCTTTTTAGTCTGATTGTCAGTTTTATGTTTGATTTGCAGACAAGCCACAACATTACTGACAACAATCTCTTGGTCTTCTCCTCTTGGTCTTCCTCAGGTGGTCAATGTCACCGGAAACCAGGACATCTGCTTCTATAATTTTCTGTGTGCCCACCCTCTGGGAGCTCTCAGGTGTGTGTTTGTCTCTTTAGGTCCTTCAAATTTGCATGCACAGCCACAGCATGACAAATAGACCACAGACCTCTGTGTCAACTTTTCTGTTTGGCTGACTCTCACCTGTTTGTGGTGTACAGTGCATTCAACAACATCCTAAGTAACCTTGGATACGTGATGCTGGGACTCCTCTTCCTCCTCATCGTCCTCAAGAGGGATATCGTCCACAATCGAGCCCTGGTCCGCAACGATCTCAATGCTCTGGTGAGACTCACACAGATGTGTTTGACCGCACTACCTTGTATTAATTTGGCGTGTTGGTATTTAGAGTAAATTTGTAGATTAAAAACCTGCAGTCAGATTTATGAACCTTGAACAGCCTGTCATAAATTGAATGTCTTTATTCAGGAATGTGGTATCCCAAAGCACTTTGGTCTGTTCTACGCCATGGGAACTGCTCTGATGATGGAGGGCTTGCTCAGTGCCTGCTACCACGTCTGTCCAAACTACACCAACTTCCAGTTTGGTGAGAACGCCTTTATTCAGACTTGAAAAAGTCTTCCACACTCAGCTGAGTGAGCTCAGTAATGATCACACTCTGGTCACGTTTGTCTAAAAACACATATGCAGAGGCTGGGTGTGCAGCTGTCTGCATACACTTGCCAACATTTCTTTTTATTGTGTAGTAGCCCAGCTGCAAAATGACTTCCAGCAGACCAATTGAGTGGATGTTTCAGACCAAACTGTCAGGAACAGACTCCACGATGGGGGCACAAGTGGCCTTACATTCAAAGGAAGGGCCTGTGCTCACAGCCTGGCTCAGTGTAGCAGTAAATAATATTTTTTTTTTCAACGAATGCCACTTGAAAGGGATATTCCAGCGTAAATTTAAGTTAGCACTGAGTTAGACACCCCTTTAAGAGATGAATGTTGCCGACTGTTTGCTTCTCTAGTTATACCAACTTTAGTGACCGCACAATAGCAATACACAGCGGTCTACTTCTTCAATGTCTAAACCTCAACCAAAAAGCCACTCTATAGCCACAAATAATGCTCAGAACAGCACCTAGCTTCATTAACAGTACATATAGGGTCCCAGCCATAGTATTAGCCATCAAACATTCTTTTAGCTTTGCCTGATTTCTTTAGCAAAGAGACCAAACACAACTCACCGTCTCTCCTCCACCAGCTGCCTGTTTGTGGGGGAGCCCTGACGAGTCGATCACCAGGTGCAGCAGAAAAATTATGATCATTACTTCATTGAAATGACGCTAAGGCAGAAGATCTCCCATGTCTGCAGTGCACATACAAGATACACAAGAACTCTGATTGCAATTCTGTGAAGTAATAATCATAAATGTTCTTCCTTGAGCTGTGAAACTCCGCAGATTTAAATTCTGTCTAACACAGTGTTACAGTGGGTTTGATCATTACTTAAATTTACACTGGATTATCCCTTTAAGCAAGAAGGGGAAAAAAGTTCAACATAGACACGTTGCCACTTGTCCACAGGGGGCGCCAAAATCAACACAGACAAAACAGAAGCTTCTATAACATCTTTGCATATCAAGATACAGGTAGTGATGCACACCTCTACTGCATGGGTACAGTAACAAAGTACTATATCCATGCAAGCCAGTCAGTCAGTGACAGCAGTCTGCAATGATCCCTCTCTGATGTTTTGATGTTAACATGTAGGTGTGTGTGTTTCTTTGCAGATACCTCCTTCATGTACATGATTGCTGGACTTTGCATGTTGAAGCTGTATCAAAAGAGACACCCAGACATCAACGCCAGTGCTTACACTGCCTACGCCTGCCTGGCTGCAGTCATCTTCTTCTCTGTGCTGGGAGTGGTATGAACACAAAAACACGCACAGATGCACACAGACCTCCTGACTGAGCTGACTTATTTATATTACAGGCCAAATCACACACACACATATGCTCATGTCTGTGCTGTTGTGTTTGCAGGTGTTTGGAAAGGGAAACACAGTCTTCTGGATCATTTTCTCTGTGATCCACATTCTGGCCACTCTCCTGCTCAGCACACAGCTCTACTACATGGGCCGATGGAGGCTAGGTAAGAGCCCTAAAGTAAACCCCATTTCAATGTCTTGATTTCAAAGGAAAAGTTAATATGGTCGTCCTGGAAAGCTGCATTACTTCTGATGACCAGCAGGGGAATGATGTGAAAATAGCCTGTGAGAGTTTTTCACTGAAGTTGATCCTGTCCTCTGTGTTTGTGTTAGATTCTGGTACCCTGCGCAGGATGATCTACATCATCTACACAGACTGTATCAGACAGTGCAGTGGACCCATGTACATAGTGAGTAATCAGCATAGGATTTAAAGTGTGAGTCATTAGTGTTTATAGTCCCACACTGACTGCCTCAGCACACAGTGTTAGACCTGGGTCAGTGTTAAACCACATCGTGTTCTCTAAGGTGTTCTGCATGGATCCAGAGCCACACTTACTAACTCCTCTTGTGAATCATCTCCTCCTCTGTCGCTCTATCTTTCTCTCACTCTCTCTGTCTGACAGGACCGTATGGTTCTGCTGGTGATGGGGAACATAGTCAACTGGTCTCTGTAAGTAAATGGTGTCTGTCCTCAGACCATACAATGACTTAAACCCACAGCTCTTAGCTTAATGATGGCCTCCTCCCTACAGAGCTGCCTACGGCCTCATAGAAAGACCAAATGACTTCGCCTCCTACCTGCTCGCCATCGCCATCTGCAACCTGCTGCTCTACTTTGCCTTTTACATCATCATGAAGGTTGGTCTGTGCAGGTTTTCAGTCCTCTTTAGATGTATTTAAAGAAAAACTGGTTTTGTAAGCTCGTGTCTTTCTGCGTTAAGCTTCGGAGTGGCGAGAGAATCCAGTGTCTGGCGTTGGTGTGTATCCTGTTCACAGCTGTGGTTTGGGGCTTTGCACTCTATTTCTTCTTCCAGGGACTCAGCACCTGGCAGGTCAGTACAGATGCACTGTCCTCTATAAAGACACAAGAGTACACACTGACCCTTTTATTCCTGACACAGAAAACCCCTGCAGAGTCGCGTGAGCACAACAGAGACTGTATCCTGCTGTCATTCTTCGACGACCATGACATTTGGCACTTCCTGTCCTCCATCGCCATGTTTGGATCCTTCCTGGTATGATCTTTTTCTGTCATCTATTGCATGAAGTTTTAATCATGACGAGAAATTTAAACACTAGATAAATATCATTCTTCTGGTTTTTCATGATTTTCTTTAATTACTTACAGGCAAAAAACATGGACACATTCATGCTGGACATTAACACACAAATGATGATATCAAAACAAAAACATATGATAGTTAGGAGTGCTAACCTGCTTCCTCTTAAAAACATAGTCTGTTTTGAATCCACATAAATCCACTTTCTGTCTTCACCATTATTTATAACTCATTCTAACAAAGTTTGGACACTTTGAAAATCCTAACATCATGGAATCAGAGTTTTATTTATGATGAACAAACCTAATTACAAACTTCTCATGTCTCCACTACCTTCTTAGGTCCTCCTTACCATGGATGATGACCTCGACACCGTCCAGAGAGACAAGATCTTCGTCTTCTAGATGTGTTGGATCTCTGAAGAGCTCAGCTCCTCCTCTCTGCCTTATTGCCCTCTCCCCTCCGTTTGCATCTTCTCGTGTATGTAAAAGAAGCACAGCCAGTGGCCTGTTTTTCCTCCAGGCAGTAAAGTGGGCGCCTCTCTCTGCCTCTCATCAGCCAGTCGGGGGCGGGCCTTAGTCCCTCCCCCCACCTGTGTATGGACACAAAGGTGCCAACAAAGAGCCGATCGACTCCGAAGTGATGCTGAAGTGTTTGTCCTCCTGCTGCCATCATCAGTACAGCTGTTGTTATCAATGTTTACTTACTGCTGACGATGTAATTAACATTGTACACTCTTAATAGAAAAGAAAATAATCTAAATTAACTTATTTTATACTGTCTGCATTACATTTGACATTTCAAGTCAACAATGCATTTTGGAAGTACTGTTTGTATGCTGTTTATATGCTGTGTGTGCTTGTACAGATATATATGTGTGTGTGTGTGTGTGTGTGTGTGTGTGTGTGTGTGTGTGTGTGTGTGTGTGTGTGTGTGTGTGTGTGTGTGGGTTTACAAACATAAATGTGAACATGAAATACGTCTGTCTGTGGCCTTTAATGTCCTAATCATGTTGGGCACATACTGTGCTCTGATTGGTCAGATCCTCCAGTTAGCCGTCCTTTGGAGAATTATAATGGTGATGATTGTATTGACTTCTCCTCAAGTCTGGACACAAAGGGTTTATTTGCACTGTACTGTACCGAAAGACAACATGATGTAATGTTGATATTGCAATGAGCGGTTACTGAATAAATGTCTCATTTTCAGATTCTGTCTGTGACTCCTTTCTTTATGTCTTCATATTTTGAATAGTGATGCATTCAAGGAACATCAAGTGCAGAGAGTATGTAGATATGCATATGCATAGGAGCATCTCACAAAAAGTAGAATTTTGTGAAAATGTTTAACCGTTTCTTTCTAAGACGGTGCAAATCACTATTCAAAAGACACACTTATCTGGTATCTCTTTAGTGCACACAGCCACGATCTTGGTGCAGACAGCTGATATGACGGTTCAGAGGATCCTGAACAAAAAGGGTAAGCCTTACGAGGTCTTTGCTGTCCACAGAGGGCTATAAGGAAGCAGGTTCATTAAAGTTGACTGAAGGAAAAGGTGATCAAGCAGCAGCGAGTCCTTTTCTCAGATGAAAGTCGGTTAAGTATCCCATTTGAAAATCAAGGTCCCGAGGTCTGAAGTAAGATCAGTGTGGCCCAGAGTCCAAGTCCACTGAAAGTTTCCACAGTATGTGTCATGTCATCTACTGCATTTGGTCTGCTGTGTTTTATCAGGTCTGGAGTCAACGCAGCCTCAAGTCCACCAGGGGATTTCAGAGACCTTCATGCTTCCATCTGCTGAAAGGCTTTGTGGAGATACAGATTTTTCTTTTCCAGCAGGACCTGGACCCTGCCAACAGCGCCAAAACTATGGTTTGCAGAAAGAGATGTTTTCCCACAATGTTCTGACCTTGTGAGATGCTCCAGTACCTGCACTGGCATAAAAACTGATCCTACAACAGCCCTGTAGCAAGATCAGCACACAAAAACGTGACTGTATTTATAAAATAATATTTATTAAAATAATTTCTAGAAAAATACAGACTTTACACAAATATATATGCATAAAAGACATAAGAAAGCCTTTTTTTTCTCTGAGCCTGCATGTACACAAAGTTCACAGCACTCACCTCACATATACGGCTCCACACACATCAGAGACTGAAAACAAGTGTTTACAAAAAACAGAAATCCTAACACTGGAAAAATATTTGACATCACAAAGAATCACTTTCTTTAGCGCAAATGAAAGTAGCCATGCACTGAAGCTTAACCCCAGTACCACTGTAAAGCATGACTCACTGTGACCTCCTGCCTGAAGCAGCAGCATGACGACTAACTGAGAAGTTTCAAGTAAAAGAAGGAGAGTAATTACAGTCACTTTACAGCATCTTCTCTCTGATTGTCCTAAATGATTACATTGAAGTAACACTTTTCCACCTGGCTTCAAAGTCAACTGTTTGGCTTAAATCTGGCACAGTCTGTCGTCTGTAAACATGATGTTCAAGTGCATCAGAAAGGCTCCTGTAGCTCACAGTGGTACAGGAAAGCCTCAGCTCTGTGTGGGGTTTCAGATCTCTGTACCTTCTTCTTTTTACAGAGGAGGATGGCAGACTTTTTCACTTTTTATCTCTCTCCCTTCCCTCTCTCTGATAAAAATGGGGGAGTAGGGGGAGGAAGAGCATACAGCCTAACCTACACGGTGGGGCGGACTTTAGTCCAAACAGGTGTCTTGATCTGGTGCTGTTTTTTGTGTCCTCTTTCTCTGTCTTCCTCTTCTCTCTTTCTTTTGAAACTGAGGGGAGGCGAAACATACAGCCTAACCTAGCAGGCCTTGACTTGACTTGATTTCTGCTCCGGAGTTCTCAGTGCCGGTCTAAGCAAGTCAAGGTCAAGGTGCGTTTATGGTCCTCAGTAGTGATAAACTCTGATCTGGTTGTTGTCGTCCAGGCCTAGCTGGAGCAGGCCGCTCTTGGCTGAGGGTGGCTGATAGCGAGTAAACAGAGGTCTGGAGGGCTGAGTTAAAGACGATAAGAGGGAGGGTTTCAGAGCTTCATAGTTTTAACTTTAACACAGAGCTGAACACTTCAATTTGACTGACCAATCAGGACATTCGCTGACCTGCTGCTTCAGACTATCACTGACCCATGTGGACCAACTTTGATCAGGTCCAGAAAGGATACATGCTGGTGTCCTTCTTGCGCAACTCCAGCCACCTCTTGTTGCCGTCAATCAGTCCTTGGAGCCTCTGGCTGTCTATTTCGGCTGACTTATGCCCTGTCTGCAGGCTGTGACCCAGATCACTGAGATATTAAGAAACAGACACACAGATTTAAGTTAATATTAGTAAAGCTGTCACTTTTTATTTGTTTTCCTTCAAACTTGGAGGGAAAAGTTTGTATATGAACTGGACTGTGCCATTTGAATTCTAAACATACAGCTGCATTTATCGGTGCTTTAGGCTGTCTGAAGTAGCTTGGTGTTTCTAGAGGGCATTGTCGTCGTAACCTGACCACTGAATACCGTTCTTAGTAAGTGAAAAGGGATATTCCAGCGTAATTTTAAGTTATGGTCAAACACACCGTGACACAGAGTTAGACAGCCCCTCCAGAGATGAATGTTGTCGATTGCTTGTTTCTCTAGTTATACCAACTTTAGTAACGACTGCACAGCAGCAATACACAGCGGTCTATGTCTCCACACACAAACCTCAACCAAAGAGCCACTCTATAGCCACAAATTATACTCAGAACAGCACCTAACTTCATCAACAGTACATATAGGGTCCCAGCCATAGCACTAACCACCAAACATCTTTTTAGCTTTACCTGATTTCTTTAGCAAAGAGACTAAACACAACTCACCTACTCTCCTCCAGCAGCCACTTGTTTGTGGGGGAGCCCTGACTAGTCGATCACCGAGTGCAGTGGAGAATTTATGATTATTACTTCATGGGAATGTAATCAGACCAAGACGCTATTGCAGAAGAACTACCGCATCTGCAGTGCAAAATGATTATTATGGTGAAAATAACTTAAAGCAAATGAAGCCAGGCAAAGCTAAAAAGATGTTTGGTGGTTAGTACTATGGCTGGGACCCGAGGTGCTGTTCAGGGGCCTCATTTATAAAGCTTGCTTACGCACAAAACCTGGCTAGAAATTGCGTACGCCACTTCTTACGCAAGAGTTGGGATTTATAAAAGAAAAACTAGTGTAGGAATGTGCGCAACTTTAAGCAAACTCCACACCTTGCTTACGCACTTTTTGGAGACAATCGGAGCAAGGTGAGAATAGTCCGGGTGATGCGTTCAGCACAACGGATGACTCGATGCAGCCTTTCTGTCCTGAGAGCTGCAGCTGCCGTACCAGGCAGTGATGCTCGCAGAAAGCACAGACCCCACTGTGGCGGTGTAGATAGTTTGCCAATTTGAATTTACAAATGTGCAAAAAAACAAATTCCATTTACATGCATTTGTTTTAAGATTAATATGACTAAATCTTTTTGGTTTACGAACTTTCACCACATAAGCAGCGGTGGATAACGGAGCGTTTTTTTTTTTTTTGAACACATGCACGAGTGTCACACGTGCATGTTTTTTTTTATTCTCACCTGTCGCCGCCACGCTTTGATGGTGCAAAGCCACTTTTTTCTTTGCCTCCACCTTTAGATCAGACCACTTCTTCTTGATTTCGGCACAGTTTTGTTTTCGTCTACGTCATCGTCAACGAAAACAAAACTCCACGTGTTTGCGCGCGCGCGTGCGTGTGTGTCTGTGTGTTGGAGGAGCACAGCAGGCTGATGAGAGCTGTCAGAGCGGACAGAAGCTGCTCCCATATGTTTAGCGTTTAACTGATTGAGTTTTGCAACTCTGTTCGTCATTTTCGTCTCGTCCCATCAACGTAAACGCACTTTCGTCTCGTCACATGTTAGTCATCTCCGACTTATGTTTAGCTCGTCAACGTTACGTCTTCGTCGTGGAAGAAAAGGGAAATATTTCCGTCAACAAAAACAACCAGTGTTGTTCTCGTTGATGAAAATATTTCTTTTTGACGCTGGTGTTGACGAAAATATTTGACGAAATATGACGAAAACAACACTGTTTCGGCAACGCTGCGCTCAGTGCCAGCCGCAATTGTCACCACGGCAACGGCGTTTTTATTGGTGATGCCACTCGAATGGCCGCCGAATAAGGTCTACCGTCTCGCCGCCACCTCATTTACAAGAACCTCCACCTTGATCTCTGAAAAGTTTCTTTTTCTACGACTTGCTGATGCCATGGTTAAGCGTGAAATGCCGTGGATCCACCAGGCTTATCTACATGCAAATCACATTCATGAGGTAATTTGCATGACCATACATGGTGAATTTTGGGTGTGGATAGGGCGGGGAAGAATCAAATCCCTGCTGAGCAACTTTCCAGCTGGTCTGTGATTTATAAAGGGAAAGTGCGTGCAGGTGTGCGTAGGCAGGGTTTTATAAATCAGATTTTTTTTTTGCCTACGCACTTTTCAGCTTTTCAACTTACGTACACTTTTAGTATGGATCCTACGCCAGGTTTTATAAATGAGGCCCCTGACCATTATTTGTGGCTATAGAGTGGCTTTTTGGTTGAGGTTTGCGCATGGACAGTTTTAAGGTTTGGTTTAGGTTTGAAAACATAGACTGCTGTGTATTGCTATCATGTGGTCATTACTAAAGTTGGTATAACTAGAGAAGTAAGCAGTCGGCAACATTCATCTCTCGAGGGGGTGTCTAACTCTGTGTTACAGTGTATTTGACCATAACCTAAATTTATCCCGTAATATCCCTTTAATAATGTGCTGAATCAAAGCCATCCTGAGCAGACTCAGTTTGCCTTTGATACTCATTTGAACTTGAATTCTTTGAATAACTGCTTTAATCGGTCCACATAAAAGAGTGAAGTTGTGTCTGTGAGCTGACCTGGGACAATAACAGGTGTGTGCAGGTTACCTGACAGGAGTGAATGATGGGTAGGAGGAGCTCGGCCTCCTGGTGCTGGAGGAGATGGGGTCCATGGCTGCTCCTGCAGAACAGAGCAGGTGAGGATTATAAACAGTACCTTTGTCTCATTATTTATTCATTCTCGAAATAAAGTGACAGATAAAATGACTCCTCTGCGTTCATACTGGGGAATATTTGGCTCCATCGGTTGTTGATGAGGTCCTCAGACGCCCTCATCCCACTGCTGATGGGGGTACTGAACAAAGGAGTCGCTGAAGGGGTCCCTATAGGGGCCCAGGCCCAGGCTGGCCCTGAGCGGGGAGCTGCAGAGCTAGGACCCAAGCTGTGCAACTGAGGCATGACTGGTGCAGAGGTGGAGGAGGTGGAGGTGTTTGCTGGGATGGAGTGGGGTTGTGACAGAGGTGGAGGAAAGGCTGTGTAGGGGGTGGTGCTCTGCCTCTGGGTGAGTGAACCCAACGCACTCAGGACTGTGTTTAGCTGGCCTGAGATCTGCTGCAGGGACTCGGCTAACTCCTGGACTTTGTCTGGGACGGTAGGATGATGTCCTGGGGAGAGCGTGAGGGGGTAACAACCTCAGAGTGAGTGTTCAATACAAATACTGTGCAAGACTAGAAATAAAGCAATCAAAGTGGTGGGTGTGTTCAAAGCGGCACCTGTCCCGTCTGCTTGGTCAATTGTGCTGCTCAGGTCAGATTCAGTCACATCAAACGTCACCTTTCTTTCTCCTGCCAGCCGAGACAGATCCTCCAACAGAGGCTACACAGAGAGAGCCACAAGACAGTGAGCAGTCAAACAAATCACTTTTTTATTCCTTTAGGTTAGAAGTAGACCTGATGAGTGGAAATAACCCTTTTAATTTAGACCCGTCATTAGCGCTGCAGCCAAAGAGTCTGTCACCTACAGAAACTCAGCTCTAGTCTGATCTATCTAAAGCCTCCTGGTGCTTTCATTTATCTGCTACACACTAATGTTGTTCTTACTGCTGTTTAACCATAATATCACATTAGCAGAGCATCTGCAAGAGTGTACTGTAAGGATGCCTCTCCTGACCTCTTGAGCTAAAGAGCTCTCCAGCTGCTGCAGTTGCTCCTCTGTCCTCCGTAACAGAGTGTTTCCTCTCTGAACCGTCTGCTGCAGCTCCACCACTTTTCTGGCCTCCTGATTGAAATGGCAGAGCAACAAGAATTCAAATCAGCTGATCTCACAAGCATAAAAAAAACTACTCTGATAATCATGAGTCATATTCTCCCCTCACCTGCTGGAGGTTTCTGATCATCTCCTCCGTCACCTCTCCGTCCAGGTTGGGGTCCTCGGAGGAGCTGGTCTGAGCTGCCTGCAGAGCCGCCTGCCTCTCCCTGAGCTGTCTGCTTTCTCTCTCGAGGAAGAGTTTAGTCTCTGGGATAGATGCTACATGTGAGGAGATGTAGCGTCTGAGCCTGGACACATTGAGGTGGAGGGATAAATGGTGTGGTTAAATGCACACTATCAGATCTAAAGTTTACCGATCTGCATCACAATTTTTGTGTTTGTAAGCCAAAAGTGGCAAATCTGCTATGAATGTAGGAAAGGAAAGATCATTTCAAACTCAAGGTGTTCCCCAGGGTTCTGTGCTGGGTCCTCTTAAAGTGTTCATCTTGTTATAGCAAAAAATAAATAAATAATAAATAAACACCGGCGACTCAGCTTAAATTGCAGTGACAGAATCAGTTAAAAAATGTTCCTTTTTAAAGCTGACTTAGTCTTCCTCTGTATCTCTGCTTCTTCTTCTACCTCCACTTACTCGTCGATGCTGCTGTGGCTGTCAGGAACAGGGGAGAGAGGAGGGTTATCCAGGTCTTCTACATGTAGTGATGAGTCTTTCCTTTCATCGGGGGGCGCTGTGCCGTCTGCTGACTCAGCCCTCTTGCCATTCTGTGCAGGATCTGGTCTGGCAGAGGTATTTGCTCCTTCTCCATGTTCCATTTCACTGATATAATGAGACAAAATCAGATCACTGAGTCCAAACCTGAGTAATGCTGATCACTGCTTTCTTCTGACTCAAGAAGAACTTTGAACTTGAAGAAAAACTTCTGACATCAGGACTTCCTGTTTGAGAATTATTACCTGATTCTGCGATTAAGTCGGTCACATCTCTCCTGCAGAAGCGCCACCTTGCTCTCCAGTCGCTCCTTATCCTCCTTGGCCTTCCTCCTCTCCTCTCTGGCTTTGTCTCTCTCCTCCCTCAGCCTCCCCTCCTCCACCTTAGCCTCACTCCTCTCCTCCCTGGCTTTATGCAGGAGCTCTCTGGCTTGATTTTTCTCCTCTCTCGTCATCTTCAGCTCCTCCTTCAGCTGCTCTCTCTCCTGGATCAGTCGGGGAAAAGCCTGAGGACAAACCCAAAAGTAGAGAATTATAGGGGTTGGCAGTTGGACTTTTTGGTGAATATGACCTCTGATCTTTAGGGGGAAACAATCAGATTTTCCACCTCTAGCTGACTGTCCAATTCATCTTCTTCCTCCCCGAGTTTCCTCCTCCTCCTCTTCAGCTCTGCAGCCTGGAAACAGACAGAAACCATCAGCCCCCATGATTCAGTTCAGTGTGAGTGTTTCATAGTACATGTAGCATTCAGACCTTAGCCTGCAGCATGGCCTCCTGGCTCTTCAGCTCTTTGGCTCTCAGCTCCATCTGATCTGCCAGGTCCTGCAGTTCTGACTCCTAACAGCAGAAAGAAGAAAGATTCACCCTCGGAAACAAACTTTTTCTTGTTTTTCAAATCTGTGATTTGTTCATGGGTGTAAAGCAGATTTAGCTCTAGTTTCAAACTGTCCATCCACATCTAAAGAAACAGTGCCATCAGGAAGAGAGAGGGACAGTATGGGAAATTCTGACCTCCAGAAAAGGTAAACCCTAGGCCTCCTGGCAAATGCTCCAATATGCCCACCTTCCTGTCAAATCAGCATTCTCCCTTAGGTGCCTAAATGTCCACAACCTTTAGCTCTCTATGGGTCAGCTGATGACAGTTACAGCCTTTGATTGGCTGACTTACCAAAACAAGATGTCAGCATTTGTCTAGATCAGGAATTAGACTTTTTGACTGATACTCCAGTCAATACGATAACTAAAGCCTCTATTCTCCCACAATGCAGTGCTGGGGTGTCAATCAACATGGATCAATTGAGGCTTTAACGTGTAACACAAAAAACAGAAAAGGTCAGACACTCGGCAGATGTCACCCAGCAGCTGGTTACATTTTCATCACTGACAAACATCAGGAAAAGTGGCGTCACCTTGCGGGAGTGTCCCAGCTGAGTCTTCTGTATCTGAGAGTCGAGCTGCAGGCGGAGCTTCTCCAGCTGGACAGCATGTGAAGCCTGAAGATGTTCTCTGTCCTCCTGTAGATTGGACAGCAGGCGCTCCCTCTGAGCGGTCTCCTTCAAAACACAAACAATCCTGAGTTATAAATTTGATTTAACACAGTCATGAGAAGAGCTTGTCTCCAAACAGGAGTCCATCTCAGGAGTGTAAGCTCCCTCACCTCATCCAGGTATTTCTCTCTGATGGTGTTCATCTCCCTCCTGTGCTCCTCCCTCAGCTGCTCAAGCTTCCTCTCGTGAACACGCTGCTCCTCATCCCGGACTTCCTGAAGGACGTCAGCCAGCTGGAAAGAGGGACAGTCCGTCCAAAGTAAAGTATGATCATCTTTTATCTAAAACCCTCAGCCCCGTGCGGACAGAAACACACGTGATGATGATTTGTGTGTGTGTGTGTGTGTGTGTGTGTGTGTGTGTGTGTGTGTGTGTGTGTGTCCTGACCTCTCGATGGTACTCTGCCAGCTGTCTTTCAGGCCGAGGACTCAGGAGCTCCCGTCTACTGTCTGTGAGTTTAACCTTTGAACAGAGACAAGAGTTCAAACAGAGCAGGAGTCTGATGGTGTCCCTCGGTTTAAATAAAGTTAAAGCAGACCAGCCTTGGACACTCTCAGTCACCTGCTGTTTCAGAGAGCTCAGTTTCTCCTCCTTCTCCTCCTGCAGCCTCCTCTTCTCTGCCTGCACATGCTCCTCCATCTCTCTCCTCAGACGCTCTTCGTCCTTCTTCTTCTGGACTTCCAGTCTGTCCCGCTCAGCCTCTCGCTCCTCCTCCAGAGTGATTCGTAACTCCTTCAGCCTGACTTCACTCTCCTCCCTGAGTGCAGAACAAACATACAGATCAAACCTCAACCGGGTATTCTGGGGAACTGCAGTTTTTCCACTTCATCAAGGTGTTTAACCATGAAAATGTGATTTGTATTTATACAGGATTAGGAGAGAGATCATCCAAAGAGGTGACTCAGGACACATGTAGTCATCCCTGGAGTTAAAAGGGGACCAAATAACCCCTGGAGAGTCTTCATGTCAGGTGTAACCAGAACAAGTGAGTGTGACTGACCTAAGTTTTTGCTCCTGTCTCTTCCTCTCAGCCTGGACAGACTCTCTGAGCTCCTCCAGAATCCGATCAGACTCCTCCTTCAGACGGGCCTCCTCCTCTCTCCTCTCAGACAGGAGGCGTTGCCGCAGAGCTCTGATGAGACGCACAAATGCACACGAGTTCAGCTGTGAGGATTCTGCTGAGGTTTGGTCTTTGTTTGACCCCCTTTCTTACCTCAGTCTTTCCTGACTCTCCTCCCTCAGCCTCTTCTCCTCCTCCTCCTCCTCTTTCCTCAGCTCCTCCCTGAGGAGGTGCATCCTTTCCTCCTTCTTCTCCCTTTCTTCCTCCACCTCTTGCTCAGTCTTTCTCCTCTCCCTCTCCTTTTCCTCCCATCTCTCTTTCGGACTCCTCTCCCACTCTACCCCCTTCCTCCCCTCCTCTTCCTCCGTCTTGCCTCTCTCTCTGTCTTGTCCAGTTTTCCAGCGTTCTTTCTCCTCCTCCTCCTCTGACGGGCTTTCTGGGTGTTTTGAGGGCGATCCAGAGTCCTCTCGTTGGGTGTTTGAGGTCCGGACCAGCCGACCTCTTGAGGTCTCAGGTCTCTTTAGCCCCAGAGATAAGATGAGGTCTTCATTTTTAGGATGGAGCTTGACACCTTGATCTGAGTGGGAGGAGCTTGAGAGGGAGGGGGAGGGGCTGGACTGGTGGAGCACGAGTCGGTCCACTCTAGGAGCAGGAGGTTTGTGTATGCCAGCCATGTGCAAATGCCTGGAGATTGAACAGGATGTCAAAGTCAAACACAAGTGCACAATTTTCAGTGTTAATTATCAGCAGGACAATACAGTGGCCCTGAGGTGCAAACACAACTGCAAATTAGAAAACACAAAACACAAAAAGAGAACACACGACACGAAAAGAGAAAAGACAATGGTTAATGTTGTTGTGTTTTCTCTTTTTGTGTTGTGTTTTCTTTTTTTGCGTTGTGTTGTCTGATTTGTCTTTGTGTTTTGCACCTCAGGGCCACCGTAGAACAAGTTTCAGGAGCAGGGGTACACAAAGGCCTCCGTCAGTTATACACCAATCAACAACCAGTTAAATGTTGTTTCATAAAACATCTATGCTCATTTTAAATTTGACGCCACAAACACATTTCCAAAAAGTTGTTAGAGGAACAAAAACAAGGTGTCTTAACAACACAACAAACCTCTTGGCAGCTTCAGGCTTCTCTGTTTTTGGCCCTTTCTCTTTCTCCTCCTCTTCCTCTTTCTCATCTTTCTCCAGTGGACTGACAGTGCCGGACAGATCATCCATGTCCAGTTTCTCTGACAGCTGATGGAAACATGAAGTTATGGAGTCATGAGAGGAAACTGAATGAATGAATGAATGAATGTTTGATGGTTGAGTGGAGTCATCCTGCACGGCTGGAGTACCTTGACATCGATGGAGGATGAGGCGACCTCAAAGTTCTTCCTTGCCTCAGACTCCTGCAGTAACACACACATGTAAAAACCCGTTCAGTGTCAGGGTTACAGTCCTGGTTCACTCTGTTCATGCACATGTACACCAACAACATCACAGAAGCATCACTGAACACTGAAGCATGCAGCTTTATCCTAAAGTCACAGACACAGACAGCATGAGGCAAAAGAAGAGGGTGGGTGCTAATTTTACTGACGGCAGCAGCAGGATAGAGCACAAAATGCAAACTGGTACATTCAAGCAGTCTGCAACAGGAGAAACACAACGTGAGGAAAAGCAATTTGACAGCTGGAGGTGAGAGTTCCGTCTCACACAGTTAAAGTCAGCAGCAGGTTAGAGCAGAGACATAGGGCTGTGTGATTTTCACAATAAAGGCAGCATGGGCACAATCAGGATTTAGTTATAGAGCGTAAAAAGGATTATCGTAAATTCAGATGAATTAAAAACCTGAAACTGATAAAAGACAGATGGGATCTGGATTTCTCAGAGCCCAATGGGTAACTGCCTAAAACCTGCTCTGTCAATCATAAAACAGGGTTAGGGCTTTCCAATCCAGTCCTCAGGGGCTCCAAAGTATTTCAAAATAAAAGCCTCCAGCTTAAGGAAGCAGCCCCTCAGGAGGTGGATTCAGGGAGCTACATGCGGGGACCAGCAGGACCAGGGTGGAGTCGGGGTCAGGTAGTGAATGTGGGGTGTGAACACACAAACAGAGGAAACACCGAACCATACCTCCTCAGGTAGGGGGCATTTCTCAGTCTTATTCTCCATCACACCAGTTTGGCTGTTCTGTTCTAGGGGTTTGAGGTCTCTCAGCGGACTCGCTTGGACTCGAGTCTGTCCAGTCTGAAAAACCTCGACAGAGTCCTCCTCGCTCTCGGTTATTTTTTGAGGCCTCTGGGCGTCTGATTCCTCGTCTACCTCCGACCCGTCTCCCTCCGTCTCCACTCCCTCACTCTGCATACACCTCTCTATCACCTCCTCGTTGCTCTCGCTCATCTTCCTCTGACTCAAAGAGCATCTTTCCAAAGCTTCCTCTTCCTCACTCTCCTCCTCATCCTCCTTTCCTTCCTCTTGCTCTCCTTCACTTTTTACTACCTCTTCTCCCTCACTCTCAACCTCCCCTTTTTCATCATCTGTGCTTCTTTCATCCTCATTCTTTTTTTGGTCATGTTTGTGCTCCTCTTTATCACTTTTCAAGCGTTTCTCTCCATCACTACTTTTCTCGGATGTGCTTTTTTCTTCCTTTTTTTGCTCCTCCTCTTCTATAGTTGAATCTTTTTTGCTTTCAGAACAACCTTCCTCTTCCTCATTGCTGTGACTTTCCTCTTTTTCATCGCTCCTCTGTTTCGCATTGCAGCTGACTCTCCCTGACACTTCATCATCTTCCTCCTCCTTCCTTACTTCCTCCTCCTCTTCTTTAATGCTCACTACAGACCCTTTACTTCCTCCCACCTCCTCCTCTACCTCATCCTCCTCCTCTTTCTCCTCCGCCTCCACCTTTTCTTCCTCCCCTCCTCCCTCGTCTTCTCCTCTTTTGCTCTTAACATCTTCTTCTCCTCCCTCTCGCTCTTCCTCTTTTCCCTCCTGCTCCTCCTCATCTACCTCCTGTTGACCAGACTGATCAGGACTCGGCCTCTCCTCACTGACGTGGTTTCTGCTGCCTGCCAGTGAGGACAGGCAGAAGTTGCGGCCCCTCAGTGAGTCCTTAGGTGGAGGGACAATGGAAGAAGAGTCCATCCATCCCACAGAGAGGCACAGAGGAAGGCGTGCAGAGACACAGGGGAGATAAAGAATGGAGGAGGGCCGGTGAGGGAAGGAGGCTGACACAAAGATTGACACCCCCACTGAAAGTTGTAGTTGGGGTGGTGATCTTAACATGCAAACCAACAGATCATGCATTATGTAGAGAGAAAACTAGTCTTATTAGACAACCAACACTTCAACCACAACCACGTTATGCAAACAGACACTTAAAACGAGCATTTCTGCACAGAGAAATACACAAATATTCACTTGAACACAAGCACTCACACAACAGCAGGTTTGTTAGAGATAAACAAACAGTAGTTGCATAAGAAGAAACCGCTGAATCTCTACATATCAGCTCCTCTACATCTCATTATCATGATGTGGAGTCACCTTAAAACAAACAATGCTTTGCCAACTTTCAAAAGAGAGAAACGTCTGTAAAAGATTCATGAATCAAATCCTCAGAAAAAAAACATCTCCGGTTATAAATCACAATATTCATAAAGGAGTTCATAGAGTTGGTTGTTTTCCTGGCAGTGATTCATGGGGCTGATTTTCAGACAGCAAAGCAATAACAGCGACAGTAAGTCGAGAGCAGCACAAGGAGGAAGACGCAGTAGCAGCCGTGCCCGTAGGACAGATCCCAGCAGCACAGCAGCTGCAGGAACACGACCCGGGTCAGCATGCACAGGTGAGAGAGGTGTACAGGTGAAAGAGAGAAGGAACAACAGATGGTTTAGAGTCATGCTTATATAGCACAACACCAAAAGATCCACTATGTGGTACACTGAGAGTAAAATATGGATGATCTAAAGATGGAGTCCAAACTGTCAAGAAATCTAATCAGCTGTGCAAAATAAAGACAGAATCTGATGGTTTGAAAGTAATTGGAGGCCTAAATTTGATTGAAAATAAAGCAACCAATCAAATGTTGAGACTTCAGAAATTCCCTGTCTCATTTCAAATGAACTATCAGCCACAATACTATTGTTTTCAAAGACACCAATCTGAGACTAGTAAGTTAGTTTGAGCTGTAATTCATATATTAATCAAGCTGCCAGAAGAAGGAAATGAAGCCTGTCTATGTGCAAACACCCCCACTTTACACGATAGGGGTTAAAAACAATGTAATTCAAATTCCTGTCAACTTGTTTCATTGTTCAAACATTACAATTCAATACTAACTTAACCGTCACAAGGAAAACATCCTGACCAAATAAGGCACACAGGAATGACAGCAGCACGATGGATAAAAACAAAGCTAGGGGCCATTAGAAGAAGTGTGTGTGTGTGTGTGTGTGTGTGTGTGTGTGTGTGTGTGTGTGTGTGTGTGTGTATACATATTACTTGTTGGGATGGTGGTTCAGGGCTATGGTCTCCAGATAAGGCCAAGTCCTGCAGCTCTGGCTCTGTCCTCTCTTCGACTGGAGCTCCACCACTGGCTTCACTGTCCTAAAGCAAACACACACACACACACATTATGTGACTCTGACCCCCCCTTAACCAACTTAATTGAAGTCTACCAAATTACAGGTACAGGTGTGTCAAGCACTTTAAGATCAAGGTTTCATGAAAAGGAACATCTAGCTAAAATGAAAAGCCAGCGTATGGCTCAGTTTAAAAATATCCATTATACAAAGGAAACAGTTTAAAACAATTAAAGAAAATATTCATACTACCTCATACTGAAGACCTCCTCCAAGGGCATCCAGGTCCAGATGCACGTTCCTCAGCAACCTGTCTGAACCACGAGGACTTGGCTGAAACAGTGACAGAGAGTTCTGTGTTTACAATCTGTGGACAGCTGGAGCTCCATCAGTCATGATACCGTTTTTGAGTTGGTACCTCTGTTTCTGAAATTCTATCCTCATCTTCATCATCATCAAAGCCAGGCAGAGTGAGAGACACCCTCTCTTCATGCCTGGTGCCCAAAACAAGCGAAGCTCCAGCACTCCGAGAAGCCTGAAAGAGTTGAAAGATTAAACGTGGTAAACTGGAGGGGATAAGTGGATGGAAAATTCAGATGTGTGGTTCATCACATAGTTCTACCCCGAGAGTGGTCTTCAAGGGCTCCAGTCCCCCAGTGCTACCAAGAGGTCGCCTGAGAGCAGGGGCAGGACTAGACAGTGGGCCTGAACCAGGGGCATCCAGACCTCTGAGAGGAGCCAGACTGCCAAGCGGGGAGGAGAGCGGGCCGAGGGCTGAGCTCAGGGTCTGAAAGGAAAAACTCAATTATGATCTTTTCAGGACAGCTCACAGTTCTGGGGTTCATTTTCAAGTTTGGGTGAATGAATATTCCCATTATATCTCATAAAAATGACCGACACACTCTGTGATCCATACTCTTTAATTTTAAGACCTTTTGGTTTGCTGTTACTGAATTCTGTCCTGTTATTGACCTGTGACCTTTAAACTTTTATTTTACTTAATTTGAAAATTCATCACTCACATTCGGGGCCTTGAGCAACTCCTTCTTCTTTTTCTCTTTCTTTTCCTTCTTCTCCTTCTTCTTTTTCTTCTCCTTGTCCTTCTTCAGTCCAGTTCCTCCTGCAGCGCCATTCAACTGGTCACGTTCACGCTCCTGTGTCACTAGGCGACGATAATGCTCGTCACAGGGATGATCCCAGGTAGACTGACCCGAGGAGAAGTTGAAATAGTAAATGTCACCCGTCACATCCTGGCTGTGGGAGAGGAGGGGGGAGGAGGGGAGATGATCATGTTTGTTATCTCAAAAAAACTCCCAGGAAGCTGCAGAGGCTTGGATGTACAGGGTAGTAGCGATACGGCTCAACTAACCCCGCCCCTATGGTCAACTTACCCCATACACGGGGTAAGTTGACCATAGGAGACCACTTTTTTTATCGAGAAAGTTATGTGTACACTCATTCTGTTAGTTTGCAGGGATGCACAGCATTTTGAAATATATGCAGATACACAAGTTAGAAACGAAGCTATGATCGCCTTGATGTAGTGATCCAAAATGTGAAAAATGGCTCATCTTACCCCTGGCCCCTATTTATCAAGAGAAGGAAGACCACAGCCGACCTAATCACCCATCAAAGAAACCCCAGGCTTTACATTGATGCAGGACTTCATTAGAAAGGAGCCCCAATCAAAAACTGAATTGATGTTGAACAATGTGTTTAAATCTTTCTCTGATTGATCACAAGCCATTAAATATTTCACTTTCCATGTCTCAAATACAAGAGCAGATAAAAGTTTACCCTCCTGGATTAAATGACACAAAAGAGCCTTTCCACCTTGCTCCCAGTCACTGAATTAAAATGTAGGACACTTCATAGCAGCTGACATTTCCCTGGAGATGGTGCCAAGAAAACGTTTCTGTGCACCTCCATCTGCAGGTGTCAAGAACAGACCCTCACTGTTGACTTGATGCAAGAATAGAGGCTGTTTTCTCTAGGAAATTATGGTGATGGTGACGTTGATGACAACAGGGTCTCTGACTTACCAAGGCTTCCATTCTGGAGGCAAAGGTGCAACAATGCCCTCCTTGGCCAGCCACAGCAGCTCTGGCTCAGTGTCGGGATCAATGCCAATCTCTCTGGCATAATCTTGGATTTCTGAGGACACAAAGAGAGGGAAAGAGAGATAGATAATGAGGCAGTCGTGGGGGCACAGTTTGCTTACAGGTGCACAGCAGCCCTGTTTAGTGCACTTACAACTGAGACCCCAGATAGGGGAGAGTGGGGTAAGATGAGCCATTTTTCATATTTCTGATCACTACATCATTACAATCATATCTTGAAGACTTAAAAACACAGTCCAGTTGCCTGTTTTTAAGTCTTCAAGATAACCATGACCTGGATGAATGAGAATCTACATGGACATTACAATCATAGTTTTATCTCTAACTAGTGTATCTGCATATATTTCAAGATGTTGTGCATCCCTGCAAACAAACAGAATGAGTGCAAACACAACTGTCTTGATAATATAGCATGCCAAAAAAGTGGTCTTCTATGGTCAACCAATCCCATGTATGGGGTAAGTTGACCATAGGGGCAACCCCCCCACTCTCCACCCCAGCCCTCCCTCACCTTCTCTCTCCCTAAATAACAGTCACTTCTTCACATTCATCTATTTTTTATCTATTATAAGCGATTTCATGGGTACAATAATTATTTTTATTATTATTACATATAACTGCAAAAAAGCTGTTTTGTAAAAAGCCATTTTAACATGAGAATGTCTTTTAGTGATTCAGAACATTCACAGCTGTTTCTGAAAAGAAAAAGTAAAACATTTCAACAGTCTGAACTGCAACCCTGATCCTCTCATCGGACTCCTTTGCTGTCTCGGTTGAGCTACTGGCTCAATTTACCCCAAAACTACTATTATAACTTTGTTAGTCCTCTAAGCTAAAATGGTGGACTTTTATGCTAGGTTTTTGACCTCATGTTGTAGCTCATAGATACCACAATTGATGTATAAAAAATATTTTAAATGATCATTTTTGGTCTGAACACAATTCTAATAAAACTTTTGACAGACTCAATTCACTTTCAAGAGTGAAAAATGTTTTATTTTAAAATAAATGTCTAACCCCTTCACCCATGTGCTTCTAACCTTCACAGACTCCATGAATTGATGCCCAGCTCCTAAATATTTGGTCACATGATCAATTTCTTTTACCATTTCCAAGCAACAGAGGGTGGCTCAACTTACCCTTTGGCTCAACTTACTCCACTCTCTCCTACTTGATAGGCCAGCCCACCACATCCCGTCACTGCCCACACTAATTCTGCTGTAATCCAGATCTCCCCTCTGTCTCCTATCATGCCATTTTATAAATCTGACCTCTGTCTACCTTGTTCAGAGGGGATGTAGTTCTCATCGTACTCCTCATCCAGGATCAGCTGGTCTCCTATGAGGGCAGCTGCAGTCATGGTTACTGTAGATGGGGTGAATACAACACAGGATGACAGGTTATACACTGTACAATAAACTAATCGTATTAAACTGACATATAAACTAATCTCAGACTAGCTAACAGGGCGCCATGTAGCTCCTTTACGTTAGCACAAACAGAGAAGTAGTTGAAGAAATCCTCTTTTGTGTTTTACCGTCACAAATGTCGGCCCGTTTTCGGACCAAAAGTTAGCCCTTGTAATGATGGCTCGAATATGTCAGGTTTTAGACGAAAACATCCTTAGAACAGAGGAGGAAAATGCGAAAGTTAGAGCGAAGCTGGCAACATCTCCAAGGACGCTTACTCTGTTTCCTGTTGACGATGAAACGAGGCTCTGATTTGCGGAGAGTAAGGAAGCATTCGAGTACCCTCGGAAATCCGTGTTTCGTGGTCTTTTTTTCTGCCTTATTCCCCCTGTGTTGGCCGTAATAATATCAAAAAGTGTTTGACTATTATTGATTTTGTCAAACATGATTAGTAGCATGACTCAGCGGTTTCTAATGACGAGATGTTGTTCTATTTTTTTTCGCTGTGTGTTGTGCTTTTTCCGGTTTTATTAGTAGCCTTATAGGATTTGAAGCCCAAAGGTTTTAAACTTTATTATCCCCGAGGAGCAATTTGCTTCACAGCCAGCAGTACACACACAATTCTCACAAAAGTTGAGTCACACAGATGGCACCAATGGCTCTGGCATCAGAATAAATAAATAATAGACAAATTTTACCTTGAACTATTTATAAGGGTAATGGCAGTCGGGATAATGTAATTTTTTCTTTTTTTTTCTTTTAACATGGTGGAAGAACATATGTGCCTCCGGACGGAAGCAGCATGAACTCCTTTAAGAGTGGGTGGTCTGTTTTTTTTAAGAGTCATAGGTCCGTCAAATCACTGAGTAGTGCCTGCAGTTTTGCAGCAGGTTTTAACAAAGCTGTACAGCCATTTTTTTCAGATTGCGTGGACCATAACAACAGATAAAAGAAAAAAGAACAGATTCAATAAAACAAGAATAAAACATTTAATATCAGGTGACATGTCGTTATTTCAGCCTCCGTCTGAAACGTTTAATTTTGGCTGCTGTCCCCTTAAGGCATCCCCACACACGATTGTACTTGGCACTCCAGAACCCTCCTGCACTGTTGCAACAAAACAAATCTATGTTTCTTAGACGACATTTATCCTATTTTTATGGGCAAATGTGTAGAATTTGTTGAGTGTTCATGTAACTTTATTCAGAGCAGCCTGCAGTCTAACTCTGGCATTATTCAACAACACACCTTTACCCCACAATCTGAAACTTTGCACATGTCTACTTCTATTGACATCCAACAATTTAGATTTATATCTATTTAAAAAAAGGTAAGAAAAGATTGTATGACCAGGAGCTCAGACTCTGACACTAAGATCCACAAGGATCCTGGTAATTACAAACTGGAGAAAAAAATGGCCAATCAGTATGAGCTTGTCAACATGTCTGTCATCAGACCACCATGGAGCATAGTGGGTGTTGATTTAATTTGTAAAGGGGGTATTGGTGATGTATTTTACATGTGTTATATCAGAGGAAGTTGAACATAAAGGTGCCTAATGTGTGGAAAAGGGCACCTTTCCATCTGCCTTTCATTCCCAGCAGGAGGCTGCATTGACGCTGTCTGTCTTGCCACATGATGCTTTTGTTTAGTCCTGGAGCCAGGCTGTGATTGATTGTTTATTCTCTTCTCCTACAATCAATAGTTGCATGTTTTCTGTCAAAGTGAGTCTGATTAAATCATGTCCTGCCCACCATCCTACATGCCCAAAGATTTTTAAAATGTGTTTATTTGCATGGAGTAAAATTCATAATGTGGCTGTAATAACATGACAACAAGACTGTGCAGATCTTTTTACTTTGGCCACAAGAGGGCAGAAGGTAGGTTGCATTTTCACCCAGCCCCACTTTACCTTACTTTCCAACTTAATGGACGTCTTGTTTTTTTTCTGCATACAAATATGGATCAAGAGGTCATTCAAACAGATATTAAGACTGGTTTAATTTTGCTACTTTGAAATATAACATTGGCACCAAACCAGAATCCTTGGCATGCATGTGTTCAGGTAAAAGAACATGCCTTCACCTGTGTTTGCCTATAGTGTGGGCAGCTCATTTCTTGTAATAAGAGTGAATGACCTCCTCTGCTTTGGCAATGCTGTTTTTTCTATTACAAACTGGCCTTGAAACACCGATGGTAAACTCAACACCTACGCACCAGCCCACAAAATACACACTCCTCTGCATGATTGCAAAGCGTTTTCACCATAAAATGTGAAATTCAGTGTTTGTCCAAGTTTGTGAGCAAGCACAAATGTTCAGGTTGATCTTTTTAAATGCACAAACACAGCCCAGGTCATCCTTTTTTTAAATAAATTCTTCAATTTTGTGCTTTTAATGTTATCATGAGATGTTATATTCCTTGAAATCCACTTTGACTGCAAGAACAGTTTCTTTCAATCCCATGTAAATTGTCATATGTAACTTAAACATTAAATGGAAAAAAGGAAGAGAAACTTGCAGATTACTTTTTGATCATGTCATTGGTTTTATGTTTAGAAGTGAGTGGAGCTTCAGAGCAGAGTGCATCCTATATGGATCCAGACATGGTGCATGACAGACAAATATGCATTTATTTCAAGCCCAGTGCTTGTAACTGCACTGTAGTCAAGTTTAATTCAATAGGGTGAAGAATTGTGATGCTGAGATTGGCAAGGTTTGATCTGTTTTTCTAGTGTGGCTCATGTGACAAGCAGGTTCAGTTGAGTCAATGACAAATTTGTCTCCAAAAATCAAATAAATAAAACTTTCAAAAAGTTCCAGCCCATTTCAGCTATTAGTCAGGTAACCTCTAGTCTTATTTTTAAATTGTCTGTCCTTGCTGTGTCCCTCTGAAGTTTATTCAGGTTTGAATAAAGAGAGATTTTTTTTTATTATTAACTATTTCCACAGATTTTTTGTACCATTTGTTGTTGCGTTATCTTTCTGAGGTCTTGTGCTTGACTCAGGAACATGTTCTTCATATGCTGGCATTGAGCTCTTTCATAAACTGCATTATCAGCGTTGAGGGCTGTAAATGACTACAGAGGCTCGTAAAAGTGTAAGATAACTTTCCCTATCGACCATCAGAGCGACAACTCACTGCATGTTGGTTGGCAAAGATGTTGCCCAAGCGTGTTCCCTTCACTGTTTGATTACGTGAGCATGGGGTCGATACTTGTGGATCATTTGATGGTTGGACAGCTTTCCTTTTGCTCCTCAGATGATTGAGGTCATCTTAGTTCAGGGTGGCTTTTCTCTTGTGGCTCGTGGCTCTATCCACAGGGCTGTATCTGTGTTAAAGCAGAAGCGACCTCAGCAGATGTGACACTGCAAAACAACATCACAGGTTAGTAAGAGCCATGATGCAGTGTTGGAGAAAATGACAGTGTGCTCCACACTGTTGCTCACAGCTGAGATAACCTCCCCTGCTGCTCTGAGAACAGTGCTCCATCATGGACGCAGCTGGAACAATGACATGACCTTTGAACCTTAGCCAGGGTCTGATCAAATGCTGGATTAAATATTTATCAGCTCCAGGCAATTACCCCACATCTGTCTGGCTTTTAGGTGGTCTATAAACCTGGTTGTTATCGTCAACATAGAAAGTCCCTCTTTGATCAGGGCATTAATAAATCCTAACACATGGGAAAGTATGGAAACTTCTGAAGCTGAGAAATGGAACAAATCCTTTCTTGAAGTTAATTATCAAAAATACTTCTTGAAATGAAGCCAGGAATGTGCCTGTAGTCCAGATGGATCTTTGACCCACAAGTGAAGCAGCCTGTGGTGTTTTTAGCTGATTATGAAACAGGCTGAAATTACCTCTTATGCCCCCTGACAAAGAAAATAAAATCATCAGGGATAAGACCGACTGTTTCTTTCATGTAGTTTTTCATGCCTGTCGATAATGCCATCGTGTCATGTGAAGAGAGCTTCCTTTCAAAAACAGACTTAGCATCTGACTGTTTAGAAATGCCTGTGATGTTTTTTGTTAAAAGTACAATAAGGAACTTGAAGTTCGTGTTGCCTTTGGCGGCCCCTGTGGACACAGCAACGAATTTGATCTGTTTGCTTGTCATCTGTGCCTGAGCAAGTAGTGTTTTATGGTGAAAATCCTGCTTTTTTGCAGCGAAGGGCATCACTCACTGAGAATCTTTCTCTCTGAGAATGCCAAACATTGGTCAAGACAGATTTTGATAGTAAATAGTGCAAAGACAACACGCCAAATGTCACAACTGAAAAAATGTTAGGCCATTATGAAAAATTTATGCTCATTTTTAATTGAACATAAACAGTTGGGCATTGTTCCCTTTTTTTCATTTACTAACACTTTGTACATATTAGTGAACCCAGGAGATCAGTTCCTGAAGTTTGGAAAGTCAAATGTTGTCATTGTTGACTAATAGAGGATTTCAGCTAATTAACGGTTCAGGGTCTCTTTCGTCTTCAATGGGGGACAAGTCAGGACTGCAGACAGGCCAGTTTATCAGCAGGACTCTTCTACTACAGAGCCATGCTGTTGTCATCCCTGAAGAATGTGGTTTGTCATTGTCTTGCTGAAATATGAAGGTCTTCCCTGAAAACCTTGTTGTCTGGATGGCAGCAGATGTGGCATCCATGATGTCCAAAAAGATAGTCAGTTTTTTTTATTCTTGGTGGTCTTGTTTGTTTTCATTGATCACAAAAGAGGGATCAGGATCCATTTCTGAGTCTTTTCTTAACATCTAAAAACTCTTGAAAGGAAGCTAAAACTGAGTACAACAGACATCATGTACAGGACAATGTCAACAAAGATCTAAAAGGCATCACATTCCTCAGTCACGCTACAATTAACAGAAATCAAAAGTTTTTCAAAGGAGTCGAACAGCGAAGTAACAAGACACAGTAAAGTGTCTGGCAACTCCAGAATCCACCTAATAAACCTTTCTGACCTGTTGGCCCTCTTAAAGTCATTAAATCATCCTCATGGTAATACTTGGGTGTTCATTTGTCCTCCTCATGTTGCGAAACATACAACCTGATCAACTGCCTTGCCAACTAAGAGTTCTGAGTCCGTGTTGATAACAGTTATGATGGTGACAATCTTGATGTTTCCTTTCAGACGCTGAATCAACGTGGTGCAGTGTAGCGAGCAGTCTCAAAGGTTGCTGTTCCAGATAAGAGTCAGTCTTCTGTTTCACTCCTGGTCTGATGAGCTCGGAGCAGCTGATATGTGAACACTCTTATCTCACAGTCCAGGGCAAAAGCCCCTCAGACTCCTGAGCAGTGATTGCAGAGACTGTTGAAGGGGGAGGTTTGATGTGTCTTAAGACTGTAAAGGGTTGCAACAACATTCACAAGGATTCAAAAGTACATATTATTCTACAACTGACCCTGTTGCACATTTTAACCTGACAAAATCAAACCTCTCTCAGACTTTCAGACATTCATATTAGCAGGTGAATACTGTTGCATTTCTGTCTCTTTTCCTTTGAAATGTCTGCCTCACCTAGTGGTGTCAAACAAAAGGCTACAGTTGATGATGTTAGTCCCAGTCTGAGCCTAACCAACAATGAAGCTTGCATAGGTGGCTGCTCTGACACTCCTCTGTCCTCGCAGTGTCATCACTCTCAGCTTGGCTCCAGAGTTAATGTGTTTGCTGGGGGGGAGACACAATGGTGTGAATTGATGAAGAACAAAGTAACACAGAAGTCGAGGAAGACAAAGATGAAAGTGTTAAAAGGTTGTTGGTGCCTTTTGTTTCATTGTGAGGGTTTAGGAATCAGCAGACTTGCTGTGTTTTTGTGTTATCTGCATTAAAATGTTGATAGAGCTTCACTGCAGATTGGGAAACCATAGGAAAGGGACACTGGAAATAAGTTTGAAATCCAAGAAACCCTTTTTCACAAATGCAATTAAGTGCAACTAATCCATTACAATCTGCTTGTTTGGCATGTGCTGAGAAAAAAAGTGGAGAATGGGTCCATGTGAGACCTTCAGAGATATTTTGAGGACTGACTCCAAATGAAAAACACAAAGATACAGCTGAATTCCTGCAGCATGCTGGTTGGTTGCAGAGACTTGTTAGTGGCAATAACTTTAGCATTTAGGTAAAAGTGCATTGAATATGAAGGCTACTGGAACTGTGTTATGCAAGACACAGACCGGATGGTCAGAATTGATTGCCACTGATCACCAATGACAATGATTAACTTTGCACCTAATAACCCTTTGAGACAAACTTCCCTGCAGAAATTTGGAAAACGCAGCATTTGCATGATCATATTGATGGTGGATAATGCCATCACAATGAATGTCCACTTCTTTTCTGCAAGGCCTTTAGGCCACTGCTGTATAGTGCCTTGTTATATAGATATTCTTCTCTTTCTCTTTGTAGATGTTGTGAAGGATATAATTTACTCTGAAACAGTGTTTGATCAATCCTTGTCCACAAATTACACAAAACCAGTGTGGCAAAGTCCACTGGTGACACAAAAAACAAATAAACACATGGCACAAACTACTCTCAAATCTATTAATCATCACACACTGTTTTTTTTTTTTTTTTTGTAAACTGAGATAAATCTCTGCTCTTTCAAAATTAATTGTGAAAGTTTTACATGGTTTGTGTGTCTCTGCATTTCTGTAAGTGCATACTGACATCTCAGAGAGCTCACAGCAACAAGTCTTCTGTTAGATACAGGTGTGCTCTTTTACAAATGCTGACCAAAATAGGGGGTCAACCAAAACTTTTGTTTGGAGTGAACGCTGCAAAAGACAGAGTCGTCTATGAGAAATGGTCATTAATGGAAACATAATCAGTCCGTCTCCAGCTCTCCTTTCTCGTCTGTCTTTTTAAAAGTTAAATTATAAACCTGAATATTTAATTTTTTAAAACTTTTCTCCTCCTTGAACTGTCAAAATTCTTTCCTCAAACCCAGTTTTTTATTTAGGTATTTATCAGTGTTACATGTCTGGGCTAGAGGACACATGGAAGAGTGTTTTATAGAGCAGAAAAGAGCCAAACCTTAATCGGTGATACTCTTTAAACAAGGAGATTAAAACCCTTACCTCCTCCTCTGTAAAAGTTACAGGACATGCCTGCTCCTCTGTGTGTGTGCGTGCGTGCGTGCGTGCGTGCGTGCTTGCGTGCGTGCATGCGTCTGTGTGTGTGTGTGTGTCTGCTGACTGATCCCCTCCCAGCAGGCGACCATTGAACTCACAATCCAGCCCCCACGATGAGGGAGACAGCTGGGGGGTGAGGTCCACCTCCACGGAGACACACTGCTCCCCCACCTCTCCTCACTCTGGCACTATAAAAAGTCCTCTCATGCTGAACTTTCTCAGTCTCATCACGAGCTCCACCAGGTAAGACCAGCTGCTGCCATGCCTCCAACTGAACTTGAGCTATAGAGAAATTAGAGGACGAGGAGAAACTTTTCAAATCTTGAGCTGAGTTTAGTGTAACTTTAAAATGATGATTTTTAGCTCTCAGTGATTCTTGTTTTCAGACTTCAAAACTTCATCTCCTTTGGAAAAAAGCTTGTCTTTAAGATCAGAGAAGTGGTTTGCTAATTCTTTTACCGTGATCTACCTAAAGCCTGGATCAGGATCACGCAGCATTTCAGAGCTAATCTGCTTGTGTTGTCTCTCTAATTTGAAGTCACTCTTAATCTGAGCAGATTACAGCCTCTTGAGATGAGCAGCCACATGTTAAATGGAGAGAAATGCAGGGATGAGTGTGCAGAATTCATGAAGTACTCACTGTCAAAGCTCAGTTTTCAGGCTGCCACACTGTGTTAGGCTGATCTGTTTGCATCTTTGTCTAAATTTTGTAGCTTTTTCGTGTTAATGGAGCTCTTTTGTAATAAATGTTAACTCTTATCTTCTCTCTAGACCGCCATCATGAAAGTCGTGTCCCTCGCTCTTGCCCTTCTGTTGGCTGTAGGTGAGTAACTGACATGCGCTGGTCTGATTTGGTTTAGCTCAGTCCTTTTTAGTGCATGAACCCCGTTTCTTATCCTCAACACAAATACCTCAAATACCAGATTTTTTTTTCATACCTTGTCTTGTTCAAACGGGCCTCATAACAGCACTATTTTGGGCATCTCCAATTGAATAAAGCAGAATAGAATGAGATAAAATAAAAAATACATATATGGGCGCTATCAGTTATACATATAGAAACAATAAGAAAATAAAAAAAAAATTAGTAAGATTTAATACATCTATATTAAATGAAGAGCCATGAAACGACAGTTTAAACAGAAACAGTTCGGAGGGCACAAATTGGTCAACGGACAAACATTTATATTATTCATAATTCCTTATCAGGTGGAACACAGGTTATCCTCTCTTTGTGGATGCAGTGTGCCCCATTTTTCCCATAATGCATCATGTGTGCCCCTCTGCAGTCTTACACCGACAGTCATACGTTTCATACATTCAATGTTTTTAACCATCGACCCTTATATCTGCCACCTTATTGTTTGTGTTTTTTTTAAAGGTAATGTCCGTTTTTCAGAGGTTTTGCGTCTTTTTTTGGGTAATATTAGATCCTTTTTTGCTTGAGCAGAGGGTTAAAAAACGTAAATTAAACATCATAGCAGAGGATTTCTCTGACTGTACTGGGGACATCTTCACTGACAAGCAGGTTGAGTAGGGTTTTCAGATCCTACGTCGAATTCATCAATAATTTGTCTGGACCCTGATTAACATTCATGTGATACTGATACATCTGTTGGCATAGATCCTTTTTTTGTTTGTTTCTCTGCAATTTACATTTTCTGTTTATTCTTTCCTTGTCCTCTTTTTCTATCTTAGGCTCTCAGGCTGCCGCCTTGCAGGCCGATGCACCCCCAATGTTGGCACATGCCAGGGGTGTAATGAACATGTACCTGGAAAAGGTGAAAGACAGTACGGTCAAAGCCCTGCAGAACATTGATGATGCTGAAATGAAGTAAGGACATGTAATTCTCCCTTTGCTTTTCCAAAGTCTCTCAAACCTCTTTCTTGCCTTTATTTCCTTTGAACATATTTCTTTGCTTTCTGTTTACATGGTTTTGCTCGTGTTTCTTTCCCCTCCCAGACAAAGGCTGCTTCAGCATGTGGAGAACGCAGACATGAGGATCAAAGCGATGCAGGGTGCCTTGTCCCCAGTGACTGACACCGTCGTTGAAACCGTCATGTCTGCCACCGCTGAGTTCCGCAACAAAATCAATGCTGATGTTGAGGCCCTGAGAGTCGAGCTTGTGCCCCTCCGTGCTAACCTGAGGGAAGTTGTGGACAGACACCTCGACCAGTACAGGACTGCATTCGCCCCCATCATGGATGAGTATGTAGCCAAGCACAACTCTGAGATGGAAGCCCTGAGGGAAAAGATGACCCCAGTCATTGAGGATATGAAAGCGAAGGTGCAAGTCAATGTTGAGGAGACCAAGGAGGCTCTGATTCCCATTTTGGAGGCTGTGCGTGGAAAGGTTTCTGGCTGGTTGGAGAGCGCAAAGGGAATTGTTGATCCCTACATCCAGGAATACAGGGAGAAGCTGAGGGACACAGTCACACAAGTGCGCAGCGTCACCACTGAGGAGATGGCTGCCCTGAACCAGAAGATCACACCTCTGGCTCAGGAGGTCAGCGTTAAGCTCCGTACCATTATGGAGGACATCGCTGACACCTTCGTCAAAGTCTAAATCCTCTATACCCTGTCCCTGTAACCAATCCCACCTCCACATCCGCTCCAACTTCCTTCCTCTCATTTTCTCACTGGATCTCCCAAAGTGAAGCCGATGCCTAACTGATGCACTTCCTTGCAACAAAATGGCGGGACCCTTGTGCTCTCTCTACCATGCAAACACCTCTCTTTGTGCACATTCACAGACACATACAGGCTCACATATAAACATGTGCTTCACTCTTTGCATGCACAGGCAAATAGCACACATTTTGTGTCGAAATGTATGTGAATTACCACCAAGTGCCAGATCCTCTGTGTAATGATGCTTGTCTGATGAAAAACAGATCAATAAACATCTGACTGTTTATACAACTGTGATGTCTGACTCCAGTTTGAATGATTTTGTGTGTCACTGAAGATTTGAAATGATTCACCTCTTTCACTGTCAGCACTCAAACAGAACAACCGTCTATTACAGCCTGAAATTCACTTTTATCAAAATACAGTCAAATGTTTTTGGCATTAGGGAAAGGTAGTGTGAAGATGAAAAATCTGCAGTTACCTAAAGACAGAGGTAGCACAGGCTTTATAGGCTGTCATTGTGCTGACCATGTTCAACTTGCACTTCACGTAGATCTAGATACAAAGACTTGCTCAGCTCTCTAGGTTTAAAAGTAATGTGTCGCCGTACTTCGTACGCCGTACTATAAGATTGTATGATATTTCTAAATCCATCATCCATGGATCAAGTCTTCAAACAATAATTAATAATTTCACTCGTCCTATAAAAAGGGAAATGTATTTCTGAAAAACAGTGCTTAAAAGTTGTTAAATCAATAAAACTGTGTCAGACACCCTGTAGAACTTAAAACCAGAATTAGTTGAATTTGAAAATGGTGTTCCACTCAGCTTCATCCTTGGTTTTAGTTCTTTTATTTATTATCATTATTTTTATACATTGATTTAGTGTCAGCTGTCTCTGGTTATAAAATGAAACTTTACACTGGTGGCACAGTTTTGTACGCATTACTCCTGATGTACAGTCTGCAGTGCGGCTTTTCTGAAGGGGTTAGTTTTCAATGTGAGGAAACCAAATTTATGCCCTTCATTCAGAGCTGAATGTGCTGATACAAAGAGGGTAACCGTTTATCAATATCTGGATATTTGGACTGATGAGAACTTCGCTTTTAAAAGAAGGGGAGACCAGGGCTTGTTGACACATGGGTAAGTTGTCACATTGCAATTATCTTTGCCACCAGGGGGCACAACTAAAAGGTGGAATACTAGTTTTATTCCTTTATATGGTCAGGGGTCCCGTCCTGTCTGAGAAGAGAGAAGCACATTGTGAGCTGAGATCATAGACTATATATAGAATGGACAGCGTCTGCCTCCTCGCTGGGTGAAGCCACTCCGAGAATAGCACCCTCTGGTGACAGGCTGCAGTATAGGTCATAAATCCCACCTCCTCCAGCAATCCTTATGAAATTATGGACAAACTTTAGAAATTTATTATACAGAATATAAATTTTTCTCCTCCCTGGTTGTGATGTTGACATGTAGTTACTGTAAGACTGGTTTGTGCTCAAGTCCTCTTTTTTCTGCGAAGCTCATTTTTTAAAAGTTATTAGGGGGTTCATGTTTTCTATGATTGACACTTGCGTAGCTCACCAGGGGGGTTCGCTGTTTGAACCGAGCGTCATCACAGCTACTCTTGGCGACCCTACCGCCAAATGTGTACAATGCTACTGTGCAAGTGGTGGAATGCATACAACGTTAATGCGCAATGTTGGTTTCAGGAAGTGGAGAAAAAACGCAGAATCACTGAGAGCTTTTCGGCAGGTTGTCCATAGTTTATACAGTCTATGGCTGAGATGAGTGCCAGTTAACCATTTTACCCGACCCAAAGTAAAAAAAAAAAAAAAAAAAAAAAAATTATATTTTTTAAAATAAGCTACTTCCAAATAAAAATCCTAGCAGTGATACATGTGGACTTGTTAGAGGAGAGATTAAGGTATTCTGTCATACCTCATTCATTGTTCTGTTTTAAGATAACTTTAAGCTAGAGCTAGAATTAGCAAACGTAGTTTGGGGCAACATGTCTCAGTCATTTTGGGGTAAGTCGTCACATGTTTAAAAGGGATTACAATCAATATAGAGTCTGCTTATCAGCAGTTGTTCTATTGAAATTTAGACTTGTCTTTTTACAGAGAAAATAGTGGTTTCAAGGAGAGGAGAAAGCGAGAAGACATGGTCAGGAATTTAACAAAAAAAACCCAGAATGTAGCAGTGCAGTTCCTGACATGATGCTGAGGGCAGTCAGGCAGGTGACCCTAGCTAATAAATCAATCTGGAGTACAATAAAGGACTTTAATGTCAACTACCATACCTTGTCTCAATACTGCAAAACATTCACCCCAGCCGAAATAAAGAGTCAGACAGCTTCCCAAACTCCAGTGCATGTTACATAATATTTCATGTTAATGTTTGTTTAATGACTATGTTCACTGACTTTTTCTAGCTCATTGATAAACATTTTCTGTGCCTGACTTTGATGTTCCCTTTCATGTAAAACAAATGAGAACAACAATTATTTTGTCCTTGTTTTATTAGCAGCAAAATCCACTGTGACATCTTACCCCATGTAGCTAGACAACTTACCCGATGGTGGGACAACATGTCATATGTTCACACTCTCTATTTGATTGCTTATAACTCTGCACTGACACAAGATATGAAAATGATATGAATACGAAACATATACCTGAGACTTTGGTCTTTCATCTGGTACACATTTTGTTTTTATATAATGTATTGATTCCAAGAAATACATAACAGTGTAAAAAGTGTGACAACAAGCCCTGGTCTCCCCTAATGCTTCAAATTGAGTCTGCAAACTTCAGTGTAATCTTGATAAACCCTGCTTTCCTCTGAACTGTAAAAATGCTGATTGAGGCAACCTTTTTATCAGCGCTAAATTATAGAGGCTCGCTTTGCCTACAAGCTTGAAACCCTTTGATGCAGTTTGTTTATCTTACATTTGATTGTTTCTTGAATGAGCTCTGACAATCAATAAAATTTATTGAAAAATCTATCTTGAATCTATCTTGACTTGTATGACAACTAAAAGAAAATGAAAAACAACAACCTGGTAAAAAAAATATAACAGAACACCCTCAACTTTATCAAAGTGTGTATGACACTGATGGCAGAATGAGGAGGTCATTATTGATCACTGGGTCAGTCTGAAAAGAACAAATTTCATACATTCAGTCCTACTTACGAGGAGCTTCAGTGACATATGAGTTATTTCTGCCCACGGTCATGAAAGCTGTGATTAATGACCTGATCCTGGGTGTGAACTGGTCTATTGACTATTTCAGTTTGGGTGTTTTTTTTTTAAAAGGAAAAATCCTTTTGAACCCCTCTGGCTACTTCACTTCAACACCACCCCATCATAGAGCCACAAACACAGAAAACACCACAACAGAACCACTGAACACTTGCACTCAGCTGCAACCACACGACTTAGGTTTGACAAAAACATACAGTGACAAAAACAAAAAATGGTGACAAAATAAAGAAAACTGATTTTTTTTTTTAACATATCAGGTCTGGAGAAGTCTTGGGTGTTTCTGGGTAATGTTAAAATACAGTTTCCTCTTCCATTTGTGAATGCAGTTCTGGACTGTGTTCACAGTCAATGGTTTTTGGAGATGATGTGAAGCCCATGCGGTGACTTCCACTCCAGAGTCCTATCCATTTTTAATGCTGCCTGAGGGCCTGAAGATCAGGCCCATCCATTGCTGGTTTTGGTCCTTGTCCTTTTTGTAGAGAGATTTGTTCAATTTTACAATCAGGAGGATTGTTTTCTATTAATAAATTAATTTATTATTAGTTTATTTTTTTGTAATTTAAAAAAAAATCTAATCTAATTTAGATTTTTTCAAGCTCATAATTTTACATTTTTAATGGATAATCGTGACTTGCTGTTACAATTTTACTTTTTTAATCATTATTATTATTTTGACTTTTTATCTCATAGTTGTGATTGACCTTCTCAAAATTGTAACCATTAACAGTTTTGATTTTTGTATCTTAATATTATGACTTTTTAGCACATTTTTATCTTAATTTTTGACTTTTTAGTTCATAATTTTAACTTTTTTATCTTGATTTAAATTCTGTGACTTTAAATCTCATAGTTTTGATTTCCTTTCTAAAATTTAGACTCAATAATCTTTTTTCCTTATGTCTTTCTTGTTTTAATGGACAGAAATGGGCTTTTAAGTTTGATACAAAAGTGAAGTACAAAAACTGGACCAAATAAACCACTCTTATTAATGATAGATAGTTGTGGGGGAAAACTGACTAATTAGCTCGGTGTTGAAACTCAACCCAAAGAAAATTGCCTTTAAATTATAAAAGCAGTTTGTTGCCGTCCATATCTGTCCACACCCAGTAACAGTGGGCTGATTAGGAGGTTATTAATGTCCTATGGCTGGACTAGAGAAGCTTCATTTAAAGCTTTAGGCTATAAGAAAGAATAGGAAAGGCAGAGAGGGATTTCTACATGCTTGGAAATGGTTGTGTGTGTGTTTGTCTGTGTGCACATACTGGTATTTGCAGTTCTGCACGTCAGGCCTTGATTAGTACATGTCAGCGGCTCTATGAGTATTGTAATGGATGAGGCAGGCATGGAGGTCCCCAGTGAGAGTCTCTGGGTGTATAAAAGACACTTGGTTCTGGACACAGGCAGATCTGGATGTACATCTAACCCAGTATCTGACACTGGAAAGAGGAAAACATTTGTGCTGTTAGCTCTTCAAATTTTTTAGGAAACTTGTTGTTTGTTGAGTTTGGGGGAATTACGGAGGTAGCTTTTTGTTGACAGAATAGCCTGAAGTGAAGACAGAGGTCAAAACACCAACTCATTCTCATCATTTCTCTTACTCTTTACTTCAAATTATGGACGGTAAGTGTTTGTTTTTTTAGCTCATTGGAGCAGAATTAAAGACGAATCTTTATTTAGTGTTAAAACAAAACCAACGCTTACCAAACATTACCATTTTCTTGTACTCTCTCCTTCTTTCTCAGGTCTGCAGCTGTCTCAGAGCTGTGAACTGTCCCTGCCCTGCTGTGCAACCAGGGGGTCACTGTCCAGCGCCAAGGTTCCCCAAGTCAGCGGGGTCAGAGTTCAGCTGGAGATGCAAGCACTTTGGCAGCAGTTTGACCAGCTGGGCACGGAGATGATTGTTACCAAAGCTGGAAGGCAACATGAATTCTGTTTCTCTCATATCTTCCTCTCCTCCTGCTGCCTCGTTTTGAAATTAAAGTTTGCATGTTTTATTGTGTTTCAGGAGGATGTTTCCCACATTCCAGGTGCAGATCTCTGGGATGGATCCTGCAGCTGAATATGTCCTCCTCATGGACTTTATTCCTGTTGATAATAAAAGATACAGGTCAGACATAAAGAATTAGGCATGCAGTGTTTAGCCTGGGATAACTCATTCGTCATACAGTTGTTTTAAAGCTTATTTCTGATATGTTGTTGATCTTCTTTAGTGGACTTATTATTTGCAACCAAAACAGTCACAGACCTAACCCTCACAGACACGTTTTTCGTCATGTCACATGTGTGTCTTGAGCCCTCTGATAGGCTGGTGACTGTTGAGGGGTGCACCCTGCCTCTTGCCCAAACAGCTGGGTTAGCTGGGATTGGCTAAGGGTAAGCAGTGATGCACAAGTGGACAGAACTGTAAGCTCCAACATCTGCATCTGTGTGTTCCAGATATGCCTTCCACAGCTCATCCTGGTTGGTGGCAGGGCGAGCTGATGTCGTGGCCCCGAGCAGGATGCATTTCCACCCGGACTCACCTGCCTGTGGGGCCCAGTGGATGAAACAGACCGTATCTTTTGACACTCTCAAGCTTACCAACAACTTGCTGGATGACAACGGCCATGTGAGTCAATGTCTCCTATTTTCTTCAGATTTTTACCTCTGGGTTATCAAGCCTGAAAAACTCCCAGTATCATTGCCCTGTTTCTGGAAAAGTTGGATTTGTAACAGAAAAGGCAGGACAAGGGTGAAGCAGTAGGTTACATCATAAAGCCCAGTTCTCATGATGTTTAAAGTTATGTAATATCATCAGCTGATATTGTTTCATTTTCTATATCTAAAATCATGTTTTTATTTTGAAATGATGTATACACCACTTTTTGTAGACTGTTAGTCACTGAGCTGAATAAAATCATCCAAAAGAGCAGTTAGAAAGTCTAAATCTTCACTGTGTTATAACACATAAAAAGACACAAACTTTTACTTTGTCTTTGGATTCACATCTTAGATCATAAGTTTTTTAAGTGTCTCATGATTATAGCTTTGAATTTTTTAATTCACACATTGTCCCCCATTTTCTCTTGGCTAGATGATATTGAACTCCATGCATCGCTACCAGCCACGTTTTCATGTGGTGTATGTGGATCCATCTCCCAACAGCCACTTAAATGCATACAGGAACTTCTGCTCCTTTTCCTTCTCAGAGACCCGGTTTATGGCTGTCACTGCCTATCAGAACCACAGGGTAGGAAATCTAGGCCTTAAACTACATATTGTCCATTAGTTTGCTATTCTTCTTTGAATCCTTTCCCTCTTTTTGGTCAGATCACCCAGCTGAAAATTGCAAGCAACCCATTTGCTAAAGGCTTTAGGACCACAGACCCACAGGACAGGTGAGCATCTGTTTAAGCAGGGAAGCAAAAGTACTCTGAAGTTGATGTTTGTGAAGTGGGACTGCCGTTATATCTTATTTTCACCTCATGATCAACATGGCCAGAAGCATGAAACTCCATTACTGCAACAGGATATTTTCAAAACAGTTTTTTCTCTCTTATTAAATCCAAGAAACTCTCAAATAGTGGAGCAGATAAGTGACATAATCGTTTGGTTGTTGATACAAACATGAAAATTGGCATGAGCATTCTTCATTCTTCAACATTTTAAAGATGGCCGCCATCTCATTGAAGCAGTTAACTGATGTAAAGTTGTGATATAAACATAAAAATTGGTAAGACCATTCCCCATGAGTAACTTAATAAGAAAATGCCCTAGCGGCTTGAAATTTTAAAAATGGTGACTATTGTTAAGATTCCTTTTTACTATTTCATGTTTTTCTTTTTAATTCAAACATCTATTTATTAAGGAGACCCTTAAGGGATATGGCGAAAAAAAGAAAACGTGAATGTTTTGAGTGCACTCACAAGTTTTCTTTTTTTTTTTTTTCCTTCATGTCCCTTTAGTGGCTCCGCCATTTATATACTTTTCATATTTAATGTTTTGTTTTTTTGCTGCTCAGCACTTTGAGATCATTGACTTGATGTAAATCGCTATACAAATAAAATTCATTATTTTTATTTTTTGATTAGTATAGACATTGGATAGAATATGTTTATTGTCCTCGTACAGTGTACAACCAACCTAAAGTGGAATCCTGATGGTATAAAATAACAATGTGATTAAAACATTATAAAATAAAATAAAAAAACACATAATAATAGAGTAAAAAGTTAAAGTTAAAACATCATAATCTAGTTGTCTTTAGCTGTCTGATCTCAAACACTTTTGCAGAACTCAGTGAATGCCCCTCTCTAATTGATGAGAGCGACCAGCAAGCGTTGGAGAGATTTGTTGTGGTGATGTACGACAGATTCAGTGATGTCACAACTGTCAATGAGGCGAGGCTTGATCTTTTTGCAAGAAAGCAAAGACCATATGACCCGATCCAACCAACTCAGGCAGCACTGAAAGAGCACGCCAAACGTGCAGCTTATGAGCCTGGATTCGTGTAGGGACAGGCATTGAAGCAAAAGCCAGAAATACCAAGCCCATCTGACTGGGGATAGATAAAAGAAGACGACGAATTATGAATCTTCTGGACTCCTCTTCCTCTTGTTGCAGAGAGTTGTTGGGAGTTGACCAAATGTGGATGCACCAAGGAATGTACTGGACAATGCAAGTGCTTCAAATATGGACTCACTTGCACATGTCTGTGTAGTTGCCCCTGCTAGAAGCTATGTGTGTATTCTTTTTGCCAGGTTAGGAAGCTTGCATACTTCATTGAACCCTACGAGCTATGCCATTGGGAGGCAACTCCTGGCAGGTTTTTACCAAATTGGACAGGTCGACGGCGAGGAGTTGGACAAAACACAATCAAGCATTTTCTTTCCAATTTTCATGTTTACATCACCAACTTTACATGATATTACTGCTGTAATGAGATGGTGGCCATCTTTTAAATGGTCGCCACCTTGAAATTTCAAGTAGTTTGGGGCATTTTCTTGTTAAGTGACTCATGAAGACTGTTCATACCAATTTTCATGGCTATATCACCAATTTCACAAGTACATCACCTGATTGTCCCACTTAGGTGGCAGCCATCTTGAAAAATAGCCACCATCTTGAAGTTTCAAATGGCTGAAACACTTTTCTAGTAAAGTGACCCATGGAGAATGTTTGTGCCAATTTTCATGCTTGTACCACCAACCGAACGATTCAGGCTAAAATTTGTACTTGGCTGCTGCACTAAAAACTTTACTTCTGATAAAAGCTACTTCATTTTACAAACTGCACCTTTAATGCACACTTAAAGCTGTTGAATCAGTTCCTCTGAGTATCTGTAATTCCGCACGAGAAAGGTTGTGTGTACTTTTTCCTCAGTCATTCAGTCAGGTCATTCAGTCATTAAGAAACACATCTTTACCTGGAAAATGGATTATATCATGACAGGATCACAGTGTATCGTTATCAGTCTATGTTATCAGCTGGTACACAGTGATAAGGCTACAGAGTCAATGATAAAAAAACCAATGACCTTTGTATGCAGGGACAGTTCACATGAGACAGGTTCTGTGCTGTGCATGAAAAAAAGTGAGGGAGTTTGCAAATGCATATGCAGCTGCTATATAAGTGTGTGTGACTTTATATAAATGTGTGTGCTTGTGTGTTTGCAGGGTGGGTAACTCTGGACTTCTGGCGGTGTGGTGCCCACCAGAGGGCAGAGCTGAGCCCCTCAGTGCCAAACACAGAGAGCAGAGAAGAAAGGGCTCCGATAGTTCAGACAGTGAGTTTACATACTGCACATTATAGTTAAAGTTTTTTTTTTTTTTTTTTTTTACACATTTATGGTTATTTAATAGTAATCCACATCAAGGCTGTCTATATTTCACTTTTTAAATTTTTTTTTTTCCAGATATTTAAGATGTATTTGCAGATTAGATGCATCCAAATTTTAGGAGTGTTAACAAAGAGATTTTGAAATACACAGTTTAGTGCACAAACATAACTAGGTAGTGTAAAAGAGGCTACAACAACCTTGTTGTACGATGTTATTACCTTTCCACCTGTGTTCTCCTGCATCTTCAGGACCCCAAGGCCACGCTGTGTTGATGGAGGAGCAGTGCAGACTTTTCCATCCCTGCAAAGACTCTGTGGAACTCCACACGGACAGGAAAAATGAGGAGAACATATTATCTACTGCTTCCTTTCTCCCTGTTTCCTCTTACTGGGACTGTCCAGGATCTTCTCAAGAGGGAACGAGTCTGTTATAGGGGAAAAAAGCTGAATTTTACCTGCTGCTTGCTCCCTCATTTGATCAACAATGTTACTGTTGTATAATAAATACATTTGGTTTCTGCCTCCTTCAAAAGAAAAGTTCAGTTATTAGGATTGTGCAAATATGTGATCAAACCAATCATGTAGGGGCAAACACATAAGTTGAAGCATGCAATAGATCACTGTGGGGTCGCCGTAAAAGTAGAGTTTGAAGACAATACTATGAGATTACAACTCCAAAATAAGTATTCTTGCAAAGCTCTCAACAGTACGCACACTGTATCTGTTTTCACTATAGATAATTTCTTGGTATAAAACTATGTCTGAAGAATAAATTGACATGCTGTGAAACCATTGGGTCTGTTTGTATTTATTTATTTATCTATCAATCTATTTTTAACTTAAGTTCAGTGCAACCTCCACTCCTGCTTGCAAGGAAGTAGGAATGCATACAATGTGACCCAGCGGGCTGCAAAAGTCATGATTACAACTACATTACCCAAAATGCTGTCCCTCTCATGGGGCATCCACAGGATGTACTTATAGCCTATGACTGCAGTTATTTCACCTTCAAAGTAAAACATTTTATTAAAAAATTCCACAAGATTGCTTTGAGAAGGGGAGGAATGCTTTTATTCAAAAAGAATATGATCAAAATTCAGTGAGATGCAATACAGTTACAATACAACACAACCAGTTTAATTCAAAAAGACATACTGCCATACAGAATACTATTATATAACACAAAATTATACATTACTGAAATTATACAACATTTAGGTGATATGATATGAAACAGTAAAATATGATGGAGTCAGTATGGTACAATACAACGCCACATACGTTACAGTTCTATGCAATACTATATGATATCATACAATCTAACACAATTCAGTACAATACATATGATGCAGTATGATACAATACAACAGGATACCATGTAGTATGATGCGGTATATACGATACCATATGGTGCAATATACTACAGTGTAGTACAATAGCATATAATATGATACAATACAATATGACATGGTATGATGTGAAACAATACCTCACAATTCAGCACAATATGATTCCATACAACAGGATTTAAAATGATACAGTAGGATACCACCATGTAATATGGTATGAAATAATTTAACGCAATAATATGATCAACAGTGAGTGCGGATGGTACAGTATGATACAACATGATGATACCATACAGTTTGGTACAGTATGATATGATACGCAATACAAATAATACCATATTCTGCTTGATGATGTGATATGACGGCTCCAGCATTATATGGTATGACTTAGTTTGATACAATAGAATGACATGTGACAAAATAGAACAGGACAGTATATCATAAAATACCTTGTGACTTGACATTATATCTTATGATAAAATAAAATTGGGTGTTAAACTGTAAAATACAGCACCTACTGATACAATTTGATATGGTATGATATGATCATATAATTTGACCGATTACAATATGCTGCAGTATGATTCAATATGCTGCCATATGAGAATATTAAGTATAGATGTAGACTGTCACGTTGGAAGAAAGTTTTCACATTGGATTATTCTTTCAATCAAAATGTTGATGTTTAGCGTCAGTGACATTTGTTTCGATGCTCTTATTTTGAAAATATGCACCGGAAAGGGGGTTGTTTTGAGCTACAACTTGATGGTGGTGCTACTCGCTTCCAATTCCGAAGGATGCAGAGGGGTGGATGGAGGAGGAGGAGGAGGAGGTGAAAGACTGGAAGGCGGAGAACAGAATGAACAGGTCTTGAGAGGGGAAGGATGCGGATTACGGTAGCCCGTCGGCCAGTCTGCCAGGCAGCGATGGTTTCGGTCGTTAGACACGAGGATTTGCGGTGAAAACGACCCAGGCCTGCGGTGTGTTGATTTACTGAACTCAGAGGGGAAGCCTGCTGTTCACCCGTCGCCTTAAATCATCTGTGACACCGGGGTTGACTGGCGGGGTGATTGACTTTTACAGTGTATGCTATTTCGTACGTTTATGTTTGTTTTTGCAGTGTTGTGTTGATTTCTTTAGTCGTCATCTTCCATGAAGATAGCCGGAGAAAATCAGAGTGACCCTGTCCCCCATCATGTTTGTGGTTCAACTGCCATCATGGTTTTAGCCGTCATCTTAGCATCACCGCCACCTGATCTGTTCTCCTTTACCGCCGCAGACAGGATGTCAAACTGAACAAAGCGTCACAACTTACACATTTTAAACCAACGTTAACTACTTTCAACATGGGTGCGTCGTCATTACAGCCCTTCTGGATGACAGCTCTGTTTATATGGACGATGTTGTGTCTGCTCAGTAACGGTCACTCCGCACCGGACGACTCGGGCCTGCCTCAAGCCATCCGCGTGCCACTGCGGCAAGTCGCTCCCTCCAAACCGCTTCTGTCACCTGCCGCAGCCGTTGACTACAGCGAGCGCGGCATCGCGAGGAACCGCGCTGTACGCAGGCGGAGAGGAGCGGCCGCGAGCGGTGTAAGCTTCGTGGATATGGTTGACAACCTGCGTGGAAAGTCGGGGCAAGGATACTACGTGGAGATGGCCGTGGGCTCTCCTCCACAGAAGGTAAAGGCTTTATGTGCTTCATAGGACTATTAAAGCCTGTGAACGTACAACATGTTTAAATCAAATAACTTTAGGGTCTATCAGCTATATTCCTAATACAGTTACATTCACACAAAAAACACGAGAATGGAAAATGACTGTCCTTTTCAAGGGTGTTTTTCAAAGTGATATGTCTGTATTAGTCATTGTTACCCTGGAGAGAGCATCTCTCCCTGAAAATAACAATAATAATCTCAATCTTTAGCCTACTGTCTCAGTTTAATTTAGTGTGCTGTATTTATAGAACTATTGCAGTAAATACCATGTAAATTGAACTTGGTGTGGCACCACTTCAGGGTGATCTTAAGGTGCATCATTTTAACAGTTTCATCATTAAAATATCATTCAATTTTAGGATTAAACCTGGTCTATAATGCTTTTTACTCTTATGAGCATCTGTGTTCACAAATGTGCCCAACCATGCTTTGTTCTCTATTCTAAAAAGCTATAATGACCTTTAAAAAAAGAAACAAACTAATCATTCACTGTAACAATCACACAAAGGTCAGCATGTAGGTGACACCAATATAAACTTCTGATGCACCTTGACAACATATTCTGGTGTAAATATCCTCATATTTTCATCTAGTTGTGTAAGATTTTTTCCTTTTTCTGGTGGTTTCAAATTTAAAATCAGCTGAAATGAAAACGAAACATTTTAAATACACTGTCAATACTGTTGCTGGCCCTGCAATGACAGATGGCCGGTCTGTGTGCCGTGTGTACGTGCAAGTTTGTGAAAGTGAGCGAAAGCACTGAATGAGATGGATAATGGAACCATTAATTCTGCAGAGTGAGGAGTGCCAGCTGGGTGCAGCTGCGGTGTACAGGCTGGCACACAGAGGGCGACGGATAGAGGGAGGGAGAGAAAGTGATGAGGTGGTAGAAGAGGAGATGAAGGAGCTGGCAAAGGTGACAGTGGGTGTGAGACAGGAAAACAACCGAGCGGGATCAAGATAAGAGAGAAAGCCAGAGAAGTGAGTTAAAAGGAAAGAAGCAAAGGAGGATGTAGACTTGACAGAGGAAAAGAAAGACTTGAAAGAGTGAGAGGATGAGAGCTAGATGGAGGTAGTACTGTGCAACAGTTAGAGCCAAAAGCCAACTGTGTGATTAAATTAAGCATCTTCAACAAGTGGCTGTGAGGAATCCTTACTTTCTTTCACAAACTCGTGTCTTGTGATGAAATAAAGTAAAAAAAAAAAAAATGCTGCCATCCAGACAATGAATTTTTTAGGGAGGACCTTCATATTTCAGAAGGACAATGACTAGGCCTGTCGCGATAATCAATAAATCGCCTTATCGCTCGATAAATAAAAACGAGGTCGATAACTTTGCCAGCCTCGATAATTGACGTGCGTTTGTTTTCCTCCTCTCTCGCTACCAAACACGCTGGATGAGAGAAGAGGTCTCACTCTGCGCATTTTTCTCGGCACCTGGGGGCGTTGGCTCTATAGCGGAATGAACGGAGTTAGTGAACCCTCCTGTCAGTCATTCAGTGTCTTTGTTACGAGGGGGCGCGCGCGCAGGTACACGTAGGCGCGCACAGGCACACAGACACAGACCTTTGGATACAGTGCTGCAAGTGAGTGTGGTGAGTGAAAAGCAAGCAAACAGAATGAACACGACAGCTTTGGTGTCTAAACCGAACGCAACAGCCCAAGTGTGGGAATATTTCGGCTTTAAACCAGTTTTGTTTTCGTCAACCACAAAACTCCACGTGTGTGTGTGTGCGCGCGCGTGTGTCTGTGTGTTGGAGGAGCACAGCAGGCTGATGAGAGCTGTCAGAGCGGACTGAAGCTGCTCCTATATGTTTAGCGTTTAACTGACTGAGTTTTGCAACTCTGTTCGTCATCTTCGTCGTGGGTGAAATGAAAGTTTATCACTTTTGACACGGTGTACATTATTATGCCATTTCATATCATTATCTATAATTTAAAAAACGGTGTCAATAATATCGTTTATCGGCGATAATTTGTAGCACAATTATCGTCCAGCAAAATTTGTTATCGTGACAGGCCTAACAATGACAAACCAAATTCTGACAACAGGGATTACAACAGCATGGCTCTGTAGTAAAAGAGTCCTGCCGATAAATTGGCCTGACTGCATCTGAAGCCTCATGACAAAAAAAAATACCATAAAGGAGACCCTGAACTGTTGAGTAGACAAAATCCCATCATGTCTTCATCTGTTACCTATCTGCTCATGTAATGCAGCTATATGAACATATTTTATGCAGTTTAGAAAAGGATTTCTGTCATTCTTACCTCACAATTTTAGCGTGTTTTTGGTTGAGTAGATTTCTCACATACACTGGAAATAAAGAGAACGTGAAAGAGTCCATACTCTGTTTTGTATCAGCTGGTCAGGTATCTGTAAACAGCTCATTTATCACCATGACCACTCATGATAGCACAACACCCTTCAAAGGCAGCCTGTATGTATTCAAGCCATTAAAAGACTCTGCATCTACATAGGTAAAGCTTTATTTATTTATCACCCTAATATGAAATGTTTAAAAGGAAACTGCAGTGTAACACTCAGTAAGGATATATGGTCTTAACTCAAATTATCAAACTTGCAGAAGTGAATGAAGGTGTTTTAATGAACTTTAAATGATCATTTACTGTAATTTTCAGCTGTTTTGTGTGCTGTTCTTGTAACTACTCCCTGATTTCTCTTCCATAGCAGAAGGGGGAAGGGCGAAATATAATGGCTGGAATGGACAGGGCGCTCCGCCAGAGAGGACAGGAAGACTGGAAGAGAGAGAGGGAGAGAGAGACAGCAGGGAAAGGCATGAGGTCTCAGTGTGTCAGGATGCAGCCTTTAGTGTTTGTGTATAAAAGAGACAACCAACCTGAGTGGTCAGCACATCTCTCTGCACAGAGTGTCTTAACTGGCAGTAGAAGAGTTTACAGAGATAGTGAATGCAGGCATATTTGTGTGGAGCAGATGGATGCATGTGTGCGCTATCAAACTGTTAGGTGGACTGTCAGTATTTATTCTGGGCTTTCAAGCCCAGCCCTCGACACAGAACCACTTCTCTGGGTATTTTAAGAGCCAATACATTATTGAACAGCTTGCTGTGGCTCTATGGCTGCCTGTCTGTTCATCTGTTTGGCTGTTTGTATGCCACACTGTCCATCCGCACTCTCGACACTGACATTCTCTGGATTTTGCTGAAAGGAAATGTTTTTTGAGCCCATGCGGTGATTTCCACGACTGAGTCATATTTGTTTTTAATGCAGTGTTGCCCAAGGGCCTGAAGATCAGGACCATCCAGTCTTGATTTTGGTCTTTGTCTCCTTAGTACAGAGATTTCTCCAGCTTCTCTGAATCTTTCAATGATATTATGTTCTGTAGATGATGAAATCCACTTGTTCTTGCCTCTCTGAATGCCCCTTTCATGCCCAGTCATGTTACTAACCTGTTGTAAATTAGCTTGATTAGTTGGGAGATGTTCCTCCTGCAGTTTTTAAGTACTACACAATATGCATGTTGCATAGGGAAGCAGTAGCGCAGTTGGTAAGCTGCAGATATTACTTGTGGTTTATGGCATAGAGCAGATAATATGCTGTTTGTCAAGAGTTTAAAATGTTAATGTGATGCAGACACCTGAGGTTTGTATGTCTCCATTCACACTTTCAGGAACTGTTTTGACTGATGGTACAGAATACGATACTCACAATGCAGACAGAAGGGGGGGAGGTGAAAGAGAGAGAGACAGGGGGACAGAAAGAGAGAGTAGGATGAGCAACCTGAGAGGAGTGGAGGGTTGGAGTGGAGACAGAGAGGGGATGGAGAAGGGCGTTTGGCACAATAGGAAACAGCACTCTACAGGGAAAGAAAAATGGTGGACTGATATTTGAAATATTAGTCTGTGAGGTGAGGCCGACAGCTAAGACAAGCCTTAGAAACCATGTAGAAAGTTTGTGTTTTTTAAAGCCGAAGAAATGGAAGTGAAGGTTTCACAGGTAGAGATGTATGATTAATATCGATCTACAAAGATTAAACACAATGTCACTGTACAAACCAAGCATTACTGTTACTGACATGTTAATTTTTGTGAAATGCTCAAGCTCATATTAAATGAATCTCCCTCTCCTTTTGTTTTTGGCCCGTTAGTTAAATATCCTGGTGGATACAGGAAGCAGTAACTTCGCTGTCGGAGCAGCTGCTCACCCTTTTCTGCGGAGATACTACCACCGCTCTCTGTGAGTATTTATACCGGAAACAGATATGGTCACTTTATACTATACAACACCTGAGAAGCCTTTATGATGTACAGCAACTCTAGTTATTTTCATATCTCAGCTGTACATCTGTTTTTATGACTGATGCAGACACATTTTTTTACATAGTTTACTGAAGTGAACAAATCGCAATATATGATATCCCAATACTCGCTGTATTGCAAAATGTTCAAAATCACACTGATATTATATCGTTGCACAAGTATTGTGACAATATCATATCGTAGGGCCACTAGTGATTCCCACCCCTACTAAAAATACTTCATTTAGCTACAGATGCCAAGATTTTTTAAAGTAGATCCTAAAATTAAAGCTATTCTAAGGAACTGACTGACACCACACCCCTGTTTCGGATGTTAAAATAAGGGTATCAGTATCATCAGTCTCAGAGTTGTTAGTTGCTAAACAAGGTGGTAAGAGTTACCTGACACGTATTTAATATGTATTTACTCAGAGTATCCTGTTTGCTCAAAGGGCTGGGTAAGGATAGAAAAACAAGAGCGAGCTCGGGTTGCTCACAGTATGAAATGTCCGTCCTTTCCGTTTAAAAAGCAGTGCAAACTTTGCAAACTTAAAGCTTTTACTCTGAATACACTCAAAGACCACTGTTGAAGTCACAACACAAAATTGATCTTTACCTGATCTTGACCGGCGACACACCTTTCCTTTTTCTTCTCCACTCTTTTCTCACTTCTGTGAATTAACCGTCCATCCACAGCTCCAGCTCTTACCGTGACCAGGGGAGGAGTGTGTATGTTCCCTACACCCAGGGCCGCTGGGAGGGGGAGCTGGGCACTGACCTGGTCTCTGTGCCACACGGTCCTAACGCCACGCTGCGAGCGAATATCGCCGCAATCACCCAGTCTGATCGCTTCTTCATCAACGGATCCAACTGGGAGGGGATACTGGGACTGGCCTACGCTGATATAGCTCGGGTGAGAACAGTGGGCATGAAAATCTGGAAAGCCCTCTCATAACTGATATTACTTACACAGCATGACTCCAGTTGGCGCCTCAAAGATGCATGAATGGCTTGTGGTCATCTTGTGCTAAATCTGGCTTTGCTCTAAAGGTAAAATGAACTGTCCACATACAGTAACTGCTGTCTTCCATTTCTTACTCAGAATAATGCCACTGGGAATGAAATCCGACCAGTTTCCTAGAAATCTGAATGTGCAGCTAAAAACAGCCGCTTAGTTCTGTCATTCAGAGGTAATGCTATCCTAACTGTGCATCTCTCTCTCTCTCTCTCTCTTTCTTTCTGTCTTTCTTTCTTTCTTTCTTTCTTTCTTTCTTTCTTTCTTTCTGCAGCCTGACGAGACATTGGAGCCTTTCTTTGACTCTTTGGTCCGTCAGACTCCTGTCCCCAACCTCTTCTCCCTCCAGTTGTGTGGAGCTGGCTTCACTCAAAACTACTCCCTGGGAAGCGCGACGGTTGGCGGCAGCATGGTGAGTCACACGTACACACAGATCTCCAACATAAATCTTCTGTATATCAATTCTACTTACACTGGCACTCTGAACTGTACTCATTTATCCCCAAACTCGTAGATCATCGGAGGAGTGGACCCGTCTCTCTACGTGGGAGAGCTTTGGTACACTCCCATCCGCAGAGAGTGGTACTACGAGGTCATTATTGTACGAATTGAGGTGAATGGACAGGACCTCAATATGGACTGTAAAGAGGTGAGATGTGTCAGATTAAAAGACAGCTGCAATCATAGAAAACAAACTACATACTTGAACTAATAGTAATGTTTGTGAGTATTATCTGTCTCTCACAGTACAACTATGATAAGAGCATTGTGGACAGTGGCACCACCAACCTTCGGCTGCCCAGAAAAGTCTTCCAGGCAGCAGTCAAGGCTATTGAAGCAGCTTCTTCGGTCAGTCAGAAGTCCTGTTTGTATTTGTTTTGGTTTTGCTTGACTCCACCTGCCCACAAACTACTGTCATGTTAGTTTTCTTGTCTATTTGAGATGTATCCTCTGACAGTCCAGTCCCCACAGTCTAGATTAGTGAAGATCTGGATAACCTGAGTTTGGTTTTTCCCTGGGTTTCAAACACAGGGGCTCTGTCCTTACTACATTGGTCTGAAAATTATCCGGTGAATCATTCTTTTAATTTTTATTTTGACTTTGGTTTTAGTAGGCCTATAATTCATAAATCATAAATCTTTTATTCCCTTTCGAGTGATGAGAACTACTGCAACCTCCAACACTGACCAAGGCCACATTTGTTATCTACAGCTGTAACTCCAAAGAAGTTAGGAAGCTGTTTATACTGACTGTAAAAAGTGAATTTGACTCACAAAGAATAAATATGTATTTTAAAGTTGTGAAAAGACAACATATCATACATCCATTTACTACCGCTTATTCCCGTTCCCGGTCGCGGGGGGGCTGGAGCCTATCCCAGGATCTTCGGCGAAGGCAGGGGAAAACCCTGGACAAGTCGCCAGTTCATCGCAGGGCTGACATATAGAGACAAACAACCATCCACACTCACATTTACACCTACGGCAATTTGAAAGTGGCCAATTAACCTAACCCCACTCCTGCATGTTTTTGGGATGTAGGAGGAAAACCTGAGTAACCGGAGTAAACCCACGCAGACACATGGAGAACATGCAAACTCCACACAGAAACACCCTGACACAGATTCGAACCCAAGACCTTCTTGCTGTGAGGCAACAGTGCTAACCATTACACCACTGTGCCACCCCTGACAACATATCATATGTTCAAGAATTTTGATAGCATATCTTCTATGAGAAATATTTGCTCGTGCGTCCCTGGACCATCAGGAATGCTGGCTTTGAACTGTTTACTTTAGACCCCTCAGGATAGGGCGTCCATGGTTTCCATGAAGAATGTCAGAATTTTGATTCATTAGACCACAGGACAGTTTTCTCTTCCCCAGCCCATCTTTGATTAGAGTGAAGGAGAAGATAACTGTCACTGTGACCCTGTTTTTCAGACGGAGCAGTTTCCCTCTGGGTTCTGGCTTGGGGAGCAGCTTGTCTGTTGGCAGGCCGGTACGACACCCTGGCACATCTTCCCGGTCATATCACTTTACCTGATGAGCGAAAACCACAACCAGTCCTTTAGAATCTCCATCCTACCGCAGGTAAGTCACAGCGCTTCTTACTGACTTCATGATTGCAGGCAGAGGATGGACTCTCTGATAACAGTTATTTTTCTGGATCATACTAAGTCACTTCACCTCAGCCCAAATGATTAATATGTCATATTTTCACTTGTCTGGACTCCTGATAAGATGAAGAAATCTCTGCATGGTGCTTTAGAAAATATGGTGACCTGTATGATGCTCTTAAAAGCGTCATTGATCAGTTGTACAAGTCCTGTGCATCCTTTTTAATTCAGAGGTCAAAGGTGATTTGGTTGACTGCCTGTAATCCTGAATAGATGCAAAGTCTTCATTTCCTGTACCCCCTCACAGGAAGTGCAGTCACATATCAAGTCGCTCTATCTTTCAGCTGAACTCTTTCAAATTCTCTGTACAGATGAAGGCTTTGGCATGTGGTGAGGAAAGAAATGATGACCACATTTCAGAGCAAATGACCTTGTTTCTCTAAGGCCTTTCAGAAAGCTCTGAAAAGTCTGTAAAGGGTTTTGAATCAAAGCTGTGCAGAAACGCCTTGATGCTTTTAGGATGAATATGATTTGACTGTGAGGGTTTAAAAGGAGACTCGGTTTGTAAACCTGTGGGAGGTTTGTGTCCTTGGTGCTGACGACAGAAGAGAATAACTGAGAAAAGATGAAAATTATCATCCCTCAGTTCTTTCTCTGTGTGTATTTTAATTCAGCAGCAGACAGACAGACAGACAGAGAGACAGAGAGATGACAACAAGTCCAAGTCAAGTCACATTAGTTTGTGACTCAAGTCCAAGCCTCAGATCTGTTTCCCCAGGATCCTTGAATCTGGACACCAGTGAACCAGAGTAGAAAACTGGATGCTGACAGCAGAAGGATATTTGTTTGTCATTGTTGCATTTTCTCAAATTTTGAATGAAACACAAATTATAATGAAACAATAATTTTCCTCAGTTTGATTGTGGATAGTTAAACATCACTCAATATACTAAGCTTTTCCACATTCTATACAAAAATACAGCAGCGCCCTCTGGTGGACAAAATAGATACATTAATGTAGCGTTCTATAAAACACTCCTAACTTTTACTCATACATAATTTTGATTTATAAAATCAGCCAACATGAATTAAACGCTGACTCAGCTGATGACTTTGCTTAGCTGTTTAAGTCTGCAACCAGGAGTGGCAGTATTTTGGCAAAAAGAGAGACGCACTGAAGCAAACCTCACTTTATTTCACTAACGGGGATTGTCATATACTGTAGTTCTTTATTTAATTCATAATTTAGCTCTAGAATAATCTTCACTTAAATTAATACTTCATGAATTAAGTGAGTCGATTCAGTTTACAGCAGAGCTACTCAGTTACGTTTTAACAACAACAAACAGACATTTTCAACAGCCTTCATATTTACTACTGCTAAAAAAGAACGGTAAATACTTTAGATGAATCTGATAAAACAGAGACGTTTTGTGAGACACTGTACTCCACTTTTAAGTCCCATTGTTTGTCCTAACTCTGTTTTAATGTGTCTCTTTAAATGCAGCAATACCTGCGGCCTGTTGAGGATGTGGCCTCTGCCCAGGAGGACTGCTACAAGTTCGCCGTGTCCCAGTCCAGCACTGGTACCGTGATGGGGGCGGTCATTATGGAGGGTTTCTATGTGGTCTTTGACAGAGAAAAGAAACGCATCGGCTTTGCTGTCAGCACATGTCATGGTAAGGAGGAGTAAGGGGGGAGGAATGAAGGGGACACCCAAAGGGTTTCGGACCCTCATAGCATCTACAAACGAACACAAGCTGATGTTCTAACAGAGCCCACTGAGGACCACATCTCTCAAATGTGCGTGTTTATGTCCATTGTCCATTTGGTACGTTTGCCCTAATGAATATATGGGGCTCCCCTTTCCTCCATGTCCCTTGCTGCTCGTCCGAGGGACCACTTGCATGGAGGGACCTTATCACTTCTTGTACATCATTTTTGCCTCGTTTATGGACATTTTATTAGACCAGATACAATGCTGACCAGCTGTCTGGTGTTCAGGCACAGTCAAATGCAAAATAAATGACAATCCATCTTTGAGAGCTTCAGACTGTTTTTAATTTGTGCATCAAATTGTGGCCCTGCAGGGCGTCTGCTGATCTGGGATGATTTGAGGAGTCCTTCTGTTTTATTTCTGAGGTTTTATTATCAGCCAGTTTTCTTTGGTTTTCATCATTTTTATCTTGTGTTCTCCTTGTTTTACCAATGCGTATTTTTTATTCAAGCTTTATTGTACCAGATAAAACCCATTGAGAGCCAGCCTTAAGAAAGACATAGTAGAAATATAAAAGAGATAATAGTATAAAATTGAATAAAAACCTTAAAGAATCTCAATAAAAATCTACAACAGTAGTTACATTAAACATATGACAATAATATTTACAGCATTAACCTAAATTAACCTAAATAAAAATGAATAATGATACTATTTACAACTGTACCTAATCTGAACACAGTGGCTACACACTGGAATACAGGGATCAAGATCTCTTTCACAATGGTGACCTGACCAAGAGATCAGCGGAACATGTCATAAAAACAAATATAACATAATCAGATCTATACAGATCTATATAAACAGGTCTATTGAAGGAGGTATTGGGGGCTAGCCAAAGAAAGGAAAAACAAGATAATATGATATTTCTCGTAACTTGATAAAGCATCTTTCCTCTGGTCTGTGTGTGTGTGTGTTTCTCTCTCTGCAGTTCATGATGAGTTTCGCACAGCCTCGGTGGAGGGCCCGTTCCATGGTGTCGACCTGGAGGACTGTGGCTACAACATCCCTCAGACAGACGAGTCCACTCTCATGACCATCGCCTATATCATGGCGGGAATCTGCGCCCTCTTTATGCTGCCGCTTTGTCTCATGGTGTGCCAGTGGCGCTTCGCCCGCTGCCTCCATCCTCACGGGGACTTTGCTGACGACATATCACTCCTTAAGTGAGGGAACAAAAGAGACTCACTTTAAAAACACAAAGCAAAACAAAAGGGAGCGATCGTGTTGATTGGGTGTTTGCTGTTACGAAATGTTGGTGCTGCTGAAACAGAGCTTTGAAAACTTTCTTCAAAAGTTTAATTATATATGTGAAAATAAAACACACTGTCTTTACACAGTGAGCGGTGCTGCCCTGACACTGGGGAGCATTTACAAAATCCTAGCCATTACTAACCTGAAGGAGAAACCAGAGAGAGTTAGTGTCATCAGCATTAAATTTAAGCCTGTCTAAGCTACCGTTGCAGATCTGTGCAGCTAGAGAGACAGAAATGGGGAAAATCGGAAAGAAAGAAAGCTTTCTCTTTTTATAAATAGTGTATAAATAGACCACTGAGACAGACTGGATTCAGAGGTTTCTAAGATTTGTCTCTTAACTTTGCAGAGTTTTACTCAGAAAGAATCAGGATATGAAGGGAAATTTAAAAGAAAGCAGATTATTTAATAGTATGGCGAATCAAAGAACCTGGATGTCATTTGTAGACGGGGTTTCATGGTGTCGTCGGCATGGTTTGCTACAGTATGATCTGACCTGAGTGTGTGATTTTATGTGTGTTTAGATCTATTGTTTATGTCTTACATGAATGAATGTTGAAGTGTGTGGGCATGCCTGTATGTGTGCACAGCTGTTCTGTAAGTGAAGAGTATACAGAGAGATCTATTGAAAATGGTACTGAGAATGAATAGCATCTATTAAATTACACTATTTTGCAAATGCCAGCAACTAATTCTGCAGCGCAAACTCAGCATAAAAAGGCTCATTTGATGAAACATAAGATTGTAACAGCATTTACTGCATAAACTCAGTTTGCTTAGTGTTAAACTGAAACTACTGAATACAGTCAATATCAGATGTCACTTTCTTCTCTTGTATTGATAGCCTGAATATAACTATTGTACACAAAAATCAGTGTATTCCAGATCACACACACACATACATACAAATACGCACTGCTTTTTCTACTGCTGCACCATCTGATGATATGCACATGTGACACTTTACATGTACACAGACCCAGACTTGATAGGGCTTCTTTCACAAACAGCCTAACTCACCACCTTTTCCAACGGGGACCATTTACGCTTGGACAAAGAAACCAGCCCAACGTCAGTTACACACTTAAGAACCCGATGTATGTCAACAAGGGACTGTTTGTATTGTCCTTAAACAAGTTGTAAATAGATAAACTGAGAACTGTATATTTATCTGTCAGGTGCTGGCAGCACCGGTGAACCAATAAAGTACTTATTGTAATTGTAACCTGGTTGGATTACATTTTTTCACACAAAACATCAGCCGGTAAAAACCAGCAGGCGACACAATTTATATCCAAAGTACCATTTTGGTTTAAATTACAAAAAGTTTATCAAATGAGCACCATCCCATGAGCTACAGGTTAATGTCTTGTGGCTGGAATATTCTGCAACAGTGCATCATTGAACCAGTTAAATTGATTATTAATCAAAGTACATGCATATCTAGCTTGATATCCCACAATACATCAATACTTGTTTTGTAAAAAGGTATTAATGGCTTTACTCAAAGAAAGCGGTGTCAGTGATTAAACAAATAGATGTTAAATAACTTTTTTTAAGCTAATGAGGTGAATTTCCAACAGGTTAGTAACATGACTGGGTATAAAAAGGAGGCTGAGTCTGATGGGAAGAGGTTCACCACTCTGTGAGAGACTGGGTGAGCTTCGAGTTGAATTATTTCAGAATAATGTTCCTGAGTGTTAAGCGTGAAAGAATGAGTGGATTTCATCATCTGACATAACATCATTAAATGATTCAAAGAATCTGGAGAAATCTTTTTACAACAAGGACAAGGACCAAAACCAAGACTGGATGGTCCTGATCTTCAGGCCCTCAGACAGCTCATTATTAAAATCACTGCATCCACAAAAGAGGTTCAACTTGAACCATAAAAAGGGGAAACATGACAGAAACAGGATCCAGAAAAAGCTGACTCTCTCATTGACTAACACGGAGTTTAATGGTGCAGTACGCACGTTCTGGTTATGGGCCAATCGGGTCGCACGCACGACAATACGTGCCTGTCAACTGACGTAATACGTTCGGGTTGTGAGTTGTTTTTTGCGGAAGTGAAATGACAAGCTCAACATTACTCATAAACATTTCGAGGAGCAGATGAGAGAAACACATTCGTTAGATAGGTAAGCTTTATCTATATTATTTCTGTATAATGACTCGATTTCATTATTTTTTTCCGACAAAAAACACTGTAAGGACTCTGGCTAATTTACCATGACAACAACAATCCTCCTCAGTTTTACTCAGAGTCCTTCAGACTCTCTAAGCGAATGTTACTACGCTTCAAACTGCCATGTTTTACCATTGCTTCAAATAAGGAGTGTCACAGTTGTTAGTTTACGATTCAGTCAACCCCCATTGTTAGCTGCCCACATCGTTAGCTGACCTGCTAACTCAATAGAAACTGAACAATCAGCAAAACTGTGAGCTAGCTTACAGCTAACTGCAGCCGAGCAGAGACTGACAGAGAGAGAAATAAACATCAAATATCCCAGTTATTGGCGTTAATGTTACAGTGGAAAGACTGTGAGTTCATAACACATTAACCTGTCAATATAAAGGCCAAACACATCAACTTAATTCACAGGTATTTTTAAAAAAGGATCGAAAGTAATGATTCCATACGGCTACATTTGATAATTCATGATTTAAATAGAGAAAAAAAAACGGTTTGTTGAAGACAACAGTGGAGAAGGCTTCCTGAGTGCTGAAAGAGTCTTTTAACAGACAGTAGCTGAAATAAGGCTTTTCAGGATGAAAAACCTTTATGAGCTGTACAATGTATTAAGGTACAAACAAAAGTGTGACTCCTTCTGTCCCTGCAGGTTTATCTGAGGAATTACTTTGACACTTTGTTTTCCTCACTGTCTGACATTTTTGTCCGTCTTTAGTTTTTACATCAAACATTTTATCTTCAGTTTAGAACAAGCATAAATCCACCTCTTTGACTAGTCAAGGCTGGATCAGTGACCATGCTCTTGTAGTTAACTGACTGCACATCTGAAAATAAAGTTGTTTTGAAGTTAATTTACACACTTGAGTCTGAACATGGTGACACATTTGAAGTGGGTTCCTGATATTTATCTTTATTGCAGTTAAAGTTGTCTCAGCAGATCATAAATGTAGTGTGAAATATACTGTGTTTGCTGTGCTTGGGAGTGACACTGTACACACACTATCCTCTAAGCAGGTTAGTCTAGCCCTGCTTTTGGCTATTCAGTATTAATCACTCATTGCTTCACTGGTATAATAGCAGAAGTGCACGGCATATATAAAGACTCCACCTATTGTACGTGAAAGCAAAGGTATGGTTCACTGGAAGTCAGGTGTTTGTCTAAAGGTGCCAAAAGAACAGCACGCATCTGATGAATCCACAGTGTTGAGTGAGAGAGCTGTGATGTAACCACAGCTTATAGTGAATGTGCCTTAGCCACAGGTCTGTCTGAACTGGAGTCCAGTTCATGTGCTGCTGTGAATTTAATGAGTGTCCTTTGAATGCAGCACACAGATGATAGGCAACCAGCCTCTCATTCTCAGATCACCATCACTACTAACAAGACAACCTCATCCCCTTGTCTATCTGTTTTTGTTTCACATCCAGGTTGGTCTTCAAATGAAGAAGGCTCACCTGGTTGAGCCTGTTTGTCTCCCTCTGTTGCCATGGCAACACCCTATTTTCCCACATTCCTGCTCCTCCTTTTCTTGTCTTCCTTCACCCTTTTGCTTTTGACCCTGCTCCCCTCAGTCTCCCCGTCGCTTCCCTCCTCATTTTCGTCTTCCCCATCATGGCCGTCACCCTCCTGTGGCCCGGCTCAGGCTTGGGCGGTTCGTCTCGATGCTGGCTCAAGTCATGACATTGAAGACAATGCTGGCTCAGATTATGAAGATAATAACAAAGAACGGCGTTCTGTGCACTTGGATGCCATAGCCAACAGGGTAAGATTTTTCTTCATCATTTTCTGCCTTTTTCTGCAGGATACAACATCCTATTTTTTAACCAAAGCTCCATTTCACTGTCCTAAAAATGTAATAATGAAACTGAATGTGGTCAGCTTACCACATTCATGTACAACCCCAATTCCATAAAAACAGGTTGACTGTTAAAAAATCACTCTACCCTTTATCTGATCAGAAACAGTGCAAAGATAACATAGTCGGGTTTCCATTGACTCGCTAGAGAAGAGGATGTGACATCCATGATCTCCCAAAGGAAAACTCAGGATTTATCAGACCACATTTTCCAGTTCAGGTCCAGATTTGTCTCTGGTGTCTCTGGATCCTGTCTCTATCTGGTTTCCTCTTTCACGGTTCAGTTTTAACCTCATTAGTGGATGCAGTGATGAACTGTGTTCACAGACAATGGTCTTTAAAGTGATTTTGAGCCCATGCAGTGATTTCCACTCAGGATTCGTGTCTGTTTTTAATGCAGTGCTGTCTGAGGGCCTGAAGATCAGGACCATCTAGTCTTGGTTTTGGTTCTTACCTCTTTAGTACAGAGATTTCTCCAGATTCTCTGAATCTTTTAATGATACATTTGACACTCAGGAACATTATTCTGAAACTGTTGAACTATCAGCTCACACAGTCTCTCACAGAGTGGTGAACCCCCTCCCATCTTTTCTACTGAGGATATCAGACATGCAGACATAATTTAATATCTGATATGTTGTCTTTGCTCTGTTTTAAACATAATGTAGGCCTCAAATGGTTTGCAAACCACTTATCAACACTTAACTCGGGTATTAACTTTTATGGATTCAGTGTTAGACATGAGGAAGACTAGTTTGTTTTTGAGAGATACATTTTTTCAATGTTTTGTTCTCCTCTGCAGAGTTTCACTTTCCTTTGAGACCACAGCTGTGGTCACATTTTGTTTCAGAAGAGTGTGACGTCTGGCTGCTATGCTTTGGGGATTTTTTTTTTAAGTGAACAGAAACTTCTTCAACATAAAAATAAACTTATTAGTTTTGGTCGGCTCAGGCTAAAATAATTAAATACAGTTTATCCATTTCAGAAGAGTTAGTATTTTAGTTCTGTTTTAATGTCACAATTATGTCTAATACAGTGGTTCTCAAGTCCAGTCCTCGAGGCCCACTGTCCTGCATGTTTTGGATGTTTCCCTGCTCCAACACACCTGATTCAAATGATCAGCTCGTTATCAAGCTCTGTAATGGCTTAATAACGAGCTGATCATTTGAATCAGGTGTGTTGGAGCAGGGAAACATCCAAAACATGCAGGACAGTGGGCCTCGAGGACTGGACTTGAGAACCACTGTATTAGACATAATTGTGACATTAAAACAGAACTAACTAACCACTGCTCTAATAGAATTAAACAGTGAAGAGAGGTTTTCGTCAGTTTCAACCAAAAAGGTGAGAGGTCAAATACACAGGGATATCATAGTTCACTTGAGAACTTGTGGTCGATTTTTCCAGGACATACAGGACAAATACTTTCATAAGTGAGAACTGGTATTTCCCGTCCCCTTCTATGAAATGATATCTGAGGAGCACCTCCAGGGAAAGGTTTTCACTTTTGTTTTCTTGGTCTCATGGATGTATCAGTGTTGTTTCAGATCCAGGTCAGCATGACTATCTCTAATGCAGCACCGCCTGGAGTTGATTTGATTACATCTGGTTTATTTTTATTCTGTCATCTTTCCAAGAGAACACAACCATCTGCAGACAAGCTATCCTTCTGAACCCCTCCTAAAGCTCTTCTTTCCTTCTTGTATAAAGTGTTTGCAGACAGAGACATGGTTTTTGCTTTGACATCCCTCCTAAATAACTGTAAAGTAACTTCCTCTTCAAAACACACCTGTATTTATTTTTTGACATCTTTTTTTCTTTCTGTGAAACTTGTGTGAGGAGTTTATACTGGTAATAAAACAGACTAGAAATAATACTGATGCCCCTTTATGACCTAAAAAAGCAAACAAACCCATCAACAGGAGACAAGACCACATCTATACAGTTATTGAAGTCTTAAACTCCCTCAGGTAGTGCTATATGATTTCCAAGATGCAGTGTGATGACTGTACACCTCTGATACAGCTTTTTTTTTTACATTACAAGGCTAAGAGTCTCGCTGAGTGAAAAAATGAGGACGAGCTTTTTTGTGAACTGCTTACTGAAATACTGGACAAAATCAGCAAAGACATCTTTGTCCACTGGTGGTTCTTTTTGGAGTTGTAAACTCTAGCAGTCCATGAAGTATCCTCCATTTTAGCCACAGTTGCAGAGAAATGCTGAGTGCAAAACTAAGAGATGCAGTAGACCACTTTACCTCAATTTTATACCTGTGCATCAACTCTGTTTCTACACTGAAGATTTTGAACTTTCTTTTAACCTATAAATGTTACTTTGGTTGGTGATACCAGGTTGCAGAGCAGGCTGGACTGCAGAACCAAGGCCAGATCGGCCAGCTGGAAGGACACTATCTGCTGTGCTCAGTTAAACCTGGGCGGGGGTCTTTTGCTGACATCTGGAGCGAGAGAGTCCAGCCTGCAGATGTCCTGGCAGCTCACCCTCATGTTCTGTGGTACTCCAAGGATCGAGTGCTGAGTCGCTCAAAAAGATCTGTGGCCTTTAACGATCCCCACTACCCTAAACAGTGGCACCTGGTGAGACTTTAGAGCTCTGTGTGTCTCTGTCTTCATTTTACCGCCCACTATTTATCTGGAGAGCCTCTCAAATAAGTGTTGAAGTCTGTCATCAGTTAGTAAATGTACTCCGAAATTAATTGTGCTGAACTCAAGCAAAGAGATGTAAAAACCAGTCGAGCAGGAAACCGGCTGTGTTGATGGATTTTAAACTTAGGTGAAGGAAATGTGCAGAGGATATATCTTATTTTAATCTTTTAGGGACATCTGTATATTTGATCCACACTGGATACTAAAGACAGGTAGACTTGTTTTAAAGTTCGGCTAGTTTTTAAACCTCTTTAAATTCTGAGCACATTGATTCATTTTTTTTTTGCTTATTTATTTACTCATGCATGCTAAGGATAAAAAAAAAAGAAAAGAGGCATTTACAAACAGCCTGCACAGGTGAGAGGAAAGAAACTTGTTAAAGCTTTCAAACAACATGGAGGTCAGGCTGTTGCAAAGCTTAAAAAACATCTTTCAAATATAAATTATTGTATTCAAAGCAGTTGGCTTTGAAGGCACTTTGCTCAAATAGATGGATAACTCTTACTGTATCTTGTTTTGTCACTTTTGCAGAGGTTAAATTTGAACACCTGAAAAGAAAAAGTATAAAACATCCACTCTAATCCTCTTTAGTCCTCCTCCATTTAACCACACGGTTTCCCCATTCTTCTTATCCCTGCAGCATAATGACCTTAATAAAGGTTTGGACATCAATGTAACAGGAGTGTGGGAGCGCAACATCACTGGTCAGGGGGTCACAGTGGTGGTAGTGGATGACGGGGTGGAGCACACCCACCAGGACATTCAGGCCAACTATGTAAGTCAACACAAAGAGAGGTTTCATTGTGATCTCTGATTGTTTTAAAGATATCCTAATAATAGTAAAAATCTTTTTGACTCGTATCACACTGACATCTGCCGTTAATAATCTGATATCCTCCCAGAGTCCAGAGGGCAGCTACGACCTTAACTCCAATGATCCAGACCCGATGCCTCACCCCGACGTCCACAGCGACAACCACCACGGGACACGGTGTGCTGGAGAGATCGCAGCCGTTCCTAACAACAGCTTCTGTGCTGTTGGAGTAGCTTATGGCAGCAAGGTGGCAGGTAAGGACAAGAGAGTATTATTCAGGAGATCATATTTCAAACTTTAGCCTAATGATGTCATCAGTGGAGGATGTCAGACATATTTTGGCTTCACTTTCCTAAATGAGAGGAGGTGGAGAAACAACCTCTGTCTGTATTTGTGTGAAACAGTTAAAATGTCTTTTGAATGTTGTTTTCTTTTTAGGCATCAGAGTCCTGGACGGCCCGCTAACTGACAGTCTGGAGGCGGTAGCCTTCAACAAGCACTACCAGGTCAATGACATCTACAGCTGCAGGTAAAAAAAAACCAAAAACATGTCTGTATGAACCTGTAATGTTTTACCTTTGGACTAGCATCTTGAACAACTCTTCAATGGTAACACTTTATTTAAAGCACAAAGAAAGGATGAAAGGGCAGGCAGAGCAACAGCAAAGATCCCTTGGGTACAGAAGAGAGCAAGCATCAGTAACGGCCCATGCAACATCAGAAAGAGCAGACACAGCACATTCAGCACGCTCATTTTCATAGTGCCACATTATGAAAGACTGAGATTTTTCTTTTGCCTCCTTCAGCTGGGGTCCAGATGATGATGGACACACAGTAGATGGACCTCATCCCCTGGGCAAGGTAAGAGAAAGGCACCATTTTGCCCAGCAGAGGGCAGTATACTACAACAGATCCTTCACTGATGCCATCCAGTGCTTCAAGATGGTTCTGTTGTGACTGCATGTTTTGTGCCACCCTAGGCAGCGCTGCAGTACGGGGTGATAGCAGGCAGAAAAGGCTTCGGCAGCATCTTTGTGGTCGCCAGCGGCAATGGAGGCCAATACAATGACAACTGCAACTATGATGGATACGCCAACTCCATCTACACTATCACAGTTGGTAAGGACCTCAAACTCTGGTGACCTCTAAACATTCAGGTCCAGACAGTCTGACACGGACAGGTATGAGGGTGAAGAAGTACCTCACAAATCTAGATACTCAAGAGAGCAGGGTAGGGCTGAAAGCAATGAGGAGGAGTCTCTTTAAGGGGGACTGTTTCTAGGTTGATTTCACTACAACATGTATAAGGATGTTTCTGCAGTGCAAACATGCCAGTGAAAAATAACATCATGCAGCAAAATGTTGTGGTTGTTTTATTTAAAAAATTTTGAATTATAATTATATCCAAGATAAAGCAGGCTTCAATCGGGCTGTAGTGGTCTTTAAATGAGTAGTTGCTCCCTCAGTTGGCCTGCTGAGGGGGGAAAAGGCAAAACCATCCAACCATGGTCATGTCTGACTCAAATCCACTTCCTAGACATGGCCTGTAGTGCTGCATTGTGGGGAAGATAATCACTCTGGGTGTGTGTTACAGGAGCAGTCGATGAGAACGGCAGGATGCCCTTCTACGCCGAGGAGTGTGCGTCCATGCTGGCTGTCACTTTCAGCAGCGGAGGGAACAAGCTGAGGAGCATTGTAGGTCACAGTCATACCTGCTAATCTGAAATTTGATGCCAACAACAGGTTTAAACAAGTTTCCTCAGGAACAACCAAACAGGTAGTTGGGAAATGTACTATGATGTGATGCATGACATTAGTCCGGAGTGATCATGACATGCCTCTGTAAGTGAACCCAGTTCATACACACACTGGACAGCTGTATGTAAACACGGGTAAACACAGAGCTGGGGAATCCTCCACTCTCAACACTGTAGTCCTTCTGTCAGGAAGATAAACTCTAATGTGTCTCAGAGACAAATGTAGAAGAATTCATCACACTCTTTGACTGTTGTCCAGATCCCACACACGAAGAGCTGTAAAACATCATTATTTAGGTCTGTTTTTTTTTCTTACCTGTAAATCTAACCAGGGCCAAAAAACCTCTCTCCTACTTTGTTTTTGGAAAACTGATACCGATCAGGATTTAAGACTTCCCTACAGTATTCTTCTCTCTTTGTATTTTAATGATCTGCTTTTATTGAAATAGTTAGGATGTGTTTTTACTCTCTCTTTGATCCCTGTAAAGCTGACCCTCTCTTTGTCTTTAAACGTCTGTCACACAGACTCTGTAATGTACACAGATGGGGTTTAGTTGGAGCCTGTTCTCATATAGTTACAGACAGACATGAGTAGTTTGTGTTGAATATAAGCTGTAAAAGGGTCGGTCTTGTCTTAAATCATTTAGGAATGTATACATTTGGCCTCCTGCCTGAGCTGCCTCGCCTTCAAACTGTTTGTACTGAACCTAAATCACCTCCAGTGAGTCCATCCGTCTGTCTCTACAGGTGACGTCAGACTGGTCCATGCAGCATGGGACGGGCTGCACGGAGAGCCACACCGGCACATCTGCCGCCGCCCCCCTGGCTGCAGGGATGGTGGCACTTATGCTGCAGGTCCGGCCCTGCCTTAGCTGGAGGGACGTACAGCACATAATTGCTTTCACCGCCACCAAGGTAGGCCTGAGGACGTCTACAGGAAACACCTGTCATATTACTTGTGACAGTGATCAGTACTGGGTCTGATCACTGTCACTCTTTTTTTACACATGTTGGCTGAACATCCATGTCTTCAGAATAAACTGACCAGTTTTCTGAATTGTTTACAGTTATAATATTTCTTCAAATTCAAATAATTGATCAGGACACTTTGAGCAGGGGCATTGCCTGTGTTATCTGCCTGATCATATATCCGTGTGTCTCCTTTGATTTAGACCCTCCTGTGAAAACATTACCTCAGTGCCTCATCCAGTGTTTGTACTTCCATGTGAACATATACAGCATATCTGTTAATATCCTTTCACACACAGACACAGCACATCTGCTTTATTTCTATTCTTATTGATTTCTTTTTAGATTTTTGCTAATCCTTTTTTAATCTCTTACTTCTGATCCATTTCATGTGTTTTTTTGTGAGCTGAGTGAAGTTCTGTTTCTGTTTTATTTCAGTTTCCATTCAGTAAAATATTCTTAAACCACAGAGCACAGCTGAAAGAGGGAGAATGAGCAAAGTCAACATCTCTGTACAGATTTGTGTATCTTTATTGTTGCATAACAGCTAAAAGTAAACTCTGAAAATGGATCTCTGTTTTTGTTTGGACAGTGTGACAGCACTGCAGACTGGGGGAGGAACGGAGCCGGGTTTTACCACAGCCACCAGCACGGCTTCGGTCTGCTCAACGCGTGGAGACTCGTCAATGCTGCCAAGGTACAGACATGAATACTTTGAATAAGGTCTGCAGGGATCAGCTCTTTTCATCTTTGATTAAGTGGAGGGCGTTGATTAAAGCAAAGTCAAACTTCCTCAGGTCTGGGAGTCCGTGCCATTTCTTGTGTCCTATCAGAGCTCAACGAACAAGGAGGACGCCTCAATCCCGACTTATCCAGACCAGCTGATCCGCACCTGGAAAGGTAACTAGCTGCTCTTCTCTCATGCTCTCAGTTTTGCACTGAACAGCTGATAGTCCTGTTAACATTCTGCACCACACAGTTCCCTCCCTCCTGTCCTCCCTCCCTCTCTGCCTGCTCCTCAGTTAGTCTGCCTCTCCATATTAGGTAATGTTCTTCTGTTTGTGAGTTCCTGCGTCCATTCAAACACTGTTTGAGATTTTTCTACATCTTCATCTTTTCTTCTCACATCTCTTCTCGTGTTGCCTCTCACTTTCTTAAATGTCTTTTCCTTTTTTGATTTGTTCATATTTGTTTATCTCCATGTGTGATCTGTCTCTTCATGACCTCACATATTATTCTCTCCCGTTTTCCTCCCTCCATCTGTAACTTGGACTCTCTTAAGGCTGTTTTCAGTCAGGAGCAGAGCCAGAGTCGAGTGTGTATGTGTGGTCTGTAGCAGCAGGAGTTTCTGAGGGAGCAAAGTTTCTAAAGCAAAGAGACTTCTTTACTCTTCAGTCAGACTTTCCTGAATGGCTTTTCATCTCTGACAGTGTTAAGCAGCAGCAGCCTCTGTTTTTGTAGTTTCTGTGTGTTTTGGCTGACGCACTGCAGCGACTGCTCTGACCTGATTATGACCGGTGGGAAGATAGGAGCTCAGATTTTTTTCCAGTTGCACTAATGTGTTTGTGCGAGTCTTGGTGACGGATAAACGTCTGTGTATCAAGTCATGACAGCAAAAACAAAGATTTATTGCTGCTCTGAAGGAGAGCACACAAGAAAGGACAAAATGTACAAGTACAGAGTCTCCTTTCATGAAAGCATGCACAGAGGTTATGATCACAGATATTTGTTCGAGGATCAGCCAGATGAATTTTCCCCAACTCTCAGTGATTAAACAGTTTTCTTCTTTAGAAACTTTTCATTTGGTAAAGCAAACCTAAATAGAAGCTCTGTCATCATGCTAGCATCAGTTTTTTCACTCTCAATAAGCTGACATAGTTGTTTTTCTTTCCTGGTGCATGCTTTTTTTTTAACCTGACATTAATATGACAGCAGCACAAGAAGCATCAGGTCCATGTCACACTTTTTGTACCTGCAGGTAGATTTTCTTTCTGCACAACAACCATAGCATGAAACGACACAAAACAATCAAAATAAAAATGATGAAAACAAATAAAAAATGATGAAAGTTTGTATCAAAACTCTTTTTACACATGATGCAGAGTTGTCTACCTCTCTGTTTTCAACACTGATGCAAGCTGAAGCACTCTACCTCACCAGAGAAATCACATCCTAACAGCTCTTACTTAACATTTAACTAGCGGTTACTGGTTGAAGTGCATGATGGCATCAGGTATTAGTAACATAAAAGGATAACATTTTTGCATTTTACTGTTAAGAAAGAATCAAATAAATCCTGCAGGCAACCGTCTAGTCTCAGAGTTTTGGAAATGCACATCAGGTCCCTGACTGCATCCACAGAGGAGTTTTTCCTACCCCAGCTTCAGAATTTAAAGAAGCATCTCCATCAAATCTTTTTATTCCCTCCTCTCTCTTTCTGGACCTCTCCTGCATTTATCTTTAAACCCTATATTTATGTCCGCCCCTCCACCCATCAGCTCTCTCTCTCCTCTTGTCTCATTCCCTGATGGTCTGTCCCCAGACGATCTGTCCTCCCCTCCACACCTCTCTTTACGCTCCTCGTCCCTTTGCGTCCCTCCCTGCCTCGAGGATGTGTGCAGCCCTACATGGTCAGAGAACGCCGCGGCTCATTAGTAGTATGAGTCCAGGAAATACCGAGAAATTACCGCACACTTCCATTCGTAGAACGGGAGGTGGTCAGGAGAGCTGACTGATAACAAATTGAAGAGGAGAGAGTGGAGAGGAAAGATTCAGAGTTTGATGGGGATCACATTTAAGTTCTGTTTATTTTCAGGTTGATAATATTTCAGACTGACTCTGTAGCTTATTTATTTTTCTTCATATGTAAAGGGTCAAATGTGACAGTTGTCAAGCTCCTGGTCCTCCTCTTTAACCATCAAACACACAAGTAAGCTGCTCTCTCTTCTTCTACAGTCACCACTGCTGACCTCAAACAGTCTGGGATGGAGACGCTGGAGCATGTTGCTGTCACCGTGACGATAACACACCCTTGCCGTGGCAATGTGGAGATAGTGTTGGTCTGCCCTAGTGGCATCACTTCAGTCATTGGGGCACGCAGGGCCATTGACAGGTACAGACACACACCTATGAAAAGAGGGCTGTCGAATGATGATTTGATTTTATGATCCCGATTAATCATGTAGTGATTTGAAATGAGCCTCATACGGTCGCACCAAAATATATGTAGCGATTTGAAATGAGCCTCACAAGGCCGCACCAAAATAATACTTGGCGATTGGAATTTATAATAAATGTCTGAAGATTAATAATCTCAAATTATGACATTTATGCACTCGTTGAAAGGGGCACCACCCACCCTTAATGGTGGGAAAATAAAGAAAACAAAAGTTTAATTCAGAAATCAAACATCAAGTCAGTTTTAATTAATCAGTCTTAATTAATCAGTCTTAATTAATCAGTCTCATATCTTAAGTCGAAATTCTAATTTCAGGGACTCCACTTCTGGAAGAACACTAACAGACAGGAACTTAGAAAAATAATGATCTGTTTATTACAGGATAAATGATGGTACAACACACATGCAATAAATGATGATAAGATAATGAAGATAAATAATAATAGGTGAATAAATAAAGATTCTGAGTCAGGCTAGGAGCACTAAAGTTAATGATAGTGAGTGAATATGTGCTAACATATTAACCTACACTAACTTTGGTGTCGAGATTAACTCGGATGTGGATTTGGAGGAATCTAAGATCACCAGAAATAGGTGGATATCTGAGTTATGAACGCATGAGACAGCATCAGCCCTGTCTGGAGCTCTGGAGGTTTGCATACTTAAGTGAGACTGGTCCTTGGAGAAGATGGAGCAGGTTCCGAAGGTCCGGGGCTACTGGCGGTTCGAGCGGTTCAGCTCAGAAGACGACTGAAGTCAGCCGAAGGATGAGCCAGGAGTTGCAGCACTCGGGCCCGAAGTAAAGCCAGCGCCTGTGGATCCTGTGGATGCTCGTTTGGGTACTTCTTTGGTCTCACTCAAAAACTCTGGCACAGAGGATGACCTGGGCCTACTGGGTTGCGTTCAGAGGTGACTTTGAGATCACGCAGAAAACTCAGAAAAACGAGACTCGAGCAGAGAAAACTTTCAAAAATGGCTTTGCAAAATTAAAGAAAAATCAATCAAAGGCTTAATCTTGAATTGCTATGCGCACAAAAAGTTGAAGTTTCAAAACTTGAACTAAGACGATGTTAAAGAAAAATCAACGTGAATCAACACGTGGCGTAAAACTTAGAAGACTAAGAAAAAGTTCTAAGAGAAAACAAAGAAGAAGAGGACCACAGAAGGGTGTGGACAGAAGAGAAGGGCCCAAGAGTAAGGGGCCTAAGAGAGACAGGAGAGTCAGCACACAAGAGCAGAAGCAGAAGAGACATAAGAGAGTGAGCAACCCCACTTCACTGGTTTTATCTTCTCACACTGGGAGTGTCTGAGGAGAAAGAGGAGGGGGTCATCGGGTCTCTGATTATTTGATCTAACTTATTCTTTTGGCTGGTAAAAGAGTCAGGTCTGATACTCACTCACTATGATTAATATCATTGAATGCTAGGTTTCATGATCAATAATTTGGTACTAAACACATATGAATGAAGTGTAGGATCACATCAAACTTCTCATTATGTTTTAAGTATCACATTGAACATGCTAAATTACTCTGAAATGAAACAGATAGTAACACATGGAAACTGTGAACAACAAAAGAGTAAACAAATGTGAATGAACGTCATCATGATTAATAATGGATTCTAAATACTCACATTCAGATTATTCAATGACATTATAACCACCTAATGGTTAAGATACTAAATAAATAACTAAAATATAAACCAAACATTTCTAAACTGTTTCTGTTACCTAGAGTTAAGTTATGATTCATAGTCGATAAATTTAACTCTTAAAAGTTCATGAAACAGTCTGAAAAGCTGTTGGTCTAAAGAAACTAAAGAATAAGGATTTATTCTGTCACAGTGATAACTCGGCTTCTGAAGCACCTAGAAAAACGGGAAACATCTCATTTTAACACAAATTTCATGATTAGACAGATTAGTACATTGCTGAATGCATAAGATGTCAGGATCAGTCATTTGTATTCTTTCACCAAAGGAATGTAGTCTTTATCAGTGTATGGTCGAACAGGGTTTTACGACCGAGGTCTGGAGGTCAGTGTCCCCCCTTATCCTGGGTTCCGTATGTTCACACACTTTAAGAAGGTAAATCTCAAATGGGAGATCTGGGTTGAGACGTTAATGTTTATTTAGATGGTCAGTAATGGAGTCAGTTTGAAAGGTAATAAAAACTCTGTCTCTGTTCTCCGAATCGACCAATCATGAAGAGTCAGAGGTTTAGTCAACCTCCGGTTGGGTCACTTAGGCAACCTGAAAGTGTAAACAAGTCTGGAAAGATTTATATCCTGTTTCCTGGGACCAGATAAGGAACTTTCCTGTGAGGAATGTGTGAGATTCACACCCAGGGTTGTCTTGATTGCTACAATCACATTTAAACTCTAATATTTAATTTGTCTTAAAGTCTACATTACTGATGTTGAGTGATTTCCAATATTCATGTAAACCATCTCAACAACGTGAGGGGCAGAGAGAAATGGCTGATATAGAAGAGAGATATAATACCGTATAAGATGACATACCATGTAATCAAAATTATTATTAATATTATAATGTTACTTTAGGTGTTGACCTGTCTTATATTGTGCACACAGAGACCCTGCAGGATACCAGGACTGGACTTTCTCCACTGTGCGCTGCTGGGGAGAGAAAGCTGAAGGCCAGTACATGCTGAAGATCTCCGACCACAGTGAGCCACCTTTCATAACCTTATTTAATGTATACTGTGAATGCCTCTCCTGTCTGGCTGACCTCTTCTCTGCTCCTGCAGAAGAGCCAACATCAAAGCAGTGTGCCGCTGTGGGCGTGCTGAAGCAGTGGGCTCTGACCCTGTATGGCTCCTCCATGACCTTCAGCGAGGTCAAGGAGAGGCAGATGTAAGACTCTAAAGGCATTTCACGTTTTTCATTTCAGTGATAACTCTTGACTCAGTATGTTGACTGACTTACATTCTGTGTGCTGATTGACAGGCTGGTGGAGGAGGCTATGAGCGGGAAGTATCTGGACAGCAGCTTCTCTCTGCCCTGCCCTCCAGGCCTGAACATCCCCTCAGAGATAGTCAGCCCCTTTACCTCCAACAGCCTCAAGGTAAACTGCACATTACCTCTCCTCTTCTGTCGCCTGAATAAGGAAACAGTTTCTTTCCAACCCTCTGAGAGCCGCACATTTTTATAACTACATAATCAGAGTTGTGCTGTCCAAAAGCATAGATGGTGTTTTAAATTTGACATGAAAACAGTTCAATCAAACTGGATTTACTTTACCATTCACTGTAAATATAACGTTTGGGTTTTGGTGTCTTTCTTCATGGTAAACTGAGTTGATAGGAATCTTAAGGGGGTTTTACTTAAAATGTTGCCATATGATCACCTGAATTTACTTTGTGGATTGAACCTTTTTCCAACTTTCACCTCATCCACACATCCAGCTAAGCAAGTGGAAGACTAGCTCCTTTTGTGTTATTGTAGCTAATCCCCACTCTCTTTCTTTCTTTCTTTCTCTCTCTCTCTCTCTCTCCTTTGTCCTCTCCCCTCCAGTTCCTGCTGTTGCTGGGCTGCTTCGCTCTCTTCTGGTCTCTCTACTACACTCTGGAGGTCTCGCTGGCCCACATCTACCTGCGCGGCCTGTTCTGCATGGGCAAGAGGCGGGGCGCTCACCGAAACAGGAGGGGGCACAGAGGGAGAGGACTGGAGGAAGCGATGGAGGATGAGGAAGAGGAGGAGGATGAGGACAGAGACTCAGGGGTGGAGCTGCTCACGGTGCTGGACTCTGAGGCCAAAGTGGCACTTTTAAACGGAGAACGGACAGCGACATAACACTGAGCCAGATCTCTGTGCTCTTATGGCGTCTCAGGCTTCACTCCTCCCTCACCCACTCCTGTACTGCCTCTGAGCCCAGCAGACCTCACCTGGTCTGGATTGTAGACTGACAAACTGTGAAGTCTCTGTCCGTGTCTGTATTTCCTCAAAAACGTGGCCTTGTTAGGAAATTGGTGTTTCCACTATAGAGGGAGCGGCTGCTAGATATTACCCAATCTTTTGAGGACAGAAACATTTTATCAGCTGTTTGCTTCCATTTCCTATCAGGGTCAGGTTTTCTGCTCCATGAGGGTCAGGCATGATGAAAGAGGTACCTTTTAAAAGGTTTAGAAATCTGGTTTAACGGCACAATCCCGTGAGAGAAAGTGTTAAAACAGGTGGAACTGTACCTGGTTAAAAAGTGAGGTTACAACGTGATGAACAAAAGGCACTCGTGGAGAGGCTGTATCAAGGGAAATATAATGACATGATGTGCACTAGAGAGTGGTACAACTCTGCTGTGACTCTGTGTGTGTGTGCGTACGTGCGTGCGATTGATGAGGTACCAGAGTGTATGTGCGTGTGTGTGTGTGTGTGTGTGTGTGTGTGAAACCTGCGATCTTGCATGAAAAAGTGGAACAGACTTATTTTCTGAGGTGTTATTTTTCAAGGTTTTAATTCTCAGTTTGGGTTTTATTTTAAATACTGTTATGATTATCTGAGGGGTATCAGCCGACTACTAATTAACAACTTGAAGTGGGTTTTTAAAGTGTGGTTCTTGTATTTTTATATGAAGTGTAATATATATACACACCGTGTGCCTGCTGTACAGCGCTTTATTGTGTCTCATGGTTTCTACCAAGTGTTTTAAAGAATGTATTAAAGAGCTCTATTTTTTATGTAAAGGAGTGTTTGGGGTGAAGGTGGAAACTGTGTTTTGCTGTGCAAGTCACAGATGGTCTGAACGGTAATAAATCATTGTTGGGCAGAAATTCAAACGTGTGTTTGTGGTGGATGCTATGATGTTATGATGGGAGATTAAGTCCACACTGTGGAATAGCTAATAACATGGTTTACAGTCAATAAAAGTCTATATTTAAGTCTAAGTGGTGCAAAGACGACATATCAAATGTTGAAAATGAAAAATGTTATTTTGTGTGAAAAAAAATCGCTAATTTTGAATTTGATGTCAGCAACATGTTTCCTAGTGTTGGATCAGCTTTTGCTCACACAGCAAACATAAATGAACCCAGCAGATCGGTTTTTGAGACAGTCAAATGTTGTCCCACTCTTGCCAGAATTTCAGCTTCTCAACAGGCGCTCAGCGAAACAGGAGGTTTCGAAACAGGGTCTCCTTTGTTTGTAATGGGTGACAAGTCAGGACTTTAGTCAGACCAGTTTCTCAGCAGGACTCTTCTACTACAGAGCCATGCTGTTGTAATCCCTGTTGTCAGGATGTGTTTTGTCATTGTCTTGTTTATCTAAAAAAAAAAAAAAAAAAAAACTTATTGTCTGGATGTCAGCAGATGTTGCCCCTAAACCTGTAGATATTGTTCAGCATTAATGGAGCCTTCACAAATGTGGAAGATACCCATGGCATGGATTCTGATGACCCCCATACCATCAGGGATGCTGAATTTAAAATGAGTGCTGACAACAAGTCAGGCAGTCCATCCGCAAAGGATGTGGATTGTCCAAGATTTTTTTTTTAAATGCCAAATTGATTTATCAGACCATAGGAAGGTTTTCCACTTCCCTCTTCAACTGACTCATTTTTGGATCATGCTTATGGACTTCCTGATGGCATTGTTAAGTGTAGCGACTGCTTCCTGCTACTGGGAGTTTTAAGTGTGTTTGCGTCTGTGACTCGCTCATTCATTCAATCTACTTGAGTGTTAAAAGTGATTTATTATTCCAAAAAAAGGGGAAGAAAACCCACAGTCCAATACTGATCTAGGTTCAAACTTTTGCCTTCAAATGAAAGGTGTTATGATGAAATAAGGGTAGAAGGATGAGTGAGAAACAGTCAACAGAAGATTATCAGAGCTCACTAAAAACCATTGTCTCTGACTACAAGAGTGTTTTTTATATAACCTGCCAAACATCACAAAACCATGATCCCTGGGAGTGATGTACTTATTAGAAGTATCACAACCTTCACATATATATTTTGGCTCCTACATTAAATGTTAAAATGTTACACTTTAACCATGATAAACCCTTAAATCATAGTCTCAAGAATAGCCTAGTTTGCATTTTGTTTTGCCGTGCAGCCTTTCAGCATTCACTGTGGCTAATACACTCACAACTGACGCGTCTATCCAAAAATGCTGAAATATCCCTTTAATCCCCCTCCTTGAGTTACGTCTTTGCTGAACTTTGATTCAACCAAGATACTTAACAAAGATGGTGGATTTTATCTTACATCTGGTCATGTCTGCAGACCCACTTCCGAGCATGCCTTGGAGATCCATGTTACACTATGATAAGTTCTCATAGTCACACTCAAGACACAGCTGTATTTCAAAGGTATTATTTAATAACAATGTACAAAAATATTGGCTGATACAGCAGGCATAGCATTGTGGGAAGTCTTAAAAAAAACCTGGTCAGACTCATCTTTATCCTTGTTTAAAAACTGTTTCTACAGAAAGAACCGTTCGTTTATGTTTTTAACCTCCAACTTAACAAATCTTTCATTGGATAGCTCTATAGTTACTTTATTTGTACAAGTCCAAACTACAAGGTAAAGAACAAAGTGATGTAAACTCTTCTCTGAGCGGTGGTCGCCAGTGCAAGCTCTTATGTAAGGGTTCAGGATAAGCATGGGGAGGGGGCACTTTTTCAGAGCTAAACTCTGAGGCAGGAAGGTTTCATGATAAAGGAGATCCTAAGTGAACCAGTTAAACGTTACAGGCTCTGAGAGATGCAAAGGGTGGAGGAGGTTTTGAGTATCTGATGCAGAGCGGTTTTACAGGATCTGTCGGGGTCTGCCGTAGCTCATGCCCTCCTGACTGGCTCCTTTGTTGGACCCCATCTGTAGACCGATCACGTTTTTGCCTGCTTTGAGCTGGTCATCAGAGAAATCTCGTTTGTTCTCCTGAGCTTTCCTGCAAAGCATTAATGAAATATCATTTGAGCTGATTTCAAGTGTTTTATCACCTTCTCCACGTTTCATTTCATGCTTCAGACTCACTTGAAGAACCAGTTGGGATCTCCATTGTATGTGCCCTCATCCTTTGTGACGGCCAAGCTACCCAGAGCTGACAGGGTCCTCTGCACGGCCGCCAAGTCCTTACCTGTCCAGGTGCACACATAGAGCATCATCATTAAAGTCAACCATAACATTTTTATCTTACCTACACGATACCATGTTTCTATGCATGTGCAATTTTGTATTTTTGCACTAATTTTCCCCTCTAATACACCATCAACTAGGATGGATGGTCAAGAGTGTGAAAAGAGGGATGTCCTTGGGTCAGCATGTTAAGACCAATCATAAGGGACAAAAGCTTTAGACATTGATGACCTGTTGCAACTAAACTGGAACTCCTAAAAAGTTCAAATGCTGTTGCATCAACGAAGGATCCCTGGACTTACTTACAACACAGAGAATCATTGTTAATAACACACAGAGAAATGTACGAGACCTATGTTTTAGTACAGTGCTCTCTTTGTTTTGCACTGTTTTGTTTATATTTCTTTGGCACTACATGATAAAAAAATAAAAATAAATCAGCTCACAAACAGTTTGGGGATTCAAAAATAATAGAACTTTAAACATGTGATTTAAAAATGGGAATCATAATGGAGGCATGGTTGATTTAAATAACAGGTGGGTTTGTGGCATGCTCTCTACTCCAACTCTTTTTTTCTTTCTTGAAAACTCAGGACTCAGTTCGAGGAATAGAGATCCTCTAACCTTCCCAAAGGTCCACAGTCTGGAACATGTCAGTCTTGGTGACGCCATACAACTCTGCAGCGCTGAGAAACTGTGAGATCTGCTCCATCTGTTTGAAGGCCATAGTCGAGCCCTGGGTCTTCTTCACAGGTTTGTTATCAGGAAACAAACTGTTGATCAGCTCGCCCAGGACCTGAGGGGGAAAAACAGACAGACATGCATGAAAAACGATCCTCAACCTTCAGTCATCGCAGCATTTAGAGGGCCAAACAAGCTGCACTCACAGAGCCGTCTTTCAGCCAGGCCTGGAACCCCGTTTTGCCGGCCTCTGGTTTTCCCACACCAGAGCCACACTGACGGCTGATCCACTCCACCAGGATCAGCTCCAGCTCAGGGTCATACTTGCTGTCGATCTTTTCCTGGACCTGCCGGCTCATGCCGTAGGATGGACCTTTGTTAGCCATGCCGACTCCCTGCAGAGGAGAGGAGACACGAACAGGAGGTGAGTATTACTCCAGTTATTATATCTGATGATTTGGATGCAGCCTGTGTGCACAAACCTGCAGCCTGTTGAGGTGTGAATGTCTTGGTTAATGCACAGATGTTTGCAGAAACATTGACATTGACATTTTTGCACACTATACACTGACATTAACACTGAGAACATGCAGGTCAAAGCGTGTATAGAAGCATAAATTTGAAGCACTTTATTTGAAGACTCCTCCAGAAAAACAGCATGAACAGCATCGTCTCCTAATGCACACCATTAAGCCTCACATGGAGCTCTGTGTCCAGGACAAAATGGTGTACAATGGGAGCTCTATACCAGCAAGCTCATTTTTTTCATAATTTCTCACACACACACACACACACACACACACACACACACACACACACACACACACACACACACACACACACACACACACACACACACTCTCTCTCTCTGTCCCGGTCTCTGTCATCACATTGCCTCATATCACTGCCAGCTCTTTTTTTCTCTTTGCCTCTGTATCTGCCTTTGGGCCAACAGCCAAGTGCAAAAACCCTGAAACAAAGTGCCGTCAGCACCATCCAACCTTTGTTGCCATGTCGATGTCAGGTCACTGCAACTTCCTGTTCCTGGGGAAGGGGTCAAAGGTCAAATGTTAAAGCCTAAAGAGTTGACCAGAAGAGGAGCATCTCTGCCACAGGAGGGCGAGTGTTGTCATCACGGGGAACAATAAAGTTTTGTTTGTGAACAATACACAGCCTGTCTTAGTATAGGTGGGTGTATGGAGCGTTTTTATGTTAGTCACTGCATTTCAAGGATTAAAAACACAACGCTCTTACACAGATTCACAATGCCACAGTGGCCCATGAGCGAATGTTTGTGCTCTGAGATCAGCCCTCTCCTCACACTGTCACTGATCTGCATCTAACCCCTAATGTTATCAAACATGAATGTATTCTTAACAATGTGGTTTTCTAAAGAGATGGTGACCAGAGCAGAAGTATTGACTCTGGCTGACATCTGACTAAAAATAGGTGGAGTCGATGCCTATCTCCTCTAGCAGCCTGGAAAAGAGCTACAATCCACCCACCTGTTTAAATACCCATGACTCTAAAGCCACGTCTCGTAGCCCTTCAATTCACTTTTGAATCCTTCAATTGTTTACTTGCATCCTAGTCCCTACCACCAGAGATGCATGGAGAGATGCAAGAAGATAAAAATAGGAGAAAGGATGAAGAAATTAATTTAAAGAGACACGTGACATCTGTTTCTGCAGTGCATTACTTGAAGACCTCTGTTTGTGATGAAGACATCAGCTGATCCCCTCTGGACCAGCTAGCAGTCACCTTCAGCAGCTGGTTGTGTCTGCACACGTGCATTGTCAAAACTTAATTTTTAGCCCTTGTCTCTTCTTCAAACTGATACATGCATGAGAAAGACGCCCTCATATCTGTTGGCTTCTGCATGCTCTGAATGTAAGGAGAGGATGGGGGCAGGCTTCAGAGTTTGATCAGCAAAATAACTCAAATTGAGACCAACTGCATTTTACTACACTAAGTGGATTTATTGTCACTTCATGCTTCTGTGGCAGTAACATCACACCTGAATTTGCATTTAAAAACTTTTCTTAATACGCAGAAGTGCTACAAACAGCTTTGCTAAGTAGTCATAAAAAACATATGCAATGCATCCTGTTGGTCCTGTGAGTAATTTAACATGAAAGCAATATTCAGTGACATCAAAGATTATTTAATCTTTACTATGTAAGGCTCCTGTTCAATGACATTTAAACATCTCTGACTGCATCTGCTGCAGCAAGGAGTCAGGCAGTTGTGTAAATTTCTCCCTTCTTTGTTGCTTTTTTGGACTAATCTGGAAAATTATCCGAACTGAAATATTGTTAAGGTCATGTTGTGAATTGGTGTTAGTTAAATCATGATTGATTGATGGGCAGGGGGATATGTTTAACTCTCTAACTCTGTAGTTTTCAGTGCAGCTGCTGGATATGAGTCAATGTGAAATGCACAAACACGAACAGGCTGAAAGGTAATAAAATGTTCTTTAAACTCTTTATTTCGGATTGCACATTCATTTGATCCTAATTTTTGACACTGGCAGCTTTAAGTGAGTGCTGCAGATGTTTTATTACATTATGACATTGGTCTTGAAGATTAAAATAAAACACAATGAGCAGTTAATGCGCAGATCTTATTTTTCATTGTTTGATGTAGATTTTGGATTCTTACTCAACCGTTATGCTCTTTTATGTGACACTTTTATGCAGCTGCCTCAGCCAGGACTCCTTGTAAAAGAGACTTAGATGCTGTGGTGGAAAAAGGTTGTAAGATACTCGATTGAACATTATTACAAATCTAAATCAATATTGTCCCAGTATGAGGTTTTTATTTGGCTGGTTTTAACTTCATTTCAAGTTCAGAAAGTTACTCTGAACCTCTGCAGGTCAGAAACTCTGCCAGCAGCGTTTATGGACCCGGGCCCAGAGCGTCTGCAGAGCATTACCACCAGCTTTGTTTAATATCCTCCTCATTCCCTGTGGTGCTTTCACAGGCTGCAGGAAACCAAAAACACACATGCTGGGCAACATGCTCACTTACACACAAGCAGAAGTCCACACTCAGTTTAGATTCAGCGGCTTGACTCTTTCCTTCCAGCACACACACTCCTTTTTCACTTTGCTTGACTCACATCATTATGTCATTATTATAAGAGAATAATGTTTGTCTGCTTTCCCGGCAACTTGTCTCTTTTTCCATCGGCCTCATAAAAATCCTGTTGCACCACAAACATAATGCTCTGTCTTTTTCTGAAGAACTGCCGTCTGTGAACCCAGTGACTCCTCAGCTCGAGGAGTTTTTCATACCAGTTTGTATTTGTCCACTATGCAGCGATTCAGTGTTTTCTTTGGCTTTAAATAAATCTGTCAGGGCCTCATCTTTCATTCTGGTGTATATGTGCATCCAGGGACCTGCTGCTAGTCCTGGGACATGGCCGAGTCCAATAACTCAGAACTAGCTGCAAAAAATATGCCTCAGCATAAAATATTGAGGGCCTGCTGTTTTACTTTTACTATGGTGTGATGTCAATATGTTTGGATGCAAGTTGTCCTCTGAAATGAACATACTTCACTGTAATTGTTAGTTTTGATAACTTTCACAGAGGCATGTAGAAGTTGCTCTATTATTCATGACAAACTAACTTTGCACAAACAAAAGCTTTAACCTCATGAAGAGCTGTATGAGAGTGACACTTTACAGATTTCAATGGCCACACAGACGCCTTCAATGTGCATCTTATGATCTTGCATCTTGACAGACTTAGCATAGATGTTCACAGGGGGCGCCACAATCAACATAATCTTAAACCCCTCACAGAGGCTTCGACGGAAAACAAAACATTTACAAATTCGGCAGAGTGGATTTTCTGCACTGTTGCATGCTGATAGTTCTGCAAAATTTATTGACAATATTTGCAACAATTTTACTCTGACATGCAGAAAACGTTTTACTGGTGCCAGAGGTCTGGAAAGTCTTTGCATACAGTTTATTCTGCAGATATAATAACTTGATAAGAGGCCACAGCTGATGTTGCAAATGATATTGGTATTTTGTTTTGTTATTACACTGCAGTTCTTCTTACTGCAATAAGATAATCAGCCAAACTTATTCTTACTGGTGATTTTTTAAGCTGTTCCCCTTTAAAGCTGCAAATGTTTGTTGTCTACTTTACATCAGTCTGTCAGACTTTGTATCAATTATTTAACACATATAAAGTTTATAACAGACAAATGCCGAACGAGCAATGACTGAATATGAGTTACTAGCATGTTAAATTACAGTAGCATTTTTCCAGATGAAATATAGCCGTCCTTTCTCCCCTAATTACACGACTTCATCCCTTCTTTCCCACCATCCGGCTGCCTCTCCGGGTTGTGTTTTTCCGGCTGTTTCTCCGTCACCATGGTGAACCTGCCTGATGCCAGAGCAGGAAACCAGTCTGAGGGTTGTGGCTGCTGCAGCAGGATGAAGGCACATGGCGTCATGTGGCCTCACCTCCATCCTCCAAAGTTAACCAGCTAACCACCGTGTAATGGCTGAGGCTGAATAATCTACCAGAGACTTGTTCTGCTCTAAGAAAATGTGATAATTTACTCTCCTAACGAATGATTTCAGGGGTGTAATAACTTAATAAGCTGCTAAAACTCAGCTCGAGTTCACTTGATGCTCATAAAATCAAGCTCTATGATGTACTTTGGGTGAAGTCCATGATTTCTGGCTGGGCTCTGGTTTTTGCCAGCTGCACAGAAATCTGCTGCTTTTCTTGGACTTTAATGAGCGCTGACAGAACTTTCTGGAGCCTCTGCCAACAGCCTGAACAGCTCTGATAATTCTGTCAAAATTCAGAGTTAATGTTCATCCATGCAGCTGAAGTCAGACTGACTCTAAAGTCTTGTTAGTGCTGTTCTGTTAAGCTCAGTGTCAGAGCTTTATTATCCTGACGGGGATGTGGTTATTTCCTGGTTCCTGTGCAGAGATAGTGTTATCTGCTGCTGTGTGGACATTAAACTGCTCACTGATGTTTCCCTTCTGTTGCTGCCAGACTTTCTTTTTCTTTTTCTATCTGCTGCTTTTGAGTATTGCTTCTAATTATAACTCACTAAAGTTAAGTGTTAAATGTTATGTGACTGTTAAAAAAAATTCTAAATGTTAGTAGTAAATGTTCAATCTATAGATGTAAAGTGGCAAATATGATTTTTTAAAATTTAGGTTAAATCTAAATATTAAATACAGAATTTGAATCTCAAAGGTGTATTTGAATGTCTTATTTTTAAATAAAGAATTTCAGTGTTAAACCATAAGATCTAATGTGACATTTATTTTATCAGGTTTATGTTTGATGTAAGTGTTATATTCTTTTATTTTTATGTTCATTTTTTTATTCTAAATGTTAAAT